ACAGACACGGGAATAGGATCAGAAAGGAAGGGAACACAAAAGACACAGCTTCTGAGTGAGAATTAACTGAATTGCAACAATGGGCGAGCGCTCCTTAAGTACAAATCGGCTACTAGGTAAGTAATGGAGATAATCATCGCTTGGGATGTCTGGGCTACCTCGCGGTTCACTAGAGATATGTGTGGGACATGTGGTTGATCATCCGTGATATGTGTGGGGATATTTGGGAGTAAGCCAGTCCGAGCCATTTAAGGCGACGTAATAGGGGAGTTTGAGAGGTAAGAGTACTGAATTTGTCAAATAAACCAAAGAGGAATATACTACGCACCAGTGAACAAGGATGGATGGATATGGGATTCGTCTGAGTATCTGTGAGCTAGAGGGGCAAAACATGGGCGCAACCGACCAATGATGTGCATTGATTCTTCGTCAGCCAATTCACTTGCGCAAGCAGCTTGAACGCGTATGAGCGGGAGTCCAATTGGCAAGGAGTCGGATAGAGCGCAGAGGGTCAGGTGTATATTGCCATGGATCAGCAGAGCAAGGAAGTACCATGTCGGTGCCGATCTGCATCCTACAACTTACACTCTGTTTGTTCTCCTGATGGCACTCAATAAATTTCTGACATTGTTGCATCCTAAAGTCAGGGGGAAACACATAGTCGAATAACTGTTCAAAGAACTCGGTAAGTGAGTAATATTTCTCTAGGTCAAGTATGTCGCACTCATAGAATTGGTAGGCCTGTCCACTCAGATACTTTCCAAGCATGTGGAGGCTCTGAGCTGTCATTAATCGGGCACAATCTTTCCAATTGCGAACTTCGTGAACCCACTTCTTGAATGTAGTGGAGTTAGCATCGCCGTTATAGGTGAACGGAGGTTCATTTTTGATGAAACTTCGTTGATATTTGAGCAGATTCAGTTTGGCTCGGTACTGCCTCCTTGCAGTCCTTTTCAATTGTTTGGTATCTGGGGAGTCGCTAGCATGGTCCAATTCGGGCTCAAGAGCGAGAAAATCAGCTCCAAAGTCATTGGTGGGATAGAGACTACTGTGATCTGGATCATCATTATCATTTGACTTCGCGTGGTTGGGGTAAGTTGGGAGTGCAGCCTTCTTTTTGCTAACCAGGGTTTCATCTTCATAACTGGACTCAGTTGGGAATTCATCATCATCTTTGGGCGACTCGGATGGCGAGTTATCAGGGTCAGGGTCTTTTTGACTGTTACCAAGCATCGCTCGTTTGACTGAGCTGCTTGCTGGGAGTACAGATGAGGCTCTCAGGTACCTCGTCAGCTTGGGCTTGCAGGAGATAAATTTAGTTCACTCAGTCCTTTGGGGCCTAGCAAGATGAGGATCAGCATAGCCTTTGGTCATGGTCTCACCCTCTGGGTTAGGAGGGGGGAGTTGGATGCTGATGACAGGGGCTCGGTGAGCGTCTCTAACTTGTTTTTGAGCTTCTTCTTTTCTGGTCTGACTCTGAATAATCAGGGTCTTGAGTTCTCTGACTCGTTCCTGGAGGTTGGTCACCATGATGGACTGTTCAACCAGTTCTTCTTTCACTTGGTTGTGGTATTGTCTTAGGTAAAGGTTTTGTAGTTGTATAGATAACTGTTTATTATCATCGTCCCAGATATCTCACAAGGAAGTGTCTGGGTCATTGGATCCTGGTCACAATGCTTCTACTAGACCTTCATCAAGGTCTGACCATTTGTCTAGCCAGTCTTTTGGCAGTAGGATTTTCCGTTCTTGTGTATCCACTGATTCACCTTTAAGCTCAGCAGGGATACACAGGGGAGAGCCCAAAGACGAGGCTTTGCACTTTGGGCTTTGTGCTGGGAACTTGGGTAAGTCACCTAATTCATCATCGTCAATAGGGAGGTCAGCCCCATCAGACTTCCCCTCTGCCCCTCAAAAATTAAGGGCACGTACTCAGGTAAGGGGCACAGCACACGAGCTGAAGCCGAAGCCCTTTGAGTAACATCCTCCTTGAGCACGACCTTAACAGGGGGCCTGGGCCCATCGCCCTCATTACTAAAAATGAGGGGGGTGATAGTTTCTATGGGGGCACCCAGTGCTCCTTCCACGTCTTCGGCGGATAGCTGGTCGCTAGTCAAGGGTTCTGCACTCTGACTGTCAGACAGCTCGACTCCAGTGATGAACATTTCATCATGAGTTCAGGCACTCTTGATACCTAGTTAGAGAGTGCCTCCATCTCTAATCAAGTCATCCCTATGGGGAGAGGAGCTTTGAGACAAGTTCTTTGATGCATTGATAGAAGTAGTTGACATCTTTTGTTCCTCTAATGGGAGGTAGTAAGGGATAGATATGGGAAGGGTCGTCGGTTAGGAGGGTGATCAATCCTCGTCAATCAGTGGCCGTAGAGTGAAAAGATAGGTAGAGCTTTAGAATTCGAGTTTAAAAATATGTGGCATTCAAAGAACATACACACGAGAATTGAGTTGACTTGAGAGAACTTAGGGTTTGAACAGAAGTAAACTGGCCAAACTAAGCTTTATTTTTGGGGGGAAGGATCAACTCCCGATCCTGCACTAAGTACACTAGTTTATATAGGTTAGAGAGGATCGGGGAAAGTAGGAATAAAAGAAATAAAAGAGGGAATAAACAGGGTAAAGTAAAAGGAGAGAATATATTAGAGTTGATTGATATATTAATTGGTAACCATCTAGGTGTTGGACGCCTAAGTCTTTTAATGAATGTCACAAGGAACTAGCACCTTTCACACGCTACATAAATGCCCTGTTACAACTTTGCTTTAGTAAAATCGTCCATCTCATTCCCTTCTCTTTGACACTCACACTCATTTTTAAAATATTCTCCTACCTGAGTCCCAGCTTTCCCCTACATCTAACCCATTCACTACTTTGATGTTCCTTTATTCATTCAATTCCTACACATTATAAGTGTCTTCTCTTGGACGAACAGTATGCATCACAGCTTGGTAGGTTGGTGAGTTCAACTTGCACCATTTCGGATCAGTCTCTAACTGTTGTCAATTATGTGAGGTGGATGCTTGTGTTCCGATATTGCGCCACAAGCTGAAGGAAGATGCTATATGATGGCTGATATTTATGTGGCTGCACAGTGAGTTCCCCTTGGGAAGTGTTGCCTCGATGCTCACTCTGCTTGCAGGAAGTTGAGATACAGTGGCACCACTGCCAGTGAGCGGCTGCACAGTGAGTTCCCCTTGGGAAGTGTTGCCTTGATGCTCACTCCGCTCACAGGAAGTTGAGATACAGCGGTGCAGCTGCCAGTGGCCATCCTAGTGAGCTGGAAGCATTCAAGCTACTTGATCTTGATTCTCAACAATATGGTGGAAGACTGAATCATCCCCCACTTGTATTCATGGTGTATAATATGGATTTGCGAAGCTGATTACTATTATCATATATGTCTCCCAGTTGGTCATAGCACACACTGTTCTTTAAATTGGCCTACCAATATACCCATTTTTAATCAAAGACTAGTCTTGTTCTTGTAATGCTGTCTGATTCGGTCGGATCCCTCATCTAAAATCAAATAAATTAACTCTACAATGTACAACAATGTTTTCGAATAACTTCAAATTCTTTCTAATCTTTGTCTTTTTATCAGGGGGTAAAAAAAGCGATCTAAATCTGCTAAAACTTGAATTTGGATAATTTAGACATAATATTGCAGCATTAGTTCTAAAAACTTCTAATTAGCTTAGGAGGTTTTTCCTGATGTCAAGTCACCAAAATTTCCCATTCCAGCGATGGTATGCTAAGGTTGCATCAGCCCTTAGAAGGCCTCTAAGGGACGGCAGGTGTATCAGGTCACAGGGTCCCCTTATCTGGTCATACCTAGGTTCATTTTTTTGCTGATGTGCTGGTCAACTGCTGATCATTCCTCAGCTGCTAGCCATGTATCATGATGATATATGGCCTGCTAAGCCGTTTTCATTGTTCTGTCCGGTTATCACACTGATATGTCATGTGAAACAGATGTCAATTTGCTATCATATTACATGGCATTAGCTACAAGTAAGGTCCTGATTGTATGTCGGAAATTTCCATAGGCGCCTTGCAATGTTTCCAAATTGAGATATCATTTAGCTGTATTGCATCTGCAATGCAAGATTCTTCCAAGGAACCATGGTATATTTTTAGAACATTCCAAGGAAGCAACATTATTTTGGGTAACTTGCAAGGTGCATCTGCGCCTTGCAAGCATTTGATTATGTCAGCAACCAATCCGATTTCGATTCTAATACCTTGAACTGATTTTCGATGCCCTTTATCTGAATTCAAGCCAACTCTTCATCGTGTTTATATTATACTACAATGACATATGCCTCCACTCAGAAACAACACCAATGGAGGGCGCAAATATATGCAAACCTCTGCGTCTACCAGCAAGGTCCAATGTCAATATTGTAATGAATCCTACACATCCAGAGGCATCAAGTTGCACGAGCAGAGCTGCCTTCAACAGAAGGAAAAGAAGAAAGAGGACAAAAAATTTGCGCAGGCTGCAGTACACCCAATGTTGAATGAAGGAGAACATATTGACAGTTTGTCATATATCTTGATAATATCCTGAATCAATCACTGATTATCAAAATCTTTTGCGTCAGAATGTCATTGCAACAAGAAACACAAGAAAACAAATGAGCATAACCCCACCAGCACATCTGCACAAGTCTCTGTGCTTGCAGACTCTGAATCAGGAGGTGCAGCTGCAACATCTGTTGCTACAGTATTAATTGACATGTATGATTATGATGATGGCCACAATTATCCTACTGCAGGACTGGAAGGGGGTCTCGATGACATGCAGAGCATTGAGGGTGAGGCATGACAATGTATGTGTTCTTATCTTGACCCAAGCCACATAACTAACATCATTTATTAGGTTCTAACTCTGATACAAGCATGGCTAGCACCTCTGCAGGAGCAGCACCTCCTCCAAGTCTCATTCCAGTTTCTGCAGCCACAGCAACGACTTCAGCCTGTTCCAACATGTTCAAGACAGAGTTCCACCCCCACAGCAGTCACCCTACAACTGTCAAGACATTTTCTACTTACGGGACCAGATTGGGAACACGTTCACCCATGGTTGATAATACACCTTGGCACCCTTTTACCTGTTGTGTGGACTTTGAGTTCACTGAGCTTGTGCACAAAGCTGCGCTGAACAAGGACCAAATGAATGAGCTGTTGAAGTTCATTTGGCAAGTTGCAGATGGTCACACAATGTTTTTGTTCAAAACACACACAGATGTTACGACTGCATGGGCTAGGGCATCTAGCCAGATGACACCAGTGAGAGCAGTGTAACTTTATTTTACTTTTGTATCAAGTGTACATGACTATGTTCAATTATACAGTTCGAAAAACATGTTATACTCATTGATTACAAGAAGGAAACAATTGAGTATGAAGTTTATCTGCGGCCTCTGTGGGACTGGGCAATGAACCTATTAGCCAATCCCTTGTTGGCTCCGCACTTGGTCTGGGATGCTTAGCAGCTTTATAAGCACGACGGGACTCACTTTGAGCACTTCTTCCACGAGCTATGGATGAGAGACCGCTGGTGGAATCTTCAAGTATGCTCAATCTTTTTATATACTACATGACTGACTACTAAATTTCAATTCATTTAGTCCTTATTACCTGAGAATGGAGCGCCCTTCATGTTCATATTATATGCCAACAAAACTCATCTTTTGTCGGCTGGTACTGTCAAAGCATACCCAGTAATTGCCCCCTGTGGGAATCTACCAGTCAATATTAGGAATGTCAATGGTCCTGGAGGAGGGCGTCTGGTAGGTTGGTTACCAATTGTAAGTCCTTGCAATGTTGTGTGAATGGCGCTCAATTGATGGTCTTTGCCCCTTGTTACAGGTTCCCGAGGATTCAGATGAGGATGGCAAACTTTCATACACAAATTTGAAGCATGTTGTATGGCACGAATTATTTTCAATCCTGCTTGCAACTATCATGGTTTTATCTGCAACTGGGTTTGCACATGAGTGCTATGATGGAACTCAATGCTGGCTATTCCCATTAATTCTGATCCTATCAGCTGATTACAAAGAGCAGTGAGTGATCCATGTTTATATATCATTAACACATTGTTTCTAACACAAATTGTTTATATTTAGGTGTGTGATGGCGCTAATTCAGGGCCTTAATTCTGCCTGCCCTTGCCCCATTTGCCTGGTCCCGAGAGAAGAACTCACCAACCTTTCAACAACTTACCCTAAGCGCACTGTTAAAGATGCACAAGATCGTGTCAAGTTATGGTCCAGAGACCGCATTGTGGGTGAGGCAGAACTGAGGAAACAGAGCTTGAGGCCTATCAAGGTGCGTGATGGATGTGTCTTTCTCACTTACATGATCTCATGGTCATCAGAATGCATTATGGAAAGTCAAGCTGTCCAACCCACATGATGCGCTCTCGCAAAATCCACTACATCTCTATCATAAGGGGAAGTTTGGCGATCACTTGTTCAATGAGTTTAAGAAACACATCAAGGCACTTTGACGTGCTGCTGAGAAGAAGGTTGATGAACAGTAAGTCCCTTCCCAGTTGTTATTCTATCAGTCTCTCATATGTCGTTAATTTTAAAGGTTTGATGCATTTCCACAATGGTGAAACCTGAACCATTTCAACTGCATTACCAACATATATTTTACTGACGGTAACAAATTCCAGGACATATCTAGGGTATATTCTAGTGTGCTATATTTAAAACTGCACATTTCTCATGGTTTTGATAGCAAATCATGTATGCAGCACAGAATGTGCTCACACATGTGGAAGATGAAGCTGGCTATGCACTCTTAAAGTGCATAGTGAGCTATCTTCACATTGATATGTATGTATTGCTTGATGTTCATACTGAAAGTGCTCTTGCAGCTGGAGAGGTGGAGATCCTCATGTTTCAGAAACTGTTAGATGTAAGTCCTGTCTGAATTGTTCACGCCCATCATTGTGACTCAACACTACTATCACACAGGAATATATTGAGGCCCTTGGTGATGACACGACTAAGAATTGGAATTTCCCAAAGGCTCACACCTCAAGGCATGTATTCATTGACATTAGGGAGAAAGGAGCAGCTCAAAACTTCAGCACCAGACCGAACAAGAAGCAACATGGACCGATCAAATGTGCATACAAATTGCAAACAAATGGGAAGGATATTGCTAACCAGGTATCACTTTATTAGATCATGCTTTCTGTAATTCAACTCATCATTCATCCTTTGCATACTAGATACTTGGACTAGATCATATGACCCTCGTCTCTGGGCTCATCCACAGCCGCGTTGGCTACCTTGACAAAGAACAACACAAGGCCATGCTCTCAGAGAGAGAACTTGAGGAGGAAGACCTAGATGATCAACCTTTTGGTGGACATATTCACCTTGGTGCCCTGCAACACTCCCTGACCCTTTCACAGCTTGAAGAAGAAAATGCATCCAAGCCTGCCTTTGTGCAGTTCCGCAAGAAACTTTCATTATTCCTCAACAACTTTCTGCCTGCCTACAACATACTGCTACCTGATGGCAAAATGTGGCTGATACTCTCAGCACAAGATACAGTCAGTAATAGTTGTTTCACTGATGTTCCTCTTCTTAAATTTCTTTATCGCAGGTCCAGGAGCATCGGTTCCTCAAGGTCAACTACAAGTCTGCTGTGGATTGGAAGCTCACTACAGATTATTTGCAGTGTAACCTGAGCTTTCATGGCCATGAGCGATGCGACTGTGCCCTGATTCACACCAATGACAAAGATGGCAATGACAAGAACATTTTTGTTCGCATCTTGCTTATGTTCAAGCTCACAGTTGGCAGCAAGGTTTTAGATCTCGCTTTAGTTCTACCTATGGATCTGCAAATGGGTCTGCGACATGCTATTGACCGAGATTTGCGACTGACTCGTCTTCATGCGTGACCCATGGCTTCATCGGAATTCATCACACTTCAATCTATCATTCGTGGTGTATTAGTTGTTCCGGACTTTGCTATTCCTGGAGACTATTTCCTTGTTAATTATGTAGACACTGACATATTTCTTCATTCTCAGAGACAACTCTTTTAACTCATCCCTCACTGGACTGAACTCTACCATAGATATTAATGTACCTTTCCATATTGCAAACCCACAATCCTGGCAGGCTCCTTAGACCTCCATTGTATTATGTATTCTGCGATGTAACTTTTCAAATGGTGTGGCCTCTGATCTATGCTTTCCATTCACATCTGACTGCTATCTACAGCACAATCCTATTATGGGAGACCTCAAGCAGCAATGTTACCCCTGAGATGGAGGCTAAAATCAAGAAGTCATTGAGGACTACATCCGCTCATAGACTAGTAGGTATTCTTGCACATCTACCCCAGTGTTATAATGGACGCGCACTAAAGTCCCACACCCCCAGGTCCCCTTATGCTGTATATTCACCCTCCTCGCAACAAGACCTGACCCCTGCTCTCTCCGAATCCCATTGCACGACCTGCTGCAGCATCAATGAAGATTGTTCTTCCCTCCTTTTATTATGTACTCTTTGATTGTACAGGTGAGAATCCCTCAACCATGAAATCAAGCCTGACAACTTCCTCATCGCCATTGGCAATCAGGTCAATGTCATCAAATAATGGTAAGCTTTATGAACTTGAAGGGTATTGCCGCTCACTAACAAGGTCACCACATTTGGGTGTTTCAGAGCATTATTAATAATGGCATTGACGAGTCACCAACATGTGTACTCATCATGCATTTCTTATAATGTGGCCCTCTCTTGGCAGGGTTCGATGATGACACCACACATGGATCATTACGTGTTACAAGTTGTACTTGGACATTTTTGGAGCATAACGGGTGTGTATTTTACCTTTGAGTCCCTAATGTGTGTGCAATGGCTACTCATGCTACAGGTTTAGTGTGTATTTGTGCATGGTGCCACCCTCAAGTTCCCAAAATGTTCTGAATTGCAATGCTTGCCTACCAGTGCATGATCCAGACTATGAGTTCTGTATATAAACTCACAGTGACACTGATCCAGATTCCTCCAGTTCTACCCAATTTTGAGTCGCGCCAGTCCTGTTGCCTTTGCCCATCATGCCGCAGCGCCAAGATCTACCAGAGTCCAACACCAAATTTGACTCTGAGTCCTCATCAGAGTCTAATTCAGATGACTCGGACAAAGAGCTTGTATGGGTCCGTGCTGCAATTACACCTGCTTCTGTAGATGCAATGCCTCAGGAACTCCGTCAGGTAAGTTATTACATTGTTATCGAGTTTGATATCACATTTTAAACCTGTCAGTTTGCGATCACTGGGCTCTCGAGGTCACTCAAAAGTTGTTACTCAACTTGCGTGATAGATACCAGGAGACTATGAAGAGGAACTCCCTGCTTGAGGCAGCAACATCCAAAGGTCACAAACGATGCAATCTCACCCCAAACAATCTTGTGATGGTAGCTAAGGAAGATACCATCTGAGCTCTTGGGAGGAAGTACTCCATCACTCACTGCCTTTGGATTAACGTCGAGATCTTCCCATTGCATACTTGTCCAGACATCAATCTTAACAGCAAGGAGCACTGGATAAGCAGGGTGTCGATGGAGGATGGTGTGAAGGTCGAACTATTCCAGTTCATTCCTGCCAAAGAGCATGAATTGATGAATTATCATAGCTTCAGCTCTCAGGTATGTCGCACCTATCATGTTGATGTATTCTCATGTTCTGATCCAAATCTCCTTAGTTTGGGAGGGGCGTCAGTAATGCTCGTTCTGAAATGGCTTCAGATGTCAAGGCATGTGCTGGTGCCATCTTCAGTCTGAGCGCGAACATCTTCATATGGGGCTACAAATGATGTGAAGACCCTGGATGTTGTGCACTTTTACTGAGCCCCCATGGTGACTATACAAAGTTTGCGCCAGTGCTGTTTCCTACACCTGAAAGGCCGGTACCAAACGAGATGCTCAAATCAGCGAAGCTGGTGCAAGTACATCCCTTTTTTGTTGTTGTACAGGCTAATAAACCCTCATATGGTGTATAACAGGTGTTGAAAGTATCACTCTTTGGCAAATCATCATTGGCTGCCACAGGTGCTGCATCTGCTAGGATGAAGGCCAAGATCTGGAAATTATGGGCCACAACACCAGGTATGATTGCTGCTACTGCTGTCGTTGTAAGTTATTTTTGAGCTATCATTACAACTACAACTCATTATTCTCAAACATCAGGCAATATTCCTACTTTCCGGTGACACAGAACTGACTGAGATTGGGGAGACCACTAAGATACCATATCACAAATACCACAACTTCTTCCATCAATGCCTACTCACTGGTGGCCCCTGGGCATGCCAGGTCTTCTTATTCTTCAATGATGCTCTCTTCTCAACTTCATCCTCTGTCCCTCCTTCTGCACTTTGGTCACCCCATTTTGAGTACCTCTTATGTTGTATTATGTCTATAGAAGTAGAGGCCTAAGAGGTGCTTTTGGGGGGGTCCGGCCTATGTTCTGTGGTATTTCCCTGAACATATAGGGACCAAAATGTGATGTACTGGGGATGGTCCAAGGATCATTATGAAAATTATGTGGGAAATACCACAAGATATTTTTGGACCACAGATACATTGGGATTCCCTGTAACATAGGGGTGTCAGGGGTCCTACTATGACCAAATTTTTGCAATAAATTTTTGAAAATTGCAGCCCATTCGTCCATTGATCCATCCATCTGCCTTGCCTTTGTTTCAACATGGATGCCGATGATATCTTAAATGTCTCTGCATCTGACAAAACTACCAGCAATTACTGTTAGCAATAGGTATTAGGATGGGTAAACCTGCAGATATCCAGACCTTGACCCACACCCATACCCATGTATCCAAGGGTATGAGCAGGTACAGGTCTTGGCACAGGTTTGAGAGGGTACAGCGGGTACGGTACCCATAAGGGGTAAACCGACAGGTATACATACAAATGTAGCTACTAGACATGCATAAACTACAAAATAATATCATTGCAGCCCTCATCCAACTCCCGCTCTTCTCCTTCAAGGTTTCATGAACAACAAAGATTGTTTGTCTGCTGAGAAGATTGAGTGCATAGTCAATGAGGCTGAGAAATACAAGGGTATCTTTCTGCTTATCTATAATATCTATAAACTACATCTGATGACCATGCTGCTCATATTCCGGTCAAGAACAGCCTTGAACCATATGCATACAACCTTTGCAAATCAGCAAAAGGCTTGCTGACAAGTTCAAGCCTGCTGACAAGACAAAGCTTGAGAGCTACATTAATGAGATCATCTTCTGGCTTGATGCATCACAAGACTTGGCAAGCATCAAAGAGGAAGTAAGAGGGCAGACATACCCAGTGGTTTACCCGTGTGACCCATGCATTTATGGGTATGGGTATACTGCCGGTACAGATGCAGGTAGAGCACATGGTACCCAAGGGTTTGTCATGCTAATGCGTAAGCTGAGATGAGCTGAGACAACACTACATACACTTGTGGGAAGAACCATTGTTATGTTTTGTGCTTATAAGGAAAGACCTGTATCCACTGGTGGGAGGACCATTGGTATTTTTTACCATCATAGGGAAAGACCATATTGAGAGGGAAAAGACCATTGGTACTTTTTACTGTCATCGGGAAAAACCAGATCACCATGGGAAAGACCATATCAAGAGGGGAAAGACTGCTGGTATTTTTTACTGTCATAGGGAAAGACCAGATCGGGGGGGAGGGGGGGGGCGGGGGAAAGACCAGATTACAATGGGAAAGACCAGTAGTATGTTTTAAACTAACCAGGAAAGACCAGATCACAATGGGAAAGACCATTGGTATGTTTTAAACTAACCGGGAAAGACTGCTGGTATTTTATATTGTCATAGGGAAAGACCATTGGTATGTTTTAAAATAATCAGGAAAGACCAATGATACATTGGGACAGACCAAGTATGGACCACATGCACTTATGGGAAAGGCTATTAATACTTTTGCACCTATAGAGAAAGACCAAGGTGTTGTGCATATATTAAATTTATTATGTAACATCTATATGCAATACTATCTCGTAGGACATCTTGTAGGGGATGATGGCATAAAATCATCTTCAATGTCATTGTCATATACCCAATTCAGCCACTCCCAACACCATTCATAGACATCCCTACTATTGGTCCAACCCCCTGTTTCCCTGTCTGCTCCATCCCTCCTTCTCCGACAATGCATGAAGTGCATCTCAGTAGGAATAGCCCTGCTACTTCCGCTTCTCTGACACTACCCCTATTTCCTCCAACACCATATCCCTACCCTCCAACCCTATCTGGAGCTCCACTCCTCCGCTCCATTGGTCCAACCAATCCTACTCCCTCCACCATCTCCGCTTTTCCGACCCACTTGGTTCCTTCAGTTCCTCTTGTGTTGTTCCATCCGACGATTGGTCTGCCTGACCGCCTGACCGGTCCACCCCTAGACTAGGAACCATTCAAACTGGTCCTATCTCCTTTTAGTATCATAGTTCCTCCTTTTGGATCACCGGTAATCTCTATACCTGAGTGATTATTGATCCGTCGCGTACATACTATTCTCCAAGCCCCTTTTCTCGTATGTCTCAGTCATCTTTCCAATAATTCTGTACACTCAGCACATGGCCTTTTGCTATGCTATGCTACCAACTTAGAGTATATAAACATATGTATAATTGTCTGTAGATCTTCAGTCTGAATATTACCTTTTCTAAGCCCTGCTCTTCTGTTCTCTGACTTGGGCCTGATCCTAGTCAACTCCTGTTAGCCGGCCTAGGGGAATGACTCCCTAGGCCAGCCACCCTCTGATCCTCCGATCCTCTGATCCTCCGCTCCTCCATTCCCCCATTTCCCTGTTCCCCCATTTTCCCTGTTCCCCCAATCCCCCATTCCCCCGTTCCTCTGCTCATCCGACTTCCCGTGCGTCAGAGCTAAACCCTGCACTCTCACATCTGTCCCCTCTGTTCCACTCTGCTTCGGACTTTGTCCAAGCAGTCCCTTCCACCCCACTTCTACTGTTGGTTCCGACCACAGTAGTCTCCCGCCTCCCTCCTGTCAGGCGGAACAACCCCCACCTGACTTTCCCACGCTCACCTAGTAGTCCGTTGGTCCTCCTTCAGAAGACCCCCGTTCCAACGTCCTGTCGGAACTCATAGAACTTGTGTCAGACTACATTCCAAAATTAGAGGCACATACTCAGGTAAGGGGCGCAGCATACGAGCTAAAGCCAAGCCCCTCAGACTCCGCTTTACCCCTGAGCACGGTCTTAACAGTCATCTAGGTTATCATCAGGGTCTATATCATACCTATACTCATCCACCAATGCAATGACTTCAATTACATCCATCAGTTCATCATCTCCAATCTCACCACAATCCAAATCACCCTCATCATCCTCGTCCACAGGTCCTACACTCTGGTCATCCTCATCCTGAAAAGATGGCTGCACCTGTTCATGTGTGGCCCGAAGCAAGACTTCATCTGAAGGTCCCCAGCTATCCACAACTGACCAGGCGCATGGAATACACTGAACTTTTCTTCTCCAAGCAACACAGATGTTAGCAAGCTCATCTGCATGTGATGTGAGGTGGAAAGCCAAAACAACATCCTCCACTACAACACGAATTAAGAACAGACATGACATAGGGTCACAATCATGCACCTGCATTTGACAAGGCATCCTGTATACCCTCCCACTCCATCAACATCCACTCCTGCATAACAGACCGCTTGTGCATCAGTCGAGCCTCCTCCTTGAAGCAACGATCCACTGCAAGTTGCAACCGGATACCGTTTCTGACGGCCTCATCTGATAACCACGCTAGAGGGTTGATAGTGATGTTTTCAAGTCCAATGTCTTGCCAGATATTGTCATCGACATCAAGTTGGAAGATGCCATCATGCGGAATGGAGTGAGGGGGGATAGCAAAAGGTGGCGCTCTCCGTTGTCATATAAGTGAGTGTATGTGAGAACACAAGGTAGGTATCCTCTTACATGGAGCGGGTCTTGTCTGGTGCACAATCTGAGCCTTCCACTCCGCATGAAGCATATCCTCGTCAAGGTCCAAGTCTTGTAAATTTTCCAGAGCCGCATTCTTCTTTGTCTGGCAGTGTATCCAACGCCAATGAAGCCAATGGCCAAATCCTTGCAGCAATCTCATATCAAGGTGGTGAATTTGAGTATCAAGCACGAAAAGATGCTGATTGAACTAGAGTAGAGTCAGACTTGTAGAATGATACAAGGGTGATACTTACTCCAGAAACGTGTAGGGGGGGGATGAGTTGCTTTAGAGAACTCCATAGTCGTTCACACCCCTTGCCGTCAGACAGTCCAAAACCTTCGCATTTCCTGGGATGGTAGATAATTTGACAAGGCCACTGGTGACCGTAAGCATGGAATATGGCAACTGCAAAGGTGATTCACAATAAAATAGATTCATCCAGAAGATTCCATTTGTGACAGCTCCGTTCAAGTTGGCACCCAATGTCATACAGAAGTCCAATGGTCATTTGAGGGGGTAGATGCTTGAACAGACGGTCCAATAGAGTGAGTGAGTAATGTTGTTTCTCCCCTGCCAATGTAAGGTTCACAATCCAGAGAACATGGTCATGTCTACAAAGCAGTGCCATAAGGCCTGTATCAGTAAAAAAACGAGAGCTTGCCTTCTCCCGTTTCTTGTCTGCAGCCATGAAAGATTCTCGGCATCCATCCAGGACTGATACTGGCACACTCATCCCCTTTTCATAGCAATCCTCTTCTGGCTCCGTCCTTGAGGCCCTCTCCCGACGTCTTTCTCCTCGACAGTGCTGCATGAACTCATCCATCGCTTGCACGTTGTCCTTTGGTAGAAAAAAGGATAATGTCAGGTTGGGAGTGTCATGACCATCGGCACCACAAGGGTTGGTGGAGCACTTTTGAGTAAAGCATGCATCTATGCAAATGATAATATCTGGCCTGAGTATGATCAACTGAGTACGCAACACCATAGCTACCTAAATGAACTTACATGAAACAAGAATCTTTCGCCTTTTGCCAATCTTTCACCTTTTGCCAATCATTTGCCCCAAAGCAAAGTGGGTAGCGTGAACAAAGGTATTCAGTAGGTTGTCCGACTGCCATTGGTTGCAAACAGATCTTGTCCTTCCAGGTGTTGGCAATAAGATTGGAAATGTGATCACGAGCTAAAATGGTCAACACCCGGTACCAGTGAAATGCATTGGCGAAGCGATGGTGCAGGCTATGCTAATACAAGGTTAAACATGCTATGTACGTGGAGGATCAAATGCTAACCATCAATGTCAACTTGTATCCCATTCCATCTAGATACGTCTCCACTGCATCGCACCACACAGTATGGTTGGGGGACTGACGAATGAAAAGAAGGTGGACAAACTCTAGAACATGTAAGTCTACTGCGAGTGAGGGAGCAACAGGAGCACATGGGAACAGCCCACGACGAAGGAGCTGGAGAGGGGCAGGAAAACAGGGGCACACAATGATATTAATTTCTGACAAGCCTGTAATGTACATTAGATCAGCCATCGGGGGAGAAAAGAAGGTAGACAACATACTGTCAAAGAACACATATGCAACCTTGATACTGCGTGTTTCACACCCAGCATGACAAGCTACAGTATCTCCATGTGGCTGTCGTACAATGTTGGTGTAGCATAGCATTGAAGTCTCCTGCATAATAGATAGGGCACTATAAGCGATGGAATAACTTCTTCTGACCATCTGCGCCACTGGTTGGTCTTTTTCTGTGAGCTGGTGAGATGACAGACACTGGGATCATTAAAGAAATGGAGGGAGTTGCTAAAAGGATTTGTGGGTCCGTCATGATCTTGGGGGGTAACCGTCCTAGGTGCGGATGGAAGAGATAAACTTTGCTGAGTGAGATGCTGACGTCCGGGCATAATCAAGACAGGGGGTGGGCCAGGAAGATAGAGGTCTAACTTGCGAGTCTTGCGGGGATGTTGCCATGCTTTGTTCATCCAAGGTTCATAGACTATAGTATTTGGGGGCAGTTCTTCCTGCATGGCAGATGCTGCTTCCAGAGTAGATACTTTGTGACGTCTAGGCTTGGGACAACGAACCGCCATAGTGCAGCACTGTAAGAGTCAATATAACGGGCGCCACACACCAACAACACAAAGTCAATTGGAGTAAGTAAGACACCAATGACACGAAGTCACTTGGATGAACTCGTGAATGGAAGTCACCAACAACGCGAAGTCAGTTGGAGTAGCCGTGGGGCTTGATTATCAGCGACAGACAGGAGAGATCAATAAAGGTCAAGCATACAACCTGGCCCGCACATTGGATGAAAAGGGAGGGGAAAAAAATGAAGTACAACAAGCAGAAGCAAATGATCAACAGGATAATAATTCAGTATCAGAATGGGAAAATACAGAGGGAAAAGGTTTGCATTGTCCCTTCAGGTCAGCCCCATCAGGCATCAACCACATGTCATGGATATTCCTGTCATCTCACTCAGGGAGGCAAAAACGCGGGCAGAGTAAGATAATGGAAGGAAGTGGAGGATGGAGAAGGTAAATATGATAGAAATAAAAGTAAGTCGGGACAAACCGCTCGAGTTGGTGGCCACAGAGAATATGAACACATTATGTCCCATGCCTGCACAGAAAAGTCAAGCAGAAGGCTGGAGAAACAAATACACGCACCATGTCACTAAAACAGGACTAGAGGAAACTACAGAAGCATCTGTTTCACCATTACGGCTGAGGGAACATAATATTTGTACACAAACATGGAAGAAAATGTATTATGCAATGTAGTGTTATGAAATCATGATTACAGAGGGAGCGAGTGAGGAACAATGGGAGGCCTACCGAAGTGATTGAAAAATGTCTGAACATAAAATGCAGTCGCAGCACGAGCAACTTCCCACCATTTTGTGTCTGTAAAGGTCTCTTGCATGAGTGGCGATGTAAGAAGGGGCGGCACATCATCCCAAGAGCACGGCAGCTGTCGGAAACTTTCAAGGTATGGAAGAACACCAATTAAGGTGTTATTCCACATCCCGTAATTGTCTGTCAGAAATGGCTCCAACCACATGACAAGGCCAGCCTCACCAGGGAAGATGGCATACAGCAACTGTTCGCGACCAACCAGATCTTCTGCCCAGCATCCCTTGGGTGACGATTGAGATCCCTCAATTCATAGCGGAATCCAAGCTCGAACAACTCCCAGGTAATCTTTTGGGCAAGGAGCTGGGGAGGGTGGGCGAGACTGGCGACAGGGACCTGTTCACCATGAAATTTTACCATTCCTTCTGGTGCAAATAAATCTCCATGAGAGTCCACCATATCATCTCTGAACAAATCCTTCATCATTCCCTTGCACTTCTCCACCACAGTAAGAACTTTTTTTTCGGGAGCTTTTCCTTTGGGCGCTGCGGCTTGTGATTGGGCAGAAATTCTGCTACCGAGGAAGTCACGCCATAGTTGAGGGGACGGGTAATTGTGAGGAGGGTTGTGATCAACCTGCCCAATCCATATTGGACGACAGGCGAGCCAAGTGGCTATGTATCCCTGAAGGTGCTCTGGCAGCTTGGGACCGAATAGGAGACCTGGTTCAGGGAACCTGTATCCTCGGTCAATGTCATAGGGAGTGCAGACATGAGATGAATCCTTGATGCATCTTTTGAGGGCATGATCCCAATGAAGCTTTGACAGCGGGAAGTAGGGGCTCTCAGGATCTTTCCATTTGTCCCTAATGGATTCACCTGACTGGTTGTGGTGTGCGGGCCGAGCATCTTTGACGTCTAATATTTAGTAGTGAGTTGTGATACATAAGAAAGAGGGGCAAGCAGTACTTACAGGGCTGGTGCCTGTGCTTCTTGTTATGATGTTTTGGAAGGGCCTTGCCTGCAACGGATGGTTGAAAGGATGGCCCAGCAGTAGAAGAACTGGGTGCAGATAAGCTGCTCAACGAAGGACCTGGCTCAGGGTTTCTGAATGTCATGCCCCCATAGAGGCGGCGAACATGAAGCTGACGATTGTGGCCGCCTGGGCTGCAATAGATGATTTCGTACGGTCGAACTTTGTTGCCCTCTGCATACATTGAAAGGATGATTTGATCAGGACAGGTGAGTAAAACAGGCTGTTTTACTGTCATATTCAAAGGTATGTACGCCATGGTGCGGACATACCAAACAGGGATACCAGCAATGTACAGCTTGTTGCACATGTCGCTGTCGTGCGTGAAGGCGCCCATCCACTCCGAGTTGACAACAGCAGTCCTGTCACCAGCAGTGATACGAGGCTGAGCAAGGAGGATCCAGTCCATGAATGAATAAATCTCGAGAAACAGCCGTTGGGCATCAGTCACGAACATGAGAAGGTCGTGGAATGTAAGGGGGTGTGTCTTCAACCATGAGATGCCATGTCGAAGGGACAAGATGCGACTGACAACAGCGTCATTCTTGCCTTGCCAATTAGCTCTCCAATCCTGCACCTGCTTCTCTGCCGATTTGCGAAGAGAATCCAAGCCTTTGATCTTATCTGCTGCGAGTGTGCCTAAAGGGAACGAGTTGCCTGGGATTGGCTTGAAGTCTTCTTGGGTGGGAGTGAACCAAGCCCAATGTAGTGGATGCAGGGATGGGAATGCCTCCTTTCGAGGAATGCAAGTTGAATTGCAAAAAATGTTATCGTAAGCTTGAGGCCACTGAAAGCAATCTATGGCGCCAAAACGACCATCTGCACAAGCCTGTATGTTTTCCTCTTCAAAATGGTGGAACGTGGGAACGAAGTCCATGTTCGGCATTGTGATAACCAAATTTCCTTGGACAGCAATGGCGCGGGCGTCGAAAGCTTGCAGCCATCCTGTAGTATGTATGCACATTAGTAGGATACAGACATCAGAAATAACCCCTCCTACCATCCCGAAGAGTTGTGTTGCTCTTGAACATCGATAGAGCGGTGGGCATGATGAAAACTGCCAAGTTTAAGTAGCGTGTACTTGATGAAAAGTCACAACGCACCTGCAAGTTGAATGTGATATCGTGAGAGTGTAAGTGCTGGTTATCATACAATACGTGATAAAGAGTACCTACCACAAAGGAAGAAAAATGTAAGGACTCTAATCTGTGAAACATGAGATCAGTAGACAGTGGAGCAGGTGAATGTATGGAAGTCTCACCGATTAGATGCAGGAGTGAAAACAGTGAGATTGTGCAAGGCGACACCAATGATATTGAGACAGAAGTGATGGCAGTGACACACCAAACATTGCCACACTTAGCCAACTCTGGGAAAGTCCCAGAACGATTGATTTTGGCTTGGTATTCCTTGTAATTCTTTATTCCTTGCTAAGGTAGGGCTCATGCACAACTAACCAACATCACATGACCAACAGTGACTTTTGTGTGACTTTGGAGTGTACAGCTAATAGCCATCGTAAATGTCACTTTTTGGCGAAAAAAATTCCGCAGTCTTCTTCGTATTTGTATTTAGAACAACTCTGTGGGCTGGAATTTTAAAAAATTGAGAATTGCAAGTGCCATTAGAAAAATGAGTCTTATGGGCTCGGAAATGAAATCTTTGCATGTGACAATTAAGGGGTAACACTACAAAAAGGGTAAACCTTCACCTCCGCATCTGCATCGTCAGACTACTGCACTGCAGGCTGCATAATGCCGAAGCATGCACTGGGTAACTTGAAGAACCTTGGTGAATATGCTACAAGGAACACCAAGAGAACCAGGCTCAACCAGGCACAAGCAAAAGAAAAGAAAAATGTGCAGGTAAGCTTCAGACTCGGAGACACTACACTCATTTTTCATGTCTGACATCCTTGTCAGCCTGTGGGTGTTGACTCTCCCACCAATACAGACACGGAAATGCCTGGGGTCACATTCTCAAACTCATCTTTCAACCCACCACCAGTGCAGGACTCATTAACCACTTCACCTTCCATAGACGTAGCCAATCTTCCATTCTCACTCAACATAGAATTAATTTACGATGCTGCCAAGATAATTGAGATGCGGGAATCGCTTTCAGCAATGTCTGGTCACAACATTGATAAAATCTTCACTACAGCTGATTGTGATCATGATGAGCCAGGAGTTGATGAGAATAACTCACCCAAGCAGGCCAGTGAGCTGGAAATCAATGGTGACAAAGATAACGAGGAAGCAGATGAAAACATTTTTGAGGATGAGCCTCCACTTGGGGCAAATGCAGAGCTCGGAGTGTGTCCTGAGGGCACAGGACTTGCATGGGAACTCCAGAAGCCACCTGAAGTCTCTGAGGCTATGAGTGCACTCAAAGATATTGAAACCATGTTGAAGCCACCATGAAACACTGGCCGTGGTTAAATTGGACAAAACTACAGCTTGAATCAATGGCATCATTCCTCACTCATTACACAAATCCCTGCTCTCCTGGATACCAGGCTTGGATGGCTGCATCCTTGTTGATGGCAAATGGGAAAGGAAGGTTGAGTTGGTGGGTGTGGGAACTTCAAGAGGCAACCAAAGCCTATGTGCAGGATCGCAATAATGTCCCCATCAATCCATTTGGTTGGAGACAGGGATCATCATGGCTTGATGATCCTGACATTACTAATGAGATCCATAAGCACCTTCAATCCATCGGCACTTATGTCCGTGCAGAAGACATTGTTACATATCTGGACAATGAGGAAGTCAAAACATGCCTGAAGATGAAACAAACCATCTCCCTGGCAACAGCAAAGTGCTGGATGAGGCATATGGACTACTGTTGGGTTCGGGATCACCACGGTCAATATATTGATGGTCACAAGTGTGAAGATGTTGTCTATTATCATCAGCATATTTTTCTGAAGAAATAGGCAGAGGAGGAAGCAAAAATGCGTATCTGGGGAAAGGATAATGAAGAGATCTGCAACACCGAGCGACCTCAGTGTGTCTGGTTCCACGATGAAAGTACATTCTATGCCAATGACCAGAAGAAGTCAAAATGGGTGCACAAAAACACAAGTGCTACTCCATACACAAAAGGGGAAGGGGCTTCTCTGATGGTCGCTGACTTCGTGTCAGCAGATCATGGCTGGTTGCGATCACCTGATGGAAAGGAGTCAGCGCAGATATTATTTAAGGCGGGAAAATCACGCGATGGTTATTTTTCAAATGAAGAAATCCTCACACAGTTCGAGAACGCAATGGCAATTGTTCAGAAGCACTGGCCTGATGAAGATCATATGTTCATCTTCGATAATGCAACAACTCATCTCAAGTGCCCCAACGGCTCTCTCTCCACACGCAAAATGCCTAAAGGAACACCTAAAGTTGGGACAAACTGGGGTATTGAGGTAACAGCAAGGAATCCAGAAGGGAAAATTATTTATGGTGTTGATGGGAAGCCCACGAAGATGAAAATTCACATGGCTGATGGCACCTTCGAGGATGGTTCCCCCCAGTCATTCTATTTCCCTGAGGGCCATCCATGTGCAGGTATTTTCAAGGGCATGGCAAAGATTCTGGAGGAGCACGGTTATGGCAATATGGCAAATGTTCATGCAGAGTGTAGGCTGAATTTTGCATGTAAGCCTGGTGTTGAGCATTGCTGCTGTTGATGGATGGTGTACAATGAACCTGACTTTGTGAATGTCAAATCTACACTCGAACTTGCCGCTGAATCACATGGAATCTTGGTACTGTTCCTTCTGAAGTTTCACTGTGAGCTCAACTTTATTGAGCAGTGCTGGGGACATGCTAAGTAAATATACTGTCAAATGCCACCCTCAGCTAGTGAGGAAGATTTGGCAAAGAACCTTGTTGATGCACTGGAGTCTGTGAGTGTTGAGCAAATGCAGAAGTAAGCCCCCTTTTTTATTTGATTGTTCTGTTTCACCTGAAATTTTAGATATGCATGCCATTCTTGCAGATTCATGGATGCTTATAAAAAGGGCCTAATGGGAAAACAAGCGGTGTGGGCAAGCAAAAAATACAGAGGTCATCGAGTCCTCCCTTACTCAATTCTTGCTGAGCTCAAGAAAGCTGGACTTTAATAGTATCATTCACCTATCATTTCATATAATGGCACTGTACGTGGTTAACACCTCCGAATTATAACAAACCAAATTAATTCTTTCATTTTTGGTGCTAGCAGAGTTTGGTTTTCAGGGTGATCGCAGTGGCACCCATTCATGTTATGAAGGCAATCCTCCCAATTCTGAGTGTCTCATCCCCATAATATCATTGCAAGCATTCTTAGCATTTCCCTACCAATTATTGCCTTGCCCGACCTCGTGTCGCAAAACATTGGTAATATTTCTCAATATTTTGTCTTCACCAACTAACTGTACCCTATATCAAGACCCGTGGGGCAAAACATCCTATGGAGTCTGATGCTGATGACATGGAGGCAAGTTGGTCTTTTTCAAATTTTGCAAATGATTTTTGCCCAAGTCTGTCGTCAGCAACGAAAATCAAGAAGAGGTAAGTCATGTGGTCATATCGTTGTTGGTATCACCATTAACTTCTTAGCTGTCTGTGCATCAACCCTGACCAAAGCCCCATCCCCTTCCATGGTCCTCCTCACAGTCTGGTCCCATGACCTCATCAGCTGAGGAGGAGATTTTTCTCTCAAATTTTTCGAGGCACCAATCCATCCAAAAGACGTCTGCCTACAACAATCCCAAAGCTGATACTGACAGAGTAGCTATGGATGGTGATGAGGAATCAGGCAAGCCCCTTTCATTTGGTGGACGTCTACCTTAACTCAATGTTTGCTAGCTCCTTCCCCTGTCTGCAATTCAGTAGTTGTCACAGTAGGCGACAAGAACACTCCAGGTCTGTCGCTCCCAATGTTGCATTTCTAGGTTGACTAACTGTAGTTTTAGTCTCCACTGCTCAAAGCCAATCGGACAAGCCAAAGGATGCCACTAATGTTTGCAAGGATACATCAGGTATGTCATTCTGAGCCATTCTTATTTTCTAGCTCACTTACAGTTCTTTTAGCATCTACTGCCCAAAGCGAATCAAATGTTACAGTTGCTCTTCCCTCACATAGGTTGGATGCCACCAAGATGACACCTACCCCAGTCCATGAAGCTCCGAGTCACAAGGACACTTCAGGTCTGTCACTCCCAGCGTTAGATTACTAGGTCACACCTAACTATCCTTTTAGTCTCCACTGCTCATCGATTGGACAAGCCAAAGGAAGCCACTAATGTTTGTAATGATACCTCAGCATAGGTTGGATGCCACCAAGATGACACCTACCCCAGTCCATGAAGCTCCAATGACAAGCAGGACTATAATGAGGAACAGGAGGTCAATGAGGATAAAAGTGACAAAGACCCTGCCAAGAAGGGAAGGCTGCCATTGGAAGTGGTCTCAAAGGCACAGGAACTTGGGTGAACCACCGTCAAAGCAGTGAAAGTGTTAGGAAAAGAATATGGCAAAAGTGCAAGGGTGATCCTCAGTGAGGCAGGGCTGGCCACGAAGGCAACGCGCAAGGAGTCTCCTTGGAATTAGCACTAAATGTAGTTCAAGACTTTTAGCCCCCCTTCTCAAGAACATATGTATATTCCTTTGTGGGTGTGCGTGGTATGCTTACATTCTTCGCAGAGGATATCAAAGCTTGGAAGGAGGAGCAAGCAGCACACTACAAGGCCCATCCGTACAAAGACCCCAAATATGCAGCATTGTGGCAGAAGATTCAGGAGTATTGGGATGGTTCACTTGCTGGTGCAACTGAGGACCTGACGTCGTGATCTGCTAGTTCTCTGATGCTGCATGTTTGCAATGATTTTTCAAAAGCAGTGAGTCTCGCATTAATAGGACATTGGTAGAGATACTAAGTATTACACAGGCTGGTTACTGGTACCACACCCATGGTATTCATATTTCTGGTGTTGCAATATTTCCTGGTCATGAGGATGCTGGCCGCTGTGGGTACAACAAGTGCAGCGGAGAGAAATCGATCTACTACACAGTTGGGTCTTTGCTGCCTACTGCCTCACTTGAGAGCAAGCACGTTCGACCCTAAAGGGGATTGCTACTGGGGAGTACTAGTCTCTGTCTAAACGACCCTAATCAACCCTCCCGCAGGTAGGATGAGGATCCGCAAAAATGCGGAACAAGTGGAACAAGCGGAACTCGCACGGAACAAGCGGAACCCGAGCAGAACTCAAGCGGAATGGAAGGGAATGAAAAGGAACTCAAACGGATAAAGCGCGGAACATACTGATTCGTCGGAACTCGCAGGCGAAGTCAAAGGAAGTATATCACAAGGTTATATTGATAGTGGGCATAAGTCAAAGCGGTCCTCTAGTAAGGTGAAGGGAAAGTGGGAAGGTAAAAGATGGGATTCGATAAAATACCCCCAAGCCCTGAGTACCACTACTTAAAGGGAAGATTATTTTTAAGGAACACTGAGGTACAGGTAGTAAGTCTCTCAGGAAGCGGAAGTGAAGGCAGGCAGTGCACATGGGCGCAATACTCCAGAATAGGGGTCCGTGCCATAAGGGCATGTGTCAGTTTGATCCGGATAACGTTAGGAACGGCGGGAAGAGGAATACAGCATACCAATGGACCTGGAAGGATGGGGACAGGACATGCGAAGGTTGTCCGACGATGCGTGGGAATATCGGATAGTGCGGGCGGGTTCCGAAGGATGCGTGGGAATGCGGAACCCATTGGACGATGCGCGGGAAATGCGGAATGTGCGGAATACACAGAACTGATGTGAGACGATGCGGAAAGGACGGGGTTTTACACCTACAGTGGGGGAATTCCCCACACTGCCAAGCGTCAGGGTTTTTCTCTGGGTCTGATATCATGAAGGACATCATCAATGCACAACAACTGGACATCAGTCATATCTTGGATGAGCTGACAACCATTCTCAAGTGCGTTTTCTGACAATATTACCAGATATTGCTCACTTTATTATAGGTACAAAGACTTAGAGGCTGCGCAAGCAGAAGGGATAACTTTTAGTTTTCTCCCTCACTCTACTGCTGTCCCAAATGGCACGCTTTTGTGCAATGGCAAGTCCACTAGGGACAGGAACAGAAAAGTCACACCAATGATCATCAGCGAGAAGTTTGGTATGTTTTATTTTATTTTATTGTGTCACTAATTTACTGATGCTGTGTCTCATTGGAAGCTGAAGCTGACCATCCGCTCAAAACCTCGAACAACAGGTGGTTAGACATGCTCAATACTCTTTATGTTGAGCAGCTGTTCATCCTTAACTGGCCCGCCGGTGTACAGAGCTCCGCGCTACAACCATAATGCTAGGCAATCTCGCCAGGAAGCTTCATGCTTGCCTCAGCCTACTCACTGGGAGCTTCGTCAGGGTCTTCCACCCTCGTCTCCTCCACTAACACCGTCAACAATTGTCTCATCTTCAAGTCCTGGGTCTACCATCCTAGTTTCCTCATATGCCCATGATTCTGTACATCCCCCTACTTCTCGGTATGAGCATTCTCAGTATGAGTGTCCTCATTATGAAGGTCAACGTCAATGTGGTGGCCTATGTGACGACAATCATACTTTGCCCTATGATTCAGATACTCGCATGTGGACGCAGGACAACTATGAAACTGCATGCAAGGCTAGTGACTTGGAGAACAAGACAGTAGTGGAAAGGTACCATGCCAGGTTGCAAGATAGTCAGTATGTTGTTCTTCTAATGTTAATGTATCTCAACTAACTGTCATATAATTTCCTTAGTCACCGTATCCCGTCTGGTCGTCCTCAATCACACCCACCTCCACCAATTGCCAGCACCTCCTGTTCTCAGTTGCCAGCGCATTCCTCACATGCACCTGTCTCTTGCCGTTCTGGTTCCTCTCTGTGCCGTCATCATCCACATGCCTGATCTCCTCATTTCTGCCCCGCATCTCCTGATTGCTGTCCAATCATCGACGTAGATCAGGTGGACGAAGATGAGTACAACTGACTTTTACAGCCTCACCTTTCTCTGTAGTGTCTACAACTCGAGTCCTTGGCTTATAATTCGGTGATCTTCATTTTGTTTATTCTACTTCCTCGTCATCCTATGCATCCCATGTCTCTCAATCCTATGTATCCTCCTCTCATGTATATCCACCCTCATATGACACATGTCTCCACCTATGATATCACTTAAGTACATCATATATGCCCACCCCCTTATGCTCTATCCTCTTCAATTGAATTTGGTGATTGACTGCTGCCACTTTGGTGTACATTGAAAAATGTTACTATGTGTGATCTAACTTGACCTTCACGGCTGAATTTGCCACTGAGCTTTAACATGAAATTATTTGTCTTAGTCTTTCCTCATGGGTGTAAAAATGTTAAGTGAATGTAAGCATTTTCCATAACCACCTGGTGTGTCCCTATCAGTGTCAACTGTCCTTCCCTATGGGCATGTGGTCTATTCCTACTGCCAGCTACTAGTTTACCTATGGATATAAAAAGCATTAATGGACTTTGCCATCACTATTTGGTCTTTCCCCTAATGATATGGTCCTTCCTGATTAGTTTAAAATATAGCAATGGTCTTTCCCCCTTGTGATCTGGTCTTTCCCAATTATTTTAAAAAGTACCTATGGTCCGTCCCCACCCGATCTGGTCTTTCCCAATTAATTTAAAAAGTACCTATGGTCCTTCCCCCCCGATCTGGTCTTTCCCGATTATTTTAAAACATACCAATGGTCTTTCCCTATGACAGTATAAAATACCAGCAGTCTTTCCCGGTTAGTTTAGAACATACCAATGGTCTTTCCCATTGTGATCTGGTCTTTCCCGGTTAGTTTAAAACATACCACTGGTCTTTCCCATTGTAATCTGGTCTTTCCCCCACCCCCCCTCCCCCCCACGGCAAACCCTTCCATCAGGAAAAACTGTATGGCTATATAGAGAAGGGTGTGTTATACAGAGTACATAGTGCCACACAGTGCTATATAGTGCTATACAGTGCTATATGCGGCTCTAGCCCCCTGTTGTACACTATAGGAAACACATTGTATTATAAAGTTACCATAAAGTTTGGTAAGCATACTTCGAAGTAAAACAATTAAGTAAGAAGGAATCACATCTATCTAATACATTATCAGAAGCCAAATCCATAGGCACAGTTCTTCCAAAGTTGGGAACAAGCTGACAAGTCTGTCTAATAGATGACAGTGGAATAACTTTACCTGCCAATGTACTGTCTACAACAGAAGGCAAAGGTTTCTTAACACTGTACATTTCATGGTAGTCTTCTGCTGCTGGTTTTAGTGAAGAGTACCACTCAACATAAGCTAGAGGTTCTTTGGTCCAGACTGGATGGACAGAACCATATAGTTGTTGTGGCAGGCGAAATATTACTTTGAGACGTCCAATTCTAGTACCTATTAACATCAAATATTATAAGAACTTTGCTTATAAAGTGTGATACAACTAACCTTGTAAACCAGTACTTTCACAATTTGACCCATCCATTACCACTACTGTATCAAAGTGTCCTGCTTTGCCACCCATTGGAGGTTTTGCCTTGACTGTATCCGACTCCTCATAATCAAAGTCAACATCATTACCTAATGAGTCCAAACAGAATTTGAACCCATGGTAAATGTCTATATGACTGAGAGGAAGATCGATGTCTTGAAGTTGAGCTCTGGAATAAGGTTGATCTACTTGAGTATTGAGATAGAAGATAAGATCCTTCTTAAAGCCATTGCAAGAGTGGTCCAGCATAATATCGGCAATGTGGTGATGAATCTGATGAGGGCATTTGGGGAGGATTATACATTGATCTTGAAATCTGGAATGGGAAAATTCTTCATCTTCATCCTCCATAGTCATCTGTAGATAGCTTTGAAAAGATGCAACCTTCTCCCTTCTTGTAAGCCAAGCAAGCATCTGAGGTTTCTCATTTCTCCCATTAGATGCATACCAACCCTCTTTGCAAAAATCAATATGAAATCTTTCAAACATCTCAGTGTTATAGTTATCTGTTGTCCCAAAGTTCTGGATGTTCTCCAGGTAGTGTTGTAATGAGTGAAATTTTGGAATATTGAGATCATCTCTGATACCCAAACTGATGATGACTTCCTTGTGATGATGGAAGTCCTTTAGGGCTTGTTGCATATACTCCAGAGTAGTGTCGTCGTGAGTTGGGTATTGGGAAAGGCATATGAAATCCAAGAGAGCGCGGTAGGCTAGAATAACTCCCCTGGGGACCTTGCCTACAAAACAGGCCAATAGTACTCTAGCCATGTGTTTGCGTTCCTTGACACCGATTTGACCCAATGAAGTCCAGCCTTTGTGAAAATGGTGAACACCATAACATGGAGGAAGTGTGCATAGCCTCTGGTCCAGTTCTTCTTCATCCATAAGTTCCTGACACCACTCTACCATATGTTTAAACATGCCTTGGTAGAGCTGGTGTAGGACATCAGACGTAATTGTAAGATGAATATCACAGTGAGGAAATTCAAGCCAAAAAGGCTCAAAGACGCCTCCAACAACATCATGTAACATACACTGTTTTCTGAATGTTGCATTGGTGGTAGTGCTGATATTGGCATCATCAATGATGGAGGCGGTCCAAGGCTGGGTACGGTGAGTAAACATTTGGATTTCTGCCAATTCCTCTACTCTGGCACGGCATTTAGGACAGGTACCGTACTTGGTACAAGTAACCAAGCATTGTTCTGGATAGTCAGCAACATAGCAGGCAAGGATGGGGAATACCATGCAAACAAGTCCATCTCCCTCAACAACCTCTATTCCTTCTTTCCCAGCTTCTTTCAGAGGGTCAAGAATAATGTGCAAGGAGGCATGAAATAGACGGTGGACTCTAGCAGAAACCTCTCTGGCAGATAGCTCATTCTTGAGAATTTTGTCTACCGATAGATAGCCTATCAATATACAAGCATGTTGCTCTGGTTTTCTTCGAATGGCCCTTGGTATATTACCCAAAGTCAGGTATACAGGATATGCGTATTTTGATGCAGAGAATCTTGTAAGCTGGGTTTTGTCGGTGGCAATAATAACTGGCGCAACTGATGCTCCCTCTGGAAGTCTATCCTAGAAAGTTAATATTAGTTGAAGCATATACATTTAATGTTTGTATAGCTTACCTGAATGGCATGCCACCAACAACCAGTCCACATTTCATTGTATATGCGTGAAGAATGAGTGTCATTGGTGAATACAGTTGCAGGCTTGTATATGATATCTTTAGCATGGGCGGGATTGCCAAGGAGAGTCCTGATTGCGTCTACTGGATTTCGGTAGTGCAGTTCATGTTTATGATCAGGCTTATCAGCAAAGGCCAAAAATGTAGATTGCCATTTAGCACGAGGGGGGACGCTGTCTATAGTCTGGTGAAGTCCACGAGTGTTGTGATATGCTAGTCCAAGATGATCCTTAACCTAGCGTTGAAAATATATCAGAAATATAACAACAAGCTCGTAAGTGACTTACCCCTAGTATGGCCAATAATCTATCAAAAGCCTTATGTCCAATACCCTCCTGCACCGCCCAACATCCTACCTGCCAGTCTAGTCTCGAGGCAAAGGGATAAAACAAACTATCATCATCTTGATCTTCTGGCACCGAACTCTCAGCTTCATTACACAATCCAAACTGTAATCGCCATTTTGCATGCACTGACTGGTCAATGCATATGACTCTGCCTGCAGTGGGATGGGACTCTGTTACACGTGTGTCACCCTCCTCCCGTAAAGAGTGTGGATGTCTTGATGGACCTGGCACAGGGTGGTCATCATGTATGGGAATGTCAACATCCATCATGTCTTGGGCATTGTGGTCCATCCCTTGAATAATAATGTGAGCCTGATGCGAGAAGCAATTGATATGTTGACTCACTATCAGGGCCCAGAGGAATCAAATGAAAAAGTGCCTCGTCCACCTCATCCGCTAGCCCATCAGGTAGACCCTCAATCCTGAACTCATCCATATCTTCATTGTTCTCTCTATCCAGCTCTCTTCTCTTCCCAAGCTTATACCACTTACAGCTTGATGCATTTCGGAGATGTGAATTGAGTCCTTGTGTTGTGCTGAATGAGCGAGTGCAGCCTGCAGCAGGGCATTTATAAAGCATTGGTGCCTCAGTTGAAATATGTCTGCTGGACACCATATTAGAAATTAGTGAAACCGTATTCAAACAAGAAGACAGGGAATTTGTCTAGGGGGAGTGTCTAGGTCAGGTCTGTTTGTGATCAAAATAGAAATTGCATTGAATCATGTAAAGTAGCTCTGAACATTGTGAATACAACATAACCAAGTTTCGATGTGCATAGAGATACCATGAAGAAATAGAAGGCTCTCCATAACGATAATGTAAGCACGTGCATTCAAAGCGAATCAGATAAATTCAAGACATCCAGTCTGAGCGAAGCGGTTTAAGGGTGACCTGCGCTGTTATCACCTTCATGCAATCCACTGTCCTCCCTCCTGTGGGTTTGTTGGCCTGTGATGAGGTGCCTGGCATAACCCTGCGTTCTTGCACTAGGGGACAGGGCATGCGTGCAAAGAGATTGAGTTCTGGATCTTGACGCTCCTTATGATACAGCAAATTCATTCACAGTGCAGGAAGGATGGAAGAGTGGCTGGGAACCCCATTGCCACCAGTTGCATTTGCACACTCCATTGTCATTTTCTGAGGCTTGCAGAGATGGGCAAGATCAGGATTCGTACGTATCTTGACAAGGGCATTGGTGATGATGTCGAGCATTCCTGAGTGGGTTGGCACAGCATTAGTGAAAAGATGCTCTCTCATCTCCTTCAACATCGTCTTCATGGGCTCAATCGCCCAGTCCTCACCTAACAGCCCCTCCACCATAGAAAACCCTGCATCGGTACCAAGATAGTGCTGTTTCTCCACCGCTTCTTGCCAAATCTCTATCTCGATGGTATTTTCAAGCCACCTATGAAGCCACATCTCTGCCCCACTTGCCATGTCAGCGTCTGGAACTTTTTTCAATGCATACAGCCCATCAAACATGAAGGCGAGTGTCAGGATGACATAATAGTAGCCCTCCAGATCATGGACTATCTTGTGTCAAATGACATCTGTACCTGTTCATTGAGCGAGCATCATCTGAATGGCCATCCAAGCGTGAGTGCCCTACACACACAATGTAATCAGCATTGGAGTAAGAAGATGGTTGTCAATACAGACCGTCAACTCATAGATGCGACCCTTATCTGCAAAGTGTTCCAGATCCTCATTTGTTGTTGGAGACCCATAGCCTGCAACATTGACTTGGAGACTTTGCACCACATCTTTGGGCTTGATGTGGACCTTGGGCACATAGCGAGCAAGTCACTTTGGTGGGTTATCAGCTGGTATATCTTGAGCCGAACTAGTAAGGGCGCGTTTGCATAGGTGAGAAGAGACTGAATTGGAGGGTGGCTGACCACTGGCAGCAGTTGAGGGTGACACTTCCCCAGTAATACTTTCAGTAGTACCTTTGCATCCACCACCACCGCATCCCCTGCATTTAGGTCTACTTGTTCCCCGCCCTCCACACGATGGCAGAGATGAATTAGGTGGTGGGGCGGAAGCATGTGGAACATCTGGCTGTGATGGGACCATGGAAGTAAATGCTGCATCAAAAAGTGGAACAGGAGGACATTTAGTATTGGGAGAGGGAGTGTGAGCTGGAATAGAGGGAGCATGTGGAACAGGAGGACATTGAGGGGGAGTATTGGGAGAGGGCATGTGAGCCGGAATAGAGAGAGCATGTGGAATAGAGGAAGCAGGGGCAGGAACAAGCGGGGTATGAGCAGCAAAAATCTTTGGTGGGAGGCTTGTTTTTGAGGAGGAGGATCGTGTAGACCAGGAAGTGAAGGCATGATCATATAGTAGGCCTCGTCAAATCTCGTTGTTCTCGCCGAGTTTGGTGGGATCAACTGCTCCCCAGTCTGACAGTGTTGGACAGACAAGGCCCATGTTCCACATTGAGGTATCTGCTTGCATGAATGAGATGGGGAAAAGCTCATCAGTCTCACTGCCATTTTCCGAAATGTGATAAGATGAAAATGCCTGGCCATGGGCTGTACAATTATGTCAGCAGCAGCACAAACTAAATATAGCACACAACTCACATTTGATACAGTCCACAATGCCAACCAATGCCTTGTAGACACAGCTGAACTTGTAGATTGGTGTGCATGGCGGATATAGCCAAGATCGTGTTAGCATTCGCTCCTGGTACACTTCGCGTGTTACGAGTTCCAGCTTGCTTTTGCTACCTTCATTAATGGGGTGCTGATGATCGTATGCATTGACACTCTTTGTCATGCTCTTGTGCGCCAGTGCAAGGGTGGACACGCCCAGAAAAGACCAATTGTATATGGTGCTGCACCAGACATTGAGGCCCCCAGTCTGAGTTATTGCTCCAATGTCCTTGAGCAAACCAATCCCTGGATGATTGTGGAGTTGATCAAGTGATGGCGGGATGGCAGGGCCAGCAACAAGCCCCTCAAAAAGCAACCACGTAATGCCCATAACACCCTTGAGTCGAAGATAATTGAGAATCATACCCTCTGTGAGGGGGGCGGTGAGATCGACCCAAGTATCCTTCACAACTACTGCCACATCATCCTCTATACCCTTCAGCCACTTCTTCATGACCTCCCAAGTCCCAACAGACTGCAATGCCTCAGTGATGTGACATTGCATTAATGTCACGTGTCGAGCCATGGTCCCACGTCCATGAAGGTTATTACTGATGAACAGTACCATCTCAATTGGAACGAGTCTGAAAACCTTTGATCGTACAAATTGCCCGACATTGTTGTGCATGATGGATGTCTCCAAGCCAACCATACCTGCCATTGTGCATTGTAAGTGCTAGTCGATATAAAAGTGAACAGACGACATACCAGGATTGGCAAGTGATAGGTACAACACAAGCCTCAAGTATTCCTCCTTATCATCCATTATATTTAGCATATCCGGGCAAACGGCACCTCCACGATCAAAAAATGAAAATGCAAACTGTTCGCCAAAGTACTGCAACATTATGACGAATGTATGGGCATCCTGACAGCCCCAGATCGTGTTTGCGCACTTGGCAGTCTCATCAAACCATTCCTGTTTCTGCACGTCAACACTGTGCTGCTTCATCTCGACAAGGGAGACAGCTCAATGCCAATCCTGGACAAGAGGTTGTGATGGGTTATAGGGCACCAGAATAATGTCAGGCTTGTGTCCTTTGGCACATCCAGGGAGATACTTCTGGCAATAGTCTGAACTCCATGTCCGATGAATGAGTGATTCGCCCGCCAATTTGAGTGCCGCATCCACTACTCAATTCATGAATCTGGCCGTTAGATCTTCTGTGCTGCTTCTGCCACCAGCTTGGCGGGTGACATGTGGTGCTTTCAGGTCTGAACAATCTATCTTTGCTGACCAGCGACCTACAGATCCAATTAGCATCAAAAAATAAGAGACCTTCACCGCTCATAACTTGATTGTCCAGGTACCCTCTTTTATGGAATTCAATGAGAATATCCTTCACATTCTGAATCTTGGCAGGATCATTGAGGTTTTTGCAATGTTGGAAGATAACTTTGTCATGACATAACTCGTTGATGACTTGGCACATAACTTCTTTGTTGTTGTCATTCTGCATGGCCACAAATCCTTCAGATGGGTGTGCAGGGTCCAATGGTTTGGTTGGGGGCTCTAGAAACGCCCTAAGTTTGCGAGCCTGATTGGCAACCACATTTTGGTACGTCTCATCAGTCTTTGCAATGAAACCCCTTGATTAGACTTCACAAGCAACCTGTCAGATCGTTGCAATACAGGTATAGAAAAGAGTGACTCACTGTGTTATAACTTCTAGGTTCCAAATGTACAAAATCTGGGCTGGAAAAAGGTGCAGACGATGCCATTGAATGAAAGGGCAAAGAAAGGGTGGAGACAGGTTGTTTGGACAACCGTGGACACAAGGGTTATTGATGAAATCATAATTGAATGAAGTTGAGTACATGGGGTTATTGCACCTTGATAGAAGACTTACGCTTGATACTTTCTCCGAATCAACGCCAGACCGTTGTTGTCGACGTGCATAACCTACATTGCAGCATGCCTTACTGAGGCTTATTTATGTCCACAGGAAGGCCTGAAGGTGGATCAAACCGGTGGTGTGGTGTTTCATTGGTGGAGAGTCCTGATTGGTGGAGAGCCGCATGATTGCGGGCAACTTGCAATCACAACCCTAGGCTAGGGGCAATATTTGGGCATTTTGAGAAAATTTATTCTATTGCAATGCCTAAGTAACACATACACGTTTCATGTAGATATCAAATGTACAGAAAAGCAGGTGTTCTGAGAGCCTGTTCTATCTAGGATGAGCAGATTGGTCTGGAGAACTCCAGCCTGAATGAACACCACAAATAACACTCACAGGAAGTTGGGTGCTCAGCGCTCTGATGGTCACGGTGGAAAAACAGCTGAATGGAACAAATGCAGGCATCACGTGACTAGATACAAATAACGCATCAACAAAGGACTTGGTAGAATCTTGCGCCTACAGTGTGCCGCTAGTTAGTACTTCTGATGCCCCCTTTCAATTCTAGTGTGTCAATTCTGCTCACTGCTGATGCGGCAGACAGTCTGTTGCAGGTATTGGAAAACAGCATGTATGTTCCTCCTGCGCTCCTTAGCCTGCACCAACTTTTGATTGACGAGGCTCATTGTCAAGGTGACTTGATGAACGGTATAGTCGAGGGTGATGGTGCGTACAAACTCTTATTGGTAGAGTGTCGTATTACTCACACATTCCATGTTCTGGCTAGCCTATCAAAGCACTGCAAACGCTAGAGCTCATTTGCAGGGGCAATTATGGACACCCGAGCCCATGCCTGGGCTGCCTGATACTCTCTCTCCCCCACACACTCTCGATGTCCCAAGCGACTTGTTACCGGCGCCAACTTCTAGTGATGTTCCCTCGCTGGTTGGCCATCGCAGGGCATGATTCCAAGTTGAGGGCCCTGATTATGTCGATTCATCACACCTTACCAAGTGAGCATGCAAATCCACAACACTCACAGATGCTGGACCACCAGGGGAACTGCCTGAGCCTCCTTTCAATCCCCCAAATTTTGTTGATGACGATTGCAAATGTGGTGCACGTCAGTTACAGCTTCATCAGCATTGTGCTGCATGACTTGGCAATGATCCTTTTGGACCCGAGGAGTATGAAGCGGAGGAGGAGGAGGGGAAGGGGGAGAGTGATGGAGAGGAGGTAGCTGGTGCTCATTCCAGGTGAGGTTTATGGCATCAGCAACCCTCAAATGACCCCAAGATCACATGCAGTGAGGATCTAGCAACAATGATTGCACAACTTGCATCTGCACACTGTCACTCATCTGCCCACAATCCTCTCAACTGGTTGCAAGATATCGCCAACCATGTGCAAACACTGTTGGTAGAAGACGAGTTGCTAATTTCCATTGTTGTGAGATGTCAAGGGATTGCGAGTAAGGATGTCCGCATTAACTTCCTGGTCAAAGGTACGTATCCTAAACCTTTCTGTGTTCCAACTGGTTCAAACAGTTCTTCTTGATAGTGTACGCCTCAAGACTGGTCTTGGCTTAACAGACATATACAAGAAAGAAATCAAACCAAGCACCTCGGTTAGGGCAATCTCTTACCGAACCTTTGCAGAATGGCACACAATTGGCTGCAAGTTCATTGCCATCGCCTGCGGTGGTTCCATTTATTCCTTGGTACTTATCGCCGGTCTGGGGCTCAGGGTTGCTGTCGCATCTATGGTAGGGACTATGCATTTGAATTTAGCAAATATGCTACATTCGCCACCACCAAGTAAGTCGTTCTTCTGATTTGTGCTGTAAAATTTCAGTAACATAAGTTTATTGCGCAGATTCTCCTGAAAGAAAACTTATCGTGGAATACATAGCACCCACAATCACTCGCATGCATCTCATGTCCCCACTTGCCATGGACACAATGTTCTCTCCTTCACTAATCACTAGATTTGCAGTGTCAAAGTCGGTCGACTGCACTGACCTCTCAGTGTCTGACCATTTCTTTGACACTATAATCCAAAAGTGAGTGTTAGACATTGTGATGACACTGGCATGAACTGACTTCGTTATCTTTAAGTGCATTCGTTCCCCTCCAAAGAAACCGGTATGTTTGGAGGTCATGCATCATGCCTGTGCCAAGTGATTTGGGCCAAGTTCCAGTACACACTTTCAACCATGAGGAATTCTACGGCTCAAGTCGCCCTTACAGTCCACTGCTGTCTGATGTAGAGGAGGACGAAGTTGAGCACATCGTCATCAAGACTTCTTACAATCCGCTGTCACCTGAGAACCAGCACTTTAAGGCACCCTGGAACAAAGTGGATAACATTATCTGGAGTGCAACAGAAAGGTCTCATGCTGAAGCAGGGGAGTGAGTGAGAAGCATCGAAGGTTTGAAAATGAAGGTGTGTGTATGTAGCTGTACATTGTTCTACTAAGCTAATGATCACTCCCTGGTTGTATAGCTTGCGAAACTTTACCACAATGGCGTCAAGATAACGCAGGACATGTACTTGCACATTCCAATGCACATTATACCAAAGTGCATTCATATTCCTGCAGTTGTACTCTTCAAACTGATCTCAGCAGTCATCATTTGGAGCTACGAAACGCAGACAGTTCACTCATGGCTTTTGTGTCAACAGCACTCCCAGCTCATATATGATCTATGCTTGAGGTGAATCTTTTGGCAGCATTGGAAATTCCAGACCTACTACGGGAGACCGACACTCAATTGCCCAGGTGTCAACCCTTTCAAGCAATGCACATGTCTTGGTACAACAGACATTGTACCTCGGTGAGCAACCTTTTTTGGACACTCAACTTATGGTATATGCTAATAATGAAACAGGGTCACAAGGCTCCAACAGACGTCCAACCATGGGCATTAGAAAAAGAAGGCATGTGCACCAATCACTCGCAGGTAATCCCCTACCTATCCAAAGATTTGCATGAACACCATCACATCTATGGTACAATATCAAAGTTATATGAAGAGTTGTTTGAGTGGGTTCAAAAATTGATGCGTCATCATGCCATTTTTATTCTTGACATTTATATTCACATTGGTAGATGGAGACCTATCTGCAGGAGGAATTTGAGCTGCTGATGGAAGTCATGTCAGTCTTGCCTGGAAACTTCTCTCCCCCTGTTGCGCCCTTCGTATCTTTGGTCATCAATATCAACATGTGCACAAAAGCCCATAGAGACAGCCTGGATCGCCATCTATGTCTTGTCATTCCCATTGGTCATTTTGAAGGTGGGGCCTTGTGGCTACTGGAGAACGGACTTGTCCTTGAGTTGCGGGCTGGAAATGCGGCTCTCTTTAGATCTAGTGAGGTGACACATTTCAACTTGGATTACAGGGGAGCAAGGACATCTCTTGTCTTTCAGACTGACAGGGAGTTTGCAGCCTGGCTTAGGGATTGCAATGGCTGGGTAGACAATGAGACCATGCATTCTTTCATATGATATGTCTTACTATACATTTGTTATTCATATGATGCGTATTCTTACGGTTGTCAATTACTAAGGTGGTGCCTGGCTGCCGAGTAAGTGAGTTTTAAAGACAGCTTTAATTCACCTCATTCCTTCTGACAACCTCATTGGTTTCACTACTACATCTCTATATTACAATGTCTTGCAAGGCCAACAGCAAGAGAGCAAAGTCACCCACACCTCCACCCCCTGTATCCAAAACCAGAGGACGAAATGAAGTTGCTTCAACATTACAGGTCCCAGATGAGCAATATGAAGAATTCTTGAAATTTCAAGCACAGAAGAAGAAGGAAGCGGAGTGCAGTCATAAAGAAGGTATGTTAAACAGAATTATAATGAATGGAAAATACTCTAATAAATGTTAATGTTATAGATGTCAGGAAGAAAGTTGATACCTTTATGGATGAAGAGAGCGACATTGAGCAGGAGGTCTTAACAGACAAAAAGATAAAAAGAGGTGCACTTTCTCATTTATACCAGGGGCAGAAACAATGATGTGTACTTTACAGTAACAAGAATGCGCTCAGTTGCAGCAGTGCCTACAACAGAGAGTGTGGACATAGAGGATGATGCCAATCCATCTGATATTTGCCCCCACTTGGCCCCACCAAAATGAAAACACCTGTAGCAGCTCTTGATGGTTGGTTGGTTTTTTTGTGTGTATACAGTGCTAATTATATATTAGGATCAGACGTTGAAGTCAACAATCAAACACTGGCAGATAGTAGTGGTGAAGAGGGGGATGATAGTAATTCTACTGCAACCACAGAAGTTAGGAGAACTAATGGGGTACATAACTTTATCTGCAAAACATTGAGCCTAACCTACTATAACATATCTAGCTTATTCAGGTCAAGGATGAGTCCACGGACGACACCACAGATCGTCTCAGGAGGAAATGTGTCCCCAAAGGCGACGTCAAACCACTAACTACTCTAGCTTCATTGAAGAAGGACGGATGTGGACCCTTCATTGATCTCGCTCACCAGCTCCTTCGAATCAAAGTTGCTTTGGAAGTTGCTTTTCCTGGACCTTCGGTAGACATCCAAGATTCCTTCACATGGGACTGCATCAAGGAAGCAGCCAAGGATCCAGGCTCACCCTTGAAGCCCATGCTTGATATGATTGGCAGTGACGATGTTCTAAAAAGCAGGGCCATAGCTTATGTAGGTATTGTAATCTATTTGGGACATGACACTAATATTCCCATTAGGTGTGGTCTGGTGCTAGCCAGTTGAGGGGAGAGCTGGTTAGAAAGGCGAGAGATACTGTGATATTTCAGTTACAGCAAATGCATCCTAAGGAAATCGGTATATTTTTTTATATCATTCATTTTGAGGATTTCATTGATTGGTATCAGGTGATATCGCCAACTGGCTTCTTACTACCAAGAAGGACCCATTTTTCTGTGGTGAATTGGACCTCAAAGTATGTAAGTCTATCTTCGCAACAAGGGTACAATACTAATTGATATCTGTAGGCCAAGACATTCAACAAGAACCTGCCTTTCAGAGCATCACTGCTGCATCAGCTTCTTTATAGCCAAAATTTCCAAGGACCAGGATCTGAGGGCGTAGCATATATGGAATGCTTCCAGAAACTTCCCAACAATCTCATAGCTCTACTAGCTACTGCGGTAAATATCTTTCCTCATTGTCATATGTTGCTAATACATGACCTTTGCTAGGGAGAATGTGCTTATAAAGGCATGTTAACCGGTTCACCTGTTGTTGTCGACTTCAAGGAACCAATATTCCAGCCCAGGTAGTAGCTCATGTCTGCATCACTCACTTATGTACTGATCAATGATTTCACTGTTTTTAGACATCAGTATTATATGTCGAAGCTCAATTCTTACCAAGAACGCTCTCCTATGTATATGGAAAAGCTGTGTAAGGATCTCTGGACTGAATTAGGGTAATTTTATATATATATATTCATCGTAAATGCTGATTTTTGTTGATACAGGGAGTCCTGTAGATATCTGACGAGACATCTGGATGGTGATTCAGATTCAGAATTAGATTTTGATGCAATGGAGGAATTTGTTAGTGTTAGGTACCGTGCCGGCTCAAGAGGTAGAGGGGTCGGGGCTTGGCTTCAGCTCTTGTGCTGCACCCTTAGCCGAGTATGTGCCCCGAATTTGGAGCGGATCCGACATTGTCCGACGATAGGACGAGTGGACCGCTTAGGTTCGCTTTGAGGGTCAGGAAGTAAGAGCTGCTAGTGGCGGACTGACTAGGAGCGGAGTGGAGAAGGCGGTTTTCTTGTACATCTTTCATGGCGAATTCCTGTGCCTTGTTGCTGGTTTTCCTGGTTTCCTCAATCTGTTTGCCTAGTGATTGGGCAAGAACCCATGCATTTTGTAAAGGCACTGGTTTACCAAGTTTTCGGATTTCTTGGTCGGACGTGCCATCCCATACCAGCGGGGAATCAGTGTCTAGGTTTTCAATCATCCATATGGTTGTACCATCGGAGGAGTATTCAACTAGGACTTCGTCATCTTCCAGCTGGTAGGTGGAAACATCAATGACCGGTTCAGCAAGGTCGGCTCTTCCAATCTAGGTATCTTCATAATCATCGAATGTCGGGTCAGGTCATTGGCTATCTTTCTTTGCTTTCTTCTTTCTTCGTCGTTTTTCTGCTATTTCTTCCAAAGTGTATTTTGATCCTTTAGGTAATTTCTTTAAAGGAGAGAAATCTTCAGGGGGTTCATCAGTTATGGTTGTTTTTCGAAGTCAGGGAAATTCGTGAGGTTTTACTCCATTGGCTTTCCTTTCTTCATTAATCATGTCTTCAATCTCCATAAAGTGTTTTGTTCTGGTAAGGGAGATGGTGTCGTTTTTCCAGTCAATTTCTTGTTGCATGGCAGAGAGCCAGGGTTTCCCAAGGAGGATGTTATCGTGGGCGGATAGTTTTGTGATGTTGAATTTTCCAAGCATACAACATTGGTCGATTTTGACTGCAAGGATGCAGTAATGTGTGACTTTTCCTGATGAAGAGGTGCTTCCATCAACTGTGCGTATGTGGAATGGTTTGGTGAGAGGACGAGTTCCAATCTGGTTCTTTCTGACAAAGAGGTGATCAATAAATGATCCTCCTGCTCCTGAGTCGATTATAGCTGTGGTGGCAATGGTTTTTGTGTACTTGGTGGAAAAAAGCATGATAGGAATGTGGAATTCATTGGTTTTGATGTCCAAGTCTACTGCTTTTGTTGAGAGCTTCTCAAATGTCTCGATGTCACTCCTGTTGATAAGGAGTCTCCATTGGAGTTTCTTTTCTAATCTGTCTAAAAAGAATTGACGGAATGCTCCATCATCTGTGATTCCTCCCCTCATAGTGAGTTGTTGGAATGAGGCGAGGTATTTGCCGAGGGAATGAGTTTGGCAGAGGTTTCGTAATTCAGTGAGGGCTGCTCCTACAGAGTCCACTTCTTTAAACACCTTTTTGAATGCTTTGATGAAGTTGGCGTTGGTTCCATATTCTGTAGTATTGGTGGAACTTTGAGCATGTTCTATGAAGTCGTCTGCCCAAGTAGTAGCAGCTCCTTTAGTCATGTATGACAAGGTGAAGACAATTTTCTTCTTGTTGTCATCATAGATTTTATCATTGACGTCAATGTATGCGGTTATGGACCGTAACCAGCGTCCAGAATCCCTTCTGTCTCCTGTGAATTCGGTTGGGGTGCCAATCTGTATTTCTACAGGTTTGGAAGTGGCGGTAGCTGATCCAGACATGGCTGGGTGGATGAGCGGGGGAAATGGTCTGGGTGGAGGTCTTTGGTTACATGGAGGAAGTGGGTGAAAGTCTTCATATTCTGATTTGGTGTCTTCTGACACGGATGATGAATCCGATGGTGTGGGAGCTCTTTCCCAGGGATTATGAGGTCTCCTCGATGCTATCTTTTGATCAGTAGTACACTCTCATGATGGAGAGGTGATCAGGGTAGAAACTTGAATCTTATGTTACAAACTCAGTTGGTTCTGCACTAGATACCCACAAGGAGTACCAATCTAGTACTGTGGTCATCTTTCGTTGTAAGGCTACCTTGATGGAGAGTCTAGGATAGAATAAGAAGTAGATTGATAGAAGCGATGAAGCTTGCTATCTAGCTATCTAGCTATCCCTCTGTCCTGAGGCTTTAGGAGTGATACTGAGTAGATTCAAGTTAAGGACTACTACAGCATACAGAGTCCTTTATATACGAAAACAGAGGTACCGGTTGAACGGTAAGGGTCAAGGGTAATACCGACAATGTGGTAAGGGCATAGGGTATGAGTCAGAGATAATGGGTAAACCATATAAGTGGTGCAAGAATGATAAGCCAGTACAGATAAGCCGAAAGAACGGTTAGATGGAAGTTGCTTTAGCAATGGATAGCATTGGTAATTGATAGGAGTAAAAGAATAAGTGGGTTTGAGAAGCTTCTGTAAAGTCCCTGTAACAGCACCACAATCAGGGGCTAGGATAGATCAACCAGCTTTGTAACTGTCGAATGGTGGGTAATGTATATTGTTCAGGTTTGACATAGACTTATGTGGAGGTGGTCACAATCATTGCACAACAACCACTATCCTCAACTCAACTTGCATCACAGTGAAATTGATGACCTCAGGCAAGGGCTCTCCAATCAAGCCAACAAACTACAGTGTAACAAAGGGGAGACAAACCACATGATAATTGAGAAGACCAGTGTTGTATGTGCTGTTGCAGCCCTTGGGTCCAACCTAAGACACATCAAGCAAGATGCCAAGGTGTTCAGATGTGATCTTAAAACTCTGCAAACAGAGGAGAAGCCATAAGAGGAACATAGGGATGAATTGACAAAAGCTGAGCAAGCCAAGAAGCAGGCATAAACCCAGGGTCATGATTTGTCTAGCCTGGCAAGCATTTTATTAGAAGTTCTATCCTTGTTTGGCACATTGTAGGTGCAAGCTACCAGGCTAATTTAACTAGTTCAAGCCTGTTGTGCCTTCGGCACTGGCAGTAAGTGGAGCACTTACAAGGGACTTGACTGGTGGCAGAAATGGTATGCACCATGTAACTCTGCTATTACTCAGCTTGGATAACCTGTGTCTGCTTGATGTATGAGTGGAGATACTGCCAGTGATATGAATGGTTCAGAAATGAGTCCTGGCGTGTCAATGGTAATACAGTGACATGCACTTAAGTAACAGCATAATGCCCCTAAGGTTGTATCTTCATCTGCACAACTAAAGCATGTTGAAAGTATGTTGAAATGGTGGGTTCAGCCACGAGTAGCTCAGCCTTGCAATTTCTGACACAAGTCGATCAGACTGAATAACAGGTACATAACAATGCTGCTGTGCGCCCCCTACCATCTATAGACTCTTTTTACAGCTGGGAGACAAGTTCAAGTAGAAGTCCATAAATGCCACCTTGTTAAATTATCCAATGTGGGTGATATTTAGTGAAGATGAACAGCCTAATGCCATATTATGATTTGAGACAACTCTGTGAAGAGTTTAAAACTTTCACATGCACTACTGCATTGTAGGTATAATCATGTGATTTGTAATTATGAAATGAGTGGTGTTAAAAATGTGGATTACATGAAGTACTATGGTGAGGTAAACTTGCAGTAGGTAAAATAGTAGATGGTGGTGTTAAGGTCATGCTCAAGGGAAAGATTACTCAAAGGGCTTCGGCTTCAGCTCGTGCGCTGCACCCCTTACCCGAGTACGTGCCCTTAATTTCCGAGGGGCAGAGGGGAAGTCCAACAGAAGTCCGGGGAATTCCGGAGGACAAACATTGGTGGAGTTCGGCGGAACTCTGGAAGACTATGTGGGAGCGGAACAAGGCTACTACAGAAGTCCGGAGTAGAAACAGAACAGAGGTTAGTCTACCCTAAGGTAGAGCCGGAGAATTAGTCCTAAGGTTTTACCCCTAAGACTTGGAGGTAGACAAGAGATGAGACTCAAGTCCGGAGATTGCAGGAATGAGCAGAACTAAGATGATATTTGAACTGAGGAGTTCTGGAGTATTACAGGAGTTTATATACCGTAGGTATCTTGTAAGTAAATCAGTCAGCAAAGGTAAGGGCTATGTACGAAGCATGTGGAAAGTTTATTAGTAAGTGTAACAGATCAAAGCAGTGAAGTTGGAAATGAAGTAAGAATGGACGGATCAGTAAGCATAGCGGAAAAGGACATAACCAGTAACCAGAACAGTAACTATTCTGAAAGGAGATAGGGGTGAGTATGGAGATGAAGGTGGAGTACTGGGTGAAATAACAGGACAGAGAACTGGACTTTAGTAGAGGGGTTCCGGAGTTCCAGATCCGGAGGTATGGGATATGACAGGCAGCCAGACAGTTGAATAACATTAGGCTAACATGAATTACAAGCATGCACTCCCCCTGCCATCCCCCAAAATCTACTTCAATTCTACTTCACTTTGGATGATCTGGTCCAGGACAGCCTACCATGCCCTTTGAACAATATTTAGCAGATGACAAGCCACAAAGGAGTCAACAGTACTCTAATCACTACAGCAATTACAATGATGGATGCTATAGCATCAATGGTCATGAATACTCTAATGGGATTCATTTTAAGATATATCAGTTCATGTATGATGGTCCTTCAATACTAACCTCAGGTGGTGGTGTGAAGGTCCTCCCACCTGGTCTTCTTGACAGCCCAGGTTTGTTTGCTTCATTCTAGTTTGTAAACAATGGTTTTGTTTTGTGAGTACATTTTGAGTACATTTTAAACCTGTAATAACCTCATACTAATTTTTAGTACAGTTTTCATTCTTCCTCTCAGTCTAGATGTCACACCAGTATGGGGGAAAGTGACACCATAACCACCTTCTCTTCCCCCTCTCCCCTCAGCCTTCCAGTCCACTCCTCTATGGGCTTCAACCTCCTTTCCATCCTCTCCCACATCATCTCCTGTCCCCACCCAATTATCATCCTAGACCTGGTTGACAGTTCTTGCTCCTTTACCATTGCTGATGTCCATTGTTATGACTGCCCCATCATCTGTGCATCCCCCAGCTTCTACCACCTCACAGGCTATGATGAACACCAGGTCCTCAGTTGCAATTGCCACTTCCTATAGGTCCCTGATGGAAACATCCAAAAGAGCAAGGAGTGTCACTTTATTCTACTAAATGCCATAGCATACTTGAAAAAATCTCTCTCTGCAGATGAGGAATACCAAACTAGCATCATCAACTACCGTAAAGACAGACAGGCCTTCATTAATCTTGTGACCGTTGTAGGGAGTTATATTACTCTGGGCTTGTATTGATGGTTTTTACTTAGTTTATGTACGCATTTTTACTGCTTATGTAAACAATCAATCTCCTTGAGCCACCACCATGAGCAGTGCTCTTTTGATTCACTTTTCTCTCTGAGCACTACCTAGCTCTAGTCCAGAAACCCTCTAGGGTTGAATGCACCTCCTTGCAGGTATAGCAGCAGGCAGCAAGACCCAACACTTTCTGCACCCAGCAGAATTGTTGTACCCACACCGTGATCCCCCTCAGGGGCTGCATATTAAACCATCCAGAGGAATTGGACAAAGTCATTTATTGCATTGGCTTCCAGGTCAATCTTAATGAGCAACCTGATGCAATCTTGCAGAAACTGCGCGATGGGAGCTACATTGTCAATTACACCATGAGCATGGGGCCTCCAGGGAGAGGTTGGCTTGCATTTCTATTAAGTCCATGCTCAGGGGTGAGGCGGAGTTTGAGGGGCTTGGCTTCAGCGCATGTGCTGCGCCCCTTACCTGAGTATGTGCCCCTAATTTTGGATTGTAGTCCAACATAAGTTCTATGAGCTCCGAGAGGACATCAGAGCAGAGGCTCTCCAAAGGAGGGCTGATGGATTACCAGATGAACATGGGAAAGTTGGGCAAAGATTGGTCCACCCAACAGGGGAGAGGTGGAGGACTACTGCAGTTGAAACCAACAGTAGAATTGAAGTGGAAAGGGCTGCTCAGACAAAGTATGAAGCAGAGCAGAAACAAGAAAGGCAGATGCAAAAGAGTACTAGACTCAAGTCTGAAGGGCAGGAAAGGCGGCCAAGGCACAGGAAGTCGGATGAGCAGAGAAGGCAGCCAACCTAGGGAGTCAATCCCCTAGGCAAGCAAACAGGATTTATGACAAGAGCAAGCTCAAGTCCAGGAACAGAAGAATAGGGCTTAGAAAAGGTAATATTCAGACCAAGAACTACAGACTAAGTACAGGATGTTTATATACTCTAAGTATCATGGCAGTGCTCAGTAAGCATAGCAGAAGGCTATGTGCTGAGTGTACAGAATGTAAGTAGGATGATAGGAACATAATGAGACTGAGGCTCGGAGAATAATATGTATGCGACGGATCAATAAGTGGATGGCTATAGGAATAACCAGTGATCTGAAAGGAGAAACTATGATACCAAAAGGAGATAGGACCAGTTCAGTGGTTCCTAGTCTAGGAGTGGACTTGTCACGTGGTCAGGCAGATGCGCAGACATACAGATGTGTGGAAATGCAGACAAGCAGATAAACAGAAATGGTAGGAGAAATAGGAGTGGGGTTGGGTAGACTGATGAGCGGATAAGTGGAGCTCTAAGTGGAGTCAGATGGTAGGAGTATAGAGTCGGACAGGAATGGGGGTAGTGTTGGAGGAGTGGAATAGAGTCAGGTGGAGGAGGTAGCAGGGCTAGTCCTTGTTCCCAGATTTCATCTACTGACATACATTGTCGCATGTCGAACTTCATTTTCTCTTAAACTTATCAAAGGCATGGCAAGAATGAATGGTGAAGCTATTGGACGTGGATGGTCTAACATGAATCCTGTTGCTACCAACACATGGGAAATGGGTCCAGGGTCAAGATGCGACATCTTGGATGATCATTTCGGTGATCAAAATTGGTTTAAAGTGTCTAACTTAGGTATGGATCATACTCAGACGATCCCTTTACCTCTGACAGTTTAATAGGTCCATGCTTCTCAAAAAAACTCAAGAAGGCAATTCTGGAATGCAATCAGCATGCTGTAGATATTCAAAACTTTAAGGAAGTCATCTCATCTTTGAGTCTCAGTGCCTGGCAGATGATGGTAGAAGAATGGGAGGGTGATCATTCAAACCTGAACCCTTTCAAGATTGAAGCTTCAGATATGTTTTCACTTATATGATATTTGCAATCTTTAACTTGTACACTACAGCTGTCACCCAAGCATCTGTCAGACTGGAGCTGTCTCATCTTGAAGCTGACCAGCTAAGACAAGGAATTGACGCCTCCCTCCACCCAGATGTCTCTCCTAGTGTGTTAATTGCTGTTGGGATTGACTTAGAGGCTTTGCAGTACATCTGTCTTTCACATTAACAACAAGCTGGTCCTAACAAGCTATTTTACCTCAGATGCTGACTTGTGACAGACACTGCAAGCATTGGAACCCATGCAACTGATAATCAAATGTCTCCTATGCAACAATGAACTAATGCACTGTGTCATTATATTGAACAGTGGATCCAAATCCAAACACTATATTCCCAGTGTCAGTGAACACCTCTGATGTGGAAGATATCACCCTTGAGGAGCCTGCTCATGCCATCAAACTATGGATGCCCTCTGCAGTTGTGAAGGCTAGCATGTCTTGCAATATGAACTTGTGTAACATTAAGTGGAAGTTACACTGTGCCCAGGCACATAATGGTCTCCAGGAACTTCAACAACATCTTTGACTGAAGTGACATCTTACTGGGTTCAAGAAGAGCTGGTTAACTGGTCAATGAGCACACACAAGATCCTGTACTGTTATTGATATGGTGGAGGTAAAGATAGCCACTGCTGCAAAAAAGTATCACACAACATTGTCAGAACTGTGCCTAGTAGGTAGGAAGGAGGTTATGAAGGGGCTTAGCTTCAGCTTGTGTGCTGTGCTCCTTAGGTGAGTACAGTGCCCTTAACTTCAGAGGACAGATAGGGGCTGCTGAAGATCAACTCTGACATGCTCCAACAGAGGTAAGACTACGAGGGACTAAGTCTGACGTCGAAAGTAATGCTAAGACTGTTGGAAGACAGAGGCAGAGGTCAGCGAGACAAGTCTCGAGGTCAGACTAGACAAGGAGTAAGACTTAAGTTGAGTTGGAGGTGGTTAGGATAGGTTTGAGTCTATATTCATATTGTAGGAACTCTACTGAAATACATGGGGTTTATATACTATGGTAATCTGGGCTATGCAGCACAGTGTGGCAGAGTACAAAGTAATAATAAAAGGAACGACAAACCATAGTATATAATAAGCTAAATTGAAATGGAGGATTGGATAATACAAGATACAAAGACTAGACAGAAAGTAGAATATACAAAAGAAACTCAGAATGGACTGACAGGTGCCTCATACCTTGATCAAGTCAGGGGCGGAGGAATGTACCTGATGTTGGAGATACAAATTAAGAGGTGGAGGAGCATAAATGAGGGTGGAGGACTGTGGATGAGGGTGGAGGAGTATGGATGAGGATGGATGACTGTAATTGAGGGCAGAGGAGACTTGGATAATTCATGGATATGACAAACATGGTGGGCACTGGATGTCTTAGCCAATGCACTATTATGGCTTGATTGTAGGCAAAAGCATGGGTATGGGTGCAGGTTGAGATTATCAGACCCATGCTCTAACCTGTGCCCATGGCGTACCCATGCCTTCCTTTATAGCCTAGTGCAAATGAATTTTGGAGCTATGGTACATGTCAAACTTTAATGTAAAATTGGGCAAGGTCTCAACATAATTTACGAGCCCACTTGCACAACTTGAATTTACCAAACTTTTGCTGTCACCATGGACAAGTCCAACACTGCCAAATGAGTACCTAAACTCTCCATCAAAGCCAAAGCTGCACTGGAAACCACAGCATCCAAGAAACAAAAAACTGGTTCCGATGGACTCAGAGATAGCACAAAGACACAACCAAAAAAGATAAAAACCAACCCACCTGCTGGAAGCACTCCCACAAGTGAGGAGATGGTGCACAAGAAGGTCGCAACATCTTCTAAAGATAGCTCTGCATCATGTTGTGCTTCTGTCATGAGCGAAGAAGAACAAAATGCCTTACATACTGGGAGCACAATTATCCATGTTGGTCTTGATGGCAGTGAAACCAAGAGCCAAGCCAGCAGTGAGGTTCCACAAGAGGACATTAGTAATGTGAGTGCCAAAGAAGATGTTGAAGATGCTGAAGCTGAACTCGGTATGATCTTGTAAAAAGTAACCATAGTCAAAATCTAATGTGACAAAATATAGTGAGACTTACTAAAGATTGGACTGCTCCCATTTATTCCTTCTTCAACCCCATTCCTGTGATTGGCCACATCAACAGATGAAGATTCCATGCATTCAGTTGCTGTGCAAAAGGGTGCAATCAATTGATTCATCATTTCCTTGATAAAGCAGATGTGAAGTCAACAAGCAATATGTGGGAACACACTAAAAAATGCTGTGGAATGGAGATGGTCAAGATTGTCGATAAAGCCAAGAACGTGACAGTGCATGAGAATAAATTATTGAACATCTGTACAACAGGTTCAATCATGGCAGCTTTTGAAAGGAAGGGAAAGGGCAAGGTAACTTACTCACACAGACAGCATACCAAAACCAAGAGCCAAGCTGAGATAGTGCAATGGGTATTTGAGAGTGTGCAGCCATTTAAAATCATTGAAGACTGTGGCTTCCGGTCTTTGATAAAAATGGGGCAGCCTGAGTGTTATATCCCATCATCAACAGTGTCACGTGATGTCAAGCTCGTTTTTGCACAAACACACAGACAGATTGTGAGGATGCTGCAGGTATGTCAATGACAACACTTGTGTACCACACAAAAAAAACTCACTCACAATAGAACTATGCATATACTACAGTGACCAAACTCCATCTTAGACGGGCCAGCAGAGGGACATAATACACCATCTTAGACAGGTGAGTGGACCATGGGCCGAAGTCATAATATCCTCATTGAAGATGGGTGGGCCGAGAGGCATATTATTCTCAATAGAGATGAGTGGGCCCATCTAGGTAATATCTAGAGTAGAATAAAGTAGAAGAGTGGGCCAAGGTAGATGTATATCATATAGACAGATGGGCTGAGGGAGTGGTGTATCGTATACCAGTGGGCCAAGGCAGATGTATATTATAGAGACAGATGGGCCAAGGTAGTGGTGAGGACTTGATGAATGTATTTGAAGACTTCATTTGATGCACAGTTTCTACTCCAACCTGCCCACCAGCCTTTGATGATGCCTCTATTGTCCCCATAGACCTTAAAATGAATTCCAGCAGCTTGAGGACTAATGATTGCACAGACAAGAAACTTGAAGCTGACACCTTCAGCCCATCCAATGTCTTGACTGTCTCTCTTCCAACCTGGGATGAGGTCCCATGTTCTCCAGAACGCATTGATGATGATGCTGATTCCATGGCCAGAGCTATCATCTGAATAGGCATGGAAATCAAGGATGATACATGGTCCAGGGATTGGGCAGGATGTGTATGTATTATTGAGGGAGTCCTTCCACCAGTTGATGTCATCAGGCATGTTTCATGGGGGAGTCTGTGGGAGAAAATGGTGGTTGTTGAACATGGGTAGCATGGCCTCGAGGTTGGTGAGGTAAGCTCAGCCCATGAGAATAATGTGGGCAGCATGTAAGAGCTTTCCATAGAGTTTCCAGACCTCACATAACATGTGTGTACATTTTGATTCCCAGTCTGCAATAGTGCAGAGGTATTTAATCTTTTTCTCACCTGAAAGGTCCACCATCCGATTGTCAGGGTTCCAGATGAAACCCATGAATGGAGATGTCAAATGGAATGGTATGTCTTTGGCTGGTTCCCATGGGATGCCCATCTCTGAGGAGGATTCATCGATATTGGCCATGCAATAAGAGAATACTGTAGTATTTTGTTCAATTTGACAGTCACATGTCACATACCCCCTTGTTGAAAACGAAATTTGGTACAGGTCCCAGGTCACAAGCACATTTGTTGAATCCATCCAGAGAGTGACAGCAGAAGCAATTTTGAATGCTAGGTACGCGTCCCAGTAGTTCCTTAGTCTAATTAAGTACTCACTCCTAATACAAGCATCTGCATCAACTGTTGTTGTGGTGGTGGTGGTGCCAAAATGAATGTGCATACAGTGTGTTTGGTTTCCACTTCCTTCTCCCATGTCCCAGCTCCTCTCCATCTTCATCAGTGCCACTCGTCACTTCTACTGCAGGCAATACCTCAAATGTCAGCTTCTGTGCTTCTACTGTCAACATCAATTTTCCATCTGCATCAACTCCAATGCCACTTGGAGCATTTTGGCCCAAAACATCTGCAACAATAGCTGCACAAGGTAAGTCACTGTCATCATTGAAGTTTGACTCTTCTTCATGGTTTTTGTCCTCGATTTTAGTGATTTTGACCTCAGTCCTGAAGAACGTGAAATGGTCAAGAAGCTCATCTCACAGTATGCCGACATATTTGCATGCTCGTTATCGGAAGTCCTACTGGTCCCAGAAGCAGAGCACCATCTGAACATTCCAGAAGGCACCATATTCAATCTACAAGTCCATCAGCGAGCCCTCACGCCACCACAAACTCAATTCTTACATGGACGAATTGACGAAATGCTCGCCACAGGAATAATAGAGAAGGCCCCAGCAGAACGGGTCAAGTGTTGCGCCACCACAGTATTAGCACAGAAGGCACATGAACAAGGCGGACTCACGTTAGAAGAACTGCAATACAAGGTCAACGAGCAGTATGCACAGCAAGGACAACCCCCAGCCTTCATGCTACCTGAGCGAGAAGTCCAAGAAGCGCAACCAGAAACCCAAACAGCAAAACCGCAGAAGTGGAGAATCTGCCAAAATTTCAACGAGGTCAACAGACACACCATCATTGCACCAATGCCGCAAGGAGACATACGGGCTAAGCAATTAAGGCTAAGTGGACACAAGTACGTATCGGTATTTGACTTCATATCAGGATTCTACACTGTCGAAGTTCCAGAGGAATCCAGACCGTATACAGCCTTCTATGCGGAAGGCTGGGGTTATTTTTGATATAAATGTATGCCAATGGGACTCACAGGAGCGCCTACAACATTCTGCGAGATGACGGCCACCCATCTGCATGATCTAATTGCCGATATGACCATGGAACTTTTCGTGGACGATGGGGGAAGTGCAGGAGACACGTTCAAGGAAATGCTAGAAAAGTTAGAATGAATCTTTCAGTGTTGTCGAGAACAGAGACTATCCCTATCACCCACAAAGTGCTGCCTCTTCATGATGGAAACGACCTTCGCAGGAGCAACAATAGGACCATTAGGAGTTCAGCCGGACCTAGAAAAACTAACAGTCATCATAAACTGGAAACAGCCAGCAGATGCACTCAATTTAGAATCATTCCTAGGACTGACTAGCCATTTTAGAGACCTTGTACTAGGATACACGAAGCGTGAAGGACCACTACGAAACCTAGTGAAAGAAGCACCATTAACACACCCGTACACCAAGAACACATATTGACGCACCTTACGAGACTTCAAATTAGATGGTTGATGGACGCAGGAGCAAACAAAGGCATTCCTAGACTTGAAGGCAGCATTAGTATTGCGACCAATCTTGCAAGCACCCAAATATGATGGCTCACCGTTTGTGGTGACATCAGATGGCTGTCAAGAAGGCTTAGCAGCAGTACTGTCCCAGCGAATACACATGCAGAGACCATCCGGGAAGTGGGTAGAGCGACTGCTACCCATTGCATTCGCATCCAAACAAACATCAAGAACAGAGCAGAAATACAAACTGTTCCTGCTGGAGTTTGCGGCCCTGAAGTTTGGATTAGACAAATTCTCAGACGTAGTCTGGGGATTTCCAGTGGAAATCAAGACCAACTGTCAAGTGTTACGAGACATACTACTTAACGACCACCTCAATGCGGCACATGCGCAATGGAGAGATGGAATCATTGCACACAACATAGTCGATGTGCATCACATCCCAGGCAAATTGAATGTCATAGCGGACGGTCTCAGCAGGCAATGGGAAGGCCAACCCTGAGATGATGGGCTAGAAGATGGCAGTGCATGGACAGTAAGTGAAGACTGGGAGGCAGCAACAGGTTTGTTTAACGACATACTATTGATAACGTCAATAGACGAACAAACGGTAAGGAATCTTCAAGAATGTTTTTCTAATGAACCTGTTTTTTTAGAAGTCGTAGAGTCAATAGCGCAAATCAGTTCAAATAAACCACTGCGAGACCGAAAGGAAGCACACCACCAAGCATCCGAGTATCTCATCGAAGACAGGAAACTATGGAAGTTACAGGGAAGGACGACAGTTCGAGCGCGAAGCAAGACAGAGTGCGTCACGCGAGAGGAAGCAAGGCAACTAGCAGTTGAACAGCATGAACAAAACAGACACTGGGGACGAGACGCGATCAAGATAGCACTCACAGACCGAATACACAGTGCAAAACTCGATGCATCAATTATGGAAGCTATAACAGATTGCGCTAAGTGCAAAAATTTTGGTTCACAACACTTGCACTCACTATTAGAACCCATAACACGCAGACACCCATTCGAACTGTTGGTTGGCGACTACCTGACGCTCCCACAAGGATGAGGTTACCACACACTAGGTGTGTACCTCAACACCTTCTCGCAACATGTATGGGTCTTCAAGTATAGAAAATCAGGAACCACACAGACAACGGTTGATAGTCTATCACAGATCTTCAAAAACTTCACGCCGTCAGAGACGTTTATGTCCGATGGAGGAAAGCACTTCAACAACACAGAAGTCCGAAACTATTGTGCTAAGTGGTCATGTAAAACTCATGTAGTGGCAGCCTACTCACCATGGATCAATGGGCTTGTAGAAGGAACGAACAAGATCTTGCTGCACGTGCTCAAAAGACTTTGTGCACCAAATCTGGGCGAAGACGATTATGAAGCAATATCATGGGACACCTTACCAGGCACTTGGCCTGACTACCTTGACGAGGCAGTCACAGCTTTGAACTATTGGATATTACCCGCCTTGAAATTCTCGCCAAAGGAACTGCTATTGGGAATGGTAATCAATACACCTAAAACAGACTTGGCTAACAGCACATCAGTGACACGATTGTCAGACGCCAACGTACACATGGCATACGTTGCACAACAACATCTAGACGGGTACGAAGCCACAGTGCAACACGCCATCAAGCAAAAAGCAGTGTTCGATAAACACGTACTAGCACGCTCGCCAAGGGAAGTGATCTTTGAAAAAGGACAGCTCATTCAATTTTTCTACAGCGGTGCACATAACACGCTTGAAGCAAGAAGAAAGATACTCCCCAAATGGTCACCACCGCATCACATCACTGAACGACTAAGGAACTCGTACCGTCTAGAAATGACCCAAGGGGAACCAATGCCTGGAGAATTCCATGTGAGAAGATTAAGAGTGTTTATACCAAGAGAAGGCACGGAGCTGGCAAATGAGTAGAGAGAGAGAGAAGCACAGAAAAACCAGGAAGAAGAGATAGGAAAAGAACAAACAGATGAAGAACCGGACGAAGAAAACCAAGAAAACGATCTAGAAGATGTGGACGAAGAAGAAGATGAAGAAGACGAAGAGAACGGCAGAAGAAAAGGAGATGAAGAGGAGGAAGAAAGAGACATAGAAGAGGAGGACGAAGGAAATGCAGAGTGCAATGAATGAGACGCCAGAGGAGTTCCAATGTCGACGCAGTCGTCGCTGTTTTAAAGGGGGGCACATGGAGTAGGGGACCCCTAGGCAGAGGGTGAGAGGAAGAGAGAGTTTGGCGGTGTTTGGGTCGGAGTTAGCCGAGTGTAGCATTGTCAGAGTCGTCGGGGGCAGTAGCAGGTCTCCAGGTCTTCATTGTCATTCGATAGCAGAGTCTTCGGGCATAGCCCACTCCAATAGGAACTCGTTTTTGAGCAAAGATCAATGATGATGATGATTTTTCATTATATGCCCACATTTGATGGCACCTTATGATACTTTATTAGACTGTTCATGTTGTATAAGCACATATCCAAACTGAGTGCAAAGGAAGCATGAGCCACAAATACAGGTATGCATGACAGCAACAAGAAAATGAGAGGTGTAATTGCGAGTCAATATCAAAAAATGCAGTCCATTCAAAGCTGTGATGCAATGCTAGCGAGAGAAAATATGACGACAGGAATGTGATGTGAAGTGCTAAAAATTGAACTATTATACCAGATGGACACTTTGCAAGAAGTCAGCAACACGCAAAGGATCAGAACAAATAGTACATACATATTCCACCATTTGAGCAATGAATCCGCCCACATCTGGTCGAAAAGTTCTTGGATAGCTCGATTGGATGGCACAGTAATTCAAATGATGAATGATGAGAGAGAGAGAGAAAGAGAGATGTGGAGAGACAAAGGAGGCAGAATTTTGCAAAAAGTCCATTGTTTAGACTTGTTGATGTTGGAGTTTCAAACACTCCAACTGCCGTCAACCAACACGACCTTGCGCACAATTTAGTGTTCACCAATTTTTCTGGTGAACTGGATGGTGGGGGAATACTGTGGAGCTTTGTAATTTTGAATTAGAACTACATACATGCACTACTACTAAGATACTGAGAGAATATCAGGCAGTGGTCATGCTGAGAGCAGCATATCAGAGTACAATCATAATGACAGGAGTATATCATTGAATAGCAGATACACATAACAATGGTATACTACTAGCTACTTGACATCACAATGATCGAGTCCTTCTTTGACCTTCGCAACAGCCATCATCCATGATCAAAAATATTTGTCAGCATCAGCCTAATCAGGGAATACCTGATTTTTGAAGTTTTGGTGATGTTACATAATAGACTATCGAATTGCCCACCACCATTATAATCTCATCGTATCGCACTGTTTGTACCTCAGCGGTTCTTTCACCTACGCTGAGTGCTGAGGTACAGTTCACGTTTACTTTGCACGCCATCTCTGACTTCCATTATTTCATCTCTAGACGTGTCTCTTAGGTACTGTTAATATCATAGCGGTTCTTTCACCAGCGCTGAGACGTGTCTCTTAGTTTCACTTTCATTAATTTCCTGATGCAGGCAGTTGGATTATCCAGCTTCGGTTGCCCGTGGCGAAGCCTTATCCCTGAAAATGAGTGAGGATAGCATGTGTCTTGTTGTCATTGGCTTGCTTCACACTCGGCTGGCTCTTAGTTAAGCCTCTACCGATGATCAAGAGATTCTGCCTTCCCATCACGCTAACGTGAATGCCGTTTTCGAACTTACGGACAATTTTTTTAACGGGCAGCAGCTATAAAGCGCATGAGCATGGAATCGACGAACAAACGAAAATAAAACCCCGCTCTTAGCTTGACACTCAGGCTGGTTATTTTTTGACGGTAAGAGTCAATTCATCAACCTGTAGCTGTAGATCCAACTTATCATGATGACACTGAATAGATGAATCTCTTGACAATCATTCTCCTGGCATTCATGGCCATCAGTCCTTTTGGTGCACGAGCCATGCCCGGCCCAGACACCCCCGACTCGTCATGCGGGTGGAGTGCGTGTGGGGAAAGTTCCCAGTGTTCGGGTCTCTCTTATAATGCCGGGAGAAACAGACGCTGCACCCTCAAAGACGGTCACGTCGGGATACAATTATTTTGCTGTACACATAACACATTAAGTGGTTCAAACGGGGGGAGAGAGTAGTAGCAGCAGGGAGTGCCGATGGTTTTGGCATGAGGATCTGAAGTTCTCAATTGCATAGTACTCGCTGTTCGTTTCGGTCGTCTCCCTCCGAGAGTACTTACGGTCATCTAACCGAACTCCAACTCACCCTATGAGTGGTCATCAGAGCCTGTTGTAGGGCCTCCAGCAGATTGTCGTCATCCATTTCAAGGTCTTCTGCTCAAGTTTTCATAGAAACCAGCTCGGCCCCTAAGCCGGGGAGCCCATGAAGTTATTATGCCTGCTGGTAGTTGACACTTCGGCTATATGTTCTGCCTAGCGAGGTAGTTTGCAGGTACTTAAGGGCCAAACGCACCATTGAACGACATCTGCGCATCGCCCGCGAACCAACAGGTTTCTGCCGTTTCTGCATTCAAGGCTTGGACGGACGCAGGGATGCCTGCCAACCATATTGTGCTTGGTGTTGCTTCCTGCGGTCACTCGTTCAACGTCTCTCGACTCTCTCCCTCTGACGCCTTCGCATCCGGCACGAAGACGCTGGCTGCATACCCCACTTTCAACGCATCCAATCAACCCCTGGGTGATGTATGGGGTGGCGTTGCTGGTGTCGACATCTGTGGCGTGTCCGAGGCCGCAGGTGGCACTTTCAATTTCTGGGGTCTCATTGACATCGGTTTCCTCACCGAGCAAGACATGCCTGCATTCACTATAGATATGACGAGTGCAGTCAGCCGGTAAATACGGTTTCTCATCCTGAAGGACGATTGCTCATGTTAATTGTTTTACAGCCGTATGTATACAATGAGACCTCACATGTTATGATCTCGTTCAACAACGTTCAGTCATTTTCTGCCAAGGGCAAGTATATCAAAAAGACCGGGCTGCGCGGTTTCGCAATGTGGGAGGGTGGTGATTACAACGATATGCTCGTTGACTCTATCATCGATGCTGACGTGTATTATATTAGTACGTTTCCCGACACGTCCGGTGACCTCTCTCAGTCATCAGAACTTTCCTGGACTAGTATGCTACTAAAGCGCTAGGTTTCAGATCGCACCTTGCCTCCTGCACGACGCACGTGAAACCGTGACTAACATGTGGATGGTACTGCCTCCAGGGTGCATCTCCACCACTACTTATCAGAGGTCAACTTGTGTTAAAGCTCGCGCGCTTGCAGTCTACGTGCTCTGGATTGTTTATCTGCCGACCCTGTCACAGGTTCTGCCTGTACCCTCTGCCTGAAATCCGCCAGGCTCAACCATCCCGATAGAACCGCCGAGTACTTCGGAAAAAAATTAGGACATAAAAGCAAGCCATCTTCCTACTCTCATATCATCTAGCACAAGCCATGCGTTTCTCATTCCTCCTCGCTGTTGTTGTTGCTTTGGCAACATCTATGTCTGTCAGTGCATGCCTGACTAAAAGTGCCAATTGCGGGATCGACAACCCGCACGGCGGGCCATGTTGCCAAGGTCTTGAATGTCGTGCATTTGCGACTGTGAGTCGTTCGCATCGCATCCGGGATTCAACCCCATGACTGACCCATTGCGCCTTGTACCAATAGGAAGACAAGATGATCCACCACGTCTGCCATTAACCATCTCCCGATGACCTTGGAAGACGGGACATGTTGCGACAGTGAGTCGTTTCTGCTGTTGCGTTGGTATAGTGGTTCATTGCACGGTATGCAGTTTGTTGTGGAGTTGATCGATAATATGCTTACTTCTGTACAAATGTTCTTGCTGTCTGGACCAGACTCTTGGATAGTATGTTAGAAAACCACCCGCGTGAATTCTGTGGCATTGATAGAAGACCCTCATGTCACTCGACTTGCGTACTTGTTTTGCATGAATGCACAAGAAAATCAGTGTACTTATTCAACTAACGTCAAAGTACATACTATGTTTCCTTGAAGATAGATTATTCAGAAGTAAGAAGGGGCTAGTGTCGACGACACTCCAACTTTACCATTCTGCAGGACACTGCTTCTCCCGAGCCACTTAATGAGCACGATAAATAGAGGAACATCTCAATCATGATATTGATTTAGATACAAGATATATATACCCTCACTGATCTCCTGCCCTCGACACTGATTTATTATCGAAGCGCGCTCACGAGTATTGTTGACTGTCCCTCCACAAACCATGATTACGATGCCTAAGAAACCTCGCACATTTGCTACAGACGCAGGGGATTTTATCAGAAATACATACTACTGCTCCTCGATGTTTATACCATGCATCTACCGTACTTGTATGTTTGTTGATTTGGATATAGAATATACCACCTCTAGTAAATGCCGGACACTTGTGTGCACAAGACAAGTAACAAGTTGTCGACGATCGGGTTCACGACAAGCTCGAACTACTTCAAGCATCGTCACAGCATCTCCACGACAGACTCAATTGCGGACATCGCTCTTAGATCAGACATCACAAGCCAATTAAACTGTTGAATGGGATATACTACTGTATACGCGGACACAAAGTCTCTGCATGGATTATGGTACATAGCCTCTTTCATGGTTCAAATCCCCCCCTCACAATCCAAATACTCCCGCTCCCTGCAGAGTACACTACGGGTGTTAGTCATACGACCATTTGTCGTGCTACACACTACGACTAGTTGACACGTGTACGCGCCCCTGGAAAGCAATTCCAGTTGTGGAGGTTCCTGCACCGGAATCAGCCTTCACTTTAGCATGATACTCTCGAACACTAATGATGAGGCGTGGTCCCAGCACAAACATCTGCACCAGCAAGAAAATTTGGAGAAGGCCGTTATAAACCTGATTTTCCATGGAATATGGGTCCTATATTAATGATGAACCATGATCACATGCAGAGGCCAGTGACAGGTCGGCATACCGCTGAGATCGGTGACAAAGAATAACTGAGCTGTAGGCAAGAAACAGCAAAAAAACTAGCGGGTGTGGGTCTTCAATGGAAGAGGATAACGACATTGACACTGAGCTCACCTCGCAAAGTAAACCACATGAGATTTTATTAAGACCGTAAAACAGTCCCCAATAATCCCTCCTGCTGATTCTCGTCGCAGTTCACGGAAGTGTTTCATAGCAATCCAGAGTGCGAGACACAGTGTGAGGACCTCCCATACAGTGCCGAGTATCCAAGTCAGTGAATCCAGAAGTTGGGCATCTACGTCGTAGTTAATATTGCACATATAGGTGCCGGAGAGAATGAATGCCTCTGGTATTCGTCAATGAGTCCAATGCACGTCTTCCATTAATAATGAGGCTTACCCGCTGAATTCTTCGTGAAGATTGCGGCGACCACTCCGGCGAAGATGTTGGAAGCCAGGAAAACGACAACGAGAAGTATCAGTACCTTGCCGGATTTCTGAGACATGGCATGCAACCGAGCGATCATGATGACTTGGATGATGTTTCAGTCAAGTCGACATCACTGAGGTGTCACAGCTCACCGCCCAAGATTGCATTTACAATGAAGTCCATCCAATCCAGGGCGAGATAAATAATATAGCCTAACAGAACCAGTTAGCAATTAGCCTCAAGGATCACGCACTCGACTCAAACTTACAGCTGTGGCAGTCATTAGATTGAACTAACAAGCTTATTAAGAATCTCACTTACCCCTACATGAGAATGCTGATGCTTGGACGAGAATGGTAGGCATCATTACAGAACACTCACTGCATCTGTCATCGGGATTGTTGGAACAGCAACTGTATGTCACCGGTAAGAAGAAATAAAGATGGTCGATGTGTGGGGACATACTCAGTATGCTATTGCTGATTGCGAGAGTCGACTGATTAGCACAACACCGATTACTTAGCCGTCCGAACATACACAGCATATATTATTCCAAGGTAGCGCATCTAGGATATTGCCAAGTCAGCCAGCCACACTTAAAAATGCAAGATACACACACTGAGATAGAGAGCAGTCATCAGGGACCAGCGTTGCCTCTGGTGCGAGTTAATTGTATTATCAAGTTGTTCTTCAAGTAGACTCACCCAGATCAGTTCGACCTATAAAACCATTCTTAGCGAGATGGCTGCTCCGGCAATGATATCAACCTACCTCTTGTCCGAATGTCAGTGCTGGAAATGCCATGAGGATGTCAGAAATTCTTTGCTTAATGTTACCCTGCTCACCCCAATCGTACACCAGTCCAACAGAAGCAGCAACTGTAAAACCGCAGGCACGGTTAGATCGACGCGTTGGCACTGTCATCGTAGCCCTCTGGCACGAACCTGAAAAATAGCTGGAAACGTGATACCACTGGATGGACGGCCACCAACTGGGATCATTTGAGACTAGGGTCATGTTATTCGAGGATGGGTATGAGGGTGCTGCGAACTTGGTAGGTGTATGACCACCATCCAGCACTTTTATGACTGAAACGACTATTATGAGTATGGTATCTAATTCAACTGTTTGATCAAATACAGCAATAAAATTTAAAACAGATGTGAAATGCAAGATGCATCAATCGATTATCCGTAATTGAGCGGCACGCGCCTGTAAGTATTACCGCTGTGAAAACGACTGCGAGCAGGAAGCGAGGCTTCTTGTGGGGGAATAAATACCTATAGGAAATGGAAGATCAACGGAGTCGTGGTATTTAGTAAACAACAACCGGGGCGACGTACCAATAACCAAAGAGAATGATAGCAACAATTGGGCCATGTGGGTAGTGCATGGAATACGCAAATTGAACGGATCTAGCGCCATATATGCGATGGGTTGGGATGTCAGCGCTAGAGACACAGTCTACCCGACGGTGGGATTCGGCAAATCCCGCTCCTTGCATAAGTATTGCAGAAATTCATCGAAACCATCAGGGAACACCTCCCCTTTGAAATCAAGGTAATTTCTGATAATTGCAAGTCATTTCCCTGTTTTCGAGGACCGCAGTCGTGCTTGATTTCCAATAGCTGGGAGTTCTCAAACAGTCCCGGGCCGGGAGTCGGTTGCAACACCTTTGACGAGAACGACACGGCACACTTCCTTTCATTCCTCGAGGAGCTTCGCCAGCACCCAGTGGGAGAAAATCTCACCCTCTCTGCCGCCGTAGGATTGGCACCCTTCTTTGACGCTACCGGAAAATCTTTGACTGACGTTACTGGGTTTGCGAAGGTCATCGATTACGTCGCAGTGATGAATTACGATATTTGGGGTTCTTGGTTTCCGACTGTGGGGCCAAACGCACTATTGAACGACACCTGCGCCTCGTCTGCGAACCAACAGGGCTCTGCCGTTTCTGCAGTCAAGGCTTGGACGGACGCAGGGATGCCTGCCAACGAGATTGTGCTTGGCGTTGCTTCCTACGGTCACTCGTCTCATTGACAACGGTTTCCTCACCGAGCAAGGCATGCCTGCTGAGGGCATTCACTACAGATATGACGAGTGCAGTCAGACAGTAAATACAGTTTTACAACCTGAAGGACGATTGCTCATGTTCACTCCTTTATAGCCGTATATGACCTCACAGGTTATGATCTCGTTCGACAATGTCTAGTCAATTGCTGCCAAGGGCGAGTATATCAAAAAGACCGGGCTGCGCGGTTTCGCACTGTGGGAGGCGGATGGTGATTATAATGATATGCTCGTTGACTCTATCATCGATACTGTCGGGTATTAGGTGCGTCGCCGCTGATACACTCCTCCAGCTGCTTTTGCTTCTATAGAATTCACTTAATTACCCTTGGCTATAGACGCGTTGACATCCACTTCTTAATAGTATCCTTCCTTTTACCCAATGTTGGATGAGGATGCCCGCAATTACAGTTAACGGAGGCACGGTAAGTGGAGGCGCGCTAAAACTCTTGTGAGTGTAGTCACAAGATGACTCGCCCAAGACAACACCTGGTCAGTCTTTGTTGCAGTACTATATAAAAATCATAAGATAATACACGTATGGAGGGAATTCATCTAGAGTTGCAGATGCGTTACAATAGTCCACAAGCCCAGGCCTCCTCCCAATCATAGGAAACATTAAACTGCATGCGAAGATCCTCCGATTTAGTACGAACATCAACTGACAAAACATGCCCTTCCCCACTCTCAGTGTAGGCGTTTATGGACTTGTGTCTCCAGGGGCTAGACATCGAGGGAGTGGACAGCGTCAGCAGCTCGACGTCCACGTTCTCTTCGCTGATACATGTCCTCGCAGCGCCCGTGATTACGATACGGGGGAGGACAAGCGAGACCGTTCTAAGGCTTTTGAAAGAAGCCCATGGAACGCTCGCCATCCACTCAGGGAGCAGGTGGCTCTGGGGTTCCAAATCGTCGAATGTTGTGGGAGAGAGGAAGGTGAGGCGAGAGATGGAAGCAAGAAAAGCGGATCCCTCGGCACTGCTTGTGAGGGGATGCCAACGAATGAGATCCCCCACTAGTGTCAAAGATTTTGTGCTCCAAGGAGGAAAGTGTTCATGGTCGATATTCATGGCAACGTGGGAGTTCCATACGGACTCGATGCAGCCGTAAAGAAGCCACAGACTTCCAAAGTCAAGCGCAAGGGACGGTGCTGATAGTAGCACTGGAGCCAGAAGGCTGAAGTCAATGTCAGACTCAGACTGTGCATATAGGGCAAAGTTGCGGCGCATGGGAGCTTGTGGTGGAGGTTCGCAGATTTGTCCAAACCAAATCTTGCGTATGTGAGCTGCGTAGTTGAAATGAAGGTGATTTCCTTGTTGGGCGTATGTGTTCTGCAGGCGCAGAGCATGCACGAAGGCCGTCATATTGTGATATTCCGAGAGCAACACTGTGTGTAGAATTTCGGGAAGGACGGTGCGTCTGATAATTTTGGAGACGCGGCAGAGTGAGAGCGCGGATGAATATGGATTTTTGTGAGTTTTGAAGAAAGTAGGTCTTGAGGCATATCTGAGGATGAGCAGGACAAGCTCGGTCGAAAGATGAACAAACGGAAATTGAGAAGTTGGTTGCATAGAGGGCCAGAAAGATGCAAGACTGTGCGAGGGTGCATAAATTTTCGTTGAGATGTACCTTATAAACCAACTGATATGATCTACATGCGGACGTATAGGATAAAAAGGGGTTATGGCAAAGTTCCTGCGGCGGCAGTACGTTATTCGCCCCACCGCATTTGAGGGACTACAAACCGCGGTACGTAGTCCATGGGTAGTTGTTGTTCCTTTTGGTTGCGCAATGCGCTGCGGCTCCTGGAATGTATATACTGACTATTGTGCTCGAATTGTCAGGCCTATCGATGGAAACAAAGTTGCGACCGAAATAGGAAGGGAGCGAAGAATGGAATCTTCCTCGGAGCTAGTAAACCACCTAATGAGGTCTTCCCTTTGTACGGAACATCATATAAATATTCACTGGCGATAACGCTCGAAACACAGGTTCTGAAGAGAGGCTCGTCGTCGAGGTCCACTGGCACGATGGACGAAACACTAAACGAGAGCCATGTTTATAACCGTTGACTTTTCAACCGTACCTTACAAGTTTCATCTTCTTGACCACGAACAGACCAAAAATCAAATGTTGCGCGGGGGTTTGGCATCTATGATATGGCCATGCATCGATTTGATCAAGGATGCTGATATCATGGAGAATGTTGTTTGGGAAGTCACAATGTACGATGAACGTGCATATACTATTTGACGAGCAACGCGAAGCCAAGGCTGCCCAGGAACCGGAGATCCATTCGTGCCCCATATTTCCCTGTGAGCATTTGCTACATCAACTTCCCATGACGTTCACAGTTCTTCTCGAGTCTGGAAATCAATAATTATCATGCATTTTGGCTCAACTGTTTTCGCCTAAAGCAAGCCATCCGAGCAACGCCTTTACGTTCACACTGGAAGTTTCAGCCTATAAAACACCTGCGTGCTACTATGACTCTGCCTCATTCCCTTCTATAGTAAACACCATCATGTTGCCTTCCCGCTTCATCATGTTTGCGCTGCTCAGCTTCCTCGCTGGCGTCAATGCGTGTGTACAGTGCCCAGCCACAGTGATGTTCGAAGGTAGTGCCACGAAACTAGCCCAAACCATCCCAGGCGATGTCATATCTTGCATGTGCGCCGCACCCACGCATCTTCATTAAACAAAGTAACTAATAGGCCATCAGTTACCGTAAGAGCACCAGCCCAGCACTGGTCTGTCGGTATGATGTCGTAAGTGCTTTCTGGATATTGTGCAGCTCATTGTTCTTGGTTGAAATGCTACCGATGGCATCAGATCTTTGGCTACAATATAGAGGGGCATGATTATTGTCCGACATTCGCAATTGTGAAGAGGTGGGGGAGACGAGACACCCAACAGGAGGAGCCATGTTCGTCTGCAGACAACGGTGTATTCGGCAGTACTTAGATCACTATCTGTTACGAGAATTAGTACCAAATACTTAGTCGTGTCTTGCCTTGGCAAGTTGCATCATCCTAACCCCCTATTAAAATACCCCCAGTACTTACTAGAATCGTCCCGAAAACTAGCCTATAAATGTCACAACAATCAATCAATCTCATCAGGTTATCCCGGTTCAGACTGCCATGTCTAGGCCCCAGAACAATATTGTGTTTCTTGCTCTGACACACGTCACGACTGATCACGTGAGACTGAGCAACTTAAGATCTATCGTGAGTTAGCTTGAGTCTTGACTGCCGACTTGTCCGTCCAACCTCGACAAACAACATGGTTCAGCTACGTCGCTCGTATGGCCAAGTGCTTTAATTTTGTCCCCTCCTTGGAAGGGGTGCCTGTGTGCGCACTTTCCAATCATTGCGCTACAAGACAGGCCCAAGTTTTCAACTTCACAGATCAAATAACTGGACAAGTGGTAGCTGTCAAGAAGTCCCACATCCCGCTGCGGGTCAAACGTACGGTTATTCAACATGAAGCCCGCGTCCTCCAAATCTTGTGCGGTTATCCAGCCGTTCCATTGCTATACGCCATCGGGTGATTCGAACATCTCGAGTATCTTTCCATGGAACTGTTGGGACCGAGTATCCGTGAAATCATGGCAAAGACAGACGAAGTGCGAAGGAGGATCGCTCCTCAACTGGCTGTACAAATGGCGCCTACTCCCTCACTATCTCGCACATCATAGGCTTAATTAACCTTTTGCATGCCAGCTTTCGGCATTGAAGCAGGTTCATTGTCATGGCGTCATTTATGGTGACATATAAAGCCAGTCACCACCTAATCTGTCCTACAGATTATCACCGCATTCGCTTGATTGATTTTGGCATAGCGCGTCAGTACATCGGACAACCTGCCCCTATAGTCGACCCCGGGAAGGAGCCCGACTACGTTTTGGGAACTTTACGTTATGCGAGGTTGCACGCCCACCAAGGCAGCTTTAATTGGGTTAGTCATTTCAATCTTGCAATTTCAACACTGAGAAAGGGCAGCTTTGACACGACGAGACGACCATGAATCTTTGGCTTACACTCTTTTCGAGATCCTTCGGAGACGCCTGCTCTGGAATAGACCACATGTTCCCACAAGCTCCCCTCTTGGTGTCAGGCGTCAAGTTTTTGCAAAGAACCAAGCTTGGTCAGGTGCGCGGTTGGCAGAAGGTAGTGACGCTGCATTCGGGCAGTTCCTCGACGAAATACGTAGTCTTGGATTTAACGAAGCAACTAGTCTTCGTTGGTATCTCGGGGCAACAAGGAGCATCGTTACTATTTGACTTGGAGCCAAAGATACTTTGAAAGTTCACCGTGTCGGCGACAGCCTCCCACCAGTTCCCATATCTGGCGTGGGCTCGCGAGGCTCCGATCACCCGACCCACCATCTTATATCGTCCAGCCCGGCCAGTTCATCTACGCACAAGTACTCTCAAGAATAACGATTGAAGGTTACACAATTGGTCAAGAAGATCCATCCTATTGGCTAGACCCTTCCCTCTCTGACCAAACGTGACATACTGTTCCGCTACCTGCAGTCGTCCTCTCAGTCCGGACAGACTTGCGCGGCAGATCTGTTGTCAGATTAGCACATATCACTCGTCGACAGACCGAGGCATCGATAACCAAAGTGCTATTCACGATTGATCAGGAGTCTAGAGAACCTGATATCGCCATTGTATTAGGTTCAGGCTGGCTCCAAGATCCCACATGGGGCTACTCCGTTATGCATGAGTTCTTTCCTGATCAAGTGAGACCTACCCGCTACGGACGGAATTCATCCGATCTCGTCTTTTTATAGCGTGAAACAGTTTCGTCGCATTGGATGGTACCCTCGATTCCCTACATTCTCTCCTTCAGACCGGACACAACACTAGTACTGGCACGACGAGCGAAGAATCCAGCAAGCGCTTGGCCTTCACGGTGAATGATTGTTGTCCTGACGTTTACATCAAAGTGCACTCGTTAGGTCCAGACAGGTTTGACGAGCTCATCCCAATTTCCAAGAGACGTTCTGCTGATAGAGGATACCTGTGGATGTTGCCGGAGGGTGGACAAACTGATGCGATCGATGTGACATGCTTTTTGGACAGTTATTTCGATTCTGACATGAGTGAATGGCGGCGCATCCAGAAAGAACGGAACCCATCCCAAACCCGAGGTTCAGTAGACTACGGTGTCATTTTGGCGATCGAGTAGATATTTCATAGAAATGTTCCTTTCCATCATGCTCACATAATTCGGACAGTCGTAAGCTGCGTAGACAGAAGGGCACAAATGATAGTGTATGGAAATGCGAATTGACGATCGACAAGATAATTCTACAGATACAGGCCCTCGGGGGTGCCCTCGTTCTTCCTGTACAAAACCTAGAACAGCAAGAGCTCAGTCACGTCACCCACAGTTGAAACGTCGATCTTACCTTCTCCCTCGCAGCAGTAAAGTCCGCTTTTGTCACCCGCATCCGACGCTCTCGCAAAGCCAACATACCAGCCTCCGTGCAGACAGCCTTGATATCAGCACCTGAAAGATCATCCTTGGCCATGATGAATTCCTCGAGGTCGACATCTTCGTTTAGGCTCATGCGTGAAGTGTGTAATCTGTAATAATTTGGCCGACGTTATTAGATTATGCAAGGGAGGACGTACCGGAAGATATGCCGCTTGGTCTTTACGTCTGGCAGCGGGAACTCGATCTTTCGGTCTATACGACCTGGTCGAATAAGTGCGGGATCTAGTGTCTCGATCTTATTCGTGGCCATGATGACCTTCACGTCGCCACGAGTGTCGAAACCATCAAGCTGGTTGAGTAGTTCCAACATCGTTCGTTGAATTTCACGTTCACCGCCTGAAGTTGAATCATACCTTGAAAGCAGCGTCAGTATTCATAGACGAAAAGTAAGACGCATCGTTACCGTTTGGTACCTATAGCATCGATTTCGTCGATGAAGACGATACTGGGGGCGTGTTCTTCCGCTACGCGGAAAAGTTCGCGAACGAGCTTGGGACCGTCACCAAGATACTTCTGGATAAGCTCGGAACCGACCACGCGCAAGAACGTTGCTGACGTTTGATTTGCGACTGCCTTAGCGAGGAGGGTCTTTCCTGTTCCAGGAACACCGTAAAGAATCACACCCTTCGGTGGCTTGATTCCCATCTCCTCGTATAACTCTGGATGTGTCAGCGGAAGTTCGACGGATTCCTGGGAGACGTTAGTGCGATGACTCAGATAGCCAAAGAGCTACATTACTTTGATTTCTTGGATCTGGTTCTCAAGACCACCGATATCAGCGTAGCTCTCCGTCGGAGCTTTGTCTAATTTCATGACACTGACGAGAGGATCGGTATCGTCCTCCAGTACGCCGACTACTGCCTGGTTCTTGTGGTTGAGTAATACTGAGCACCCGGGCTCGATCCGATCCTTGTCGACGAAGCTCATGATCGAAACGTACGACTCCGGGCCACTAGCGGTACTAATGATAGCGTGGTCGTCATCGATAATCTCCTCCAGCGTGCCCACCATCATCGGCGTCCCTCTAATATCATCCACCTTAGACCTCTCATCCTGGTTCTTCTCCTCGCGAGACGACTCGGGCTTCATGCGCTCTTGATTATGAATGAATTCCTCCTCCAGGAGTAGGTAGTCTTTGATACGCTCCATCTTGAGTAGACGTAGCCTACACCGTGTAGCGGGGAAGACGGGGGGAAGCTTAGAGGCGGTTGCTGGTCCGCGTCTTTTCTTCTTGCCAACACGAGTCGGGAGAGGCGGCTCCCATTTCTTCTTTGGCGGCTCGGCTTTTTTGTCCTTGTTATCCTGGCCTTGGGGTTGGGTAGGAGGCATGCCTGATGGTGCGTTTCCCTGTAAGACATTTCAGAGAAAAGTAAAGAACTGCAGCTGATCACAAACCATGGTTATTGTACGGGCGTATAAGCCAGAAGCTGCTCGACGCGTCAGTCCATCCAAAACGGGCGCGAGAAAATACTTCCGTATGTGGATATCATGACCACGTCTGCATGAGCATCCACAATATGCGAGTGCGCAAGGGTGCCACTTAGTACTTACTCTGCTCATATTTACAGTTACTAACCATGAGCCATCTTCCATTAACTTCTACTTCGCGATTCATAGAAGCAGGTGCGTTCCAGATCCATGACACGTTCGTAGCCACAATTCGAACAGGGATCCATACAGACGAAGATGATGATGACCTGGACGAGCAAGACATCCCTGGTTTCTCAGCACCATCACCAGTCGTAGACAAGGGAAAATCGAGGGAACCAGAACAGCTCGCAAGGCCTTCTGAAACTCCCTCTCCGAATCCGAACGTGTCTGGCAACATAGGTTCCAATGGTGCACCCAGCAGCAGTTCCAACAGGCAGACTGTAGGTGGCATTCGAGTCGAGACTCGGTAAGTCTCACATATGTGCATCGACTACTGTGTAAACGTTCTTTAGGTATTCTGGAGTGGACACTCTAGATGAGCCTGTCACAGCCACTATCGTGAGTGCAGCCACCCTTGCCCCCTCGTAGAAGCTGACCCCAGGCCAAGGCACGCGACTTGCTTTCGATATACTCGAAGTTGGTACATGTGCTTTACCCTCGTAAATCCAGTGGACGTGAAGTCCTCAGGTTAGTAGTGCCCGACATTCCAGTTAGGTTCGGCGTTGATATTATTGCAGAGACTGGGATCTTTGGGGTCCATTATTGCTTTGTCTATGCCTAGGCATCATGTTGAGCGTGAATGTGCGTCTGCCTTTATTCGTTGGTGTGAGATGAATATGAATCAAATGTTTGTCCACGGACCACAGGCACCCGCCAGTCAGTCGTTAGGGGTATTCACTTCCGTGGTTGTGATTGTGTCCGTTGGCTCCCTTGTTGTGACCGTCCAGGCTAAGGTGGGGTATACTCATCTCCGGTTATGCAAGGACACTAATCTTGCCTCTCATTCCTAGCTTCTCGGTGGCAGAGTGTAAGCAATGCATCTCAGCCTTCCCCTGTCATGACACTCAAGCTCCAATGACCAGGTCATTCTTTCAAGGGCTTTGCGCGCTCGGTTATTGCATAGCACCATTAGATATCGCGGCACTCATCTCGTGCTTCGTGCGTGTCATCTGGGTGCGTGTGCCCATTGCCCTGGCTGCCTGGGCTTGGTGTATATGGGGTGCGCTCCGCCTACGTCTCATTCAATCGACTGATTCTTAATTCTGGCTCCAGCATCCGTAAACTTCTTGGACGGCACGAAAATTGAACCACAGCGCATCTTGCTCGCTGTATACCCACTCTTGTAAGTCATTGCAAGTCTATGTCTATTGACTTGCGAGAATAATGGGTTTTTTCCGTGTTGTAGACTTTTCTACTTTGTCCTAGCGTGGATGATACTTATTCAGTGATTGGACTTTGTTGAAAAGAGCGGCTTCTGTGGTAGACGTACATGTACCCAAGTTCCTGGCTCAATTTGCTGTAGCATGCGTTCCGATGTGACAGGGGCCAATACACCGAAGTTCACGTCTGCAAGGGACAAGGTTCTAAAGATCAGTTATGATACATCATCCACCAAAAACATCTTACAATATGTATGAGGGGTCACACCACTATCAGCAACTTCTTGGATGCCACCGCCTTCAACTTTCAGACCCTCACCGCGGTAGTTCAGTGTCTGCAAGATCAGATCAACGGTTGCCAACCCAGCACCTCATTTGCACAGTGAACACCGACCAAAAAGAGGCGGATAGGTAGCATAGATGTCGAAGTATCAAAAGAAATAAATGCAGTGTTTGTTGGCACGTTGACGGTTGCGCATTGGATTTGGGTGAGGTGATTCATATGCCAAAATTGGCGCTGGCCCATCATTTTCTTTTTAGCAGTCACGCCTCACTGGTAGCAGCAGCATAGATGGCATACAAAATCTCCGCTCAAGAAATAAATGCGCTGAAAGCCTTACCCGATAATATTCAAGTGCGGTTTTGGCTAGTAATCACAGTGGCACACAGCCCCCGACACATCTTATTTCTAGTGCTATACGAGCCCTACATGGAAGCGTAGCGGACCTCGACCTAGTTGTCGAAAACCTGCCACTTCCACATGAACACAAACACCGCCTGTTCCCGGTGTTTTATTCTCCCTTGGACACTTCTCGCATCCCTGAAGTCACCACAGCGACAGGCTCCATTGCAAATATCGCAAATATTACAAATATCCTGCTTGCTAAGGAATCTTTCCGTGGGGTCATGTTAGTCTGCAGTAACTTCCAGGTGGCTACAAATAATGAGGCGGAAGCCGGTCCCATCACCCATTTTCTGGTCTCCAAGTGGGATATGCTATTCCCATGGATGCAGTTTTTTGCGTCCATCAGAGCTGGCCAGGCCCATACCTGATTGGAACCATCCGCACGCTCGGTATCACAGCGGGAGCTCACCAACTCAACATCGATTGCTTCTCGGTCTTTGTCTGCTGGATACGGGCGCATGAACAACCTCAATGTAACTATTCGGCGGTCAGCATCTACTACTAGCACTAGCACTATTCCTCCGACTCTCACCATCATCGTCTCCGAACCAATGATGCACTCACTGGCACCGGAAACCACAGAGGACGCATCCACAAGGAACTCGAACAGGGTAGGAAAGATGTCGAGTGTGAGTTTTCTCGTTATGAAGATGCAGGTCTACTACTTGAAGCGGCTGAACGCACAACAGATATAATTCGTTTCTGGGAGGTATGCCATACAATTCCTTCATTAATTTCGTAGGAATAACAGTTGTTGTGCTAGCAAAAAGAACGCACATTCCCGCTTCTATTTCGCATCGCTATGGATGTCCTCCCTGCTCAAGCTTCATCCGTTCCTTCCGAGCGCAGATTTTCATCCAGCAAAGAGACCTGCACTCTACGGCGCAGTAACCTATCTCCGACCACGCTTGAAGCACTACAAGTTCTGAAGTTCGTCTACAAGCAAGACCGCCTCAATTTTATAGCGGACCTGGTGGCTAACGAGCAGGACTACATAATATGTGGACCTGTGACTCCAAGAGCAGTTGACGAGCTGATGGCTGCCGGGAATCTTCGAGAGCTCGATCAGTTGCTCGCAAATGCAAGGGAGATTGATTGTATTTAGTTTATTGCAGTTCTGTCTGCTTATTGTGTAGCTACTTGCAAATAATCGTCGTTGGTAGTACGAGCATCTCTGGCTTCTCATTGGCTGGACTACCGGTCCGTATCACTCCCGAACTCATTACCAATTCGCGAGTCAAACGAGGCACAATTCGTCACAACTCGTAAGTGCCGAGCTGTATCGAATTACCACAATTTTCCACCTCGATTCGATTCGGTTCGCCTCGGCGGCAACACTACGTGCCAACGGTGTTGATGAGATGACTCTATGTACGCGTGCGTTTATGAATAGGACTATCGTAGCATTTAATGGACGCGTACTCGGTCGCATATAGCGATCAGGTACAGGTAGAATGACATTATAACCTCTGATGCAGGCATTTGGATTTTTCCAGATTCGGTTGCCCGCGGCGAAGCTTTATCCCTGAAAATGAGTGAGGATAGTATGTGTCTTGTTGCCATTGGCTTGCTTCACACTAGGCTGGCTCTTACTAGTTAAGCTTCTACTAATGATCAAGAGATTCTGCCTTCTCATCATGCCAACATGAATGCCGTTTTCGAACTTACGGACAATTTTGTTTTAACGGGCAGCAGCTATAAAGCGCATGAGCATGGAATCGACGAACAAACGAAAATAAACCCCCGCGCTTAGCTTGACACTCAGGCTGGTTATTTTTTGACGGTAAGAGTCAATTCATCAACCTGTAGCTGTAGATCCGACTTATAACAACTGAACAGATGAATCTCTTGACAATCATTCTCTTGGCATTCACGGCCATCAGTCCTTTTGGTGCACGAGCCATGCCGGACTCAGACACCACCGACTCATCATGCGCTTGGAGTGCGTGCGAGGAAAATCCGCAGTGTCCGGATTTCCCTTATAATGTCTGGAAAGACAGACGCTGCACCCTCAAAGACGGTAACATCGGGATACAATTCTTTTGCTGTACACCGTAAGTGGTGCAAACGGGGGGAGAGAGTAGTAGTAATAGTAGTAGGGAGTGCCGATGGTTTTGGCATGAGGATCTGAAGTTCTCAATTGCATAGTACTCACTGTTCGTTCCGGTTGTCTCCCTCCGAGGGTACTTACGGTCATCTGACCGAACTCCAACTCACCCTATGATATCAAAGTCGTGGTCATCAGAGCCTGTTGCAGGGCCTCCAGCAGATTGTCGTCATCCATTTCAAGGTCTTCTACTCAAGTTTTCATAGAAACCAGCTCGGCCCCTAAGCCGGGGAGCCCATGAAGTTATTATGTCTGCTGGTAGTTGACACTTCGACTATAAGTTCTGCCTAGCGAGGTAGTTCTCTCGCCCTCCTGGAGTATGCAGCTAGTCTCGCCCACCCTCACTTTGCAGCCACGGTCATCCGCTCTGGTTCTGCAGCCAGTCTCGCCTCTCTCCGGGTTTGCAGCCAGTCCCGCCCACTCTGGGTCTGCAGCCAGGCTAGTCCGCATCAGGCCTGCAGCCACTCTTGCCTGCTCTTGGTCTGTAGCCACTCTTCTTTATTCCTCTGCCATATCTGCCAGTTCTCGATCTCCTGCCACTCTTGCCCACTCGGCGAGTGGGCAAGTTTTGCAAATCAAAATGTAGGGTTCGATGGTTCGAACCCGTTCTGAACTGGGACCGAACCCTTGTGAACGCGTTCACAGGAGTTCGGTCCAAGGTTCGCCCTCACTGCCTGAAACTGACCAGCGGTTAAGTTCGGGGTTCACAGATATAGGTCAATGAACCTGACCGAACCGGACTTCGGCAGCACTACTGAGTAGCACTCGCGGTGTCCAACCACTCTCGGCCACTCTCGGTCTTCAGCCACTCTTGTCCGCTCCGAGTCTGCAGCCACGTCACTCACCTGCGCAAAGTGTTCAGCCACCGTTCTCCACAATATCTTGTAGGTATAATATATCAATGTCTAATATTGTAGAAGGCTGATGTTATATCAGAGCCTGTGGTACATAGACCTTGATGTATCATACACCTCCCTCACCTTTCCCGCTGCCTGTCCTGTGATGTATCACATAGACCATTGATACATCAAGCTTGTCCTGTAATGTATCACCTTCCTGTTGTTCAAAGCTCACATAATATATCACCTTCTTATTAAACCTGCATGCACAATCTTGTGATGTATCACCTTGAAGCTTGCATGATATATTACCTTCAAAGCCCTTGAGGCTTGTGTGATATATCACTTTCAGGCCTTTCATGTTATATCACCTTTGTATCACCTTGAAGCTCGCATGATAAATCACTTTCGGGCCTTTCTTGATATATCACCTTCATATCACCTCGCATGATAAATCACTTTCAGGCCTTTTGTGATATATCACCTTCAAAGCTCTGGGCTTGCATGATATATCACTTTTGGGCTTTTCATGATATATCACCTTCAAAGCTCACGCAAGTTGCTCATGCTGATTGATGTTTCCACCAATCGTGAGCCAGGACTGAATAATTCAAATGATATCATAGTTCTCTTGTTGCAGCCCATCTGTTAGGCATGGTACCCACCACTCATAAACACAGAAATACAGTAGATTATATACTTGCCCTCGTCATCCTCTCCATTATAACCTCAAATCAAGTTATGACAGACACTTGAATGAGCAGGGGCATCGGTAAATTGCTTTGTTCTGTACAGAGCTGGACAGAGGTTGACAGTGCCACAGTGCTACAGCTTGGTCCCAACTGGACAAATACTACCGTAACTGTACAGAGCTAGACAGAACCTCCCAGAGCTCACAGCAGTACCTTCAATACACAGTATTCTTTTGGTTTTGTTTAAATTTTGATAGAAATCAAGTTTCAGACAATTGAAAAAATTGGAATCAATGTATTGCATTCAACTACTCTAAACATGAACTAATCTAAGAGTTACTGAAAGAGTGTGAGAAGGTACCACAAAGATATTGGGTGCTGAGAGGGTGCAAGATGGTGCAAGATGGTACTGGGAGGTGCAGGAGGGGATAGAGCGTGTGGGAGGGTGTGATAGATTGAGGGCAGCTAGGTGATATAATAGGCTGTTAGTAGATAATAAGAAAAACAGAAATAAAAGGACTTACAACTTGAAGCCGAGTCAACTAAGGTCAAAGTAGTTAGTGCCAAGTCTGCTGACTGTGCCGAGAGAGTGGGAGAGGGTGGTTAAGGTAAATAATAAGCAAGCAGTAATAAGAAAATAAAGAAAATAAAAGACTTACTTGAAGGATGGCAGTGGTGTAGGTAGAAGTTAAGAGTTGAAGTGTAGAACAAAGACTTCTGAAATTTTTGACGAGTTGAACTATGACTTACATCAGCATTGCCGAGTTCTGTGGTGCTGTGAGAGCTGTTACAGGGACCCTCAGACCCCTATTGTCTCCACCAAATGTCACTGTCACAACCATGTCACAACATGTGACAGATGACATCACCAGCACATGACTAAACTGCAGAGCACAGCATGACAGCTGTTGGAGCATGACAGCTCTAGACTGGACCTAGACCGGGATCAATAGAAGCTGCGCGCTTCTCCCTTATCACCTCTACCGATACACTGGTAATAACTATCGCTTATCGCCTTATTGCTTATCATGACAGATAGCGTTATCTGACTTGGACACCTACCGCTGTGCTGGTACTATACTCTGGACCCTTACCATTGGACCGGTGACTCTTATCTCTGAGTCCTTATGACTCACATAGACACTTACCTAGTTGGGACACTTTCTTAGACCATGTATTTCTCTAACTTGATCTTCACTTGTGATATATGACTCTAGTATCTGCTTTGATCCTTCAGTCAGTCATTCTGGATGAACAGCCTTCATTTCAGTCTTCCATCATCTCAGTACTCCATGAAGTGGACACGGAATCAACCCCATCAAGTGCACTGTTGGTGAAGCTGGGCTTCACCATAACAAGAGCTGTGAAAATTAGCAAACACTGTGCAAGGTTTAGTAGTTTACTAATGGGAATTGGAGTTTGGTGGCAACTCATAATGTTGATCAACTGCGAGAAGGGGAGCTTCTTGCCATGAAGGGTCAGCTGCCCACATGAGTTTGATGTGGACAACCATCTTTCAATGTAGATTAGCCTAGTGCTGTGCATAAGCAAGGGCACCCTCTCTAGCCTGCAGTGAGTTAAAAGCACACCATGGACCTCGCATGTCCCACCAGCCTGCATGCCAGTCAAGAAATGCAATGATGCAGTGCATTTCCTCCTGCAGTAGTTGCACTTCTTCCTCCTAGAAATGAGCTCATGCTCATGCCTTACACCATTCAACATGTAGCGCTATAAAATGGCCAGGTCAGTGAGAAGCACCAGTGGTTAGAGCCTACTAACAGTCCTGTAGCACTAACTCATTGCTGTTGAAGTCTTCCAGATCCACGATATACTTTGTTGCCCTACTGTTCGGCCATCATTGTGTTTGAGTGGGACTGCATCCTTTTGCTTGTTGAGTAGCTTGAGGCTCCTCTCCCAGTCATTGTTCTTGCCCAGCCTTGTTGCCAGATTCAGAAGTGTGTCTCTAGCAGTGAAATACTTAAGTGATAAGGTGTCAATGCAATGTTCAGTGTTATTTATGATTCCATTTGCTTGGGTATTTGCTTGCTGTCCTCAAATAAATGTGTCCTTATACTTGTAAAGGTGGTATCACAGGTTAAGCATGGTGTGGAGGTAATTCAGTGTGTCATATGCCTGAACTTCACGCAATTCCCACTTGTGTTTGAGCAAGCAGTCATCACACGGCACTCACTGGGGTAGAGAGGATGGCAGGAAAAGACTAATGTTGTGGGCCTTGGTTTTAGTGGCAATATCATCTAGTGACTACAGGTGGAAAACACTAGGCATATACAATAACTGCACCCAGGCCCAGTGTCATATCCATGATCCACATAAGTCTCCTCTGCCCTCAGTTAGTGTCTTCTGCCCTCATCCATACTCCTCCACCCTCATTCACAGTCCTCCACCCTCATTTATGCTCCTCCACCTCTCAATATGTATCTCCAACATCAGATACATTCCTCTGCCCCTGACTTGATCAAGGTACAAGGCACCTGTCAGTCCATTCTACGTTTCCTTTGTATATTCTGCTTTCCATCTAGTCTCTGTACCTTGTATGATCCAATCCTCCATTCCAATTTAGCTTGTTATATACTATGGTTCATTGTCCCTTTTATCATTACTTTGTACTCCACCACACTGTGCTGCATAGCCCAGAATCCTATAGTATATAAACCCTATGTATTCCGGTAGAGTTCCTACAATATGAATATAGACTCAAACCTATCCTAACCACCTCCAACTTGACTTAAGCCTTGCTGTTAGGTACTGTGCTTGGATGGAGAAGTGGAGGGGTTGGGGCTTGGCTTCAGCTCTTGTGCTGCGCCCTTAGCTGAGTATGTGCCCCAAATTTGGAGTGGACCAATGTTGTCCGACAGTAGGATGAGAAGACTGCTTTGGTCCACTTGAGGGTTGGGGAAGTAAAGGCTACTAGTGGCAGACTGACTAGTAAGTGGTGGATGAGACAGGGGAAGTCAGTTGAAGGCAGAAGGAATCAAGGGGATTGGAGGTAAGGTATATTGGAGGAAGGGGACAAGAGGTAAAGACTTAGAGCACAGCTCTGAGTCGGAGTGGAGGTGATGATAAGGTGAAACTTGTGTCCGGAGTTGAGCAAAGTCCTATGGAGAATTCTCACAGTAGAAACTGGAGAAGACAAGTAATATTAAGACTAAGGACTACAAGCTAAGTACATGATATCCTATATATTCTAGGTAAGGGGGCAGTGATTAGTGTACATAGCTGGAGGCTATATGCTGAGTATTCAGTTAGTAAGTATGATTATAGAGAAAAACATAAGAGTCAGAGTGGATATCAATATGTATGTGACAGATCAGTAATCAGACAGCTATAGGAATAACCAGTGATCTGAGAGGGATTGGCCATGTACCAAAGGGGGATGTATATACCTAAATGGGGAAAGGTGGTCCAGTTGAATGGAACCTATGTAAGGAGGTAGCTGATGAGGCAATAAAGCAGGAGCACCAGGATGGGGAACAAGTGGAGCAGAAGTAAGGGGAAAGTAGATGATAGGGTCAGGTAGAGCAGATGTGTTGCTCACTGTCTACTCTGACCTCAATACTAGTCTCACCATCCTCCACCTCTGTCTTTCGACAGTCTTAGTATTACTTTCTATGTCAGACTTAGTCCCTCGTAGCCTTAGCTCTGTCGGAGCGTGTCAGACAAAGTCCCTCATAACCATATCTCTGTTGGAGCATGTCGGAGTTGACCTTTGGTGAGCCCCTTATCTGTCCTTCAAAGTTAAGGGCACTGTACTTGCATAAGGAGTGCAGTGCACAAGCTGAAGCTGAGCCCTTCTATAACCTCCTTCCTACCCATTAGGCATGGTTATGACAGTTCTTGCACTTCAATTAATGTGAAGTTGTACTTTTGGTGGAAAATTAAACCTAAGAGACAGTGATACTTTGAATCCAGATATTCAGTGAGAGGCTAAAAACTTACCCATTGCACAGATCTTCTTCCAGTTCTAGTCACTGAAGTGGTCATCTAAGGTGTCACACCTTGAACTGGGACCCATTTTGTGCATGCTTATAGCAATGGGGTTTATGTCCACCCACCCATACTCTGGAGCTTCACCATCTGTGTGACCAACACCCTTGATGACATTGAAGGAAAAGTTTGACTGGCATTTGGTAACATGGGCCAGCAGGTGGAATTTTGATATGAGAAATGTGATTGATTTTCAGTCATGCTTGATGTGGTACTGGTGTGGGAAGGCAGACATTCATGTCCAGAGATGCTTGCTCCATTGGCAAGCAATATCATATGAGATGTTCAATACCAATATCTCTGATGAAGACCACATGCTCAAGAAGAATAAGATACCTGTAAGTTGTGTTGTTAGCAATATAGCAAGGATGTGGACTGTTGCACACTTTTCACCCTTCTGTAAGTCACTGGCTGAGCAGGGCCATTTTAAATTGTGTCATGCGCAATCAATAGTACTGCAGTGGCTGCAAGGCCATGTGAGACTCTTGTATCTGCAAGATTGACCACATTGTGACTGGAACATGAACTCATCTACATAGAGTTATACTTAGTGCTCACAACAAATAGAAGATTTACCTCCTGGATGACTTGCTCATGTGAACCAATGAAACCTTTATACACCTGTTCCTCCACAAAAAACACATATCCATGATTGAGACCAGTATCAACGATGTCCAAAGAGACATTATGGCGAGCCAGACAACAATTGGCATCAATGGCAAGGAATAAGGCATATAGAAATCTGGTTCTGTGTAAGAGAAAATTCAGGGGGAAAGGTGACATTATACATACCATATTTCAGATGGCACATTTTCCCATCCATCTGGCAGGTTTTTGCCTGTGTGGGGACATGCAGGACACAAAATGGTACATGCACCTCATTCAGTTGCACCAATACCTTTGGGGTGATGACCTTGACCAGCATGTTTCATCTGCTTGATGAAGCACCATTCTTGCGTCATGTGTAACAAAGCCTCATAATGATCCTACTTGGTCCACACTTGTGCAGACCCAACACTGCAATAAATGAATTGTCCAACTCAGGGTGCAGCAGAGTCCAACCCTTGTCATCTACTCTCCAAAGCACTGCCATAACACAAGATTGTATGGTGTGTGCCTCAGGAACACTGGACTTGTACCCAAGCTTGTCATGCAATTGGTCCAAGGTGGAAAAGAACACAACAACATCCTGTTTGAAAGTGTATGGTAGATAAAATGTCCATATAGTGCTGAATATTGAGGGAATACATACATAATTAAAATGATGACATGTTTGCCAACAAGTTTGAGACTTTGCCTGTTCTATAGTCTTATTTCTAAAGGAAGACAAATAAATTTTATTTTGATTATGATGATAGACTCAGTGATGAAATTTGACCATTGATAACATGCTCGCTTGCTTTGCAATTGAGCTTTGTGGTGTTCTGCTACAGTTTTGTATCTTGGTGCCATTTTGATAGTGATGTGGGAGACTGTGCCATATCCCGTACCTCCAGATCAGGAATTCTGGATCTACTCCATTAAAGTCCAGTTCTCCGTCCTGCTATTCTGCCTGGCGCTCCGCCTTCATCTCCACACTCACCCCTAACTCCTTTTAGAATAGCTACTGCTCCGGTTACCAGTTATGTCCTTTTCCGCTATGCTTACTGATCTGTCCATTCTTACTTCATTTCTGACTTCACTACTTTGATCTGTTACACTTACTAATAGACTTTCCACATGCTTCATACATAGCCCTTACCTTTGCTGACTGATTTACTTACATGATACCTACAGTATATAAACCCCTGTAATACTCCAGAACTCCTCAGTTTGAATATCATCTTAGTTCTGCTCATTCCTGCAATCTCTGGACTTGAGTCTCATCTCTTGTCCACCTCTGAGTCTTAGGGGTTAAACCTTAGGACTAATTCTCTGGCTCTACCTTAGGGTAGTCTAACCTCTGTTCTGTTTCTACTCCGGACTTGTCCATAGTAGCCTTACTCCATCCCCACATAGTCTTTGGGAGTTCCGCCGAACTCCACTGATGTTTGTCCTCCGGAACTCCCTGGACTTCTGTCAAAATTCCTCTCTGTCCCTCGGAAATTAAGGGCACATACTCGAGTAAGGGGCACAGTGCACGAGCTGAAGCTGAAGCCCTTTGAGTAACCTCCCCCTTGAGCACGACCTTAACAATAACCGCTAGTGTGATCTACAAAGCAATGACCATGGTGAAGTTCACATCATATCTGACTCTCCAGCTATTTGTAGGCTTTGAGTTAGGTAGGATTCTTGTTGCTTGAAGCTGGAGGAATGTCGTCCTCGCATGTCCTCTTTTCCAACAGTCGTGCAGAAGAGGCTTTGCTGCCGAGCGCATGAGGAGATGGATACCTGACCATGATGAACATAGTTGGAACAGTCAAAGGGAATGTAACCAACAGAGAGATAAAGAACGGAACAGGGGGAAAGAAAAGAGTTCTGGGAAGCGTCACAAAGATGATAAAGATGACAGTTACTACAGAAAAAGGTCCAGACATCAATCACATTCAGCATCAAAGGAACGGGATAGTGATGCGATGCACATGATACAGTCTGTGAAATCTGAGCAATGGACAATTGTTCGACTCTCTGGGGCCAATAGGTGGACATGTGCTTGCATCCAAAAACCTTGCTGTGTTACAGTATGATTAGAACAGCACTAGATAGTTACACGATGACTCATCAGTTCCACCAAAATAATAGGTCTTCTACTTCCTTAGCTACATCTGATGTCACAGCAAGCTCAAGGAAGTCGGTGATGTTATCATAGAACTCTTGATGGTTGAACTCATCATCTATAATACACCATGATCCTGTGCTAGACAAAGCAAACCTAAGCTGAGTGGCCTGTATCAGCAACACATTGAGGAAGAGTGATACATCATACTCACCTGAACAGCTGCATATGTGATTGATCGTGGTTGAACAGATTTCATGTTCAACAGCCCAGCAACATCACAATGAGTGTGGCGCTTGCCATCAGTCCTTCATTGCTTTGGACAACCCTGCCAAGAAAGCATTTCTGGGTCAAGCTGCTCTTGGTTGTCCATCTCTGCAGAAGTAGGAGAAGTGAAGGTGTATTTGAATGTCTACAAGTGATTTTAGTAGACGATCATTCATCCTCATGAAACATACCTTTAAAAGTAATTTCCCTTTGAATAGACCATCTACAGGTTTCAGTGGGTCATATTTTTCGTCTTGATATAAAAAAGCAGGCCAAGAGTGAGCCGTAACATGATAATCAGGGTGATAATCCCTGATGCCTTGTTGGACACTACCACATTGGTCAGCAAATATGTTATGAAGTAGACAAAACTTACACTGGGTCATTCCAGTCATAATCAACGGGGCATATGAGCCATCCAGTTGCATCATTGTTGAATCCACAACCTAATTTATTCTGCCTATGAATGACAGGGCTCAAAGGTGGGGTTGTTGCATTAACCACGAGGCAACAGTGATTTTGAGCCATGTTGTATTGTCAGCCCTTGCTCCATCAGCACCTTTATTTAACTACAAATGGTCTCAATTAGCCTCATTACCAAGGGGTCTGCAAGTCTCACCTTGCTGTATATGTGAGAGAGCTCACCATTCTCAACTACTGAGTGTACAAGCTTACAAATAGATGGACACCAGGTGACTAATTTCTTGTATGATCTGTACTTCCTGTTGTCCCTAGTGGGCATAATTAGCACAAGCAACTGCAAATGACAAAGGACCTACTCAGGGTCATTCAAGCTAGTGTCATCATCTAAGTCAATACCTAGCATCACACGTCTGTCAAACTCTGCAATGTGATCTTTGACATGATCAGTAAGGCAGACGAGTCTGTGAATCACTTGACCCTCAAGACAAAGGCATTCACTATCAAATTAATGGCTCAGAGGGTGACCCAATGCTAGATGACCATGCATACCTTTTCTCTTCTGCTGGCTGTTTGCGGAGTTCTGCATTTTGTGGCTCCAAAACAGCCAGCTGCCTCTTCAAGGTCACTACTTCAGAAGGTGCACCATCAGCTTGGGAGCTAGTTTGTGACATAAAAAATGAACTTTGAGGGTGTAAGAAGCAGGGTGTGAGAGGTAGGTGTGAGAGGTAGGTGTGAGAGGTAGGTGTGAGAGGTAGGTGTGAGAGGTGTGGAATTGAGGGAAGGTGCACTGTCTGAACTATGGGAGATCAGCAACATTTTGATTTGGTGTATTTCAAATAACACACACAACTTACATCTTGACAATTTACGTTCTGGAGCTCCATGTCTATTTGGAATGAGCTAACAGTCATTAATAAGAATGAAGGGATGGCAAAATATAAATAAAAAAACTTACCAGCTTCCGGTTCAGCAACTCCGACTTGACATCATTTACTATCCCACAGAGCCAATCAGAATAATCTCTGAATGAAAATCAATTAACAAGTAAATGGACATCCGAAAAGGGTTCTTTACAGTGTAAACATAAAATGGTGCAGAGTAGATCGATTTGTGGTGGCAGACGGTGTTGCTAATGAGAAGTTAAGGACACATGTAGGTTGTTAGTCAGTGAACTCACCTAATGACTTTGGAGGGGCTAAGCTTCCAATGATACAAACCCTCAGTTCTAATACTTAGGTGGCCAATGAGGCATCAGTCAGCTAAGTAAGGGTGAGCACTTGTGAGAAGGGATAAAGGCAGTTAATGCACCTCTTACACTACACATATGGGCCCATTTTGGCTCCTGCCTGATGGTAAGTTCATATTCCCTGTGTGGATGATTGAACATGTTAGTAAAGAGAATGATGATAGACAAGGGAAATAGAAGTTATCTAATATGAAGTTAAATGGTGATGAATGTTTCACTTTGATGCCCTTAGTAGTAGGTGGAATGGGGGAGCATAGTAGGAGAGAACTTACAATCAGTCTCTCTCATGGTATCCTCTCAAGTGGTCATGGTCTGCATAGCCATGGCCAACTGCCTCTCAGCTTGAGAAACACAACAGCACATGAGACAAGAGCGCTAGTAACTTGAGTTTGAGAATACCACAACATGCAGTGCCGCCTCCAAATAAACATCCCTGCGATTAACCACTTGTTCAGCATCTGTGAGTCAACTTGACGGATGGGCAATTTCTGGCCTCCCCACACGCGCATATGGATCATCCACAGGCGCACACTGGCCATTGACAACTTCAAGTTGAGAAGGAAGGAGTCTTCTGCCGTCATCTGAAAACAGAGGGAGGAGGGTTGCAAGTAGTCTGCAAATCTAGGGAGGGTAGTCCACAAAATAGAGGGAGCAAGTGGAACAGAGGGAGGAGGGTAGTCTGCGAAATGGAGGGAGGATGGTAGTTGCAAAACAGAGAGGGAGCAAGCAAAACAAAGAGGGGCAAGCAAAACAGAGGGGGAGCAGGCAAAAAGGAGAGGGAGCAAGCAAAACGGAGGGTAGTTGAGAGAGGAGGGTTGTCTGCAAAACCGAGGGAGGATGATATTCTGTAAAACAGATGGAGGAGGGTCATCTGTGAACTGCGGAACAGAGGAAGGAAGGTCAGCATGAGCACAAGTTAGATTAGAATTACTCAACCAAGGATACTGATGATACAATAAAATCATACCCTGACCGGTCCACTGCCCTCCCTGATGGCTATAATAGCATGAATCTACACACCACAAGGACAACTGAATGAGATATACCAAGAAAGAGTAGTACTAGTAGAAGAAACACACACCAAAGGAAGTAGCTGCAGCCTACAAGATGTCTTGCCCCCTGCAGTGCATCTCATTCTCCCTGGTCAGCGTGTATTTGATGGGTAGTGGCAGGCTGGTTATCCTCCCTGTCTATGTGCAGTAGTCGCCACCATGCCAAAATGGTCATGCCTCAAGCACACATGTGACTCATCAACATCTCTTTAGATAAGCAAAAAAACCTTAATACATAGCCACATGAAGTAATGGTACAATTGAGGTTGTTCTGAGCCTATGTATGCGAAATCTGAATGTGGGTAATCAATAATGGACACCAGAACAGGAATATGAGCAATTTATGAGTAGGTTGATAATACAGCAGTTCAGTAGTGTATGACAGCAAGCAAATGAAAGTGAGAACATGAAAACAAATGTTTGATGGCCGGCAAGTGATGTGAATGAAAGGAAACATGCAGCATATACCATTCAAGATATAGTCAGAGGGCTGGCAGCGAGATGGCGATGTTTGAAGGGACTGCTTGGCATGGCAGCAGGGGGTGATAGGATAGTAAGTTCTCGTAAAACAGCACTGAAAATGTCACACTTTGTGCTTTTGACCTGATGATGGCAAAATGCCATGTACACTTCAACAAGTGCTCCCTTTAGCTTTGACTCATACTCAGACAGCAGGATGAGGTTATGATCCAAATCATATGCTGGCAAGGGACAAATTATATGTGTCGAAGTGAGGCCCTGCCAGTGACCTTTGCATTGGTCAGCCACTGGCCAAGTGGTAATGTTGAAGTCGGAGCTTAGGCCATCCGAGTCTGCAGTCATGTAAATATAATTAGTGTACTAATGGACATAAGAATTTTTTGTGGCTCACCTGTTGAGTAGTTGTCGTCGGCATCAACTTCGCTAGCAGTATCTCGCTCAGGATGTTCTTTATTGACCTGTTTTGTCATGGTAGTATTCAGTACATAGTCACAGTAATGCACATGATAGACAAGTATACTTACTACAACTTCAAAGAGACTGTGCATCAATTTGATCAATCTCTGACCAAGTGAATTATGGATAACACTAAGCTTCTCATATCCTCTTGCCCTCAGAATCGATCCCTCAAAATGAGCAAGATTGTTGAGGACATCTGGGAAATCTTCTGATGAGAATCAGAAGGCATTGTTACAACCAGCAGTAAGGTGACAGCTCAATTTTACATCTGCAAAGTGACCATGAAATATATTTGAAGGATTGAAATTTACATCCAGGGTGAAATTGAAATCATTGTGACTGATCTCAAACATGCTGCGGATGATGAACTCTGTGGGTTGGAGCCTTCCTCCCTTGCTGATAAGAATGTTTCCATCCTGTCCACCTATGAAATATTTGACATGACAAATAAGTCTCGGCATAGCAGCATAGAATCCTCCAGGAGAATTCTACAGTTTTTGAAGTACAGACGCAGAGGTACTAGTAGTGGAGGACAGTTTATATTTGGGAGGCATGGCTGGTGCAACTGGTGCATGATGTGATGCAAGTCTTATTGAGAAACAAAATCATATTCTGTGGATACAAGTGACTCACAGTGGCAATGGCAGCACAGAAGTAGTAGTGTAAATATAATGGACTCATCTTGCTTGAATTTTTGATGGTCAGAAGTGTGGGGCACTGGTGCAGTGAAGATTGTTGACCAATATCACCAGCAGAGGGAAAGCTTGTGGAACATGTACGTTGTCCTAGTGGTCACGGGATCTGACATTTGAAATTATTGGCGATTGAATGGGATTAGTTGTGCTCATGTTTGAAAATTTTCAAAGAATATGTTCTGCTGCTAGACCCACATTCTGGAAAGCTTGGCTGCTTGTGAAATCCCTGTGCCCACATGATGAGGCAGCGTCTGAATCAAGTCAAGTCTGAGTCCCTGCTTCCGTAAGGGACCTAAACAGACTTTAGTCAAGGCTAATCATAAATGTTCTGTTACAGTTTTGAAGTACTTCTTTGGCTGCCAAATGTTGAGAAGAACATTGAAGGTACATACATACTAGGTCCAAATGCTGGTGAATGGGATCTTTGGAACTTGGTTGCACAATTTCTGGTAACTGAAAGATCGGCATGTTGGGATGCAGGGTCAAGAAGAATTGAAAGAAATTTCTGTATCAGACCAGGATCATTTTTGTGTAAGTTTGAAATGTACAGTGACTTGAATTTAAATACAGTCACTCAACTTGAAGGGGTAATCAGCAAAGATGTCCGACGCAGATTCCAGTGGCATTGACTCCTGGCCCTCTGACTTTAATGAAGCCGATGTGATCTTGATCAATACTACCTTTGGAGCTCATAGAGCAGGCAAGGGTGTCCGTCACTCAAGGAGCTCCACTCCGCAAAGTCACAAGGACTCCTGCCCTGGCCCAGGTCAGGCGCATGGGCAAGGTGGCCCAGTGTATTCCTGTGGATGTTGTGCTTATGGTAAGATTTTCGACTTTAAATCATCCCCAGACCTAGAGCATCACACAGATCGGTTTCCGGACCACAGAGAGAAGTTTTCCCAACTTCAGAATGACTACCTCAAGGACATCAATAAGCTGCGGCCGTGTCTAAAATGAAAGAGGTCACAGTGCAAGTCGAATGATGTGAGTATGCCTAGCTTTATCTTTCAAATTATGCACTTACCATCATATGGGGGCTCTGCACAATTTCAGCCAGGGCAGTACCAATGGGAAGAAAGTATCACGAAAAGACAGAATCAGGTACATAATTAACAAAATTGCAGGTGTGTTAGAAGCTGTGAGTAGAATTGAGGTGGCCATCAGTAGGCAAAGCGGAATCCTTACTGAGGTCTGTAATGTAGTTGAAAACCATGGCATGTGATTGCTTGATAGTAGTCATGTCTCATTTTATGTATGTTACAAGATTCTTCTGGAGCAACATGTAGTAATCAGTATTGATGCCGTCCAGGTACTTGACTGGGAATACAAAATTACCTGAGTGAGTGGCTTCGTAGGTGTGTGTGGCTGTGGTAGTGAAATTTGAGTTTGCCTTCGTGCTATCGCTGATCATTGATTTTGTTGGTAAGACTTGGAGTGGGACTGAACTTACAATATCCTCGCTGACTTGAACACCAGTAGATATCCAAACATTTGGAATCCCATCATCAAAGCCATTGTTGGCGCCACCTGTTGGGATGGGGTCTTGTGGGTTGACACAGTGGTATTCGTGGACTTGACTACCCTTACTACTGGCAAGTTGACTGAAACATTTTATGTAATCACTGTCAGGCCCATTTTTTCAATATAATGTCTTATTGATCGACAGAATCAAACTCTACTACTAATTGTCAAGTGTATCCCTTTTGAATTTAGGCTCTGTATATTCTTCATATCTCCATGGACAGTGCATTACATTCTTTGATGGGTCGTTCACTCGGACAACCCTGAACGTTCTGAACTCTGACTAGATGTTGGGTTTAGACTATATAGAATACAAAGCATGATTCACTGCACACATTACATTTGAGTTATATCTGAAATCTCCAGGAAAAAAAATCAAAGCACTAGAATAAGGTCATCATGGTACTAAGGTCTGCAGGTGTTGATTTTAGTAAGTGTGACCCATCACCACAGTGAATGGGATAGTGTCACCTTCCTCACCTCTGCAATTGTGGCCCATTGTAACCTACAGTGCATTAAATCCCAAGACCTCAGGATCGGGCCATAAATAAGGAATCTCAGAGACACGACACCCAACTTGAACTGAATCGTTGAACCAATGTGGCGTGAGGATGTACATGCAGGTATACAGTGCAAAATACATTGCAGTTTGGTACTGCACCATGAGGGATAGCACAGTTAACAATGGTTCCATAGTAAATAAAGCACAGAGTAAGTACCTTATTGCTCCATTTATGCAATGCAAATAAATGGGTGACATCTCGGGTAAGGGCTGTTCGCCACTGTCCTCCTAATGAAGTGATGCCTGCTGAGAGAACTTCAAGGTCACATCAGGAGAGCTTGCAATCAACATTAATGTCATACAATGTGATTGAGGACAGTTCACTCACATCAGTGGCACATACAACAACACCTGAAAAAATCATAATTGATTCAGGTGAATAGTACTGCTCACTGACATATTGACCGTCAATGCCTTCATACTAAAGTAAAAGAAGATGAGGCTCACAGTTGAAGTTTTCCAAGGACTACACTCCATTGTACCCACATGTCCAAGACTACATGCAGAGATCCCTGGTGTTCATCCTGAGTGTGTGATCCAGCAAGTGCAATAAGATGGGTGTGTGGTGGAGCCCTCATTGCACCATGGAGATCTAGCAAGGCTGAAAGTTCCTCGTATCATTTCACTTGTATTGAAGATGAAAGGACATAGCGCACACCATTGAAGAGGGCCATACACTAAAGCTTCAAGGTGTATGGTATACACATGAGAATCAAAGTGTCAGGGTTCAGAACTTGCAACTTACATTACATTTTAGCTAAAATGCCATTCCAATCCAGAGGTCAGGTGCTCCATCAACAGATCAGGGTATAATTGATGTTTCATACCATACCATGAAAATTCATGCCAAAATGTAGTTTGGCACATAGTAGACAGTCCGACAAAGATCAAGAAGATCAAATGGGCGATTTGTGAGTATCAGTATGTAACAGTGCTGTCAGACTCAGAATCTACCAGTGTGATAACAAGTAGTATCGACCTTGATGGTTGCTGAGCAGTGCTGCCAATAGAGTGGGTTCATCACAATCATCAATTCTGGCAGCAAGCTCCTCGTTGGGTTGGAGTTGGCCAAAACCAAGTGCTCGTCCTGGCCAGCAATGTGCTGCTGCAGTCTGGAATTTGGAGTTTTGTGCTGGTAATGTCACATAAGCTGACATGTGATCTCATCTTTCTTTGTTTGCATGACTTGCCAAATGCACTCTTCATAAGTGCTGCTTTTCAACTTGAGGTGCCTGTCAGTATGCATTGTCTGTCAGGCCGTTCAAGATGTTCATCAGGTGAGCCAGCCTGTTCTCAAAATGGCATGTACTTAGTGCAACAACAGTGGTCATGGGAGATTTTGCTTTGCATTGAGGGGAAATCAAACTTTCTCCAAATATTTTGTTGTGCCACAGTACTGGCACCATGGTGAGTAGTACTTGCTCTTTGATTTAGTTCATGCCAGTCATTGGAACCCCTGGCTTTATCTTCAACACACAACCCTGGTCCTCACGACCTCATGGCTCATTTTATTTCATCTCATTTTTTAAACTTATCTTGTGCTTTCTCTTTAAATATTTACTGCTTGTCTTCTTGCATTCTATCCAGAAAAATGTCAATGGTGCGCATCACCTGTATCTTCAGGCTGTACTCATCTCCATCACATCTTTGATTATTCTCATACTGCGACGCATGACAAATTTTTATCTAGCAATCATCAGTTGCACATCTGAGCTTGTTAATTAACTGGTGAGTAAATTTCTTTGCAACGTGTTTTTGCTTCATTGACAATTCCCATTATTCAAATCAGATTTCAATGCAAAAGGTGGTAACCGCTACTACTGTCACAGTACTAGTACCCATACTTTGCACACAAATCAGGCTCATGAAAATCCATTCCAGACAATCAACGGGTGCACCTGGACCACATACTTCAGCTTTTCTTGGCTGAGCAATATTATAGCCAGTGGTACCATAATGCTGCTCTTATCTGCTTTGTATGACACTGTACAGGCTGTATTTGCTTCTCATTTCTTGACATAATTCAATTTCACTGGGGATGGCTGATTATTTTGCTGTCTATCTAACCCACATTCCCTGCTGTTAAGTTGCTATGACCATGCCATTGAGAGCCAGCAAGATTAATATTTGAAAGAATGTACTGGCTCCTCTCACCCACTTGAACACCGAGCATTCCTGAAATATCGCCTGGCTCAAGCATATCGTATCTTTGGTGAGCTCATTATCTTATCCTAATGAGAAGTGCCCATTGTGCAACGCAGGAAAGTACGGCTTTGATGAAGGCGTAGCTGGACATTACTGTTCGGGTAAGAGTGATGCTGATAAAATGCTGTGCATGGCATTTCTAATTGCTTTGCCTCAGAAAGGACCTGATTAAACCAGATTGTTACTCCTTCCCAGCTCCTCAACCGGGCAGCATGCATGATCCATTCAGCAATTCATACAGCTCGGTCAGATATTATCTGTGCTGCATATTTGCACACTAAGTATGCTGAGGTGTTTGGTGCTCTTAGGGTGCCTCTTGGTCCTATTACTCAGGACAGCTGTGCGTTTTATCAGGTAATCTCAGTTTCATTCATTCTTGAAGAATATCCCATTCACTGAATCCATAGGACCATACTCTGTGCAAATTTGGTGGCATCATCGATGACCACGAGGAAGGTCCAGCCATAGTGAGTGCTTGGGTTCCAAAAAGGTTTGCAGATGCGTTGATTTGCGTGTGTCGATGCTTATAAATTTTCAGGCTGTTATCCTCCAGGTATCTTGGAGAGCTCCATTGAATTCTCCCAATCCCTATGTCAGCATCAGCATCAATAATCACAAGGAACTTGCAGGAACCAAGCATAAGCCGAGCAGGTCAGCAAATTTCATGATTTTACTTTGGTTAGCCTCACTATTACCATCCGTCTGAGTGTGTCCTCAGACAATGCTTGACGATGGCAGCTAAATGATTCAGGACAGCTTGTCAATCCAGATGCATCGCTCGACTGGGATCTTGCCAAGCTGAAGCTTGGCGCTGTAGGCGGCTTTGGGGATGACAGACAGGGCCGACTGGGACTTCTCCCCAGTCCAAGCTAGGTGCTACAAATGTAGCACCATTCAATGAAGCAAGTCTGCTGGAAACAGCTTCTGATGTCAGTCTCGACTCCTCCCCCAATACCTCTGATCATCAAATTTTACCATCCCATTCTCGCATGTTGTCCATGATACACTGGAATCTCATGAATCTGTCAATTCTTCAGCTAGTCATACCATATGTGGGCAGCCCCAGCAACGGAGAATGAGAGGAAGGAGCGCCCTCACTATTGATTGCTGATTTGTGTCGCCTAAAGCAAGCAGGGGAAGAGTATGTACATTCTGTTCCTGCTCACCCTTGTTTGTCTGCTACTTACTGGGACCACATTGATAGCAGAGAAGAGCCTTTTTGCAGCCAAAGTCCACTAGAATGACTAGAGATTGTATATGGATTGCCTGGTGCTACATCATGTATCATATGTGTGTCCAATGAGCCTCTTAATGTCATTTCCAGCCTCTTAGAACTTCCCTCCATCTTCGTGCTCATGGTTTAACATTTGTAAGTTCATTTGGAATTTTATAGTTTCAAATTGGCTTACCTGGACGCACTAACACACACCTCTAAGTCCCAGCAGGTACTCCAATTCGCGCATCTCCATCTCGAAAATCCAGCACTCCCTAGTGATCCAGAGTACCATCATCACGCGCGTTTCTTCTGACCAGACCAGAGGCCAAGGATTGGGCTGAAGTGGTTGGTCAGGGCATACATTATCTCCTTCAAAAATGTCAGAATTGTGATTACTGAATGATTTGTTACTAACAATTTGCCTTTCGGGCACTGTGAAAATCACATCCCATGGCCTTGGTGTAAGTTGCAGAAAATGTTCAAGATTCTGTAAAATATTGGTGAGTAGTAGTTGTTAGAAAATCTTTGGCATACCTGATGATCTCCATTTCTGTCTTCATTTCAATCTCTGATTCCTCTGTTAGCTCTCTTGTAGTTATTCATTCCTGTACTAGGATAGTAGATGTAAAATTAAATTTGAAGTGATTTAATGCTTATCTTCGTTTGAGTTGTCGCGTCCATAAGACACGTCCCAATTTGGATAATGGCATTTGCCGGAACAGGATGCCATAATCATGTGTCTGTGTCATGTTGGATCTGAGAGCTACAAGGGCTCACTGTTTAATGGTTATATGTACTATCCAATGTTTGTACACCAATAAGCTCTAATATTTAACTCCTCCCATTGCTATTATGTGCTACTGACTCATAATCACACTACTAGCAGGGGGTGACTTAATGTACCTTCTGAATCTCAGATGCCATGATGCAACAGAATCATGTGATTATTATTTTTCTCTTTCCAGTGTGTTGTTTCCTGGGTCCGTCTTATCCCTTTATTTGTTGTCACTTCGCACTACTCATATTGCATCTCCAATTGCTACTTCTCACTCAAGACATCCAAGTGTGTTAGGCCAGGGCATGTCCATAAAAGATGGTGTCTCAGTCCCTCAAAATAATGTGGGATCAGTAGTACGACTCAGACCAGGTTCGATTTTATTATTACTCCAAAACCATCTCTAGTTCTAACTGTTACTCTTAGCATTTGTTGTGTTTGGATTAATAGATGATGCCTTGGCCCCGTTATCTTTATCACTGGCTGCCATTCCCACTGTAAAAACCGAAGTCGTAAAGTCTTTCAGATCTGTACCTGCTACGTCTTCCAACTATGTAAATGGCAAAACCTCAGCTTCCACATCGGCCACAGGGTCATCCAACTCCAGTGCACTATCCTCAAGGGCTGCAATATCAACCACATCTATGCCTAAACCATCTAGAGCAGACATTGCAAAGCTCTTCCAGAATCCCTCACCATCATCTTCCCAGTCGTCTTTTTACACATCCTCTCCTTCCACTCTGCCATCTAATTTACCTCCACATCACCAGCCATTGTCATCTTTGTCGCAACAGCCACAGCAACCCTTGCAACCTGGCACACATTCATATTCACAGTTCGTGCCAAATAGCATGTGCCCATCGCAGCAGCCTTCTGGCACCCCACATTCCCCTGCATTCTCTCGTGCTATGCCAAACATACAAGGCCAGGGTGTTGGCCCAGGGGGTCCTGGTGGCCCAACTATCCCTGCCAGTCCCCAAATGGCTCTGCACCCACATCATGCACCTCCTGGAGGTATAGCACTACAGGTGCCCATGCAGCCCATGTTGTGAGGCAGATACTCTGTTAGTACTCCATTTTTCTAAATACCTTTACCAACCATGTTCTTAATGTGATCCAAGTATATGGGTCCATATCAACTGCAACCTTGTTTGGGGTATTATACTATGCCCTCCCAACATATGCACCAACAGCCTCACCTGCAACATGTCCCTCCTCCCCATTAACCTGGACCTCTTCCCATATCACCTTGTCCCACAGCCCTCCAATTACCTGGCACATCCACCATGGCACATGCTATCCCACACCCCCCTCATACACCTCAACCACCTCCCTTCCCTACTGCCAACACCTTCCACCGCCAACACACCTCGCCTTAACATGAACACTTGTGACTTTGTTCATGGCAGATGCTCTACATCCAAGGTTACCATCAAGAGCCAGGATGGCACAGAGGTGACCCTCAATACTCTCAGGAAGCATGGCCCCCAACCACCGACCGTTCCTATCCCACCCACATTGCCTATTGTCACCAACCAACTGCAATGTGGAAGAAAAAGGGCAGATACGACAAGCAGAGGAAGACGAGAAGGAGCACCTATGCCAGGAGGAGGAAGACTATTGCAGGAGGTAGGGCAGGTATGCATCACACTGGAAGAGGAGGAACAGAAATGGCAAGATGTTCTTGAAGCTGATGAAGCTTATGACATCATTCAGACTCCATCACCCATCAGTGAGTTTCAAGAGCCAGAGGATGGCAAAGTCTCATTTATGAGACTGTCGAGAGTTGGTTGATCTTGGTCATTTCATTATTTTTCTCTAATATGTACTCCCTTCATTACGCTGGGCCAATACTTGTATATTAACATGTATTCAACTGTGTTGTTAATCTGAGTTCAACCTTGCAATGTAGTATAGTCATGATCACCAGTATTGCACCTGGTGTCAGGGGTCTCATTGCACTGGCCTGCCATTGAGCATCCTGGTGCTTTACCATACTGTCTCTCCTTTGGCATGAAGAGTCAATGAAACTTATCCTTAAGCATCTGACATTTTTTCTGCTGGTCTTCACTTTGATGAGCACTCACTTCATCTGTGGAGGAGAATGCAACTGATCATTTACAGGACTGAGTGGTTTGACCCATCATTGTCAGAGCTGCAAGCACTGGAATAATTGGTTGAGTCTGCAGTCCCAACATTTCAAACACATATCAGCATCTACACAAGAAGCTCCTGCCCCAAAAAGAATAAAGCTTAGTGCTGCTCAGGCAAGTAGTTTCAGTACACCGTGCTATGATCCTTACTTATCTAAAGATGAACGCCATGATAACCAAGCCCTGCCTTCCCTGGCAGCTTGCTGCCCACAAACATCATAGCATCTGAGTCTTTTGATAGCCCTGCACCTCAGTCCAGCACCAGTGTTGAAGAAGCAGCTTCATCTAGCACCTTGGTGTTGGACAGGGTGGTCAGACTTGAGCTAAGGACTAGAGAGATGCCTTGCTTGGCTTGCTTGCTCTGTGCTACTGACAAGACTTACAACCTATGCTACTCTGCTGACTTAAGCCTCAGAATGAGCTGCTGGGCTTCTCCTCTCCTATGCTGCACCCTTAGGACCCCTACTCCATGCACCCCCCTAAAAAAATAACCGGTGCCACCCTCGACGCCACCTGATCTCCCTCTCTGTCTGACTCCTCTTCCTCCTCTTCTAGCTCGTCCTCTACCTCTTTTGGATCTTCATCTCCATCTCCGTGACCCATCACTTCATCTTCTGTGTCTTCGCCACTACTGTTCTTCGTTAGTCTCTCTTCATACTTCAATTGATCCTGTTCCAACTTGGTGCCTGTTCAGGGGGTGAACACCCTTAGTCTTCTTGCACTGTATTCGCCTTGGAGAATCCTGCCCTCCAGTGTTTCAAGGGTATATGAGTTGAGAGTTCTGTTTTGAACTCATCTTGGGACTGACCACTTGGGAAGGATCTTGCAGTCTGTTTTGAAGGTGTAGTTGAGGTCACTTCGGTATACTTGTACGAGTTGTCTGCACTTGAAAATGACTTCTCCTGGGGCTCATTGTAGAAGTTTTTTATCGAACACAGCTTTGTGTTTGATGGCGTGACATACGATCTTGTCGTATCCGTCAAGTCATTGTTGTTCTATGTATGCAATGTGCGATAGGGCATCTGTTGGACAGAGCATTGACAAACTCTCTTCGAGTGGAGTGGGGGGGGGGGGGGGGGGGGTGTTTACAATGAGGCTGAGTAATAATTCTTTGGGGGAGAACTTCAATGCTGGTAGTAGGCGGTTGTTGAGGGCATTTACTGCTTTGTCAAGGTGTTCTGGCCATGATTGCGGGAGTTTGTCCCATGATGCATTCTGCAGCTCATCTTCACCTAGGTTTGGTGCGCATCTGCGCTTTAGAATGTGCAGCAGCAGTTTGTTGGTCCCCTCTATGAGTCCGTTAATCCAGGGTGAATATGCTGCGACGACGTGCAGTTTGCTGTTCTGTGATGTGCAAAATGTTTTCATGTTGTTGTTGTTGTTGAAGTGCTTGCCTCCATCTGACATGAATGTCTCCGGTGGTGTGAAGCTGCTGAATATGCGTGATAGGCCATCGATGGTAGTCTTCGCACTTCCCACTGATTTGTACTTGAAGACCCAGACGTGTTGCGAGAAGGTGGCAAGATATATGCTGAGGTTGCTATATCCTCCCTTCCCTTTAGGGAGTGCAAGGTAATCGCCTATGAGGAGCTCAAATGGGTGTCTCCTAATGATTGGCTCTAGGAGGGAGTGAATGTGTGCTGTTCCAAAGTTTTTACATTTGGGGCAATCTCTCACTGCAGTTAGGATTGACACATTGAGTTTTGGGCTCCATATTTGGTCTAATAGTGTGATCTTGATCGTGTCTCTTCCCCAATGGCTGCCGTTTATGTGTTCCTTTCTGGCCAGCTCTATGGCCTCTGTTCTGGGTACACATTCAACCCTGGCTCTCACGCGGGTGGTTGAACCTCCCTTTACTCTCTGTAACTTGCCTCTGTCGATTAGGTGCTGTGATGCTCTATGGTGGGCCTGTTTGCGGTCTCGTAGTGAGGAGTTGTTCTGAATGTTCAGTATTGCATTAATGACTTCTAGAAACAGTGGTTTGTCAGTGAAATGGAGTTGCAGTGTTTCGATCTCTGGATCTGTGCTTAACACATTTAGGACGTCGTTGGTTAGTCCTGTTCGCGCCTCCAAGTCTTCGCTAACTGTCCACTTGCTACCATCTCCTTTGACTCGTGGTTGTCCTTCCCACTTGCGACTCAACCCATCTGTGACAATGTTCAGTTTCCCCAGAACATGTCATATGTCAGTGATGTTGTATGAGAGGATGCCTTCATGCCATTGCGCATGGGCTACATTTAGGGTGTTGTTGAGTAGCATGTCCTTGAGGGCATTGCAGTCTGTCTCTATTTCGATGGGTTGTCCCCAAACAATGTTCGAGAACTTGTCTAGACCGAATTTGAGCGCCATGAACTCTAATAGGTACAACTTGTAGCGTTGTTCAGCTAGTGATGTGCATTTGGAGGCGAATTCAATGGGATGTAGTTTCTCTACCCATTTCCTGGTTGGTGTTTGGGTTTGGATTTTCTGCAATAGGATGGCTGCAAACCCTTCTAGGCATCCATCCATAGTGATTATGAAGGGTGATCCATCGTACCAGGGGCCTTGGACAACTGGTCTCGAAGTTATTGCAATTTTGAGGTCTAAAAACGTGTCAGTGTGTTCTTGTTTCCAGTAAGGTTCGAGTTGGAAATTGCTCATGGCTTTTCAATATGATGTTTTGTTATATGGGGCTGTGAGCTGGACTTTGGCGATGAGGTTGCAAAGTGGGTTTTCTCGCTTTGCGTATGCTTTGATGAGGGAGCAGTAGTGGCCCGTTAGACCTAGAAATGAAATGAGGTTCAGCGCATCCTTCGGGCATTGCCAGTCAACGATGGCCGTGAGTTTTGAAAGATCTGGTTGTACTCCATTCAGTCCAACTGTACTTCCTGCAAATTCTGTCTCCATTATGCAGAGGCTGGTTTTTGTGGGGGCTATGGAGAAGTGGCATTGTTTGAAGCGATCAAAGATGGTGTTGAGTTTGGTTATCATTTCCTCAAATGTATCTGCTGAACATCCTCCATCATCCATGAATAATTCCATTAGCGAGCTGAGGAGGAGATCATGGAGATGCCTTGCTGTGGTTTCACAAAACGTGGTCGGTGCTCCTGTTATGCCCATTGGCATTCGCTTATACCAGAAGTACCCCTGGCCTTTGATGTAGAGGGCTAGGTATGGTCTCCACTTCTCCGGTACTTGGATTGCATAGAACCCTGCTGCAAAATCGAATACTGAGAGATACCTGTGCCTGCTGAGTCGTTGTTGTTTGGCCAGTATGTCCCCTTGTGGCATCAGCGCTATCTCCGTTACTTTGTTAAGCTGTGCGAAGTTTTGCATGAGTCGCCATTTTTTTGGAGCATTTTGCTTGGGTTCTGGTTCTGGAGGGTCTACTTCTTGCTCTGGGAGGTTGAAGGCCGGTTCTCGTCCTTCGGCTGTGCATTCTGTGTTGACTCGGTGTTTGATTTCGTCCCATGATAGGCCTGTTGCCTCATGAGTTTTCTGTGTGATGACCGTTGTAGCTGCGCACTTGACGAGTTCTGGTGGGGCTCGTTCGATCATGTTGGCTTCTAGCATCTCATCTATTCTGGCGCTGAGAAATTTCGACTGTTCTGGGGTAAGCGGTCGTTGGTGGGTGCACAGGTTGAAGGTTGCATTCTCTTGGATGTTGAGGTTGAGATATGCTCCTGGGATTGGAGTGATTTCTTTCAAGGATAACATGAAGTTTTTCACTCGTTTTCGTACAAAGTCTTCTAGTTGTGTGTGTTGTTCTTGTGAGAGGTCCTCACCAAAGGTAATCAATGACAGAATTTTTGCGACTCACTGCTCTCCAAGCAGCTTCTTTCCTTTCTAGACATGCTGTATCTCCCGGAGGAAGTATGCAGTTACGGCTGTTGTGTCGATGTGTTCCACACGAGAAGCATTCTCCTGAGCATATCATCACCGTCCCTGGTTTGAGCAGGTAGCCCGTTTCATGCGTGACCCATGAGTTCTCCCCCCACTTCGCATTCCATTGTACGATTTGGGCTGCGTGTGCTGTGTGGCCTGCTGTGGTACATATCTGGGTGGTGGGGGAAGGACGTGATGAGGAGCCTAACATTTGTTCTTGTTTCATCTGTTACTGTGATGGATGGTTGTGGAGTTGGCTGGTGGTTGTACGTAGGTTGTGCATTCTGGTGGTTCTGGGTTGTGGGTGTTCTCACATATCCACTGCTGCCTGGGGGTGCTGTCGGAGGGTTTGGCATGTTGATTGACATTCTGGTGAGTTGGTTTTGGAGTGCATCTACTGGGTTGGGTACTGGTGCTCATTGTCGGATGCGAGCTAGGTCTATCCTGAGGGCATTGAGCTCCTGTGCTTGCCGGTTATGTTGTTCCTGTTTCTCTACCAATCTATTCCCCTTCAGCTCCGTAACTGCCTTTGTGAATTCCGTCCAGTCCCTGTATTCTTCGTCCTTGAGTAGGTCCTTGATGATGTCTGGTAACATGCTGTGCACTTGCCAGATCATCGATGTACTTTGTGCGATTTCCACATTCATGGCTAATTGCAATGTCTTCACTGCCCATGCTATGTGCATCCAGCATTCTCGGTCGTATAGTGTTGTCTTCTTCCCAACTTCCATACTCTGCAGGGTGTGATCTAAAAGCTCCTTTTCATACTCTGCATTCGTCTTTTCTGCTATTTTGATTGGTGGCCAACGTGCTTCAAACACTGTAACAAGTGTGGTCCATGTAGCTTTGCTTGTGGCTGGGATGTTCTTGAACCATGTTTCAGCTTGGGAGCTGGTGCCTAGGTAATCTCCAAATGTGTCTAGTTTATTGGTGCTCACAGTCATGGACTGTTGTCTCATTGTGCAGTTGAATGACTTCAGGAAATCTGCTGGGTTCTCTGATGCATGGCCATTGCCATGGAAGATCTGCAGTGTTTCTGCAGGCATGTCACTCTTAGTTTGTGCAATTGCAAAGAACGTGGCTAAGTCATAGTCTGGTGCTGCAGGTATTGGCTTGAGTGGCTTGATTTTTATGTAGTGTGGTAGTGGTTGGAAATCGAGTGGAGGTAGCTGGAGGTCCAATTCTGGGACGTCTAACTCAGGGAATGGGATGTTATTCTGGTCTTCATCTTCAGGACTGCTGAGGGGTGAGCTATCCAAATGATGTGGTGTGTTATGTGAAGACGATTCTGGCATGTCGAGTGGGGAGGAAGCAGTGGATGTTTCTGTTGACCAATTCAACCAGTTGGTTTTTGAGCGGATGATGGTTATCGCAAATCCTGTTGGTGCTCTGGGTCTTAGGCTGCTAGGCATCAGTTTCCGATGGAAGTCCACATAAATAGTTGGGATGAAATACAGCCCTTTTTTAATGTATGCAGGTGTTTTAAGAACACCTGCTGTCTAGCTTGGCCTTTTGGGTGTAATGCGACGTAATTAAGCTGTTCTTGCTTGTGATAGGGTTGTTGGTGTTTCTGAGTTGAGGGTTCTGCATTCTCTGATTGGCTGGTTGAGGACAAAGACTGCGACTAAAACTGTGACTAAAACTGCGGCCAAATGCTAATGCTGAGATGAACGTGGGTTGGTTCAAATTTGCTCTGTTCACCATGATGGACAGGGTGGTTGGACTCGAGCTAAGGACTAGAGAGATGCCTTGCTTGGCTTGCTTGCTCTGTGCTACTGACAAGACCTACAACCTATGCTACTCTGCTGACTTAAGCCTTGGAATGAGCTGCTGGGCTTCTCCTCTCCTATGCTGCGCCCTTAGGACCCCTACTCCAGCATCCAACACGGATTGCACATCCACTCACACTCCAGACTTGGAGATGCAGCAGGAATGTCATGGTGGAGCTGGTCTTCGCTCTACTAGACCATGTCGACCAAGAGGTGTGCGAATTTGCAATATACGACATACACCTGTCGCAATTTCAGAGCCCCCCCCCACCCCTCTGTCACAGTGACAGTAACACCAATATATCCATATATGGTAAGTATTTTCAATCACTTTGATCTGGGCAAAGGTCAAGGACAAGGCAAAAACAACGGTTGATTGCAAGGGAACAGCGCAAGTACACGACAACTGGAACTACTGTAGCTTTGAACGCATGTTGTAGACTACGTACAAACTAATAGAAAGCATTTTCCTGAAACAATAGAGACATAGTGAGCAATATGAGAGAGCACATGTGATAGCGATAGAAAATGAATGCAAACGAAGAGAACATCAAGCAAGTGAGGTGGTAGGCTGCTGAAGTAAAGTATGAGCGGTACGAGAGCGTTTGGCAGGCTTCTAGCTAGTAGAAGCGGTCATAGAGCATTTGACAGGATGGGAACTTGATGTGGGGACATTCTCCTTGTCTAACCCAGACGAAACATTCGGCGGGGTGATCCAGCGCTCTTTTGGGATGTGCACAGTGCTCTGTTCAAGGTCTGTCAGCATCATATCATTCTGGATGCTCACAGGCAGCTTGACACCCTCTGATCTGTGTCCAGGAACCAAATATTCATCATGCGCTGTCATAACATGCTCGAGCATGTTGTAGCGCCAGATAGTGTCAACAGCGAGAACAGGCGCCTTTCGTGAAGATCTCCCAGGCTCTGGGGGGAGTACCGGATGGCACATTGTGCACTTGAGAGGGAGGTTTCGGCAAGGCTTGTTCTTTGATCTGTTGTCGACAACTCCATATTTGAAGATGTGCTTATACATACACTCAGTCTCCCAGGTAGGTGCACCACTCATGGTCACTGTAATTGTGATGGCACACTCGGCCCGTTCTGAATGACCACAGAACCCGCACAGATAAGTCTCTCCGACCTAGTATTGAGAATAATCAGCATTGTGAAAAACATCATTAAAATTATGTACCTGTTCCTTCATACTAATGACCTCGGGTGTGTTGCACAAAGCATGAAGGATGTGTTGACCTACATGACAGTGCATATCTGGTACTCTGGCTTTGCACAGTGGACATGTCGCGACACACTCTCCTTTCAATGCTGTTAGCAGGCTGTTTGCCTCGACCGAGAAAACCACAACAGTCCCTGAGACACAATATTATCATTAGAAACAATGTGCATCATTGAAGTAAGCAAGACATACCATCAGAGAACTGATATGGGAAAGACTTTACATCTAATGGCATGACTGATGCGATAGACCTGAGTGATAGCTTCATTTGAGTGGTTTTTGCCCAGATGAGATCGCAGGCAGCTTGCATGGCATCTCGAGGGATCTGCCACATGCTCTGGCCACCATTGACTTGAGAAAATGCATCGCTGTTGATGTCTTCATGTATGCGAAGGAAAGTCGGTTCAGGATTCATGGGTTCCACGAGAGGACCCAGAACAGTGACAATGATGACATGCGCCATAGAGTCAGATGTTCCTTGTATAACTGATTGAGCAGTGATGTATCCCCCATCCCACAAAAACATCTGAGCGGCATCAAGTGAAGTGTCAGTTGGAATGACACTGAGGAGCTGTCCTGTGATTTTCACAGTAGAGCACAAAGATGTCATGATAGTTACGTTGATTGACGTGCGAGATACACCATTAAGGCTAGCCAACGTAGAGCGAAGGACACCAATGGAAAGGTTATGACCAGAGTGAAGGATTGTAAGAAAAATATCCCTGACAAGGAATAAATTCCTGTCTGTGATATGTCCTGCAGACATGTCAATTCATTTGTTCACCTTTGTATAGCCTTCCCAGACACGTTCAAGCCGATTGAGTGACTTTGAAATGAAGTCTTTGTTGATGACTAGTCGACATATAGTCTGCTTGTGGATCCAGCATCCATTATATAACACGTAGTCATCTGGGTGTATCCCAAGTCCATGCGGCAATGATGGGGAAAGTGCATCTGCAGGAGGGGGTTCACTGGAAGACGCGGAAGGAGCATCAGCAGGAGACTGGTTGATCAGCACCTCTTGAAATGTCAGCATGATCTCTTCTTCTTCTTCATGTCTGTTAGACTCGTCTAGCTGAAGCATATTGCCATCCTCATTTGACAAGATGGTCTCCAAACGTTGTGAGGGTGGTGAGCTCGTGACAGGTGGTGGAAGTTCTGGTACATGGCTAGGGTCTTTGAGTTCCTCCTCTGTTGTAATGCCAAAGTATTTGTTCTGTCCAAATGGATGCATCATGTCGATGTTAGGGTTATTGAAGTGATCGGTGAAGGAATAATGAACTGGATCAAGCTGTGATGTAATAAGAATGGAGAGTGCCAAATCACAACCATTGCGCCATGCCAGTGGGAGATCACATCTGTTCACAGCAATATCCCCCTTCCAGATATCACAATTGATGTAATCAACTCCCTCATAGCGTGTAAGTTTGAGATGCCAATGACCTGGATCAAGCTCGGGATGACGTTTAAAAACACCGTCGATATCCTTTGCAGCACCAAGTCGATCAATAGCCTGAGCATAAGAGCATGCAGAGTTGTGTCCCCCAATCATATGTGTATGACCGAAGAGGATCTCGAGGGGGTCATCTCTGACATCACCAAGGTAAAAGCGAGCACGCAGGTCCAGTGACTGTTGCTTGGCTAGAGAGAAGCAAGCATTCTTCACCACAGTTTGAGTGTCATAATAAAGCTGATAGGACATGAATGAGTGCCAATGAGCATGAAAAAATGCAGAAGCCAGGTGCGCATAATGACTGAGGTATTGGAATTGCTTGGACAGACAGAGAGAGACATTAATAAAGGGAGCAAGAATTGATTCAAGCAGCGCACTGAGGAGAGAAATTGAAATAAGGTCGGCACGAGTGTCGACTTCGAGGGAAAACGAGTCATTCAAGACATGGCACTGAGATTGTGAGAACTTGATGATAGCAAGCATAAGTTTGACAGCACGAGGGACATCTTGGGGGTTGTCAGGGTGAAGGAGTTTTGTTACTGCTGCTTCGTCATAGGCGGGCAACCACACCAGATACTGTGTGAGCATCATTGAATTGATCACATGGCCATTGTTCAGGACCATTCCCCCAGGTGCCCAAATAAGCATACAAATGCCTAAATTTAATTAAATAAATGTTAGTTGTTATGACATTCATAACAGAAAGAAGCACTTACATTTGAAAACATGCTTGAAGTCAAAATCAAGCATGATTTCCCTGTCGCTGGTGAATAGATTGAGTCCCTGCAAGTTGACGAGCGTGCCATACAAAGGTGATTCAGGAGGTAGTGGAAAATTGATGAATAACTTATGACCAGCAGCATGCCTAGTCGCGTCACCATCTGTCGCTAATGACCAGATAGGGCTGATGGACTTAGACGTGCCAGTCCTGTTCCAGCTACCAATGGCGTGAGCAAGTATGTGTTCCATATCAGAAGCATCTTCATTCTTCCATGTAGGCGCTGCTAGAATGGGATAAATCTTGTCTTCACCAAAGCAAGAGGCACTGATCACTGTGAGTTCCTTCCCAAGGTGAAGTTCACCATCATGAATCTTTTGCGCAATGTGCACGGTGGACTTGTATGTGTGGAGGACAGGTTTGACAGTATGGGAATGCTTCCGGCAAAGTCCCCCGATCTTGTTATACTTACTAAAATGAACTGCCATCTCCTCAAGGGCAATTTCATCAATCATCAGACTGACACCCCACAATGAAGCGAGTGACAAGTGTGCATGTGTGGTCATGACGACATTCCAAATATTCTGGTCAAACTTCTCATCTTGTATAGGACCGATGGTTGGCACAATTGAGGTGAAGGTCGATTTGGAACGGAGGGTATAGAGAGATGGGACGCCAAGTACTTGATTCATCGAGAACAGGAGCTGCCGCCCACCAAGCCTTAAAATAAGAATTGCAATGTCGAAGTCACTGGTGTCATAACCTCGAGGGGAGTATGCACCCTCAAGAGCATCCTCAAGCTTGTTAATGATTTCCTGCATGCTGGAACCATGACGTAGAGTGACATTGATGATTTGGTGGATCCGGGGGATATCTTTTTCAGATATGGCCATAAGGAGACGACTGTAGTCGTCTAGTTGGGTGAGGGAGTGCATATATTTGCAGGAATTATTGAGTTCCTATTCCGTGTCAGTTAAAATACTTATCAGAGGCTATGTAAATGTACCTGCAATTTTAGCTGCTTGATTTGTTCGGCATATGTCTTCATGATATCTTGCAAGTGTCCGAGGCTGAGATACTTGTAATTAGTGTGGTGCTTTGGATCCTGGGCTATTTCGGAAAGGTGCATTATGTGTCTGTGCACATCAGAACACTCATTGTACAATGAGCCCTGGAAATGTGTATGGGTGCAATACTTTGATTGAGCATGCAGAGCGCTCAGCTGCATGCTGTCGATGGTGAAAGGCAAAGTGTCTGGGCCACTGTGATACTGGCCCCAGGGGAAAAGCATGTGGAATGGACGTAGGTCGTCTGGCCAGACAATGGTGATTCCAGGACAGTTGTTGAGGGGAGGGGAGGGAGAAGGACAGCTTAAAAATGATTAAGTAGCAGTAAGTATGATGTAAATGGATCAGAGCTGAAATGAAATCAGAGACATACCTGTGATTGGAGGTAACGAGAGACTGGGAAGGCAAGAATGTGGTGATAAGGGCATCAGAACGTGATAGTAATCGAACATCATTGGTCTGAGCCTGCTCATTCCGTCATCTAGTTGCAGCCTGTATGCATCGCTTGCTGCCTCGATGGCTGGCCAAGGAACTGAATTGGCCTTCGTTCCAGAGCATAAGGCCTGAGGGTATACTGGTCTGGCACAATTCCTTGCAGTCAGGACAGCGAAGTGTCCATCTCGGACCGGTACCATCAGCCTTGAGGCCACCTGCCCTGTATACATCATACAGTGCCTCGGCAGTATTTAATTTAAGCACTGTATTGATGTCGAAGTCTACGGGTAGGGTGATTGATGGTATATGTGGGGGCTCCGACTCTTGGGAATCATACTGATCAGAATCCCAGCGATTGGATAGTGTATCGGGCGAGGTATAAGATGCTGAATTATAGCCTTCTGAGTCTTCAGGCTGTAGTTGTACCTGGAAATCTATAGTAGGACTGCGAGAATGTCCGGATGAATTAGAACTAGAACTATGAGATGTGCGATCTGATCCGTGTTGCAAAGTTTCATATGAGTCATTACTGATGCTGGGTGCTGAAGTGTCATAAATTAATGGGAACCGGCCTGCATGCAATGGATGAGTGTTAGAATACATAATGAATGCAAGCGTGTCTTTGCAAATGAAAGTCGGTGATGGGCCAATGGAACAGAGAGGTCATAAGAGTTGTAATAAGACACGCATCATTGATATTGGATGTGACTTAATATCAAAGTCACATGTTTTCGCACATGACATCAAAAAACACTTGTTTGGTGGGCAGCGTGCTTCCACACCCATATCTTATTTAAAGAACTATCCAGATGTATTCTACATTAGTAAACCCCCCCCCCCCTTTCAGTCTTCGGCGAACGATTCTATTAACTTCTGATGCTGCTATCGAGGAACTCAGAATGGTCTGCTGGTAACTTCAAGTGGCTGTATATTAAGGTTTAAAAACTTATCTAATGTTACACTACATATCCAGAATTCTTGTTTTGCACACCTCTTGACGTCGACTACCCCTATGATTCAGAGATGAACTTCTGGTACCTCCACCTACCATAGAAGAACCACCTCCAATGGTGCTCCACCATGTCATTCTCTATGTTTTCGATTCCATTTAGACTTCTGTTAACAAATTTGGGATCAGAAGGGAGTATCACCACCAGCCGTCATATGACCCAGATGCCTTTGTTTCTGTCAACCAGTTATCCAATGTCCCATCCGATCACCCACCCATCAGCAAGTGAGCCGACCATTCAACTGGCAGTCTATTTCCTTCACAGTTGCCCCCTTAGCCATGGAAAAATATGAGCATTTGGCGTCTTATGTCATGGAAGATGACTAGTACTAGTGGGTTGACATCTGAAGCCCAAGTAACCTGTCTTGTTAGTGAAGTATTGAAGGCCAAGGATTTCAGTGTTGATGATCTGCCAGATAACTTTAACACCCACACAGAAATGACGTGCTTTGACACCTCTGAGGCAACACTGGACCCGACTGACATATTTCAAATAGATGGCTGGAGGGAGTCAGCTGCCGAAATATTGGTTCCAACCAGGGAAAAGAACCCAGGCGGAAATGGGCAGTCATTTACTGTCCAAGGTTTTCATCATTGGCCACTTGTAGCAGTCATCCGTGCTGCCTTCTCAGAGGCATCATCATGCTGGTTTCACTTGACTCCATTCAAACACTTCTGGAAGTCACCATTGACTGGTCAAGAGCAGCAAGTATACAATGAGCTCTACACCTTGGATACCTGGAATAAAGCGCACAATGAGCTCCAGAAACAGAAGAGAGATAATGGCTGCAAATTAGAATGGGTGATCGCTGGACTGATGTTCTAGTCCAATGCGACACACTTGGCTCAGTTTGGGAATGCCTCCATATGGCCAATATATCTTTTTTTTGGAAACCAATCAAAATACATGTGTTCGTGCCTGACTATCAATGCCTGCCACCCCATCGCATTTATCCCTTCTGTATCTATTATGAGCTTCATTGGCAAGTTTATCAAGAAGAAGAGCATCAATGACATCCTCACCCACTACAAACATGAACTTTTCCATGTGCTTTGGCGCATCTTGTTGGACAATGAGTTTGTTGATGCATATAGGAATGGTATTGTGATCAAATGCCATGATGGCATGTACCGATGAGTCTTTCCAAGGGTTTTTACTTACTCTGTGGATTACCCAGAAAAGCAAGCTCATTTATTGCCTCATTTTCCACATCTTAACCTTCCAATAGAGTGCTTCTTGTGGCTATTTGTGATAAAGGAGATTGTCCATGTCCTCGGTGTTTTCAGCAAAAGTCACACTTCAATCAGCTTGGTCTCAAAGCCGATATATTAGCACGCATCAACAATGTGCGCCTGTACCTCAGAGATAAGATCATTATGGCGTGTGATGCCATATACAAGCTAGGTGCTCCGATCAAGGGTGTTGCAGCAGAGCATCTCTTGAAGGATTTCTCACTTGTACCAACCCTTGTAAGCGAGTTTCTCTACAGAACTTTTGATTGATCTGAGTGTACTTTGCCCTTAGAATACCTTCATCAAGTGGCTTGGGTCTCTAGGCCTAGATTTCTTTCCCATCCTTGTAGTTGATCTATTGCACAAGTTCGAGCTCGGAGTGTTCAAATCTGTCTTCAAGCATCTTTTAAGGCTGCTTTATGCTATTGATCATGAATCAGTAATGTTACTGAACGAACGGTAGGTGTTATTAGCACAGTAGCTATCACCTGACACTGATGATCACTCAATGTTTAGTTTTTTCTCAATTGCATCATTCAGAAAAGGTGCTATTTGACACTTCCCTTCAAATGTATTGGATATGAAGCAGAGAGCCGCACAACATTTTGAGGACATCTTACAGGTGAGTCTGATCTCTATCATTCTCGAACTTATTTTGATCCAATTTTGTTGCTAGTGTGCAATTCCAGCATTTGAAGGTCTATTCCCAGAACAGCACGATGAAGTTGTCCAGACTCTTCTATTTTATCTGGCAGAGTGGCATGCCATTGCAAAACTTCGAGTCCACACAGACGATTCACTCGATCTACTGAGTCAAGCTCTTGAAACCCTAGGAAAGCAACTTCAATGATTTCAGGACTCAACATGCTCAGCATTTCAGACAGTGGAGCTTCTGGCTGAAGTTACTGCCCGTCAAGGGAAAGGAGCTAATGTAAACTCAGCAGCTGCAGGAATAGGGTCATCGGGAGCTCGTGCAAAAGCTGTTAAGGTTGTGCTCAAGGGGGAGGTTACTCAAAGAGCTTTGGCTTCAGCTCGTGCGCTGCACCCCTTACCTGAGTACGTGCCCTTAATTTCTGAGGGGCAGCAGGAAGTCCGACGGAAGTCCAGGGAAGTCTGGAGGTCAGATGTTGGGGGAGTTCGGCAGAACTCTGGAAGATTATGAAGGAACGGAGAAAGACTACTACGGACAAGTCCGGAGTAGAAACAGAACAGAGGTTAGACTACCCTAAGGTAGAGTGGGAGATTTAGTCCTAAGGTTTAACCCCTAAGACTCAGAGGTAGACAAGAGATGAGACTCAAGTCTGGAGAAGCAGGAATGAGCAGAACTAAGATGATATTTGAACTGAGGAGTTCCGGAGCATTACAGGAGCTTATATACTGTAGGTATCATGTAAGTAAATCAGTCAGCAAAGTAAAAGCTATGTACAAAGCATATGGAAAGTCTATTAGTAAGTGCATAACAGATCAAAGCAGTGAGGTCGGAAATGAAGTACAAATGGACGGATCAGTAAGCATAGCGGAAAGGATATAACCAGTAGCCGGAGCAATAACTATTCTAAAAGGAACTAGGGGTGAGTACAGAGATGAAGGCAGAGCGCTGGGCAGAATAACAGGATGGAGAACCAGACTTTAGTGGGAGGGTTCCAGAATTTCGGATCCAGAGGTACAGGATATGACAAAAGCCTTCAATATCAAAATTTATAAGTTGCATGCACTTGGCAACTATGTAAACTCTATCAAAATGTTTGGAACAACTGACTCATACACTACTCAAATAGTACGTACACATCTTCATGGAGCGGCACGGTTACTAACTTCATCTAGGGCAAGGTCATACACAGGCTCTTGAAAATGTTCTACCAAAGTACAAATAAGCAAGAACCTTTGAAACAAATAGCTAAGCAGGAAAGGAGGCATACCCAAATTCAACGTCTGTGAGAATCTGTGACCACAAATGACGAAAAACCTTCTGAAGACTTACCACTTGAAGCTCACCACTGCTTATTGAGCCATCAAGGTGTCACCATCAATTTAGCCCATTATCTTGAACAACACCGTGGTGACCTGGCTGTCTTAGTAAGCTATGTTCATGTGCGACGGTTCTGACTCATTCCTTAATATCACCTGACAGAACTTCATTCCCAAACTCAAAGACCACCTCCTTTCACAGTCACTGGGTTTGGATTATGATGGTGATGAATGAGACTTTACAGATGCTGAACAAAATGACGTGTGCTTTATCAAAAATCTCAACAGTGTCTTCCAGCCTAAATGATTTCAAGTTAATTATACAACATATGACATCCACAGGGATCAAGATACATTGAGACCTAGCCATGGCTCCACAGTGATGACATTGTTGAGGGAAAACGGTGTGGGTGCCCACCCATTTTGGTATGCATGAGTATTGGGTGCATTTTGTTTGAATGTTCTGCACATTGGCCCTAATGCTTGTAACCGGTCACCCCAGACCATGGAGGTCTTGTGGGTTCAATGGTTTGGTGTGGCACCACAGTACTGCTGGGGCTTCTGAGAAGCCTGCCTCCCAAAATCGGATTCATTCCTGAGTCACCTGCTGTTAAGACCATGCTCAAGGGGTAAAGTGGAGTCTGAGGGGCTTGGCTTCAGCTCATGCGCTGCACCCCTTACCCAAGTATGTGCCCCTAATTTTGGAATGTAGTCCAACACAAGTTCTATGAGTTCCGACAGGACGTTGGAATGGGGGTCCTCTGAAGGAGGACCGATGGACTACTAGGCGAGCGCGGGAAAGTTGGGCAGGGGTTGTTCCACCTGACAGGAGAGAGGTTGAGGGCTACTGCGGTCAGAACCAACAGTAGAAGCGGAATGGAGAGGACTACTCAGACAAAGTCTGAAGCAGAGCGGAACCAAAGGGGATGGATATACATAGGTACGGGGATCAAGTCTGATGTGTGGGAAGTCGGAGGAACGGAGGAACGGAGGAACGGAGGAACGGAGGAACGGAGGAACGGAGGAACGGAGGAACGGAGGAACGGAGGAACGGAGGAACGGAGGAACGGAGGAACGGAGGAACGGAGGAACGGAGGAACGGAGGAACGGAGGAACGGAGGAACGGAGGAACGGAGGAACGGAGGAACGGAGGAACGGAGGAACGGAGGAACGGAGGAACGGAGGAACGGAGGAACGGAGGAACGGAGGAACGGAGGAACGGAGGAACGGAGGAACGGAGGAACGGAGGAACGGAGGAACGGAGGAACGGAGGAACGGAGGAACGGAGGAACGGAGGAACGGAGGGTGGCTGACCTAGGGAGTCAATCCCCTAGGCCAGCTAACAGGAGTTGACTAGGACAGGATGATGACGAAGATGATGATGAAGATGAAGACATTGCCTATCAAACAAAGTTACATCAGACCTGACAATTCAAAATGAATTGTGTGTGATTTATGTATTGGGTGCCTTGCCTTCCAAGCAGTCCAATTCTTCCTGTGGAACACATCATTCATCTATGTCAATGTTTTGCTGCATGCACTTCTCCCAGTATCGATGATAGTGAGACATGCCCATACATTGAATGTGAGTATGCATAGCAGTGTTGTTGCCTTTGAAGATAGTTTGCAGTTTGCTGTGCTTTTTCGGATTGGCTTCATGAAGCTCACTAGTCCAAGTCAAGTGAGTTTCCCACAAGTATAAAACATGAGTTCGGTACTCACACACAAGGCTCACAGAGATAACCTTGTGAAGGATTATCATCATTGATGAGCTTGAAGATGGTCAGGATATCGGCAGCACCATCACCTCTTTTGCATTTTTTCTTGACTGGCTCAGTCCGCTCGGATGCTGTGTCCTCAGCAGTCTCATCTTCAACCAATGTAGATGACCCTGTGCAATGAAGCCCATTTTGCTTCACCCGTGCAATCACTGGTGGCTTTGTGACAGTCACGGTCTTCTTCGACTTTGTATTGGCACCAACCTGCCCTTTTGGGTGAGTTGATGCCATTGGCATTGGATCGGAAGTTACTGCAGGTGTGGAATTGTCAGCTTTTCATTTTCGAGGATTTGTGAAGTCAGCAGGGGTTGAGGATATGATTTTGAATGGGGTTGGTGAGGACGGTCTATTCCTCACTGGTATTTTGAGAGTCAATGATGCAGGTTCACTAGGAGGAGAGTGAACCCATTCCATCTCTTCAGCATTTTTTAGGGAGCCATCAGGATTGAGTGCTGGAGCATCGAGTTGCAGAGGCACTTTGACGTGTATCACATTGGCTGCATGCAGTTGAATAATACTTTGTATTTTTGTTGAATTTTTGCCAGCTGCACGACCAAAACAGACATTGAGCTTCCTCTTTCTCAAGGTGATTATTTACTAATACATATGGTGCGGTTACGGTTCGAACAGGTTCCCTATGGTTCACACAAAATGCTCAGTGCCCGAACCGCAAACCTCTCCCAGCGTGCATCAGTCGAACCTAACTGTAACCACACTGCACCATTGGTGCAGTTCACGGTTTGGAACTAGGCTTGTGACCAGCCTGGCATATACTACCACAGATACTCGAGTGGTGTAGCCAGGCTGGTCGATCTTGGAGTGGTGTGGCAGGGCGAAGTGAGGAGTTTAAAATTTAGCAGGTGCCGATCATGCTGGTGGTAGTACTCGATCATATGTCACTACAACGTCTACCGTCATTCAGACTTTATAACATGTTAAGTTTTAACCATGAGTTCCATACAAGCTTTATCACTCGCTGCTCGAGACACGATTGAAAATCTCCTGACGGACTTTACGAGTGGCCTTTCAATGACACAACACCAGCAAGTTCTTGAGGCCTTCTCGCAACTCGATCTTATTTCCAAAGGATCACAACGTCCAAAATTGTTCCAGCTTAGATGTCTCATATCACTACTTTCTGCAAGACATGTTGTACTCCGAGCTGCAACAGGCTCTGGAAAAACCCTTGCTATGATTCTCCCTTTACTGCTTTCTCCCAACAAGATAGCCATCACTGTCACCCCATTGAAATTGTTACAGCGAGATCACGTATGCTGAAGACACAATGTTTTTACTCTCTCGAAACATTAAATCTGTCCTTTGAATCACAGGTTCAGGAGTTTGAGCAGTACAGTGTTCCTTCGATCGCTATTAATCATGATACTCCGCATGACAAGACTCTCTGGAATGTATGTGCAGTAGTCATAGACTCCTAGATGCCATTAACCTGACTTTTCCCACAGCACGTGTCTGCGGGAGCTTTTCATAATCTTCTTGTTGCGCTGGAGCAATTCTTTCCCGAAGGTGGACACATTCCACATCTCGCGCTGCTGCTGAAGGATCAGAATTTCATCAAGTGGATTGGTTTTTTTTTCATCAACGAGGCTCATTTTATTATCACAGCTGGAGAACCCAAGGCAGGCGAGAAGCTGGCATTCCGCACAGCATATGGCAACCTTGCAGAAGTACTGGTGCAACTCCCACTTGGAGTTCCAGTTGCCCTCTTCTCGGCAACTTTGCCACAGCTCATACTCCAGTGAATCATTAAATCACTGAATCTTTTGACAGATATAACAGATACCTTCATGTTGACCACTAATCGCCCCAATATCAATATCAGTCACATGGTGATTCCTATGGTTGACTCCATCAAAAACCTCAGCAACCTCGATTTTCTCGTATCTGTTCCATTTCATCCACCTATGTCTTATCCTCCGAAGTCAATCATATTCATTGATCATAAACTCAGCACGGCAGCTGTAGCAAGATACCTCAACACTCGTTTACCTGAGGCAGTTCGTCGTGTGTTCAAATTTCAGCACCTCCATTCCAGCATGTCAACGGAGCATAATGAAATGGTGTTCAACGAGTTCCGAAAGTCAAATGGCCTTATTCAGGGTGTAGTGGCAACTTCGGGTGCTTCAACTGTGACTGTTCATGGATGATATTTCATTCGGTTGATGGCTAACGTGCTCACCTCTATCCAGGGTATCAATGTTGCTGATATACGGCTCGTTATCCAATTTGGTATCACAATTGACATTTGCGAACATGAACAACGTGCTGGACAAGGGGGGCGGAACCGTCGGGCTTGCCTTGTCTTGATGATCACAGAAAAGTGGGCATACAAGAGTCCCGAGAATGTGCACGTCTCGCACAAAGGAAAGCCCACAGCAAAAGAACGACGTACAGAACCCACTATGCTTGAGTTCGTGAACACTTCAACATGTCGCCGACAATTCTTAGCTGAGTATAACAACGACACTACAGCTGAAGGTATGAACATTTCTTCACCAAGTTGAATATTGACAGTAGGGCAGCTTTTGAGTATGACAGTCCATGTTGCTGCGATCAGCATCTTGATTCTACCAACATCGACTACTTTCTTCCCGGAACAACTTTGCCATCAATCGCTCTCAAAGCCAGACTTGAACTGGACACAAGTGGTGTCAATGCACAAGCCCCGCCAAAGAAGACACATAAAAGGTATCGTCCGACGAAGCAGCGCCCATTGTTGGAAGAACAGCTCAAAGCCTGGCGGACGAACATCCTTTCCAACGACCCTGCTATTCAGAGCTGGCCAGACGAGTGGGTTCTATCTGATCTGAGCATAAGCAAGCTCGCACAAGAAGACGAGGCCATTTTCAAATCATCTGCTGATGTTGTCTCATTTCTGGAGGAGAGCCGTGAACAGGCCAACTCCTTTGCTGACCAGGTTCATGATATCATCGACTGCTACAACAGATCCCTCCCCAGAAAGTCTACACAAACATCTAGACAACTTGTTACCTCTGGAGCTACTGCCAATCAGATGCCAGGGTCTGAGGATGATGAGCTAGAGCAGCACCTTCCTGAGACTCATATCCCTGCCGACCCTATTCCATCTCTGGTCAACACTGCATACCACTTATATGACACTGATGCAACCCTCGTCAACTCGCACAGCCCTCCATCATCTCTGCCTTCCAGCCAGTGCGCAACACCAGATTTAGATCTTCCTCTTTCTGCTGCCATTCACCACTTGCGCTCTGAATCCACTTTCGAATCACCAAACCCACAACCAAAGAAAAGAGCTTTGATAGGTATGGATGGCTCTAGAATACTGCTGTGGAATTCCTAAAGATCATTGTATTCTATGTGCAAATTGTCAACTCGACTGTGTTTTGAGTCACCAATGTCTCAATGTCATCCTCCTCCTCCAGAAATGCTGCACTATTATTCACCCATGCCGTGTAACTCTTCATGAACATGTCAAAACCTTTTAATTTCAAGTAAGAGCTCCCATCAAGGAGGAGATCCTTTGTGTGTTTGTTTGCTGTGCAGCCAGGCATGTGGACGTGCAAGTTTTGCTCCATTGCTTTCGACATGACCTTTTTGATGGACGTCAAGCTGTTTGGTGATGTGTGTGTTGTCCCGCTCCACGAGTTTCCCATGGCCTTGGCAAACTGACGTCTGAGTGGACAATATATAGGGATATTTGGTGCCAAGTCCCCAAGTTGATCCCAAGTACCATGCACTCCCTTCACAGCAAACCAGTTCTAAACACATTCTGTTGTCAGCGTGAATCATACTCCAACTCTGCTGCGTAATATATAGTACTTTTTGGAAGTTTATATTCTGCTCACAATTTTTGTCAACACCTACAGCATGACCATCACGACCGGAGATATTAATGAGCATGTTGTCACGCATGACATTTCTAGACAACAGGATCAGTGAGCTGCACTTTGAGCAGAATGAATGCACATCACACAAAGTCGGAGGTCCAGTTCTTCTTGAGGTTCTGGATGAAGTGTAGCAACTCACCTGTATAATTCTTGCAGCCAGCCCCAGCGAATATCATCGTTAGAGCACCGAGAAAGATTTCAACACATCCGAAATCACCTGATGAGACTGCAAGATCAAGCTCGTAGAAGATGAGGAGGTCATGGTTGAGGAGGATGATGTTTCGAAGGACACCGTCTTTGCTCTCTGGGTCAACTCCTGATATTGGTTGCGAAGGACCTCATTTCCTCGAATGTTGGCTTGGCTTCGGCCAGAGCTGCAAGACGTCTTTTTGAGACTGTCTCCCAGTATAGCAGTATATGTCCTACTAGTATTTGAGTGGTGAAGGAAACAAGCATGTGGTAATCAGGATGCTCAGCACCCAGTCTGACCCTACCAAGAAGCAAGATGCAGTACTGCATGCCTCCAGTATCTTCAATTGAACCACGATGGATATGGAGAATCGCCCAAATAAGATTGAGCTGGACATGGAAGAAGCCTGGAGCAAGTTGGAAGTTCTCCATCCGATTTATCAAGCCGATGTCATCCAAATGCAAAAGCTGGGCACTTCGAACTCGAGCATTTGTTGATTGATCATTGATGCAAGGAATTGCCTGGTTATCAAGATCATGCATGCTAAATCCGAGCTGCTCAAGGTGTTATGACCGACGTCCAACAATAATGTTGAAGGTGAGTACACAACCACTAGGACTCGGTCAGAGATGATGATGAGTAACAGGATAGTATTGAGCGTGAACGTCTAGGTCACTACAACAGTAGGAACGAAGAGGTTAAGTCTAAGGAGCACTTATGCTAACTACCCTACTCTTATACACAACATTAAGTAGGAGTCTGAAAGAAATCAGCCAATGAGAAAAGAGTCGTACGATGCTGCGGATGACTGAGCATGACATCATGATATATAAGCAGATGAGTAAGACGGCAACTAAACAGGAACCCAAGTTCCGACCGGTTCTCCTTTGGGAAGCGAGATTGTTCTAGCCCGTGGAGTAGGTGAGCCAATCGGAGAAGCAACGGGTGACCTATGACGAGGAGTCACGTGACCAGCTTGGGTACTGGAAGTAGCCGAAGGAAAACTGAGAAATGAAAAATGGTTCGTATTAGGAATTCGTGACACAAGGTATGCATTCCGTGCAACTTTAATGTTGCCGTCAGTGGTGGACTCATCATTTGTTGTGGTTCTTAGCACGTACTCTTGAGTCTTTGATTGCAAAGGTGGTGGTCGGTAGGAGTGGTGTTTGAATGCTGGAGAACTTGCGAGATATTCAAAACCAGGATGATTGTCGATTAGAATTTTAATGATGTCGAGGACCATATGTTCGGACATATCACACATTTGCGAACGTGTAGGCTGGATGTCCTCGACAAATGTAATCATATCACATTTGGCATGATTTTCAAGTATAGGTCAAAGCTCCACATCTCGCATAGTTGTATTATGAAGGGGCTATATGATAGCCGTAGTGCCCGATTGGACTTTGGGAGGAGCCAAGGGACGCTGTTCGACATGAATAGATGTGGAGACTTGGATATTATCCCAGCCTATCATGTGTGGTCCACAAGCCACTAATTGTGCCCATTTAATCTGACCATCGGCCATGATAGCGTGAACATTGTGTAACGTGTCATAGGCAGGAGAAAGTCCACAGTGTGCGAGCAAGTCAATGGTTTTGCATGATGAACCACCACTGAATAAGCATAATCCATGGATAATCTGGAAAGCGAGATTGTTCTGGGAGTGAATGTTTGCAATCTGCGACTTGATCACAGTACAGAGCTATTCATCTTTCATCAACTTTGTTCAAAAATGAAATTTAAACACTTACCGTCTCGGCACTCTGATGTTTGTTCTCCTTGGCAGCTCGCACCGTCTGCATAGTGGACAGAAGAATGCGACGTAGCAACGGAGTGGTTTCTTGTAATGGTTCTGTCAACAATGTGTCGAGATTAAATGAGAGGAGTAGTGGGGGTGACGTCTTTCGATGACATATGAAAAATATGTTTAGCAGCCTCCATCTCAGTATCAACCTCGTCAATAACCATTGCAATAGCAAGGGGTCGTAAACTGACATGGAGGTGCTCGCTCGCTCGCTCGTCAGTGCCCAACACATTAAGAAATTGCACAAGTGCCTTGCTCCGAAAAAAACCTTCCCTCCAAGTTGCCATGGAGGGTCTTTGCGAGATCGAGTGCAGCATGAGGTCCATGACCGTCATGCACAATCCACGAAGTATCTTGAGGACAGCGAGAATTTTTTCTTCCTCGTCCAGGCTGGAAGGATTGACCATCCAAGCCAAATGTTCAGGCTGCATCATGGGTGGGTATAATGGATGAAAAGGTATCATTTGATTGTCCTATTTAACATTTAGTACTGCTCCTAGATGCGCTATAATCAGTTAGAGGCATATGATGCTTTGTACGATGCGAACGAAGAAACTTTGTATGGCCAACGCTGTCCAAATACAATGACTACCCAAAGCGGCACGACCGGCATCTGCCAAATTTCAAACTCCTCGCTTCGACTGCCAAATCACTCCGAGTTCGACCAGTCTGACTACGTCAAAAAATTCTCACCATCTCAAATTGACGGTATAGTCAGACTGGTTACGAGTCTAGTTTGGAACCGGTTCGGGCGGTTCAGAACCGCACCCCGGCAACTTTACACACAATTGGTTAAATTTGTCATCCAAGTATTGCCATATCATGCTATGTGAATTTCAGTGATGCATATGCCAAAATTGGCGCTGGCCCATCATTTTCTTTTTAGCAGTCACGCGTCACTTGTAGCAGCAGCATAGAATCTAGATGGCATACAAAATCTCCGCTCAAGAAATAAATGCGCTGAAAGCCTTACCCGGTAACATTCAGGTGCGATTTTGGCTAGTAATCACAGTGGCACGCAGCCCCCGACACACCTTATTTCTAGCAACGTGCTATACGAGCCCTACATGGAAGCGTAGCGGACCTCGACCTGGTTGTCGAAAACCTGCCACTTCCACATGAACACAAACTCCGCCTGCTCCCGGTGTTTTATTCTCTCTTGGACACTTCTCGCATCCCTGAAGTCACCACAGCGACAGGCTCCATCGCAAATATCGCAAATATCACGAATATCCTGCTTGCTAAGGAATCTTTCCGTGGGGTCATGTTAGTCTGCAGTAACTTCCAGGTGGCTACAAATAATGAGGCGGAAGCCGATCCCATCATCACCCATTTTCTGGTCTCCAAGTGGGATATGCTATTCCCATGGATGCAGTTTTTTGCACATCAGCTGTCTGCAACTTGGAGAAATCCATCAACGGATGATTCATTCAAAGGCACTATGTTTGATGCTGTCAAGAATTCCATCTTGCTGCTTCACACCATCTGCAGGTACTCATCAGATGGGCGGCGACTTCTCAGGACTGCCCACGCAACCCGGGACTATTTTATCCAGATGTGGTTAATGTTTGGAAACATGCCGAGCGATCGCAAGGTAGAGACTATCGATCCTTTGCTCAAGAGGTATCGTACCATGGGCTTGGTTCGGTTATCATTGGCTGAAGTCGCTGTCGCCGCGCTAGACGACCGCTCGTTGCTTCCATCCCTTATATGTTTGGCAGGAGGCGTCACAACATTCGTTTCCATGGCTCTAAAATATGTGCGACGTATGACCAGGGAGCTGCAGTTGCTCGCTTCATCCTTGTCCCCTCAGTGGTCGCCGCCGCAAGATCGTAACACATATAGCGCATACGAGTACTGTGCCTCAACGGTAACAGGCTTTTCGCACGCCATCGAATTCATTTTCCTCATCAGCGAGACTAGTAGCTCATGCCGTGAGTTACTACTCGAAATGGGGTCCATGCACACAATCGCCACCGCTATTCCGTGTGCATGGCCGAAATTTGTGAGCAACTCTATCCACCACCATCCAACTCAAGAGATACCTCGAATTGAACTCGCAGAGAGGAAACGTCTCATGCGAGCCTGTTTCCGCTATGTCAACTTCGTATTATATCACGCCAATGACAGTATCTCAGCGTTGGACGAAGCCCTTAAAGCTGGCCTTCTCGAGTCGATAAATCGAGCTATCAATATCCCTCGCCACAATGATGACACGGAAAAGCCTCTCATGAAACCTGCCCTCGAAACGCTTTCCATTCTTCCCCGGTTTTTCGGTTCCCTAACTATCATGAAGAGGCTCCAACATCACCAAGAAATCATGCGTATTCACCCCGGCCCGCATTATCCTGATCCATTGATAAAGAATAGATGGCGTATGGTAGTCGACACCGCTCTCCCACTATTGGCACTTCAGCTGAAGTCATACTCACGTCGTAAGCCCTTTTTCGCCCGGAGATGCATAACCGCAAACGTAAGTCAAGAGTATCCTTTCATCAGTGGTGTTTTCTGATAGATACATGAAAGTGCCCGCGGGTAGCAGATGATTTCGACGCATCCACTCATCCCAATTATCGATGCTCTGCTTGTACTGTTGCACATTATTGCTCAAAAAGGTGCCAGGTTGCAGACTGGAAGAATCATACGAATTGGTGTGGTCCTCTTCGAGCAGCCTTAGGTCGGTGTGAATTTCGGCCTCTCAGTGCTTCATCTAATGCGAAATAGGTTGCCTGGACTCTCATGATATGCGGCGAAGTCTACCGTGGCTTGCCACGCTCGAGGATTTCTACTGCATCTCCGCCAAACAGGCCATCAAGAAACTTACCTTGACCGCTCGGAAACAACATCCTGACTCCGACCTTGTGCTCCAGATCGATACAACGGTCTTTCCGGTCGCATTCGAGGTCATCACAGCTCAAACAGCGTTCCAGCTGGGCATATTACGTGGGGTATCACCGGTTCTCGTAAGGACCCTTACGATGGTTGAGAACTCAGATCGACCGGCGATTAAGATTCTTCGTCTCAAGTATGGGCAAAACTGTTGGAATCTATTTAGTCCAACTACTGCTCTACAAGGTGGATTTGATTGGGGCTATTTAACACGTAAGTGTGTCATTTCATCTATCAGAAGGGCGTACTGAACCATGAGAGTAGCCTGGGACTGAATTTTAGTGTGTTTGTTCATACATCGTGCACCACGCTTCAAATGTTTGATGTTGTCGTCGCCTCCTTCCATCCCCATGATCATCTCCGTCATCTGAAACAAAGTTGCTTATGTCCCATCCTATGCTCCACTGAGTGACACCTATTCATAAAAATCGCCCTTCTTGTGCTACCGAGCAGCCTTCTCCTCGATCGTCGCTGGAGGCAACTCCAGTCCTAGCTCTCCGTGGTTCTCCCACACCTATACACTGGTACATGTCAGGCTGCAATCTGACTATGTTATGGATTAGGCAAGTCCATTTTGCGTGTATCGTATTTGGTTCGCGGAAAGTGTCATGAGCTGCAACGGTGCGGACACTGGCAATATTTTTATTTCTTGCTCTTTATTCCGATGCTACACTACTTAACTGCCTATGATGTTTATTAGACTCGACGCGCTCAACCGCGCTCGTGTTTAGTATGCACTTGTGTCTTTTTCTGTTCATTTATTGAAGCCGTTGATAACCTCAACCATGAACGTTTCGAAGGCACCAGGTTTCTTGGCTAAGCGAGCCTCCCTCAATCTATTGCCAATTCACAACCCGTCATCCAGGGCCACCGCGCAGAATACCATGACCGTTTGCATTGATGTTGTGTCGGGGAATATGGAACCCGCAGTGAACTGGGCAGCAGGATGTCAGGAAATATGCAATAAAGAAATGTCACAAAAACATGCCTGCATAGATCCATGAAATAGCAGTTAACATGATTGACTTCGGATGAACGTTAACACTCATTTCGACGTTTGGTGGTGGAATGGACAATATGAACTACACTGTACAGCTTTATGCGTATGTATGGACAAATGAGTAGTTTGGCGAACATCCAGAACGAATTTCCAGGACGTTGTAGTGATAAATAGGAGGGAAGGTGTTGTCTTGTTGTCTTAAGGAGCGGACCGGGCTACAAACGTCGCACGTAACTTCACGCGACAAAAGGACCAACAGCTGTAGCAGCGAGCTTAGAAGTTCTAGCATGCAATGCATCAAATCGGTCAGCATGGAGACGACCATACACAGTATATTTCACTGCAGGGTTGTATGACAAGGAATAACGAAGGGGGTCGAGGAGCTTCAAAACTCTTTCATCCTGGCCATTTAGCTTTCAGGGAGCGAGAAAAACCACGAACAGACCACTAGCGGCAGTATCCCTCGATGTAGAGTGGCGACAGGCAAGAGGGGCCATGCCGACATATTCCGACCCTTGTACTGAAGGCCGCTGAGCGTTAACCCTTGAACAGCTAGTATCGCATCCGTGCCAGAATGAACCGCCTTAACACGACCTTGCGCACCGAATAATACGCAAGCACGCAGGCGAAGAAAGGACCTTGGGGGATACCCGTGACTCCGCAGCTATGGTGATGCGCCAGCATCTACCGACAAATTCAGCACGACCAAGACGGATACTGGAAGTGGAGAGGTGCAGACGAACCTTCGAGACTTGGGATTTGAGCTGGTTTATCGTGCTCAGCCATGACACGGGAATGACTCTGCGTTCTGGAGCTTGAATGCTGAATTTGCCTGATATTGGGAGTCTTCATATACAGGGACGACGGAAATTGCGAATCTGAAGAGATGTCAGCGCAATTGGGACAACTTTGAATGAAGAGTGAGGTTCGCCGAGAGAACTCGGAAGTTCAGGAGGAGAATAAAATCTAAAATCAAAGATGAAGACTGATGTGAACACCGCACGCACTCAACATGTGATATACGGGGCCGCACTTACACAACAGATAGTCCACGGAGAATTTGATGCGACCCGACCAAGGGGGAGATAAGAGGTAAGGCACGAGGAAGTATTGTCAAAACGTAGAAATACGGTGCGTAACAAAGTGCCCAGACGAGGAAAAATGTCTCTTGAAGCAAGAGTTGGAGATGTTCGAGGTCCTATATTGGTGTGACGTTGGCAGGGGCCTGTTCCAGAGATACGGATGCAGATGTTGGTTTGCATGTTGCAGTATTATCCTTGTACCATCGGGGGCAATACCGAATGCGATGACGTGACCTTCTTCCTTGAAAGCAGTGTCTGCTGTCGCAGCAGCAGTAATCGCCTTTGCGCGATCGAGCTTGAATTGCTGCGCGGCGTTTGGTGATATCTCGGCATGTGAGTCCTGTACCAGTGAAGAGTTCTGCAACACGCTCGGAACAGGACAAGAGATCAACACACCCTTCCTATTCATTTTACCTATGCTAGACTCACTCCTGGACAGGTCTCCCTTTCCGAAGAACCAATGCTGCCATAATAAGGTCGCGTCATCGTAGTTTGAGACCCAAGCTGAGCGGATGACAGGGTTGAACAGCACGGTGTAGTGCGGACAGGTTGAGTGGCCGAGTTAGGGAGAGTGAAGGAAATATGCCTATCGACTCTGGAAAGATGATTGGGAGATGATGATGATATACTCTAGCGGCTTCTGCACGCCGCGCTTAAGAGGGCTGAAAGATGCTGAATGACATACTTGGAAGAAATTTGAGTGGTCAATGGCCACAGAGATGGGCAACTTAAAACACGTGACTGACCCGTTGTGACCAAATAGAACATAACATCACATGTTGTCCATGTCCGCAAACCTTTCATCTGAATATCGCGCTCGCTGCAGACCATGCATATCTTCAATCAAAAAGACGACTTCTTTGAAGTACGAGAGAGATATCCGATGATAGTGCACTGGATATCTCGCTCGTACTTCAAGAAAGCTGTCTTTAACCCCATCATACTAAGATCGGAGAATCTCTCCTACTCTTTCATATATACCAAGTGAAGAAGGTCTCCAATCTTGGTGTTGTTGCATCGATTGTAATTCCCCTCCTAGCTTCCAACAAAGCTGCTCGACAATTTTTTAGCGACAATATCAACAAGAAACCTACTCCCACGCTTCATCGAAGTTCAGAATCACTAGCGACATCGCTACCCCGCCTGCATCATCCTCATCGAAATGGAATCGCAATCGAAGCCTTAGTCGCTTCGCCAACCACAGTCAGTGATATGAATAATAGAGTGTATAATATACGACATGAAGCGCTGAGCTACATGTCCTACATCCTACGCTCTATTATTAACTTCGCCAATATTCAAAAGCTCAAGCGCTTCTCGCTTGATTCCGACACCACCCTGGTAGCCCACGACGACGACTCAAAGACCATGAGTGGCGTGGTGACGAAGATACTTTCCACGAGGTACGAAGCCGCACAGCCTACTAGACTTCATCAGCCAACATTCGCAGCTCTAAGATAAATTTCTGTTTCCTACGACCTAGAGCTACAATGCCAGAGAGGTTGGAGGCCGCTGCTGTTTCCGCCCGGTCTAGCATCTCCGCGGTCAGAGGTCCCCTACGACCAAATCGCAACGACGCGAACACAACGTAAGGGGTCACAGTGCACACGTATCAAATATCACACTCGTTACCTCAGATCTATATACCTTTGTCTTACTCATGACGCCGCACAATGTCTTGGCGCAATGTCTTTATCCTCTCGTTTCCTGGTTACAACCTCAGCACGATATTTAAGCACTTGGTTCCTATATTCGTTAGTATCGAATCATACTCCATTCATCACCCGTGAATCTCTACTACTCGCGTTCTGTTGTCGTTGACTGAACTCTATCACTCTTACAAATTTCCAGTAAAATGGCGCAGCTCATTCTGGCAAGCACTGGGACGCCCCTTCGAGAGTTTAGAGACCACGATCTCAATATAGTACTCGCAGTCGCCGTTTTACCTGATAGACGACGTATGGTCACTGGCTCGCGCGACAAGACACTTCGTCTGTGGGACTTGCAGACAGGTGTCGTGTTGAAGAAGATGGAGGGGCATCGCGGTCCTGTGAGGACATTGGCGGTATCACGAGATGGACGATTAATAGCAAGCGGTGATGAGCTCGGAGAGGTCATTGCCTGGCACGGAGAAACTGGGGAATCACTCACTCAACCCATGAAATTTGTTGAAGATCACAGTGACTCCGGTCACCACTGGGACTATGGGTTGGACTTTTCTCCAAATGGAACGGTGCTGGCGAGTGCTTCATTCGACAGAACGACGACGCTGTGGAACACGAAAACATGGCAGATGGAAGGAAGTCCAATCAAGTGTGGCGACTCGGTCGTTTGTGTTCGGTATTCGCCGTCTGGTGAACTTCTTGCGATTGGAACAACCAGTAGCATCGAAATTTATAATCCGGGCACAAGGGAACGCGTTGCAAACCTCGACGAGGAACCGTCATTTGATCTTGATTGGCACCAAATATCGCTCGCGTGGACCTCCGATGGCACACGCCTTCTCTCAGGGGGTTATATGGACCACTACACCCTCCAGGAGTGGGATGCATCGACCTGGCAGAAGGTCGGTGATCCCTGGGGCTGTCAGATTGGCATCATTGCCATCAATCCTGCCGGCACACTCGTTGCCTCCGTATCGTATGACAACAACCTGGACGATGTCCGCCTCTGGTGTCTCTCTGATCGACGAAACATCGCCATCTGCCAGTTGGCGTCTTCTAAATCATGGACCAAATGTATCACCTTCTCAATGGATGGCAAACGCATCCTCAGCGGAGGTGATGATATGAAAATAACAGAATGGGCAGTGCCCGATCTTGCTCTGCAGAAGGACGCTCCCCATGCTACAGACTTATAGTCATCAACCTCCCCTCCATGCTGTTAACGGAGATGCAGTCCTCGCCGTCGCCGAGCTGTGCCTAGTTGAAACAGATATTGGCATATTCTCATTTGTATGTACACCTCAACTTATACTACACAAATAGTTGTACTCTTGGTATTGTATGCTGGCTCATACTTAACGCGAAAGCAGACTATTATTCTACTGCACATTTAGGCCCACAAGCCGGACAATCACAAATTTTCTGCAACAACCGCATCTTTGGACTTGGTTGGTAGCGAGACCTTCCATATGGTCTCAGGCTTTCAGTTTGTCGCAAATGCGGGTGGGCGGGAAGCTAGCTACAGTGCCCAACAAGATGATTGGTTAATTTATCCAGACCTATGTCTCAAATCTACCTCGGAACACGAAATAACTTAAATAAGTACCACGACGAAACTTGAAACATAAAACACATTCTCTCGCTCCATGCAGCGTCCCCAGCAACTGTTAATCACATCAAGCACCTCCTGTGCTACACACTGCTGCTATTTGACGCCTGCACGCCCGCTTGGAAAGCGATCGAAGTCATGGCAGTTCCTGCATCGGCGTCGGCCACCTGCTTAGCGTTATATTCTCGAATGCTAAGGATGAGGCGTGGTCCCAGTACAAACATCTGCACAATCCGAAAAAATCCACAAATACAACCATAAATCAGAGTTGTCAGGGAATATGGGTCCTGTAGAAATGATGAACCGTGGTCGCATGCAGAACACAGCGATAGATCGGCATACCGCTAAGATCGGTGAAAAGAAATAGACGAGCTCGAGGCAAGAAACAGCAACAACGCTAACGGGCGCAGAAATTCAGCAGAAAAAGAGAACTGCATTGACATTAGGAGCTACCTCGCAAAGTAAATCACGTGAGTTTTAATCAACTCTGTGAAACAGTCCCCGATAATCCCTCCTGCCGATTGTCCTCGCAGTTCGCGCAAGTGTTTTACGGCAATCCAGACTGCAAGACACAGTGCGAGGATCTCCCATACAGTGGCGAGAATCCAATTTATCGAACTCAGGAGTGGGACATCCCCCTCTGAGGAGGTAGTGCACTGATAGGTGTTGGAGAGAATTAGCTCCTCTGATATTCGTCAAAGAGGGTGATGCGCATAAGTATTTCATCTATAATTAAAGCTCACCCCCTGACGTATCCCTCATTGTTATTGCGCTCGTCACGTCATTAACGATGTTGACAGCCAGGAAGGTGACAACAAGAAATACCAGCACCTTCCTGGATCGCTGATACATGGCATTTATTCGAGCGATCATGATGACTTGCGTGATGGTTCAGCCAGGTCAATATCCCGAAGTTATTGCAGTTGCGCAGCTCACCGCCCAGTATTGCAAATGCGATGACACTCGTGCTATTCCATATGAGGTATACAATAAGGCCTAACGAATCCAGTTAGTGATCAGCCTCAGAGGATCACGCACTCCAAAGAAACTCACAGCTGTGGCAGTCATTATATCGAACTGAGAAGTTGGTCAGGAATATCACTCACCCCTACATAGGAGTGCAGTCAGTTGGACGGAAACGGCGGGGGTCGGTGCAGAATACTCACTACATCAGTCAGCGGGATTGTCGGAACACTTCCTTTATGCCGCCCGTCAGAAGAAATACATGGTGTGAATGACGAGACATACCCAGAATGGTGAAGCTAATTATGGGAGGTGACTGATTAGCGCGGCGTCGGGTGTTTAGCCTTCCAAACATACACAGCATATAATATTCCAAGATAGCGCAGCTAGTATACCTTCAAGTCAACACACCTTGCCAACCACACTTATAACACGAGCTACATACGCTGAGATACAAGACGTTCATGAGGGACCAGTGTCGCCTCTGCGGCGAATTGACTGTTTTCGACGTTGTTCTTCTGATGCAGGATTCTGCTCACCCAGACCAGTTCCACCTATAAAACCATTTTCAGTGAGATGTCTGCTCTAGTGATGGCATAGACCTACCTCTTGTCCGAACGTCAGTGCTAGAGAGACCATAAGGATATCAGCAGTTCTTGAGTACTATCATGCTCACCCCAATCATAGATCACTCCGATAGAGGCGGCAACTGCGAAACCGCAGCCAAGGTTAGATCGACACATAGCCATCATCATCCGACAGGCTCTCCACGAACCTGCAAAATAGCTGGAAACAAGACTCGCATTGATGACCGGCCACCAACTGGGATCATTCGAGACTAGAGTCATACTATTGGAGGATGGATGTGAGCGAGCGGACTTGATGGCGTATACCGATGGCGTTTGTGATAGATATACCACCCAGTGCTTTTGTGGCCAAAATGAGCATCATATCTGTTGCTGCCTTGATTGACCGAAGTAAGTGTTTTCGCATGAAGTGGAGTGAAAAGAGGGGCCCTCAATTGAATTCAAAGTAAATGTTGATGGTCAAACTGCGAAGCAGTGACACACGTGGAATGTTCGAACACCGCCAAAGGTCGAAAAGCTGTTCGTTTTTTCGGTAACTTCGTTCCGATGCCCCTCTCGAGATGTTCTTGCGGCACTTGCGAGGAGTTTCGAAATTAGTGGAATCTTGTAGTTCACCTATCTGACACAGGCCTAGAGACGATACGATCATCGCAAAGCCTGCCATCTCAAATTTCAATGATCATCGGCAGTGCTTCCGCCTCGCAGGCCCAGCCCACCGCGGGTAATAGCTCGTTGAAAGTCTCTTAACAATGTTACATTCTACCAGAAAAGTCAGAAATGAACAATATCAATGGTAAATGAACTCACCTGTGCCATCGCGGCTTCTAACGCACACGCCTCGACGCTTAATCCAATGTACCACTTGTCTCCTCACAAGTCCTTGGTCTAGCGATCATGTCGCGCCTTTTCACTCTGGCGAAATCCTATGCAGAAACGCCTCGTACTTTTGGCAAGTTGTATAGTTTGTGGTATGTTTGCATAGAGTCGGTGGAATCACGTCATGCATTTACATTTGCATTCGAGTTGGAGTCGACCTGTGTTCATCTACATCATTGTTAACTTGCGCTTATTATAGGGCTGGAGTGATATAATGAGGATAGGAAACGACGGAGCCGTGTCATCCAGAACCATTTCCGCGTGCTCCACGTCCTCTGAGGAATGAATCCAAGAATACAAAAGCTGTGTGTGGACAAGTGAGTTGAGGAAGCTCGGTAGCGAGGTAGATGGCGGAGATTCCCGCCAGGCGGGTGTACCAGGATGACCAGGTGATATGGTGGGATTGATTAGTGATTTTCATGATTGATATGATAAGTGGGATTGATTGATCGTGACAAATAGATCGGCCGATGATACAGCGTGATTAGCTGGTGTCAAGGTGCGAGTTTCGCTATGCTAAGCGATCTAACATACATAAGATACTTGGGCGGCGTGCTTGATGATTGTAGTAGGTTCTGGATTTCGGGTTCTGTTGGGAGTATAGTTGTCAGTAGGGGTACAACGGCGACATATTGGTGACTTACGTACGCATACTTCGTCGCATAATCTTTTCCTTAGCTTGTACCTAGTACCGTCGTCCGCAATCCAGAACGTGGTTCTGTTTTGCTTCGCGTGTCTCGTCGTTGGCCACGGCGTGTTTCTGTAGGTTCGATGAGCACCATAATATTATGCCAGTGCTGATGCCTGAAATTCAGTCATGATAATGATGAACAAAAAATCAAAGAGGAACCACACTCTCAATTGGAGCAAATGCAAGCGGGAAACAAGGTAAATTATCAGTATGACACCCTATAACGATAGCCTTGAATGCGTCGCCAATCTACTCCTCGTCTGGCCTCCATTCCCCATCCGAGCACCATTGTTGAACGAGCTCTCTGGCATCAGCGACTCGTATATCTTCGTCTTGCCCTTCCCATTCGTCTTGCCCTTCGATAAACAGACCTCCGAGGATCGAGGAAGAAATAATAGTTGAGTTGAGCCAAATCGCCGTTAAGAACTGTACGAAGACAACAATATTGGGGATATATAGACATAGTGCGGATGATGGAGGCGCATACGGCCGAGGGTCTTGGTACTAGGATGTCCGAGCACTGAGAAGGCGAATGATGCGGTGGCCGCTGCTTTGAGAGTTCAGAGAGAGTAATTGGGGAAAGAGAAGGGGAATAAGACGATGTGAGTGACGGCGTCATGGAGGGATGTAAAGTGGTCCGAGTGACACGGTAAAAGCGACCTTTGGCATGCATGTCGCCTTGCGTTTTCAGTTGCAGGTCTGACGGAAAGAGTGCGGAAGGCCAAGGGATTGGCAGGCCTCTCCGAGGCGATCATCAGGTACATGATACGGGAAATGATAGAAGACAAAATGGTCATTTAAACAGGAAAAAATCGTTGAATGGCTTACCATGAGCATGCGGGGAATTTCATGCGCCTATACAGTCCATCCAACAAGTTCAAGACCAGCACCTGGTAATACCTGTAGGGCGATTTCCACGATTTCGTGTGATGGACGATCTAGGATCGAGGATGAATGTTGTGACATCGTATATATGGACGAGCTCGAGTGGAATCATGGTGGTTATATATAAGAGACAATTGTTGTTGGCAGTTTGTTTATTCTTCCATTCTTCCATTCATCCCACCGCTCCATGGCGCAGCAGCTCGCCCAGACCTTATGCCCGGCTATGTGCCCTCTCTAGAGTCAAAATCATGGCTTTAGAGGCTCTCAACACAGGGCACGTTATTCTAGTTATCGATATCATTTTCTGAGCGCAAGGCTTTTTACTTGAAGCTTATTTCTCGTACGTCGGCTCATTCGTACAGATTAACTCTCCCTCCCACGTGTTTCGACTGTCACTTGACTGTGACCCTTCAGGGAGCTAGTGTGTTCGGTAGCAACATGGCCTATGCTCTTCCCGGGGGTCGTCACGGTATACCTGAAGAACTGGAAGAATTGTTGTTCAGCGAGGGGAATTACTTCTACTTGCACATCTCGGACTTCAACAAGCCAGCCATCGCGGCTCGTTCGCAAAATCTCGAAGAACCAGACCTTCTCGTCTACAAGCATAATCAGTTAGCACGGTCGCACTCGTGCTTTACTAGTGACATCGTCTCTAATCATCCTTACATTGCTGCCGTCTGTCGTACGCTTTTTTCTCCGCGCAACTGTGGCTTTCACAGGTTTGACTTGGAACACGATCGGCTTACTTTCACATGGGTAGATCTTCTTAGTTTTCGATCCAGTCATACGTTTAATGTGGCCAAACTTGTACTTGCGAAGTGGTACGGCTGATATTTAGATTGTTTCCCCTGTACGTACGGAGGTCTGCTCGGACCTCACAGATAAGAATAAGTTTCGGCGGAACAGGGTGGCGATTATTTTGATGGACATGGTCGTTCTTGAATTTCGAGGCTTGGCACCGACTGATGTAGACAAATCGGCACAGCCATTTTTGCTCCTAAATCTTCACTCAATCTTGAACCATGATGACGGAGAACATTGGGCGATTGTCATCGCTGCCTACAGAGCTGATATGTCACATCCTATTTTTCCTCACCCCAAGAGATCTTTGTCGCTGCGCAATAGTGGTCAGATATCCCCGGTTCTATGTTTCCTCCGAGGCTAACTTCTGGTTGGTGCTAGACCTGTATAATGTTTAGGAACGCGGCCCAGAATTCTGTCCACGTTCAACACAAGCTTGACCTTTATGCTCAGGGCTTCCACTGAGACCAATACTCAGGATTCGATCGACTTTTTCTGAAAGAGGGATTCATTTAACAAATTGGTTTTCATGTCGCGGTCGGATTTCCATGTGAACACTGTTTTTGAGGAAGCAATGACTACTGTACACGCCGCCATCCAAGGGAAACAATCCATGAAGTGTGGGCTTTGGCGGATGTCGAGAAAATACGACCTCTTCCTTCAGGAGTATGACACAAGTATCAAACTCTCCCGGACGTGACCCAGCCACAGATTATCCCCTAGGCCGTATCACATAATGTTATACACATTACAAGAACTCGACGGGTCTCCTCAGCGCCGAATCACGTATCTCCCTCCGGGGCGAAACTATTCAACTTCGCCATCGTGCGCTATTCATGCCACTCCATCGTTCCAGGGCCCAGCTACGTTCCCTCTCTGGAGTCACAAATCATGGTTTTAGAGATGCTGTCTTCCGTATCGGCCGAGATTTTGGGCATCGATGGTCATTTTCTCCGAAAGGGCCCTGCGGGTCCTGCACTCACGACTTCATGTCAAAATCCCCTGGTCGCACTGGGGACCCAACATACTTGCTTATTTCCGCATCACAAAAGCCACCGAATCAGTGAGTTTGGTAGCAGATCGGCCTATGCTCTTCCTCGATATCGTACCCCTACACCTAGACATGGACTGGAAGCACTCTCCACTGATGGTCGCTTCCGATACGCGCACATCTGGGACTTCAATCGGCAAGCCGTTGCACGTTCAAAAAATACGCACGACCCTGCCTCACCGGACTATATCAGGCGTTTTTCGTTGGGGATTTCATCTCGCATCGTCCTTACATTGCTACCGTCCGCCACGAGTCTTTTTAGGCGCGTGGCTTTCGCGGGCTGTTCTTGGACCAGGATCAGCTTACTTTGGTATGGGTAAGATGTTCTTAGTTGCAGTACAGCGATGGATTGATGTGGTCAAACTGTAGTTGCGAAATGACGGCGCGGTTGATATTTGGGTCGTTTCCCCTGAGTTGGCAGCCGATGGCTCGGACTAGAACAAGTTCATCATGACTACAATGCCGATATTGATTGTTGAATTTTGATGCAGACCGACTATCTCAACAGTGCATGATGGATTGCGGTCTAGATGTACCTACTGAGTATCAAGATTTACTTTGTGCGGCATTACATACGTAATTCATCATTTTGCCGCAGCCTGGCTAGTCCTGACACACTTTCTACCGTCGATTTCCCCGTGCCCTAGTACTATATTTCTAAACCGATAACGATGGCGGTTGGATTCTTATCGCTACCTACAGAGCTGCTATGTCACATCTTACTCCTCCTCACACCAAGGGACCTTTGTTGTGGTGCAATTCCAGTCCGCTATGTCCCATGGTTCCACATTTCCTCATAGGCTAATTGCTGGTTTACGCCAGACCTGCAAAACCTTGTGTTACGCGGTCCAGAATTCTGCCCACATCCAATATAAGCTTGAGCTCTATGCTCAGGGCTTCACTGAGACCGCCACCCTGGATTCGATCGGTATTTCCAGGAAGATGCACTCACTCAAGAAATTAGAATCCATGTGGCGGTCTGACTTCCATGTAAATATTGTTTTTCAAGCAGAAGTGACTACTTCCGCCACCCATGGGGCACAATATATGAAGAGTGGGCTTTGGTGGACGCGGAGAGATCACAATCTTTTCATTCAGGAGTGCAACCCAGATATCAAACTCTTCCGGACGTGGCCCAGCCACAGCTTGTCCCTCAGGTCGCAGCACATATTGCAGTCAGTTATCGTCGACCCTGTGCAGGATCTTATGGTCGTAGTCTCCTCGCCTTCTCCCCACGTTGCGAATGATGCCGACCAAGACCACTGTGTCTTTTCGATGGAGTTTTATATGTTGTCATCCCAGCTTCCTCATCCGGACTCTGCTTGCGCTTCTCTGGAATGCAAACATACTGCTGAGGTGCCCGCGGTCTACTGTGTTGTTTGTTTGAGAGGGCCTGTAATCTATGGCGATCGTATAGTTATTCCCTATTTCATAGAACCACATCCGGGAAGTCCTGCTATCCACATACAAGTGGTAGATTGGAGGAAAGGACAGGCACAGAGTGTAAGTTCCATCTACTCTTGAAAACTCCACAGCTGAGCATACTACAGTTTCCTTTAGGTCAACAATCTGGACAACTTGGCATGTCCCGACATTTCCATCTAATTGACCAACAGACGTTGGTCGTTATCGGCACGAACGGCCCCATAACCTTGTACACATTACAAGAACCTGACGGTTCGCCTCAGCGCCGAATTACGTACATACTTCCGCAATACTCTCTTCCACGTCCATTCTACTATGTTGTTCATGTCACCACATCGTTCCGCGGCGCAGCGGCTCGCCCAGACCTTATGCCTGGCTATGTGCCCTCTCTGGAGCCACAAATCATGGTTTTGGAGGTTGTATTGCCCCCATCGCCCGTTATCCTTGTCATCGATATGGCCATTTTCTTACAACAGGCCGTACACTTAGAGACACCTGTCGAGATTCCGTGGTCAGACTGGGGACCCCATCATACGTGGTGCTTTCCGCACCACCCAAGCCACCGAATCAGTGTGTTTGGTAGCAGAATGGCCTATGCTCTTCCTCAAGATCGTACCCCTGAACCCGGAGAAAGACTGGAGGCACTCTCCACTAACGATCGCTTCTACGTGCACATTTGGGACTTCAATAGGCGAGCCATTGCTCGTTCGGAACATACTTGCGACCCAGATTCACCAAATCTCTTCGTGCGCAAACCTGGTCGGCTAGCTGAATTGCCCTTGTGTAGAAAAATTACCTCGAACAATCCCTACATTGCTACCGTCTGCCATACTTCTTTTTCGACGCGTAACTTTAGTGGGTTATTCTTGGACCAGGATCGGTTTACTATGACATGGGTAAGGTGTTTTTATTTGTGAATACAGCGCCGATGGTTTAATGTTGCCAAATTCTAGTTGCGAAGTGGCAGCGTGGTTGATATTCAGGTCGTTTCCCCTGCACATACAGAGGTTGGCTCGGACCCTACAAACTAGTAGGAATTTCGGTAGCTGCGGCGGTGTTATGATGAACACGACCAACTATACTTCGGTCAGTGTTGTGTAAATTGATCATCAACACATTGTAACACATATTGCACATAGTTCATGTCTTGGACGATGTGGGTTGTCGCTCTCATGAACGCGTCAACGTTTGTATGTGTCTGGGAAAATATCTAACACTTCTTAATGTTCGTCATCGTAAAGTGCTCACGAATTGTTGGGGAGCCATGCCACCTACTCTCTGACGTGACGTCTCGTGCACTGATTGACTTATGGATGGATAGTTAATCTTGTCATCCGCATTGCCTGCAGGGCGATTATAATAAGCCCTCGGCTCGTGATCTTGGCCTCGGGTACCCATCCCCCCGCCCGTGGCTAGCGAATTCGTCAAGTCCGATAACCCACTTGCACCCAGACCCTCACTTTACGTTATTCAATGCATGTCTACACCTTCTCCTCTGTATTTCACCCTCTGAAGCCTTGAGCACCTTAGTTTATGAGTTGTTTAGCATTTCGCTCTTCCTTGTCGTCAACTTTAAGTTGAGGGGTCAGATCTTCAGAAGCCAGCATGTATATGATGCGGAAGCGCCATTCCGTGAACCCCCGGTCAGGCGGCACAGGTTACATCGTTGCCTGATGTTAAGCAGTAGGACCTATCAGATCTGCCCTACAAACGATTGTGATAATTACTCGGGAATCGCTTGACTAGCTGAATAGTCAAAACTTTCCTCGACGACGGGGCAACAAACGCCCCGACCACACCAGTAATACTATTGTGGTTTCCTTGTGCCGAAAGTCGTTTCTCTACAAAGTAACTTAGACGATTGTTACTGATCAATCAGACACTATTCTCAACAATTAGAATACAAGAATACCCCTGACACGAATCGCCAGCATGCAGTGCTTATACACGGGTTGCCATCTTCCTAGAAAGGGAGACCTGTATCGTCTTTACAGCCTGGTGCAAGAACCTTGCAAGTCTCGTTTCCATACTCAGTCTTTGTTAACGAGACACTATATTCTCAACAATTAAAATACAAGAATACCCAAGACACAAATCAAAATCGTCAGTAATCAATGGTCATGCGCGGGTTGCCATCTTCCTAGAAAGGGTCCTCAACCGCTCAGCATTAACTTTCCTGCGCGCAGTATCAGTTTCCACACTCGCACTGCTCTTCACGCCCGCACTAGTCCTCGGCGCAACCGTGTACGTGCCGAGGTTCTTTTGCGGAATCATGACGGCGTTCTTCCGGATACGGTTCTTTTCTCCCTCCTTTGCACGGGCTAAAATAGCGTTAAGGCGTTCGTTCGTGCGTTCGGTGCCGTCTTCCTCGGCGATTGGAACGACACGGTCACGGTATGAGGCGCTGCGTTTGATTATAGGGCGTGACCATGTGGATACGAGCTCGTTGGCAATGCGTTGCACGTCAGCTGTGACGCGCTTGCATTTGGTGTAAAATAGAACGATGCGACCCAGACCGGATTCTTTGAGTACAGCGCTGTCGATAAATTCCATGCGTTTCAAGATTGGGAAAAAGTCACGCTGGATGTTAAGGGCCGGGAGTGAGCGGTCTGGGAGAGGTTCCAGCCAGCGCCGGACGCCTTCTAGGAGGTTGTTGTCCATTATAGATTGTGAGAGTGATTGCCTGAAGGATATTATTAGCGTCAGGGCATCAAACAAAGAGGGTGACTGCGTACTTGCGGAGGACCTCCATTACTTGAGGCAGAAGTTTGAGCTTGTTGGTTGCGGGGAGCTTCTCGCGGTTAGCTTGTTCATCATCAGCTGCGGCACCAAGCATGGCCTCCCTGAGACGAGACACTTCCTCATCTGCGAACCGGTCTAAAATCTCCTCGTCATCTTTTTTGGGTTTCTTCTGCCGATTTGCTTTTTTCGGTTTAAGAATAGCATCGAACTGCATGTCTAGCCGAAGTTTATTTGCTGGACGAACGGTTTATCAGAACCGATGATTTTATTTTTTGAGGAGAAGACTAACCTTTCTCAGGGGGTAGATCATTGAGGTCTTCCTCGGTGAGTTGTTGTTTTCGTTTGCGCTTCTTCTGGGTCCTGCGAGGTTCGTCATCCTCGCGGCGTTTGACGCGACGCTTTGGTTTTGCCTGACGCTCCTGCACGTAAGCATCGCTTGATTCGCCAGAGGAGAATGCGTCTTCTTCGGCGGGGCGGCGCTGCTGCTGCTGTCTCTGACGCTGCTGTGGGGCATCTGTGAGAGAATAAAGTACGGTAAGTTTGGGATGATGTGAGAAGGACAAGAACGTGCCGTCTTCCTCTGAAGATAGTTCAGAGCCATCACCGAAGATGTCGCGCTCGAGATTATCGCCTTCCTAGTTGCGGTTAGGGTTGTTATTATATGATCTAGTTGAATTAAAACCTACTGCTGGTGCCGGTGCTGGTGCCATCAAAGTATGGAGACAATGGGTTAAGGCAGTGACTTGAGTTATTAAGCAAACAAGTGTCAAGTGGATTACGTAATGGAGTATAGAACAACGCCTAATTTGTCGCTACCCCTTCCATCATCATAAAGTCAGTTGACATGAATCACTGAAAATTAGCGACTGTCGATCTCCCCTACCAACGCCAAATTTTATTGATGTCCTACACTTCTTCTTTCCTTACCATGGATCCATACGCTGAACGTACTCCATCTCTTACTAACTCGGATTCTTCCAGCACTAGTACTTCTAGTATTAGTGATCCCGTCTCTATGGATCCGCCATATACTGACAGAGACAGGCCTCTACCTTCACTTCCTCGTGAACTATCCAGAAAATCATACCATATACCTTTTCCTACTCCAAAGGAAAAGCGAGCATACCCCACAGACCCACAGCGCTCGGCTAGGAGGCCGAGCCTCGTTCACGAACGTCCTCCGCAGCCAGCTTCATCCAAAGTCAAATCAATAGCATGGAGGAGAATGCACCGCGCGGCCGTTTATACACTCAAGCAACCCAACGTTCTTGAACGCTTACTGCAGTTCATACCATGGGCTGACTTTTATGCTCTGTTATCAACTTGCTCCGACATGAGGCGCCTCTGGGATACCCGGGATCTGCGAGACGTCATACTATCCCATTTCGTTCCCGGCTACGGCTACGCCCTCATGTATCGTGACCTCTCTAACTATCAAGATATGGACATCTCTCTTCAAGACCTTGACCTCTTGCGTTGGTGTCCTATTTTGTTCGGTTTCCCAACCCTCTGACGTTACCGTTACTGCGCACCTGTCAAATTTAGATGTTTCACAACGTGTTCCCCTCCATCAATACCCAGTGCACGCACTTAGGAGTATATCGAGCCTAACGCCTAGCCGAGATTATGACGCAACCACCGCAAAATTGACCCACAAGCTAGCCATTCTATGTCTGACTCACTCCCGCTTCGTACTCCTCCTTCAGTCTCTCGTCCATAGTTCTCCTCTCCCCTTGCCCATCGATCAAGATACCCAGTTCCAACCCGCACGCTTCACATCCATTTCCCCACCGCTGCCTCATGGCCTCCGCGAACTCACGTTCCCTGCCCCTCTATCATACGTATCTGACGCTTCCGAAAAAACTCCGTCAGGCGCTTATTTCCCAGGTACTAGATCAGATCCGGGACGCTCCATGATTAGTCCCCGTGATCACGCAAGTAGTACACGCTTATCGCAAGAGTCTATTTCAAGGGGCCGCGATACTTCAAAACCCAGGGTCTCCGCTGATTTTAATCTGCCGGTCAATCAACGGAAACAAAGGAAGCTTTCCATATTCGGTGCGAAAAACCCTCCGCCCCCTCCGTCAGAGCCCCGGTCTCTCAAATACTACGATGCAAGATGGCGGCGCACCATCGCTGCTGGCTCACAAACACAAGTGCCCGCGCAACTCGGCGCGTACGCGAGTAATCGGACTTTTTTTTCAGAAGATGACATCAGAAAGTCCGTAATGCGTACCCACAGGCGCACAGGATCTAGTGAGATGTCTAGTGCATCATCTTCCATCAGTGGCAGCCCTTCCCCACCGTTCTCTCGGAGGTCGGATGGCGTCTTTAGTCTCTCCACGGGCTCTCCACATGACCTTCACGCTGCGACTTCACGAATCCGAGCGCCCGTGCTGCGCGTATTCGTACCTTGCACAGGCCTCATCCCCGCAGCAATCTCGTTATGCGAACAACAATTAATCGACAACGGTCTCTGGGAACACATGTCAACTGGTGACATTGTCTGCAACTTCGGCTATGTCCCTTCCACGCCCGAATCGGACGAGACTTCATCGTCATCACAAGAATCAGACAGAAGCGCGCCACGCAGATCATGGCTGCTTTACAACGGAGACTCGCTCGTTCCCTTCGTACCTCCTGCGCCCCCGCCCGTCGATGACCCCCTCAGCTTGCCGTCACCGCTGTACTACTCGCACCTCATGCCTTCGCACGTTCATCCCCTATTCGCATTCGCACCCCCTGGCGGCGGCGGCGTCCCCGAGCTCAATCTCGTACAAACAACAGAACGCGTCCGTTCACCACAATCTCGCGGAGGGTGGGCCGCAGCGAAGAAGCATATGTGGGTCGCACGTGCACGCGTCGGAATGGGCTTCGTCGACGTTGACGATGGGCTTGGCGAAGGGTGGCGCGGCGAATGGATCCTCGAGACGGAAGGCACGCGCGAGGGGCGACAAACCCTTGTAGACTGTCTCTCAGGGGACGCAGGTGAGGTTTTCGTGTGGGAGTTTGTGAGGGGGAAGAGTGGCGGTGGGCAAATATGGCTAAAGTGAGTTTTTTTTGTCTTGTGTTCATTTGATGGGGGCGCTGATGGTGTTCCTGCAGACTTGTACGACCGCTACAACCTCCTTCGGACTCATTGAGAGACCTTCGTATTTTACGATCGTGAATGAACTATTGTTTTTTAGAGAGGACGCTTTTACTATATTCCCCATACACAACATTAGTACGCTGGACGCTGCATAACATTCTTTTACATATTTCTTTACTTTCTGAATTTTTCACAGCGGTCGCCGTAGGGATATTTGTCGACTATATTCAGGGGATCTGTGACTGTTATCTACTGTTGCATGCTTATCTACGTCTCCATACTAACTACACACGCGCCTACTTAGGCACCTTCGATATCCATGCCGTAGAACGTTGCTATTCAAGGACTCGGATCGTGTATGCGTATTATGTTGTAATAACACAGCCCATCCAGAACATGAAGATTAATTAATTGCTCTCCAGACACAATATGACTGACGAATAATGATACAAGTCTCTTCAAGCATCAAACGAGCGTACAGATCCAGGAATTGCTCCCGTGGGGTCACCGCGCCGGCTTCTTGGAGGACGCTAAACATCAAATCCGAGAGCACGTTTATCACGAGGTTACGAATGCAATGACAAGGGCACGTGCCCCCAAGTCCAACCTGTCCGTAATAACTTTCGGCATCTTGGCGTAATCCTCTGGGTACTTCTACAGCTTCGAGCCACTCCTGCGCCGTACAAATAAACGCACGTTCAGTGATTCCTCAGTCGAAGATGTACAGGATTCGGAGACATTGCCGTAACATCCGTTTCGGGATACCCAAAGGTCTCCATCATAAAAACACATGGACGTGGTGCGAGAGTCTGTCAAGGAACGTGCGCACTGCAGCTGGCGGTTCATGACGAAGCATTTTGCAGAATGCAGATCCAGGGGGGTATCGCTTCGTGAGTGGTGTGCTAGTAGTATTACAATGATGCTGACATAGTCCGCTTTTAAATCGTCGAATGTAGACCGGCCAAGTCCCAACGCCATAACCATTCCCACATAAACGCGTTCGTCGAACCGTCGTTGACGGAATCAACGAGTCCGCGGATATCGTTATATTGACTGCGCACACCGGCTTCTGCGTTAGTCATGCCAACGAAATTCGAAGGAGGGGGAACGCATCGGACACGCACCTTGTAATTCGAGTTCATTTGTGGGCCACCCCTGCTGCAGCGGCATGATGTACGCCATCGTCTGAACCCGCATCACACATTCCAGTACATAAGTCACGAACTCATGCTGAAAGCGTGTGATTTGGGGTGGACGCTCACCTGCCGTTTCTTGAAATACCGAGCGTGTTACCTCGGAGGTCGGGGATCTGGTAGATGGGAGATCAGCTGGCCTGTACCACCTGGATTGAATGATTTATTTCAGAACATTGTGGGAGAGGATGTGCATGCAGGGGGGCGTACTGGGGCACTCGACGAGAGTGAACGTCGAACCTTTGTCTTCCGATGCTTCGAATTAGAGGAGAACAGAAGCGTTCTCGGACTAATAGAACTGTGCGTCAGTGTCTTTGTCTTCGAACGGGTTGAGGAGACGGTACCATATCCGATCCTTGAAAGTTAAAACCATGATAAGAGCAGATGAAGACACTGAGAAAGGTCGGTTGAACGTTTCGTTCTTCGAGAGGCTGTGACCTTTAATGTTGGCGCATTGCGAGTATCGACAATCTACTGATATCTGCAGCTGTGTAGGCACTACAATACCGGTCACTAGTCGGCATACCACACTTCAATACAAGTGTCCAAACTCCCATCCTCTGACGTCACCGGTTTAGCTGTAGCAGAACCAGCACGGATTTTCTCCCTCGTCTGAATCATCTTCCGCAGCGCAACTCTCAGGTGCTTCTCCACGAACTGATCCCCAATAGAAGAGTTCATTTGGCCGAAATCTGGTATGCTCCACCATGGATAGAGTTTACTGTTGGAGTCCTTGGTGAAGTACTTCTACTTTCCCGGACCAACAGATGTGTTGTACGTGTCAAATAGTGCATGGCACGGATAGCATGATAGTTGTGAAACCCCAATGTAATTGGCAGGGGGATGGTTAGGACTAAGTGCGTGATGCCCGAGGAGCAGGGCTTCACAGTGAATGCGTGGCGTCTGGAACTTCTTGTAGTCTTCGTCCTCCTCTTCGGACCATTTGCTTTTCTCAGCCGCGTATGCCTCCATGGCAGGAATGACGACCTCCTTGAAACGAACATGTCGTTTGATGATACGATGGATGAACTTGGGCATGGAAAACGTATAGATAACACGCCGAAGCTCCCATTCAAGACGAGGCATGTTAGGACCTTTATCGGGTCTGGGGGTATCTTTGACGTCACCCCCTTGTTGAAGAAGGGAGGAGCGGATCTGTTTGAGCCGCGAAAGGACGTCCCGTAGATGTCTTTGAAGTTCTTCAGGAACACTGTCATTACCTGCGACGTGAAGGACACAGCCCTTAGGTTTCAAAGAGAGGGAGACAGCGATAGCTTGTCCGCTAGGCTGGTTGATGGAGATAGGGGCCACCGCGTCCAATAAGGCAATAATGTGCTAGGATATCTCGTCATGTTCAGGGAAGTTGAACTCCTCTAATATACCGATCTAAGGATCTGGCTTATTTTCGCTAGGACATATAGTCTGCATGATGGCTAATAGGATCTCTGGCGATGCATCAGGATCCGTGGCAGGTACGTGTGTTCGACTAGCCTGAAGAGAGGGGCTAAATGCATAAAATCACATGCACGCAGGAAACTTTAAACGCGATAGCAGTACTGGCCGGTACTGAGCACTGATTGGGAGAAAAAGCTATTACATATACACTAACTCGTGCGCCAAGTGCTGCTTCGGCAAGTTGTCCTACGGTTACGTCCTGGGCCAGCAAGTGCCGCAACCATAGGTGCGGTCCTACTAAACGACGACTGCGCCTGCTGCTACTCCTGTGTTGTAACCTACTCGCCCATCCGAAACTACTCAACGATAAGGCATTGCAATCATGGTGGGATTTTCTCTCCACATACAGGATATGATTTGACGAATAACGATATTTAATTATGATTAATGAATCAAACCAGCGTCACGACATCCAGATCCAGGAATTGCTCCCGCTTGACGTCCCCTTCAGGTGGGGCCACCACGCCAGCTTGCTGGAGGACGCTGAATGCCAAGATCAATACGAGGACGTCACGAACGCAAGGAAAATGCACGCACCCCAACGTGTCCGTGATAACTTTCCATGGTATCTTAGCGCAATCCTCAGGGTACTCCACAGCCTCGAGCCACTCCTATGGTATATAAATACACGCTCAGCGCTCCCTCGACCGGAGATGTACGTGATGAGACATCACCTTAACGTCCGCTTCAGGATACCCAAACGTCTCCATCACAAATTTCACGCTCGGTCCTGCACGTGCCTTCGCAGAAGCGAATGCACGGACGTGGTACGAGAGCCTGTCGAGGAACGTGCGTACGGCCGCTGGCGCTGCGCGCGTCGGGTGCGCTGCGATGAGCCAGGAAGGCCATGGCGTTGGGACTTGGCCGATCTACATTCCACAAATTGAAACCTGACTAAGTAATATGTGTGATACAACTCACGAAACGGCACTCTCCACCATCTGCAAAAGGCTTCGTCGTGAACCATTCCCACATGAATGCGCTCGTCGAACCGTCGTTTACGGAATCGATGAGCCCGCGGATGTCGTTATTGACTATGCATCGGATTTTGCATTAGTCAACCCGAAGGAGCCTCGGGGGATGGATCGGACACGTACCTTGGAATTTGAGCTCATTCGTAGACCAGCCCTGCTGCAGCGCCATGACGTACGCCATCGTCTGACTCCCGCTGCATCGCATATCCCGGTACATAAGTCACGGACTCGTGGTGGAAGCGTGTGATTTGGGGTGGACGCTCACCTGCCATTTCTTGAAATACCGAGCGTGCTGCCTTGGAGGTCGGAGAGCTGGTTGTATGCTGAGGGTTTGTGGCCTGTGATGACCGCCCTGTGCGCAACGTATGATGACAATCATCATGTATTTATCGTAAGTCAATCGGTGTGAGAGAGAAATTGGATGCACCAGCGGAGCGGCGATGTGACGTAGCTCCCTACGAGCTTGTACGCCTCTGAGCCGTTTGCGATCCCTGCAATCAAAGGATCTGTGAGCGCTCTGTTTTGAAGCGCGTGGCATTGGATGACAAGATTAAATCAGAGATATTATTTTGAAGATCGGGCGGGCGTACATTGCGATATCTATCTCATCGTTCGTGAGCCGAGAGATCAGCTGGCCTGTGCCACCTAAGTTGAATGATTTGTTTCAGAAATATTGTGGGAGAGGATATGCATGCAGGGGGGCGCACTGGGGCACTCGACGAGAGTGAACGTTGAGCCTTTGTCTTCTGCTTCGAATTGGAGGAGGGGAGAACAGAAGTGTTCTCGGACTGGTAGAACTACGTGTCAGGTGTCGTTGTCTTGGAAGAGTTTACGTAGACGGTACCATATCCGATCCTTAGAACCATGATAAGAGTAGATGGAGACACTAAGAAATTGCTGAGAAAGGTCGGTTGAAGGTTCCGACGTTTCGTCCCTCCAGAGTTCTGCGACTTCTAATCTAGGTGTATTGGCCCCTGTCACATGTACATCGGGGCCCGTGGTGAGAGCTATGTAGCTGCTAGCAGTATAATGCCATTATCTAGGACTTTTGTACATGCATGCTACCACAAAAGCTGCTCTTTTACGAAGTGCAGACCTGTGGACACGTGTACTTTGGAAACAAGTGCGTTGTTAGTTAACTACACCCGTCACACTGTATCCGCGACTGGGTCACTGGGCCCTACTTCGGCGGCGTGCGCACAGTGCGTAGACGCTGTGGACTAAGTGCGTGATGCCTGAGGCCTGAGGAGCAGGGCTTCGCAATGAATGTGTGGTGTCACTGTGAAGGTGAAAGTGAAACTTTGTCCATCGAAAGAAGTGGCGTATGCTGCGAGAGATACGATGGTTTCTGAAACCACGCGTTTCACGGTTTTGTCATCTGTGATATGGAAACTCGTGATGGTGTCCTCTGAAATGTGGAAGGTGGACTCAGGTTAGACTACCGGATTGATTGGTTCGATCGTAAAGGAGTCAAGAACATTTCCTTGCGATACGAGTAAACGATGTTCTTCGGAGGAGTGTGTTCATATGGCGGCTGAGTGAAAACACCTCCGAAAGATGTCTTCTGAGCAGAAATGGCTTCTTTGGCAAGTCACTTTCAGGTCGACGAGACGCTAAGCTCTAAATCAACTTCTGTGGGCAGTGAGGGCATAAAAACTTACAAATCTCTCTCCCATGACGTCAACCTCGAGTTATCATCTCTCCAGCGACCACAGTACGAAGATCTTATGCCGTATCAAAGTTGTATGATATGCAATTGTTTACATAAAAAGCTTGCTCTGTATCTGTCTCAGATATGTACCAGCCAGTCTCCAGCAAGTAGGTTTCATTGTATTATTTTCTACTATCAATAATGTACATCCTCCTTCAATGTGCTTCCCATAGACATACAGATGCATATATGTTTTGTATACATGTTAATGATGATATCAAGGATATCAGGCAGACGCATCTGCACTTCAACGCTGACCGTCTATAATAACATGTCAGAAAAGACGAGCGAGCGAAAGGTCCAAATAGGTACTCACAAGCCTTGGTCTCGAACTTGCCAATACCAACAATGATGTTTTGAGGCTCCTGGGGCTTGCCAGAGAGGTAGTTCTCGATGATGCTCTTGGTGCCGTTTGCGTAACGAGCCTGAGCATCAAGAGTGGTACCAGAATAGTGGGGTACCATGCCGTTACCACCGCCAAGGACGTTCTTAGCCGTGCGCAAGACGTGGTCTTTGGGTGCGGGCTGGACGTTCCAAACGTCGCCAGCGTAACCTGTTGTAATGTTAACTCGATATAAAGATATCAGGTAGTGAGGTCACGAACCGTTCAGGTGACCACTTGCAAGAGCAGCAGCTACGGCATCCTTGTCACAAATGGCACCACGAGCGGTGTTGACGAGCCATGCACCCTTCTTGAAGTGCTTGAGAAGGTCAGCGTTGACAAGGCCAATTGTACCCTCATGCAGAGGGCAGTTGACAGTGACAACATCGCACTGCGAGACGAACTCCTTGAGGTCCTCGACGCGACGAGCATTGATGGCCTTAGCAGCCGCTGTAATTGCATGAGTCAAGCTGGAGATGAACGAGTATAGAGTGGTACGAACCTTCAGGCAGGGGAGCATAGTCGTAGTAGATGAGCTCCTTGCAGTCGAAGGGCATCAAACGCTGGAGGACGCGGTAACCGATACGACCAGCACCAATAGTGCCAACGACTTTGCCCTCGAGATCGAAAGCGTTGCGAGCAATATCAGAGACCATCCAGTCTCCACGCTCGATCATCTAAAGATGGCAAGAAATCAACAGAGGGAAGCACGCGCCAGGAGGTTGCCATACCTCGTGTGCTGGAACAAAGTTCCTGACGAGCAGGAGGATAGACATCACAACATGCTCAGCGACGGAAACGACATTGGAGCCCGAGACCTCCAGGACCTGAATACCACGTTTGACAGCGGCGTTGAGATCAATGTGGTCAGAGCCGACACCAGCGGTGACACAGAGCTTAAGATTCTTGGCCTGTCAAGTATGAAACCGTTGAGCATCAACGACTCAATCTAGAAATGATCAATATACCTTCTGGACCAATTCTGCAGTGAGGTACCCGGGGTGGAACGGGGTCGTGATCAAGATCTCAGCCTAAGATAGAAAATAAGTACCCGGGGATATATACGCAGATACAGTAGTAGGGCTGTACTGGAGCTTGGACATACATCAACGATGTGCTTCTGGAAGTCGCTGTCAGGGCCCTCCTTGGAGTCGGATACCTGCACAAATGGATGGATTGAGCAACTAAACAAGCATGATAATCAAGAGGAACACGACACATACGATGAACTCGTGGCCTTGGGACTCAAGCCACTTGCGAATACCGAGCTGTGAAAGTTAAAAGTAAGTATGTTGTAGCTAATGATCTATCATTCGAGACAAGACGAACCTGGTTCTCCACAGTACCGAGGAGACGGGGCTCGCTCTTAGCAGCCTCACCGCCCTTGTAAAGGATAGCGATAATCTAGAAGCGCGTCAGATCTTGTAATCGATAACAGGGGGTGCATCATCACCTTCATGACTGGGTTTCTGTGGACTGAAGAAAGTTATGTGGTTGGTTGTGAAAGGGTGAGTGGAGAATGGGTCGTTTCGTTGTCGAAAGTCCAGGATCTTTATAGGGGGACGCCCTGGGCGTAAGCGCTCCTGCATCTCGGTTGACAATATGTGGGCCTACCGCTCTCTGTGCACATCATGGCTTTCCGGTTTTTGCCTTAGGAAAGGGATGCAAGCGATACCGCCGTCCATTTGACAGATTCCATCCATTCCGGATCACGTGCTACGCATCCGATCTCATCCATTTATGCCTGAGCTGTAATTAGCGCGTCGATAATCAAATATACTGGTCGGCGAGCGAATGAACGAGCAGATATATCTGATGGTGTTGCTCGCAGCTACGAAATTAACTTGATCCGAACAGTGACTGCGGCAAATTTTCCGTGACGTCGTTTTCGACCTGCTCCGCAAGGTACACGAATCTATTCTCGTCAACGGTCGTTCCGGAGGAAGGCGCTCGCACAGTTGTTGTGCCATATGCGCATTGCGGACGGGATCGGAAGAAACCATTTCTTGCTCACGTTAATCTATGTATATACAGCGGACGTCCAAGTTCACCAACAGGATAATGATATCATAGAAAACCCGGCAGCCCAGAAGGTGAGGCTGTGACTGTTCGAGTAGTCAGACTCGTCTCACGTTCGAACGGAATACTCCTTACCATAATCACCCGAGTGGACCTGTTCAAGTACGTGATTGTTACCGGAGAAACACCACTTTCTCCTGCGCACTCGAAGCAATCCAGGCGGATTCATGAATGATACCCAACCCAACACGCTCCATCAAACCCTCATTCTCACTTACCGCCATCGCATATAACATACATCCAGAGTAGAACCCCCCAAGACTTTCTTCGTCGCACACGCCAGGGCCCACACTGGTACGGGAAAGGACGACGAACTCAAGAGAAGCCGGTGGAACAGGGTCTAATGGCAGTATGACACTGCCAACCCAAATGGAAGAGCTGGAGAGGATATTGAAGAGACCATGGTAGAAACGTGCACTTGATTTTTGGTCTTCTCTACCGTCATCTCGCCGTACAACGCTAAAGTGGCTGGAGGTCGTGCGGAAAATGAGGGTACCTGGCTCCAGTTGTCGATGAATGTCTAGCGTTAGCTGTGATGAATCTAAGATCCCTTTCGGTGAAGAATATGGGTTCATCGCTGCCTGTGACCTAGGATGTACAAAGACCCGGTGAATACGGCGAACATCAAGCTGCACTGTATCACCACTATGGTCCACGATATACCAGGGATCGATAATCGTTTCCGTCACTCTCGGTTGGTCAGAATGACTATCGAGCCAGGCATAGAGTGTTTCCCCCACGTAGCGAACAGCGCCACGCCATGTAGCTCATGCCCAAGAAGGCCAGGCTGACTTGCCTTCGCCAGTGATCGAACGACGAGCGCGAGGAGTGCGTGGATCATGTTGCCAGACAAGCGCATGCTCGAGGTCTGTCAACGACATTCCAAATTGAAAGGATTTGGCGGGGTCACCCCTACCAAGCTCAAAGCCTTTTGCCAAGACATTCGTCATTGCAGTGATAGCATCGACAATGTCTGACTCCACGGTAAGGTTACGCCGTGTATACGGCCCAATGGCATACATGTAATCCATGACGGACTGACCCGGTGGGGTATGCGTAGGTTTTCGAAGGTAGGTATAATTTCCTGCACCTTTATACCGCAAAGGTTGGGTAGACGATGAGAGGAACTTGCTTTCAGCGACAACGTCTTCGCAGAAGATATCACATTTGCACTCAAAGTAGACTTGTTGCCCAGTGAAGTATATTCTTCGGCGGGAGAGCATAAGCTCTTGATAAGTCCAACCACGCGTGCTCCAAGCCGATAGATTGAGAGCCTCGATAGGTGGTGGCAAGGGCACAGAGAGATGAAGTCCTTGAACGACCTCGATGTGCTGCTGCGGTGGTCTAGTTCGTGGACGAAGTCCTGGGAGAGGGTCCCGAGCCGACGTGCCGCCAGCAGCATAAATCGTGAAATAAGACCCGCCGTAAATCGAATCCATAGCGTGTATCTGAATGGTCTTGTCTTCTATATCATCTTGAATGATGCATAGAGTGTCAATCCATAGGTATCGTTCGCCAAGTTGTCGAACGAGTTGAATCGAATCTATGATGGTATCGGGGAAGTTTGTCATGTTCAACCCGCCAGGCGTGGAGCGCTCTGCGAAATTATCCTTCGCCGTCCAATACTCTGCGCCAATGCCTCCCCATATGTAGCTGAGGGCAACATAACGACAGGCGGGAGGTGCAGGAACAATGGCCATCGACACCACATCCACTATTCTCATAAATCCCGGCAGGCTCCTGTTGTCGCCCATCCACCAGACACTTTCACATATATCTCCATGCCCTTCCTCGCACAGCCCGAGCCATTTCTTCACCAGACCGACATCCACAGTATCGTTCACTCTGCGGCCATGAAGATCGGTCGGTCTTCCAAACTTGAACGCGTCTTCTTCCATGAGCTGGATTTCTAACACCAGCGAAGTCCGCGCTGCCATGATGGCTGGATATATCTCCCGAGGGCGATCCGGTGCATTAATGCTAAGGCGGTGGCAAAGTTTTTTGGGTTTGGGCGTAGGCTCCAGAAGGCAGCCACAATCTAATGAGAACAGCTCACATTCAATCCCGGAGAGATCGAGGTGAGGAAACTTGTCCAACAACCATGCTCGACGGACAACTGAGGATATGAGGCGGCAGAATCCGCATTGGTCGGATTTTTTCAAGATGGATGAGACTGAGCCGAGTGGAATCGCTTTATCTCTTGGAAGGTCGTCGAGGAGAATCTGATAGAAATCTAGTTGTGCGCAGATGGAACAGAGTGGTGCGTCGGGAGTATGGTCCCTCTGTTCACCCACTTCAATGAGTCTGCTGCGCTGGGAAAGGATGGAATTGAGTTCATCACCTGAAGATCATTTCGTGTTTGATCGTCTTGTATGAGGGAGTCGGATTCGGAGGTCCTATCAGATGTGACATTCGCTTTGTGTTTGCGGACGACTAATAGCCAAAGAACCAAGATACCAGCAAAGCACCCTCCAATACCTCCAGCGAGGGCCAAACTATGTGCAGACACCAGACTGAGAGTCTCAAGACAGCGAGCGGAGGCTGTCAAGAGTGAACTTTGAATGTACTGTAGGCTTCGCATGGATATGATTACCTACCAGTGTTCATTAGCCTCCATTGTGCGTCGATCATGATGGTATCATAGAATAGAAGGCTACAAGCAGGATACGCACTTGACTGGTTGTACCCTTGAAGCTTCAACAGGAGAATGATACTGTTCTCCTTCTTCAAATTCCAGTGACTACGGGAAAAATTCACCACAAGAACATTGGTTAGCACTAGTAGCGAGAGATGCTGTGAACAGTGTTATTACGTACAGCAACGAGGCACCCTTATTGGCAAATAAGTGGTAACGCCCCTGATCCCTAGCGAATTGGAGTAGTTATACTAGACACAAACCTGCCTCGGCAATGCCAACTCCAAGACAGGATCGCACTCCAACGAGTATCTGACATGCAAAGCCAACATCAAGTGAAAAATATGGAGAGCATCTTCACTATTCCTAAACCCATGAGTAATGTCCTGGCAACGGGACTCGGGAGAAGGAAAAAGACCTAGAGTTGTAACATCGGGAGGTGACGTCTGTCTCGAAGGCACATACGGATGGTCGGTTGCAGACAAGTTGCAGATCCGGGATTATCCATCTAACATCCGGGCCCGGGCGCAATAAGTACCGATGATGCGACCTCTGCTTCCGCAACAACGACCCTCGTTCAGAGTTCAGAGTGTTTATTCCTTAACCCCTTTGACCTGCTTCCCACTATGAGTGACCCCATGCCGTTTAGGCTGTCAAATTGACCACGAATACATTTTTTCTTATTGAATGGTGAGTCCGTGTCATGACTTACAAGAAGATTTCCCGCATCTCGTACCCGAAGACCGCCCGGACAATGCCTCTAATATCCTCAAGCCCCTTGGCTTTCCATTATCTCCCCACTGGCCAGACCTGCTACTAGGCAACATGCATCCCAAACGTCGCTTTTTCATTACCACTCGGGAGTCAGGACACTGCTACCCCACGTTACTCATATCGTCTTATACTCCTTTTTATTTATTTCTGAGCTCCCCTAGCAGGCCCCTTCCCATTTTCACCTTCTCACTCCTCGAACATCCTAGTACCAAGACCTTCAGCCACATGCGCCTCTATCATGCCTGATTATCCACACTCTCATGCTACTCGCGCAGTTCTCAACAGCGATGTGCATCAGGAAAAAGCCCGGTCACTATATAGTACTATATAGCCAGGGTAGACCGTGTAGCTTGGTAGTCAAGACCTTTCTATATAGTATGTGAGGCAACTATGTAGTACTATATAGTGCTATGCGCAACTCCTGTAGCTCGTTGTAGCAACCAACTACAGGTGCTACAGGCTGCTACAAATCAGACTGGGTGATCGATGATCCACAAAAATGATTACCTAATTGGCCACTTTATTGTTTGCCATAGACTTGGTTTGAACTATCGACCACCTGATTAATTGACACAATTTCGAGCAACACTTACCACTAGACTACAGGACCTTGTACATATGAAAGTAGCATCTAATATATATACCATAATCATTGGACTTAGAATAATAATTTATCGTCTAATACGATAGTCTACCATTAGATTTGATAAGGAGTGACTATGGTAGATCTTAGGAATTTTTTCGAAGAAAATCAAAGTTATAGCCCTTGTCAAGGGTAGCCTTTCCATAGTCTCATGACATTTTTTAGTTAAGATCCTAATGAGTTATCAGCAAAATACTACGAAGTGGTGTGTTCAAGAAAGTTCAGGCACGCAAGTAATATGACTGATGTTTCCTTAATTTTCCTTAGCTGACTTGCAGCCACTCACGTATGTACTATGGGTGCACCTGTAGCTGCCTGTAGCGCAGTAGTAAGCTCCTGTAGCTACCTGTAGCACGGTGTTTGCCTTGTAGCTGCATGTAGCGTGGCTTTAGACTATATAGCACTATATACGTAAATGTAGTGTAAGGTGTGCCTACATAGTGCTACTGTGCCTACATAGCACTATATAGCTGTCACCCGGGCTACAGCATTTTTGGGTTTTTCCTGATGTGGAAAACTTGATTTTCATCGGTTATATCATCGAAGTCTTACCTACTGAAGAGGAACAGGGATCGGAACAGGAAGATGAAGATGAACATAGGCAAATTGCTGCTGCCTCTCAGCACGTTAAACAACGGTGCTTGTATCATGAATGGAGGCCAGACTACCATTACAGGGTGTGATATTGGTAACTCAGTCGTAACCTACGGATCTAATCGCACAATCAACTATACATACTCTGCACCATGCAGATTACAGACTGTGAAAGGAACCAAAACATGATTTAACGTACGAAGACGCAAAGCACTCAGTTAGACTCGATAATCTTGGAATTCCACATACTCCGTCTGGTAATCAATCCGAGCCCTGAGAGGGATGTAATAAAATATGCATAGATTTATCCAGACTCATTCCTCCTTTAAATATACTGCGGAACACCGAATAACTGATATAAATACCACGACGAAACTTAGAACAAAAAAATCTCCTGCTCCCAACAAGTATTCACATCAATTATGTCTGTTGCACACCGATGCTAGTTGACACATGCATGCGCTCAAAAACAATTGAAGTCATGGTGCTTGCTGCATCGGAGTCGGTCACGAGCTTAGCGTGATATTGTCGAACGCTAAGGATCAGGCGTGGCCCAAGCACACACATATGCATGAGCAAGAAGATTTCAGTAAAACCACCATAAATCCCAGTTCCCGAAGATAAGTCCTATAGAAATGGTGAACAGTGCTCAGAGCTCAGTAACACATGAACATACCGCAAGTGCTGGGGACATGAAACCGATCTCGAAGCAAGAAGTACTAAGATAGCTAGCATATGCGGAATATCAGCGGAAAAAGATAATCATACTCGCATGATGAGCTTACCTCGCAAAGTAAACCAGATGAGTTTTTATTAAAACTGTGAAACAGTCCCCGATAAACCCTCCTGCCGATTGTCGTCGCAGTTCACAGAAGTGTTTTACAGCAATCCGGACTGCGAGACACACTGTGAGGACTTCCCATACAATGACCAGTATCCAAGCTATCGAATGTCGAAGTATGCCATCTCCCTCAGTCTGAATACTGCATTGATAGGTTCCGGAGAGAACGAATTCCTCTGGGATTCGTCAATGAGCCTGGCGCGCATAAGTCTTTCATCCGTGATTAGAGCTTACCCCCTGAACCACCCCTCATTGATATTGCGGGCATCGAAATAGCGGCGACGAGTAAAGCCAGGAAGATGGCGACGAGAAATATCAGCACCGTTCTGGATTTCTGATACATGGCATATAGCCGAGTGATCATGATAACTTGCATGATGTTTCAGTCAAGTCAATAGCATTGAAGCATTGCAGCTACGTAGCTCACCGCACAGAAATACTTCTATGGCCACAGCCACCCAATTGATTGTGTTGAACATCACGTAGCCTGATAGTGATCAGCCTCGGAGAACCACGTACTCCAAACAGACTTACAGCTATGGCAGTCGTTATATTGAACCAACAAGCTGGTCAATAATCTCACTCACCCCTACATGGGAGCACAGTTAATTGGACAGGAATAATGGGCGTCATTGCAAGAATACACACTACGTCTGTCACCGAGATTGTCGGAACACTGACTACATGCTGCCGGTCAGAACAAACAAAACACGGCGAATGTGAGCAGACATACGGTACATGTTGATGCTGATTGTGAAAGAAGGCTGATTAGCACAAATGCTAATTGCTTAGCCATCCAAACATACACAGCATATATTATTCCAAAGTAGCGCACCTAGGATATTTTCATGTCAGCACAACTTGCCAACCACACTTACGACACAATATTAGCTACATACACTGAGATACAGAACAGTCATCAGGGACCAGTGTTGCCTCTGTCGTGAATTAATTGTATTTTCACGTTGTCTTCTGACGTGGAACTCCGCTTACCCAGATGAGTTCAACCTATAAAATCAGTCTTAGCGAGATGATTGCTCTGGTACTGGCATCAACCTACCTCTTGTCCGAATGATAGTGCTAGAAACATCATAAGGATATAAGCGGTTCTGTAATACCATCTTGCTCACCCCAATCATACACGATCCCAGCAGTGGCGGCAACTATGAAACCGCAGCCAAGGTTAGATCGAGACATCACCGTCATCATCTGACTGGCTCTCTACGAACCTATGAAATAGCTGGCGAGACGGGTTCCATTAATGAATGGCCACCAACTAGGATCATCTGAGATAAAGGTCATAGTGGATGAGTGTGAGGGAGTGGCAAACTGGGTGAAAGATGGCGTTTGTTATAGATATACCACCATGGAGCGTTTTTATTGTCAGGGGAAAGTCAATGCAGGGTCAATATATTGAATCAAAGTAGGTGTTGGTCATGAAACCGCAAATCAGTCAAATGCGTGCAATGTTTGAACACCGCAAAGATCGAAAAATTGTTCGTGATTTCGCCAACTTGCTTCCAATGCCATTCTTGAAATGTTCATGCTACACTTGCATCAGTTAAGGAATCCATCAATGAAATCATGTATTTCATCCATTCAAGACAGGCCAATGTATGATGCAATCATCGAAAACGCCTGATGTCTCAATGCCTCGCTGGCCTGGGCGCGGGTCGCAGAACACCTCTTTCGATGTCACTCAAGACGGTTACGTCCTGTCTGCATGACAGAAAAGTCAGACATGAAAAATCGAGGAGGTCTAAACGAAGCAGACAAATGACTCGCCTGTCCCACACAGGCTGCCAACTTGAACACTCTCCTCCAAGCACACCTCTCAACGCCTAATCTCCCTGATCCTCATCGTCCTCGGCATTGCATCTTGCCTGTTACGCTCAGCGTCGTCAGACGTCTTAGCAGTAATCAAAAGTAGTCGAAAGTTCTAGCTAACACCCTAGTGTTAGAGTCGTGCGAGTAAAGCAGTAGTATTGCAGGCCCTGGTCTGCGTAGGTCAAGTTAAAGAGTACAAGCGGTAGAGATGAGGTATATATAAAGGTATTGAGTCGGCGAATGAATAGTAGAAGCGGAGCTTCAATAATAATGAGCCAATGAGAAAAAGAGAAAGAGAATCGTACGATAGAATGTTCTAGAAGTACACGTATTAGAAGAGTGAGCATGTGAAGGTGTGAAGATGTGAAATGTGTGACAGGGTGTGACGGTGACAAGGAAAAAGGGTGACCGTAACATTACCCCCGTTTTTGGTGAAAGTCTGAGTACTACGAAGAAGAATCAAAGGTGATGTGCGCGTTTATAGGAAGAAAGAATTTCGGAAGCGTTACCCATTTGTCTCTCTGTCATCCATTCGTTCTCGGAACTCGGGAACCCTTTCCACTTTACGTTGTAATATCTTCGTGAGGTTGAACCTCGGTGGCCTACTATGGCCTCTATCTCTTGTTCCTCCTCACCGTCTACGAGGTCAGGTGGTGGTGCGACGAAGTTAGGACCGTGAGTGTCGTTTTCTTTATAGGGGGAGAGGAGTGCGGCGTGGAAAACGGGATGAATACGCCATTGGGTAGGGAGGTTAAGACGATAGGTGACTGGGGATAGGACGTCGGCGATGGTAAATGGTCCTTCTCGTTTGGGTGCGAGTTTACGGTTGGGGTAGCCCAGATGAAGGTTTTTGGATTCGAGCCACACTCGATCGCCTTTGTTAAACGGTATGAACTTGGACGTGATTCGTTGTCTCATGGTGTTGCGCGCTAGTTCGTGAGCGGCTAAAGCTTCGTCACGTGCTTTGTTGAGGATAATGAGACGTTGTTCGACGTTAGGGATGTCGCTCTTGGGATGAAGGTCGGGTAGATGTTTGGGATGATAACCCATCATAAGGTAGAACGGAGATGTCCCGCGAGCGGAGTGATGACGGGAGTTGTGGACGAACTCAGCGAGAGGGAGCATGGATGCCCAGCTTGTTGCGTCGTTTGCGCAGAAGATACGGAGGTAAACCTCGAGTTCTTGGTTAACTCGTTCGGTTTCTCCATCGCTCTGGGGATGGAACGCGGTGGAAAGGGAGTTCTTGTATCCGAGGAGTTTTCCGAGTTCGATCTGGAATCTAGAGGCAAATTGGGGTCCGCGGTCAGATATAATTTTATCGTAAAGTCCGTATCTGGAGAATACTTTGGAAAAGAAAACGTTTGCTACGCCTTCAGCGTCTATGGTTTTATTACATGGGGTGAGAATTACCCCCTTCGAAAGGCCATGGTCTACCACGACCATGATACTGTCGTAGCCGTTGGACGGCGGAAGATCGGTGATGAGATCGGTAGAGCAGTGAGCGAAGGGTCGATTGGATATGGGAGCGGGGATAGGTTGTAGGGGAGGAGTCGTCGGGTGAGTATTGACTTTGTTCTGTTGGCAGATGCTGCAACCGTCGACGAAGTTCTTGACGAACGTAGAGAGTCCGGGCCACCAGTAGTCACGTGATAGAAGTTCTTGTGTTTTGTAACGTCCTGGATGGCCGGCGGTGGGAGAGTCGTGGTGAAGGGAAGTGATGCTGCGACGGAGATCGCCTGGTGGAACATAAGTAAGTCCTTTGTACGTAAGAATACCGTCAGATAGTTTCCAATCTGATAATGCGGAGCGAAGAGGAGGGGGAATGGAGGGATTTTGGAGCGCGTCAAGCGCTATTTGTACTACTGGATCGATGGAGGAAGATATACGTAATTGTTCGGAAAGAGAAGCGGAATTGATGAACATAAAATCAGGAAGAAGTTGTATACTAGTATTGTCCTTTTCGACGTTATCGTCAGGAAGGTGATCCGGTCTACGGGAGAGTGCGTCAGGGATAGTTAAGTCTTTACCGGGTACGAATTTGAAACGGATATCAAACTGGGATAGGAATGTTTGCCAGCGTGCTTGGCGTCTATTGAGATCTTGCACGTCTCTAAAGTAAGTGAGGTTTTTATGATCGGTTTGAACCTCTACGGGGAATGGAGAGCCTAGGAGGTAATGTCGCCATGCTTTGAGCGCTCTGATGACGGCGAGGAGCTCTCGGTCATAGATCTGGTAGTTTCGTTCGGCGGGGGCGAATGATTGGGAGAGGTATGAACAGGGGAGCCATTCGCCGTTTGAGTCTTTTTGAAGGAGTACTGCGCCGGTGGCGTATAGGGATGCGTCAGTAGCGATGGCGAATGGGGCGTGTCTATCGGGGATCTGGAGGATAGGAGCGGATGTGAAGATGGTTTTCAGCTTTTGGAAGGCGGAGTCGCGTTCTTCGTTCCATTCGAACGGCATATCTTTCTTCGTGAGATCTATAAGGGGACGTGCGATGGTAGAGTAGTCAGCAATAAAACGACGGTAGAAGTTAGCGAATCCGAGGAATGATTGGACTTCTTTGACTTTCTTTGGGGTTTCCCATTCGGAGATTCCCTTCAGTTTAGTCGGGTCCATAGCTACCGATCCTGGTTTGATAATCATGCCGAGATATTCTATTTCTTCCACGTTGAACGTACACTTCTCTGGTTTGAGGTAAAGGCGGTGTTCGCGGAGTCTTTCTAGTACGCGATGAGTTCGTTTCTGGTGGGTTTCGAAGTCGTCAGAGAAGATTAGTATATCGTCCATATAGATGATTAACCATCCTTCCTGGAGCATGTCTCCGAACGTATCGTTCATCATCGATTGGAAGGTGGCTGGCGAATTACACATGCCAAAAAACATTACCGTGGGTTCAAAAAGTCCTCTTGCCGTTGCGAAGGCCGCTTTCCATTGATCGGTCTTCTTGAGTCGGACGTTGTTGTATCCCCATCGGATGTCCATCTTGGTGAAGATCTTCGCGTTCTTGAGCTTATCTATGAGATCGGATATCAGCGGAAGCGGGTAGTTATTCTTAACCGTGTGTTCGTTCAGATAACGGTAGTCTTGGCATGGTCGGAGGGAACCGTCTTTCTTCCCGACGAAGAAGAATGGGGATGATTGAGGGGATTCGGAGGGGATGATGGTACCTTTAGCAAGGTTCTCGTCGATAAAATCGTTCATGGCTTTCTCTTCCGCGGGGTTGAGTGGGTAGATCTTGCATTTGCGCGGTTCGAAGGTGTCTTTGAGGTCGATTTTGTGATCGAACTTGCGTTCTGGTGGAAGAGTTCCGTTAGCTACTTCTCCGAATACGTCCTTATACTTCCGGAAGATCTCTGGTACGAGTTCTTCAAAGGTCTTTTTCGGTTTGGTGGCGTCTTGGGCGAGGGTTTGAGAGATGTTGTCGGCTTTTCTGACTAGGGTTCCGTGGGTTGAGAAGAATCGGTGGTCGGCGGGGATATGTTCGTCTGTGAGAGGGGATTCAAAAGTTTCGTAAGTTCCGATGACGTGATCGCCTTTGCAATAGGCGATCAGGAATTCGTCTGGTTCTAATTCTTCTTCTGTGTCGTCAGCAGGCTCAGGGTCAAGGAGTTTGGGAATTTCGGAGGAATACGGAATACTTTCCGCGGCAGGGTCCCATTCGTCTTCTAGGGTCTCCTGGGTATCGAAGAATTTTTGTTCTTCTTCGTCTTCGATTTCTTCTATGTACGCGCTTCGTTCGCGTAAAGTCACTTCTTCTTTCGTCCAGTCTATCTGCGGGTTTTCTTTCTTTAGCCAGGATATTCCCAGGATGACGTCCTCTCCTCCTAGAGAGGTTACAAGGAATCGTCTCTCCATGCGGATTCCTTTGATTCGGAAAGATAATTTACAAGAGTGTGTGATCTGACCTTGTTTATTGAGAGTTCCGTCGACGTTTCTGACTTTTATTGGCGTAGTCAATTTTTCTGTGGGGATGGAGTTCCGTCGTACGAACATCCAGTCGATGAATTCCCCTTCTGCTCCGCAGTCGATTAGAGCTGCGGCTTCGGCAATTCTAGAGTCAAAAGTCAGTGGTAAACGCATAGATTTAGAGTCACCAATCGATTGTACTACTAGTCCGATTCTGGGAGATACTGATGCCGGTCCAGTCTCCTCTAGGCAAAATCCTTCTCCTCTGATTTCTTTGCCTGGCGTGCTTTAAACGCCTTCCATTCTAAGAATTCTTTGTAGTCGTCTTCGTCGTCTCTGCTGGCTTTCTTGGCGGCGGTTTGAGCGCGCGGGGTGAATGCGGGATGGTTGGGGCAGTCCTTGATTAGGCCCTTCTTGCCGCATTTGAAGCAGAGGCCTCCTTTGCGTCTGCGCTCTCTCTCCTGTGGGGTTAAGTAAGCCTTCCTCGCGTGCTTCTCCCCGTCCTCTTCCTCTACTTCTGCCCTATCTATGTCCATGGCGTAAGGATCGCGGGACTTGTAGTTAGTAGGTGCAGTAAGGCTACGACGAGACTCTACTTCTAGGGCTTTTTCAAGCCAGTCATCTATGGTAGCGGGTACGTTCTCGAAGTTAAGTATCGTGTTGACTATTTCTTTCTTGAGACCGTTCCTAAAGAACATGATCTTCATACTTTCTTCGGTAATGCCTGTGTCAGCTAATATGGTACGAAATATGGAAGTGTAAGCGGGGACGCTTCCTGTTTGCCTCAAGGTGGAGATGCGACGGATCGCTGTGTCCACGACGTTCTTCGGGTGGAACGTCTTCTTGAATTGTTCGAGGAAGTTTTCGTAACTACCATATGCTTTGGAAGCGCTGGCGTTCTTGAATTGTCCTTCCGCCCACTTGGCGGCTTCTCCCTTTGTCATGAGTGACAGAATAAAGACGATCTTTTGCTTGTCGATCGTGTAGACGGAGTCGTTGATGTCGAGGTAGGCTTCTACCTGGAGTAGCCATCCCTTTGCGGCACGGGTGTCGCCGTTAAAGGGAGGGGGAACGTTGCCGATGAGTTTGGGCATATCGTCGTCGTCTTCGGTGTCTGGTTCTGGTTCGGAGTCTGAGTCGTCTAAGGGAGGTTGTAGTGATGGGGGAAGTGGTTCTTTGACAGGGGGAAGTGGTTGTTGTGCGGGAGAGGGGGAAACGAGGGGAGTTTCGGGGAAGTCGTTGTCGACGTAAGATTGGGTGTCAAAGTCCCAGTGCGTTCCTTTCTTCGCGGTCTTGTTTCTGAATGTCCTCCACTGGTGGATAGTGAAGTAGTTGTTGTCAACGTCTGGAGCGGTCCAGGTTCCTAGTGATTCGTCCCAGTTAAAGCCGGGGTAATGTTTCCCACGAGTAGCCGTTTTGACTAGTTGGTTAGCAACAGCAGTGCGATACCGCGGATGCTAGTCTTGGTTCGTTGGTGGTCGCCGAGGTCGTAGGACAGGCGGTCTGAAAAGTAACTTGACCTTTTGTTACGCTCAGCGTCGTCAGACGTCTTAGCAGTAATCAAAAGTAGTCGAAAGTTCTAGCTAACACCCTAGTGTTAGAGTCGTGCGAGTAAAGCAGTAGTATTGCAGGCCCTGGTCTGCGTAGGTCAAGTTAAAGAGTACAAGCGGTAGAGATGAGGTATATATAAAGGTATTGAGTCGGCGAATGAATAGTAGAAGCGGAGCTTCAATAATAATGAGCCAATGAGAAAAAGAGAAAGAGAATCGTACGATAGAATGTTCTAGAAGTACACGTATTAGAAGAGTGAGCATGTGAAGGTGTGAAGATGTGAAATGTGTGACAGGGTGTGACGGTGACAAGGAAAAAGGGTGACCGTAACATTGCCCCTGTGATCGGGCTATGATATCATAAATGATAAGTGTAGAATCTGATGCAAACCGCACCACACTGAAAATGCATCAATTGTCACAGGCAGCATCATGATTGTAACTGATATCTGGTGAACATATGACGCGATCCCTAGGGTAAGACGGGAATGAGAGTCGCATGTGAGAAAAGACGGCCCAACTTTCTGTTCTCCAAATTGTAAGTACCGGCTCATTTCATAAAACGTTGGTGGCCATGTTCTGGATGAGCCTCGACAGTGTCTCATCCAAGGTCTCTTAAGACAGTCACGTTCTGTCGGCAAGCTATCAGAAAAGTCGAACGGACAATAATCGGTAAAATACGACAAACAAGTAATTCAAATTTCAACTCTCTTGTCCGTGTTCCCAACGCACAATCAGGTGCAACGCTTAATCTAACACGCGGCTTCCATTACAAGTCCTTGGGACTAGTCGCGTCATACACACCTCCTAGCTTTCTGCTTCAGACATCAGGCTATGATGGCACCAGTCCCATTCACGAGCGAGTCACGTTTACATAGTGCAAGCAGAATGGGTCGCTCTGGCCGGAAGTAGTGTCCCTTATGTAGATTATGAATGAAGATGGTAGTCGTTCTTTCCATGTTTGACGTTGGCCGGAACATCGAAGAATGCTACCACATCCGAGCTGACCGATGATCTCTTCGGATGCTGAGTTCTGTACCAACCGAGAGTTCTGCATGTTTGGAATAAACCAAGAGAACGACACACCCTTCTCGTTTATTTTTCTCGCATTTAACTGTCTCGCCACCCAGCTAGGCTCACTTCTGAATTCTTCCAAAGAACCCACGCTGCCATAATAGGGTTGCGTTTTGATCAAGGGCTAAGCTGAGCGGATGAGGGAGGAGCAACTTCAAAAGCCTGTGCTACTGCTCCGGCAAGTGCCGCGACCATACTAGGTCTTAACCGGTTACGATGTAGAGAAAGTGAGAGAGAGAGAGAAATTCTATATTTATATACCGCAACAAACAAAGTGAGCTGTTAAGACGCGGTGCCCTGTTAGGGCTGTGCTGGGGGGTGTTGTAACAGGGTGAGGGATGTAGGTATAGTACGAATAGCCAAGCGGTCCGCGTTTGATGAGTTTTGGTGTGCGTGTGGGCTCGTTTGGTGTCCAGGCTTAGTATAATATGATACACTTTCTCTCCTTCCTCCTCCTTCTGATCTCTCCTCGTCTCCTCCTTCCCTCGTCACTTCCTTCTTTGCCCTTACTCAGGCTTCTGTCCCTCTCCTTTCTTCCCAGTCTCCTTCTCGTTCCAGTGCGACCTTCTTTAATGCGCTGGATTCTTGAATAAACTTCGCTAGTGCCTTTATGCCCTTCTCCGTACCCAAAATTTCGTTGAGTATGATGTTGTGTGATACCTCACGCAGATGGATGCGTTGTCGCTGTAGAGAAAGTGAAAAATACAGTGAAATCGACTCAAAACCACACTTTCTTCTAATTCATGTACACACTAATTACAAGTACGAACACAACCAAAAGTACATACATGCACCATATCGGCGTATCCTAATCTCAGTCACTAAACCATCAACATATTCGAGATTACAAAGGTCAGTTGTGCAAAAGACAAGCGTGAACAGGGAACGCAAAGCGGTGTTATTCAATTGATTGGGTACGCGCTCGGTGATGCGAGGAAACACAAATGCCCACATCACCATCTACGTAAGTGCCTTGATTTTCAACTACAATGTTGTTGTTAACCGAGCCAACTCTCTTCTACTGGAATCTTGCGAATGAACTTACCAGTGACTTGAAGGATGCATGTACTGACAAGTTATCACTAGCAGTATGGGCTCAAGGAGTTGAAGTGCCAACTGTTTTCAACACAACAGGCAATAAACGACTCGCAGGAGTATGTTTGATAATATCACCTCGTGTGTTGCGCGGTGCTTACTATCTCCTCAGACTGCTGTGGACATGCCTCCATCCAAGCGCATCAAAACAGACGAAGTGCGCAAGGAGGAACGGCCAGACACCATGATAGAAACCTCGAAACCAGTATGGAAGAACAGTCACCTTCCCCCCGGCTGTCTCGATTCCAATACCTGGCGTGGTGTGTTTATTCCGACTATCGCATACGCTGCTGGTGGAGAGAACATTGATCCGTGGTACATCGACAATAATATGCTGGTCCGGATCCTCATGAAAGCCTGGAAGGTTGTGTACGGGAAGCTTTCATCGACGGACAACCCTATTTACATCAGTAGTCCGGTCTATGATGTGGTAGGTCTTGCAAATGCAACTAGTCAATTCCTAATAACTCATTCATACAGTCCAAGCAGCGGTTGGACGAATGGCGCAGTGGATTTGGATCTGCTGCTATCATGATGATCACGAGCCTCATAGCATCTAAGTCAATTACTGCCGCTTATGAGCGACAATCTGAGTTTGCGAGGCACTGGCTTTATGGGAACCGTTTTCTTTTTGAAAATGCTTCTTCCAATGACAAGAAGGTTCGTGCGGCTACTGCGCTAGATTCATGCTAACATTCTAGTTTAGGAGTGGACAGGAATGTGGCAATCGACGTTCATACTAGAAACATTTTCCGCGCACCTGGTCTACACTCAAGGGCGTGTGCCTGTCGACGAACTCAGAAGCGAGGAACAGCTCTGTCGAACAGCACTGGCACTCTCTGCAGCAGCGGTAAGCTAACACCATTATACTACTTTATTAAAATAATTGTCGTTAGGTTAAACGCACTTTCAACCTCCTTTCAACTGGAAAGATGAGCTTCGAGATCAGGACTCGGACCGCCGTCGCAAAAGGCAAGAAAAACGCCGCACAAAAGAGCGATGTTCCAGCCTCTAACGGCGATTTATGGGAGGCCAGCATCAGCAACGATGAGACCTTCTCCGAACAGCTCTGGGGGTACGATAGTCGGATGTTTTTGAAAGCAATCATGTGCGTACCCGCGGAAAATATGCTGGAAATCATAGAGAATGCGAAGCCATTCATGAAAGCCGCCGCTCGTGGTGGAGGGTCGGAGACGGACAGCGTGCCAGAGGATAAGGATTTCGTCGATCTCTTTGATTTCCGATGAATGTGAGTGGTCCCCGTTTGAGCGTCCCGCTCATGAGAAGTAATGACCACCCGAATTCGGACCCACTAGATCAACTTGACCATTGACGATGCGCTACTTTCGGTCTCCCTTCCAACATCGCCCTGCCGCCCATCATAGTATCAGTTACCTTTCATCTTTTTACGATGTTTACTGTTATCGCCTTAATTCTTGCTTTCTTTGTTATGAACTTACCGCATCTTGCATCTTCCTAGATCTTACTCGACTTATTTTTACTGCCCTATTAAATCCATCCTAATCCCTACTTTCCTTGATACCAGAATCAATCATTTGTGTTCCGAAACAGAGCACGACAAGGGTCAAAGTACATCAAGACTACAAATTTTATGTGCGAATTTCCTGACTGATTGAAACCCTTCCTGTCTTGACATAGTTCTTCGTAGTGGTGATGCTGGTTCCCACTCAGGCCACTCTTAACGCCATCTCACCGCCACACTTTCAGCCTCTTATCCATCATCATGACTTCCATCTCCATGTCTATAAATACCATACATTATCCGTCCCCCTTCACGGAATTCTCCTTCCACACAACCTGGTAACAGATCGATGCGCGGATGCCTTAAGAACGACTACCCGAAGACAACAAAGGAAGGTTGAGCTGGACGTCCTGTCGCATCGGTTGGGGACTTTTTGCATGTCCGTCGTATCGTGCTTGTGTTCCTCAATCTTTTTTTCGGAGTGAATAGGAAGCAATTGTGGTGAAGAACGGGTCATTTCCTAGTTCCATATTTGTTGGTCCTGCTGGATCACAGTGGATCATGGTCCATTCGCAGATAACCGTCTCATAGTCTGGACATTAAAATCATCCGCCAGTTGTCCGCCAGTTCGGATTTTCCTGATGCTGTTGTCACACCAGGAGTTGCATGCAAGGGAACAGTGTTTCACAAAGGTTAATTTTACTGAATCGTCTTTGTGTTGAGTACGTCGCTACGTTCTTCACTATTAAATCTGCTGCAAGATTTACATGATTCCAATAGTGCTTGGATCGTGAATGGAGGAAACACGAGGAATGACGCAGTGGCTGGCTATCATTATGTGGGGTAACTTATGTTGTTTATCGCGCTCGTAGCCTCTGAATATATTCCCTGTGACAGTGTAACAATGCATAACATGACTGTCGTACACTAATAAATATACTTTGGAAGACCGAATAACTTATATAAGTACCAAGACGAAACTTCAACGACAAAAAATCCCGCTCCTAGCAAAGTACCTAATGAATGTTAATCACATCGAGCATTTCTCGCGCTATACACTGCTGCTAGTTGACACATGCACGCGCTCCTGAAAGGCAATTGAACTCATGCCGATTTCTGCATCACAGTCAGCCACGAGCTTGGCTTTATATTCTCGAACGCCAAGGACCAGGCGTGGTCCCAGCACAAACATCTGCGCGAGCTGGAGAATTTGAACAAAACCCGTGTAAATCTGAGTTCCTGTGGAATATGGGTCCTATAGAAATCATGAATGGTGCTTGCATCTAGAGGTCAGTGACAGATCGGCATACCGCTAAGATCGTCGGAGACAAAAAACCAAGCCTGAGGCAAGAAATAGCAAGAAAGCTAACATGTACAGAACTTCAGCGGAAAAAGCGAACCACATGCATATTATGAGCTTACCTCGCAAAGTAAATCATGTGAGTTTGCATTAACGCTATGAAACAGTCCCCGATAATTCCTCCTGCCAAATGGCGTCGCAGTTCGCGGAAGTGTTGTACAGCAATCCAGACTGCGAGACACAATGCGAGGACCTCCCATACAATGCCAAGTATCCAAGTGATGGTGCTCAGAAGTATGCTATCTCCCTCAAGGACAATAGTGCACTGATAAGTGCCAGACAGAATGAGCTCCTCTGGTATTCATCAATGATCCTGATGCACGTAAGTAACTCATCATGAAGCTTACCCCCTGAAATATACCTCGTTGATAATGCGCTGACTACTTCGTTGGTGATGGTAACAGCCAGGAAGATGACAACGAGAAACATCAGCACCTTTCTGGATCGCTGACACATGGCATATAACCGAGCAATCATGATGACTTGTGTGGTGTTTCAGTCAAGTCAATATCACTGCGGTATTGCGGCTGCGTAGCTCACCGCCCAGTATTACATTCACGACCTCACTGGTCCATTCTAGTGTGACGTATATAACATGGCCTGACAAATCCCGTTAGCGATCAGTCTTCAAGTTAGAGGATCACATTCAAAATATACTCACACCTGTGACAGTTATTATATTGACAACAAGCTGGTCAATGATCTCACTCACCCCTACATAGGAGTGCAGTTAACTGGACGGGAATAGCAGACATTGGAGCAGATACTCACTACATCTGTCACCGGGATTGTCGGAACATCAACTGCATGCCACTGGTCAGAATAAACAAACAGTGTATGCAAGAAGACATACTCAATAAGATTGTGCTGATCATGAAAGACGACTAATTAAAAAAAATGACAATTGCTTAATAGCTGGCCAAACATACGCAGCATATATTATTCCAACATAGCGCACCTAGGATACTTTCAAGTCAGCATAACCTGCCAACCACACCTATCATGCAGGCTACATACGCTGAGGTACAGGACAGTCATCAGGGACCATTGTTGCCTCTGTCACGAATTAATTGTATTTTCATATCGTTCACCTGACGTGATAGTACTCTGCTCACCCAGACCAGTTCGACCTATAAAATTATTCTTAGCGAGACGGCTGCTCCGGTAACGGCATCAACCTACTTCTTGTCCAAGTGTCAATGCTGAAAATATCATAAGAACATCAGCGGTTCTTTAGTACTTTCTTGCTCACCCCAATCATACAACACCCCAGTAGAGGCAGTAACTGCGAAACGGCAGCCATGGTTAGATCGACACATCATCTGGACTGGCCCTCTACGAACCTGCAAAGTAGCTGATAATGAGATTCGCATTGATAAGCGGCCACCAACTGGGATCATTTGAGACTAGAGTCATACTATGTGAGGATGGAAGTGAGCGAGTGGCGAATTGTGTGGACGTAGTATGACGATGGCGTTTGTGCCAGGTATACCACCCTCCAGCACTTTTATGATCGATATGGTCATCATAGAGGCGGTGTCTGTTCTTACCTTGATCGGTTGATTGGCAGAAGTAAGTATTTTCGCATGCAAAGGAGAAGTTAGTCCATGGGCCCTGCGAAAAATCAAAGTTGGTCGTGAAACTGCAAAACATGAGTCACACGTTGTGGAATGTTCCAACACCGCAGTAAGAACTGTTCATGATATCAGCAACTTGTGAAAAATAGCGGAGGTCTGGGCAAAGCCAACAGATAATTCACCTATCTCACCCGTCCTGCCAACGACCCCCTTCAAGCACACGTCTCGACGCCTAACCTCACTGCTGCTCGTCGTCCTCAGCATCTGTCGCATCATGCGCACCTCCTCGCTATCTGCTTGGGTCATTAGGGTAAGGGCAGTGTGGCGCCAATCTGCCAGTGATGAAACTCAATGCGAAACGCAAGAAAACACGCCACACATCATGCAGTTTACGCATCGGTGTTCTCGATACTGCTGGGATGGCGGGGATTATATACTTGTAATAATACGCCTGCTGAGCGCTGAGGAGTAAATTGAATGTGTTTGTGTCGCGGTACATTTACATTTTCGAGTCGACTCACTTGTTCATCTGTATCGCTATTTGTTTAATTTGTCGGGTGGGGATGTGGCGTGGAAGCGAAGCCACGACATCACCCTGGAACTCCGTGCCAAGGCCCCAAGAACTAAAATAACACCTCAGAATCCCTCACGATCACTCTCCAACTTCCGCAAACAAGGCTATTTCCGCATTCTTAAGGATCAAATTGATTATCCAACAATACAGAAGCTGCACATGGGTGAGTATTGGTGGAGCTCGGTGGCGAGGTAGATGGCAGAGATGGATGCTTGGCAAATGTTTCAGGATGACTAGTCACTGTGGCCCGGGGATTGGTTGATGGATAGTTGGTCAGGGAACCAAGCACGCATCGCCCCCGAACAAGGTGGTTGTGTGGGCGGACAATCTACCACCGAGAAACGGAGATAATCGAAAGCTAGTATCAGTGTCCTTGCACGATTCACGGGACACAATCATCCAGAACCACGGAAGTGAATGCTACTAATGACTCGCTGGCGGGTTCCTGTGGTCCGTGGACACCGCGTAATGCATGTCACAACCAACAATGAGTGACGCACGATCAAGGTTGCCTAAGCATAGGAAAGGTATGGACCCTTGATATCCCAGTCTCTGCAACGGCAGCATGTGTCACAACTTTGAGTGAATAGGAAGCGAGTCGCGCGCTTGGGGCCTCAGAGTCGGTCTTTACAACAGAAGATAGGTTGCGCTGACAATTGTGGCGGTGATGGGCTCATTCTAGTGTGCCCACCCCGGAATCCCTACAAGCTAAAGAACGTTTGAACCTTGCACGGGAGCCGATGTAGATATACAAGACTTACTACCAAGTCTCGACTCGAATGCCACCATAGTTGCCTGTTGGAACTGCTGGCAGAGTGGAGCCGACGTTACCAGACATATTATGCGTATAACGGAGTGTCAAACATTACTTACATTACGCAGGATCAGTTTTGTTGGAGGGTTGGACGAGCTGTTGTAGTTATCTTGTACTATGTGCGCCGCCAGATGTATACTCGCACAATAACCGGTGACTCTGGAACTGTGCCGGAGGAGTCGATATCGAGAAGTGTGCATGGGCCAAGTCGAGGTGACATCCAAGAGCAAGTGCTGCACGACATGCAGGGACAAGTACTCACGTTGTTTTCGCTTCATGAATCGCGGACCTGGTACTGAGCACACCGGGAGAAATATTGACTGGGAAGGATTGGGGAAGCTTTGGGTTGAGCTTGGGCACGCGAAGAGGAGAAAAGATCTCTGGTGATTCACTGGACGCTTGACTCCCCGGGCCCTCTTCGCATTAGCGCATCCTAAACTTATTTGACGGGGAAAGGATACATCAAACCTGCGCATACGGCTCGGAAGAGGTCCTAGAGGGACTCAAATCAGTTATCACCTCCACAAAAATATCAAGGGACACGAGCATCACGGTATGATAATGCTTGCGTTTCTCAATCTTTTTTCAAAGTGAAGGGAAAGCGACCATACGCGCGTGGTGGGGAACAGATCTTTTCAAGCTCCGCTTTGTGACACAGTTCTACTGAATCGGACAGACTACTATGTAGTAGTACATAGTCAACTCATCGTCTGGACATTGAAACCATCCGCCATCTCAATGCTGCTAGTCGCACACCAGGAATTTTACCATTAGCAAAAGCTGTCTCTACCTACATTTTACACCCAGGTTGAAGATGTGCCCCCTCCTCGGTTGAAACTCAGGCTTGGCACTGAGGGTCATACATCTGAACCGTACTTATGTCTAACATATGCAAGGACGAAACATTTGATCCCGCGGAACCAATTCGCGTGACTCTCCTGTCTGTGTACGTATGTACCTTAGATTTCAAATATACTTTGGAACACCAAACAGCTTATACTATAAGTACCACGACGAAACGCCGAACAAAATCATTTTCTCCTGCGCCTTATTAGAGTATCCGACGAGCGTTAATCGCGCCGGGCATGTGTTGTGTTACACACTGCGGCTAGTTGACACTTCCACGCGCTCCTGGAAAGCAATTGAAGTCATAGCGGTTGCTGCATCGGAGTCGGCCACAAGCGTGGCGTTATATTCTCGAACACCAAGGATCAGGCGTGGTCCCAGCACAAACATCTGCACGACCACGAAAATTTGAGCAAAACCAAGATAAAGCTGAGTTCCCAGGGAGTATAGGTCCTAAAGAAATAATGAATCGTGGTCACATGCAGAGATCACTGACATATCGGCGTACCACTGAGAATGTTGAAAGCGCATAGCCCGTCTCGAAGCAAGAAACGGCAAGAAAGCTGGACATGCGAATCTTCAGCGGATAAAGATAACTACATTCACACTATGAGCTCACCTCGCAAAGTAAACAACATGAGTTTTCATTAACACCGTGAAGCAGTCCCCGATGATCCCTCCTACTGATTGTCGTCGCAGTTCACGGAAGTGTGTTACAGCAATCCGGACTGCAAGACACAGTGCGAGGACCTCCCATACAGTGTTGAGTATCCAAGTCATAGAATACAGAACTACAGTATTTCCATGAAAATGAATATTGCACTCATAGGTGCCAGAGAGAATGAGCTCCTCTAGTATTCATCATTGAGCTTCATGCACGTAAGTCCATCATCCATAGTTAAACACTTACCTCCTGAAATACGCCCCATTCGTATTGCGAGTGACACTCCATCGGTGATGTTGACAGCCAGGAAGACGACAACGAGAAGTATCAGCACCTTTCTGGATCGCTGGTACATAGCATGTAACCGAGCGATCATAATGACTTGCGTGATATATCAGTCAAGGCAATATCAGTGATGTATTGCAGCTGCGTAGCTCACCGCCCAGTATCACATTTACCGAAACACTTATGCAATTGGTTGTGATGTACATAATCTGACCTAACAAATCCAGTTAATGATGAACTTCGAAGGATACATGCTCGAAACAAACCCACATCTGTAGCAGTTGTATTGAGCTAACAAGCTAGTCAAGAATAGCACTCACCCCTACATGGGAGCACAGTTGATTAGACAAGAATGGCAGGCATCAGTATAAGATACTCACTACATCCGTCACCGAGATTGTCGGAACAGTCGCTGTATGCTGCTAGTCAGATGAAACAAACACAGTGAATGTGATAAGACATACACAGTATGCTGATGCTGATTGTGTGAGATGGCTTATTAGCACAACGCCAAATAATTAACCGTCCAAACATACACGACAAATAATATTCCGACATAGCGCAACTAGAATACTTTTAAGTCAGCACAACTTGCCAACCACACTTACAACACAAGCAACGTACACTGAGATACAGAACGGTCATCAGGGACCAGCGTTGCCTCTGTAGCGAATTAATTGTATTTTCATGTCGTTCTTCTGACGTCTCTGCTCACCCAGATGAGTTCAACCTATGAAACCATTCTCAGCGAGATGTCTGCTCCAGTAGTGGCATCAACCTACCTCTTGCACGAATGTTAGCGCTGGAAATACCATGAGGATATCAGCGGTTTTTAATATACTATGTTGCTCACCCCAATCGTACATCAACCCAGCAGAGGCGGCAACTGCGAAACCGTAGCCAAGGTTAGATCGAAACATCATCAAGCTGGCTCTCCACGAACCTGCAAAATAGCTGCCAATGCGATTCGCATTAATGAACGGCCACCAACTGGGATCACCTGAGACCAGGGTCATACTATTCGTGGATGGGTGAGTGAGTGGCGAACTTGGTGGACGTAGGACGATGGCGCTCGTGCTAGATATACCACCATGCAGCGCTTTATGCCCGAAAGTTCCTGTATTGATTAACGGAAGTAAGTATTTTCGCATGTAGAAAGGGAAATGCGATCAAGGGTCCCTCGATTGAATCAAAGTAGATATTGGTCATGTAACTGCAAAGCAGTCACACGCGCGGAATGTTTAAACACCGGAAAACATCGAAGAGCTGCTCGTGATTTCCGGAACTTGTTTTCAATGCCATTCTCGGGGTGTTCTTTGTACGCTTGCATCGATTGAATTAAGGGGTTCCATCAGTGAAATTGTGCAAATCATTCATCCAACACAGGCCTAGGTGTGATTGGCAACCATCGAAAAGCTTGGCATTTCAATGCTCCTCGATGAATGTCGGCACTCTCTCCGCCTGGACAGCTGGTTGTTCGTTTCTTGCGCACCTCTTCGCTCTCTTCTGCCTTTGTCATGACTCATGAAGCTATAATGTCACAAGGATGCGAACGGTGCTGATGAAAACCGATGCAAAACGCACCACACTAAATCCATCATGCAGTTGAGTCATTGGTGCCCTAGGATGGGTGGCGGTGGCTTGTGTAATAGCCTGCGGTGTGCTTGCCTACAATCTTATGGCACATCGTTGCATTTCAAAGTCAATCTGTCGATCTACATCGTTATCAACTTGCGCTTTTTGAGATGCGGATAACTTAAGAACGGAACATGCGCGTCGATATCTCACCGCCTCAAGAAGCCAGCTACAACAGCACCCCAGAACTCTTCACGATCCCTCTCCAACTTTTCCACACATAACTCGTAAATAGAGTCGTCTCATCCAGAGCTTTTTCTGCGTGCTCTGCGTTTTCGAGGAGCGAATCTAAGAATGCTGATGCTGTGCGTGGGGAGGTGAGTTGATGGAGCTCGGCGGCGAGGTAGATGGCGGAGATGGATGCTCGGCGAGTGTACCAGGATGACTGGGTGATGGGATTGTTTGATAATGCGTTGGTGGTACCGTGAAATTGGTTCATGTTACAGTTAGTCCGGACGCGCACATGCAAACAAAAGCGAGTCATACCTCCCGTGCATCGCTATGAGCGATCCAACATGCCTGGTTAGACACCTGAGCGGCGTGTTTGATTATTGGGATGGGGTCTGCTGGAAGTAGAGGTGAAGAGGTGGCAAGCAGAGCGAATGCCTGGGGCGCGCGTGTGAAGGACGAGTAATTCAAATCTTAGACATCGTATAACGCCTCAAATAGAGACTCGACGCACCTCCGGAAGATACTTCAACACCGGTTCATTGCTCCTCAACCGCGCCTTCAACACATCTCCCACCTTCAAAACCGCCTCTGAGTCTGAATCTTCCTTCATTCTACACCTCGCATCATCAAGCCACGCATGCACCAACGTCCTCCGCGCATCATCTCCTGGGCCAAACAGTGCAGTCACGCTCGCGTCTGGCAGGGGGTGCGCTAGTGGCGTCGGACTCGGTAAGGACAGCACCGACAGGGACAGCGCTTCTCGAGTGAACCCATGGGTTTCAATGAGGGGAAGCGCGAGCTTTAGGAGTTTAGCACTGTAAACGAACCCGCGTCAGAGCGTTTAACGTTTAGCTGTGAAGTGCTTGACTGCCTTCGAACCTTGTGGTAGTCATTCTCATGAGACACGTTAGCCACGTGACCCATTATTTTGCTGTCCCTGAAGCTCATCCCAAATCCCCCAAAATGATTAATCACAACCCCAACCGAAATCACAATCACAAACGTGAAGTTAAGGATGATCCACAACCTTTCTTCTGATTCATGGACACGCGAATTAGTACAAACGCGGCCAAAAGTACATACATGCGCCGTATTCGATTCCCAGTCATTGAAACACGATCGACGTGTTTGAGGTGACCTGGGGCAGTCGTACAAATGAAGAAGGGGGCAGTCGTACAGAGAAGAGGAGCGTTGTACAAAGAAGGGGGGTAAGGGATGGTTGTACAAAGAGGGGAGGAGGGGGGTTGTACAAAAGAAATGGGGGGCGATCGTACAAAGAAGAGCGGACACGAAAAAAGGTTTATGGCCGAAAGGGAGTAGTAGTAGCGGTAGTAATAGTGATGATGGTACAGGAGAGATACTGAATGAGATAATGAATGTGCGATGACTCCATGTTCATGGTTCATAAGTAGAGTAATGACGGGATAGATGCGCTGGTGAATAGATAAATCAAGCATCATTTGATGAGCTTGTTGAACGAGCAGCCGGGTTGGAAATGAGGGTGGGGAGGGTAAATGTTGGAGAAATCCGCTCTATTCGGAGGAAGGAGAATGTCACCCATCCTGGACCATCCAAAGCGAACGCAGAGACCGATATCGATGAGTTTAGAAATCGAGAAAAAGGGAGTGTGAGCGCGAAAACAATGGGCGCATTTCATAGCAAACGAGAGTGGCCGCTTAAAGCGGGGATTCAAATGCGAAGGAGTGTGTAAGCGTGCTTTATCACGCATTGAGCTGAGCGAACGAGTGAGTGTGGAGACGTACTTGAGAAAAATGGATGTCAGATTATGAAAAGATGGAGGGATGGTGAGACGTACTTTGGACGATGCGATGCGATGAGAGAAGGATCGGCAGGAAGGATGGGATGGATGGGCGGGACGAGAGATAGAAGGGAGGTCAAAACGTGAAAAAGGCGAACAGGGCGAACAGAAAAAAGCACTTGCGAAACCGAAACCAGTTCAAAAAAGCGACAAAGAACAGAAAAAAAATAAGCAAAAAGGCATAAGTAAGCAGCATCGAGCGTCGAACTTTGAACATCAATCATAAAACGAAAAGCAACGAAATTAGGAAAAAGAAAGAAAAGAGATCAGCAAAAAAACTCGTCAGATAAAAGCACATAAAAGAAAAAAAATCGTAAGCGTACAAATACACCGAAATCCAAGATATACACAGAGAACCCAGAATAGACCAATCAAAGCCAATCAAAAATGAAGCATCGAGGATAAAATAGGATAGGATAGCGGTCGTGACTGCGAGCCCAGCTCACACCAACCCATCGTAAACACAAAATCAAATCAAATCAAATCAAATCAAGCAAGCTGGAACGCACTCCCAAGCCCAAGCACACCCGCCCCACTCTCCCCCTCCACAGGACTCACCGCACGGGCATTAGCAAGACTCCCAAATGAGATCCTCCGCGCGGCACGGCGCAGCGTGCGTGGACGCGTCTGAATAGTGAGCGCAGGCGTAGAAGGCGTACTCGGGGACGAATCTACGGGTACGGGAGAAGCAGCGTATATTGGGGATGACAGCGGGATGCGTGAGGGAGGCGATGGCGTCGCCTGTGGGCATGGAAGTTCGGGGCCAAACATGGAGGGGTTGCGCAAGAGGTTGCGGCGGATGGGCTTTGGTTCTTCCTTCTGCTGCAAGCTCGGTTTAGCCTTAGGTTTAACCTTGGGCTTGGGTGCAGCAGGGATGGAGAGAGAGACGCTTGTCGCTGCGGTCTCTACGCTCGCAGTGGAGAATTCATTATCATTATCCGACGAGCAGGAAGAGGTCTTGGGCCCAGAGGCAGCGCTGCGCCCTGAGTCGCTCGCCTCGCGTTTGTTAGCCTTGGGTGCGGAAGTTGTAATTTGCGATGATGCCAAAAGGGGCTGCCGAGCATCTGGGGGCGCGATATGCGACCAGGATGGTTCCCGAATACGGGGCTTCTTCGCACGTTTTGAGCGTGCGTTCTCCTCTTCATCGGTGGAGATGCTGAGGGATGGTATGTGACCCTTGCGAAATTTGGGTTGCTTGATGGGCGTGGCTGCTTTGATTGTTGTGGGGGGTAGCACTCGGGGCTTGGATGGAGGTGTCCTTGGCGGGGAGCTCACAGAGAGAGCAGGAAGTTTAGTTTTAGTATTTGTATTTGTGGTAGGAAGAGGCGTTTTCACTTTCTTTGCTGACGGTGTCCTTGGAGAAGCAATCTTGAGATCATGTACAGGGGCTTTCTTGACCTTTACCCCAACAGTAGTGCCCAGAGGATCACCTCCGCTACGGCGGAACTCGGAAGTCTTGAATACGTTCTCGGAATCACCTTCTGCATCCACGCGCATGTCGCAGGAGCTTGCGAGGGTCAAAGTAGAAGACCTGCGCAGAGAGGATGGACGCAGAGGCACAGAGGCAGAAACGGGAGTGCCGAAGGTGGAGTTAGAATTTGAGGACGCAGTGGACTTTCGAATATGACTGTTGGAGGCGTTGAGGGTTGAGGAACTAGGCGTAGAGGGAGCAAGTGAATGTTCAGTAGGACGACGCAAGTGAGCAGGACGGAGGTATGGGTGGTGGAAAGTGTGCTCGTGTCGTTGTAGACGGTGCGAAAGACTGCGAATATAGTCAGATAAGGGAGACAGAAGGGAAGGAAAGACGTACCGAGCTATGCTCTCCGTATGGTCAGTCTTTGCGTCGGTCATGAAATCCATACTGGACTTCCTGTATAGCGGATGGCGCCTAGGGGTGTTTGTGGTAGACTGAAGGACGTCCACGGGAGTATCGTTGCGCTCAGCACATTTACTCCGTTCACCATGCACGCTCGGACAATGTGCATTGCCGCTCAGAAATATAACATCCTCATTAATGATGGACCTTTTCCGCTCCTCCATTGCTCTTGCACGGGCGAGGTCAAGCAATTTAGTACGCGTTGCGGTGACGGAGTGAGGCCAATCATTAGGGCCTTTTGCAGCTGTGACACCACGTGCAATCTTGTCAAGAAGATTGGGAGGTGGAATTGAGCCATTGAAAGGCGTGATAAGATGAGCCGGGAGGGCATCCAAGGTCTGCAACACATTTAGGCGCGTTAAATTCAAATCAGTTGTCAAAGCTAGGTAATTCACGCACCCTGCCAAGTAACCTGACCTCATCCTCCTTCCACTCCACGTTGGGGTCATCAAAGTCATAGTTTGAACTATTCCATGAGTCAGTACTGTTCCTATTGGGGGCTGGGGGGGAAATGAATATATGAGACGCGACTGGACTACGAGAAGGGGTCCGTGGAGCAGAAGAAATGAAAGAACTTGTTGATAGACGAGGGATAGAGGAAGGGATATGTGGACGGGGGATGATGAAAGCGAGTGGGGAAACTTGAGCAGACATCAAATGAGCGACTGGCATAGAATTAAATTTGAACGGTGACGGGGTTGAGAAAAGTCTGGCGCGTCGATTTTAGTGCAGTCGACGTCGAATTACTTGAAAGTCCTTTCCCTTGTTCGTCGTCCTTGGGCGGGATCACGAGGAGTAACAATGTATGTATCAGAGAGGTACAAATTACATAAGCATACTTCTCAACTCCGACAATGCACGGCACAACCGTTTACTTGCCTCGTGCCTCACCTTCGCGGAGCCTAGTCGATCTTATCGGATTATGAACACCACCTCGGTATGAAATCAAGATCATCTTCTGATATCTGGGCGGCGCATTATACTCGCTACCGTTCTTCCAATATCCTCGAGGATATCATCTGTATCTGCATAAATATATCACCGCCCATCGAACACATGTTCTGCTTCTATCTAACGGTGAAACCCATTCTCCACCATCATGGGCGCTTCATTCAGGCGATTGAAGGCAGATATGCGGCGTTTTACTCTGATGTTATTTGTTACTTGACGCCTTATGCCCCCCACACAAGTGATCACGTTGATGACTCATAGGGGGACTTAAGCTTCATCCATTGGTTATTCCCAGTGAGAAGCAGCGTTGTAAGCTCTAGACCTCTCCAGGCTGAAGAATACGCGGTCCGGACAGCGATTGTCAAATATTAGGAACGTTCCTCAGGCTGTCAGGCTTGACAAGGGACATCCCACATTAATATTGGGGTATGGATCCATTGCTACGAAATAAATCACTGCTCAAGTCAGATGGAAACAGCGGAAGTCGCCGACCTGAACAGATCTAGAGCTTCTACAGTGAGAAGGTAAAGTCATTTTATCTTCATCACTAAACTTCCAAGGCTCTGCCACCAAAAGGCTGACTCGAAGTACTTTGTCATTCTGCAATCCCCTTCCGATATGAAATATATGAAGGATGGTACGTATTGCTCAAACGTTTGTTCGTTGTAAGCCGACCCGAGTTTATAGTGACGGAGGGCATCAAGAAGGTAAATTCATTTCATCTTCATCACCGAACGCTCAAGACTCTGGCACCAAAAGGTTGGCTTGATTTCGCTGATATATTACGTTCTGTATGGTGTATCTCTCATGGGCTGTGATAAGAAATCCCTGTTAGGATGTGACAAGGGACACCCCATGTTGGGATATGACTATGGGGATCCAATCCCTCGACGCTGCGAGACAAGCCACTGCTCAAGTCAGATGGAAGCACCGGAAGTCGGGAGCCGACCTGAATGCGTAATGGCATCGAGAAGGTAAAGCCATTTCATCTTCATCACTAAGGTTTCAAGTCTAGACTCTAGCACCAAACGTCTGCGTTAATTAGTACTTTGTCGGCGTATGATTAAGCATGTCATTCCGAGTGCTCTTCCTTTATGACTTATACATAGTAGAACTTGGGCTTCATACTATTGGTTACCACTCACTCGTGCAGTACCACATTTCGTGCATCCTCCAAAACCACACTTTTCCTACTACAAATCTTCAAACTACTATGTCCATTTGAAATAATAATACACAAGAACATCTTACGAGCTTAGACGGATACATTCGGACAAGAAACAAGAGAGATAAATGTTTGCTTGTGACAAAGGCTTTTGTCACTTCCATTGTCACCTGCCGTCCGATGCCGTAGCGGAGTTTCAACTCAGACGCGTTGGTGGCAACGCGTCTGGACGCGTCTACTTGCCGCACGGATGGCGCGCACTCGAGTCGGTGGGAAGCGGAAAGGTCCCCGAGATCCCACCAAAGAGGCTCGCATTCAAGCCGCCATCCAGGATACCTTGACTGGTGTTCATGGCAGTTTTCCGCAGTGCTGCCATAGCTCACAATGTAAGCACTCCCTCAATAATTTTATCGCAACTCAATTTTCCTTCAGGTACCCCCACAGACTGTGCGAGATCATGCGGCAGGCAAAAGCACTTGCCGGAGCACTCGGACTCTCGAGAGACGGAAAAATCGCTAATCTTGCTGCACGGATCAAAGCTCACTTGGAAGATCCTGACACTCGCACAGCCCTTGCAGATAATCCTCGATTTTCGGCGCTATATGGTTCAAAACGACGCACTGGCAGGCCTGTTGCCGTTGCCAACCCAACTTCGAATGAAAACTCAACACCTTCAGCAAGTACTCCTCTCCCCACGGCAGCCAACAATATGTTCTACCCGCAGCCACCATTTTTTCCGCAAATGCAAGGATCTCTCCCCATTCCTTATCCGAACCACCTACATCATGTTGGCCCCGCTGTACTCTCAACAACCGCTCCTGTCATATCTACATCATCACAGCCATTGCTGTCTGGGCATCCTAATAGTCTCCCTTTTCATTACTCCGGCAACTCGCAATACATATTCAATTAGATTACTACATACTAGCCACTGGTACACTCGTATATATCTTCCTAATATCTAATCCACAGCGTGTCGAGCGGACTGCGAAATCGGACAGTGTGACTATTCCGTGACTTTCCGTGACATTTGCGTGACTGCACGAAATGTGGTGCTGCACGAGCGAGTGGTAACCAATAGTACCGGGCGCTGAAGGTTTCAGTATTCTATTCACTTTAGCGTGAGATGGCGAATGGGCAAGCTAGACACCTATATGAACAAATACAATCTGCTGTTCTAGTGGAATCTTCATCTTGCGCAACGACTTCACAGCCTTTTGCAACGCTACCGCAGCCCGTGTGCATTCCAATCTCCCTGAACCATCAACCAAGTTGCCGTAAAAAGCGGACACGACCTGCCGTGCAACATCGTCATCGACAGACCACATGGAACCAATCACACTGCGAAATCCGGAGAATTGCATAGCCGCAGCGAGATGAATTGACTCATCGAGACTCGTCTCATCGCCTACGGTAGTGTGGCAGGCAGATAAGAATGCAAACTCCGGATTCTGCCAGTGGGATCGGATGATGTCTGTGATCATCAAAGGCCCGTCGCGCATTGCGAAGGAAGATTCGAATGGCTGTTTTCGATTCGGCATTCCATGGCAGGCTAGGTGGAGCCACTGATTATGGCGTAATGCATCGAGCGCACCCTGGACTGTTGCGCCGCTGTCCTCTAGCGATGTGAAGGAGACGAGGGGCGAGAGACGCTGAGCGACTACAGCCAACTCAGGAGCAACACATCGGAGTGCCTTCCCTCTGTCCGGATTTGCTTGACCTACGGCAACGAAATGTTGCATGGACGTATCTCCAGAAACCTGCTGTCTCGCACGAATAAGAGCAGCCAAAGTCGGGGTGTAAGAGGATATGTAAATGTGGGGCAAATTGTCCTTCTTCTTCTCGTACGGACCGGCGGCATGTAGAGGAAGTAGAGTGAACTCAGCGGTGGGACACCACCAGATACGCGAGCCATATTCAACTTTTGACTCCACTGAGCGCTTGGACTACGGGGTCAACAATATAGTTTCCAGAGCTCGCGGAGGATGCTGGCAAGCTCTTGTTGATGATCAGAAGAACCAAATTCCTCTGCGAGGGACTGAAACTCCGAGGACAACTCGGAGACTTCGGTCTGCGTGATATCAAGGGGAATGTGGACGGGATCTCGGAAGCCGAAAATAATTAAGGCGTCGCAGCTGTACTGACTAGCATTCACGACGATAACCGGACCTTCATCAGCTGCCTTCTGGAGCCCAGAAAATGGTGGAGGCAGGAGAAAATGAGAAAAGTCGGGGAGCATGCGGATGCGTGAGACGACGTCGTCCCATTGCATAGTCAATTGACGAATTTGCGGGGACTGGTCTTCAGTGGATTGATCGAACAGCGTTACGAAGGCGAAAGCTCAGTCGCTTGAACTCATCCGCCAAGGTTGCACCGGGGTCACCTGAAAGGGAAAGTTCATCGATCGGTGTGCGGAAGCGTGCCAAGTGGGTCCAGAATACTGCACGGCCTTGCTCCACGAGTTCCACAGCCGTCATCAAATCACCATAACGGATACTGCACGAGAAAGCATCCATAGCAAGGGAAGAAGTGGCTTCCTTGAATACGTCGAAATGGCGCAAAGAAGATGACAAAAGAGCAACATGCCGATCTAGGAATTTCAATGCGGTCTGATAGGCAACCAATGCAGAGCTATGATTAAACTGCTCGGCGGAGCTTACCCATGACTTAGGCAGCATTAAGATCGCTACGAGATGCTGCATTAGAGACGCCGGGGAGTTCCAGATAGAGCCCAAATGATTCATCCAGGTCCGATATGACATCCCGGTGCTTGAATCTGGATCGTAGGCAGTGGGAAAGAGCGTCGAGAGACGAGGATCGATCAGAATGACCGGGGGGACGGAGTAGTAGTGCAGCTCGATGGAGCTCAATTGCATCATCAAGCTCAAACAGGGCGCCATGCTGGTGGAATCTGTCATAAAGGCTGTTGGCAAGATTGTTGAGAGACATAGATCGATCAGAATGACCGGGGGGATGAAGTAGTAGTGCAGCCCGATTGAACTCAATGGCATCATCAAGTTCAGACAGGGCGCCACACCGGCGAAATCTGTCTCGAAGGCTGGTGGCAAGATTGTTCAGAGACATTGACCGATCAGAATGACCAGGGGGGCAGAGGAGTAGTGCAGCCTGATTGAGCTCAATGGCCTCGTCAAGGTCAGACAGGGTGCCACACTGGTGGAATCTGTTTCGAAGGCTGATGGCAAGATTGTTCAGAGACATGGATCGAAGAGAATGGCCAGGGGGACAGAGGAGTAGTGCAGCCCGATGGTGCTCAATGGCATCATCAAGGTCAGACAGGGTGCCACGCTGGTTGAATCTATCTATCAGGCTGCGGGCAAGATTGTTGAGAGATATGGATCGATCATTATGTCCAGAGGGACAGAGGAGTAGTGCAGCTCGATAAAGCTCAATGGCCTCATCAAGGTCAGATGAGGAGCCTCGCTGCTCGAATCTATCTCGAAGGCTGTTGGCAAGATTGTTGAGAGACACGACCCGCTCAGAATGACCAGGGGAATGGAGGAGTAGTGCAGCCCGATTGAGTTCAATGGCCTCGTCAAGGTCAGACAGAGCGCCACATTGCTGGAATTTGTCGCGAAGGCTGGCAGCAAGATTGGTGAAAGATGAGGCTCGCTTGGGATGACCAGGGCAAAGGAGGAGTAGCGCAGCTCGTTGAAGCTCAATGGCCTCATCAAGGTCAGACAGGGAACCTCTCTGCTTGAATCTGTCTCGAAGGCCGAGGGCAAGATTGCTGAGAGACACGACTCGCTCAGAATGATCAGGGGGGCGGAGGAGTAGTGCAGCCCGATGGAGCTCAACGGCCTCGTCAAGGTCAGACAGGGCGCCCCGCTGGTCGAATCTGTCATGAATGCTGATGGCAAGGTTATTGAGACACATGGCTCGATCAGAATGACCAGGGGGGCAGAGGAGTAGTGCAGCCAGATTTAGTTCAATGGCCTCATCAAGGTCAGCTAGGGTGCCACATTGTTTGAATTTGTCTTCAAGGCTGTCGGCAAGATTTGCGAGAGCTGAGGCTCGATCATAATTACCGGGGGGACGGAGGAGTAGTGCAGCCCGGTAGAGCTTAATGGCCTCATCAAGGTCAGATAGGGAGCCTCGCTGCTCGAATCTGTCTCGAAGGCTGTTGGCAAGATTGTTGAGACACGTGGCTCGATATAAAGAACCAAGGGGTCGGAGCTCCAGTGCAGCCCGATAGACCTCAATGGACTCATCGAGGTCAGACAGGAAGCCCAACTGCTGAAATCTACGTTGAAGGTGTATTGCAAGATAACAGAGACACGCCACTCGAAGGCAATGGACAGGAGGACAGAGCCTCAGGACCGCTCGAGACTTATCTACATTGTCTGCTATGTTATTGTCGCAACATAACAACTGCCCCATCGATATCTCACTGTGGAGGGTCTCGCAATGAGTGCGAATTGAGTGATATGAGAGTGAATACGCACACAGGGAGCAGAAACTCGAGCACTGGCACAGCAAATATCTGTGAGAGAACTAATACGGTGAGTGCTGTACTTGGCCGCGTGCGGCAAAATCCGCTACGTCCTTCTCACATTGCCGACAGCTACTACTTAGTAGTACTGAATCACTGATCCGGGCTATCTAGATTCTATACGTTCTATGTCGCAACCACAAAGATAAGGTGCTTCGAACGGTTGTTGCGACAGATACTACCCGTCGACAATAGGCACTCATAAAGGTGCCAAGAAAGACTCGACCACCACGCCTGAGTGGACAGCAAAAGACCTCGGAATGTTGTAGTTGAAACCAGATTGTGATCCATCGAGTCGAACAGTTACTGATACATCAAAAAAGAAACTTGGTACATGCAGAAGATTTGTGTGTGTCGCCATAGTCATGTAGGTGATCAATATTTTTTGTTGTTGTTGCGAGTCTACTTGCATCTGATCATCCCACCGTGCGGATGTATAACTCACAAGCCCAAGAGTTGGCACCGTGGCTGCGCGGATGATCAATGTTACGTGAAGGAACAGGTGATGACGAAGCATATTGAAGGTGGCACGCTCAAGGTCTTGCAGGTACAGGCAAGTTGCATTTATATCTTTGTTGCTGAGCCACGACGTCGATACAGCACGCGTCGTGCATTACTTTGGCAACAGGTACGATTTCACAGGTTCTATCTACAATATCGTTGATTAGTTATTTTCCGTAGCATGATCGCTCTCCACCATTTGTTATATCTATCAAAGAGTTCACATACGCAGTGGTAGCCTCGCCCGCACACTAAACTTCCCGCACTACATGTTGCACATCCAGAAACATCCAAACTCGTCGACTTCTTTCCGACCCTCACTCGCGATCACATCGTAATCGAGGGAGTCGAAGCATGCGATTGGACGATGATGGCGCTTGTGAACATTGGAGTCATACTCAGAGCATGGGCATTCGAGTGGCATACTGCGCAAGAATGGCGTAGGTGCTCGCTAGGCAGTGCCACGGCACTGCGCATCAGAGCCGTGCCGCGCCAGAAGATGGCGGTGAAGGGAAGCACATGTACGTGGATAGCGATGCCTTGCGATCTTCTGTCTGACGTAAATCTACCTGAAGAACCTTCAGTGCTACCGATAGAAATACATGTGGTCTTCGCAATCCGATCTGGAAGGCCTTGCCCTTCGCCCATTCGACTTTGAATTCCTACTTCATGGTCATGGTCGTCTTCTGAGCCCAGTCACGAGGTACGCTGAGTCGATTTATCGATACTGATATGATCTTCCCTAGTTCTTCGCCGCCGTATCCTCATGCTACCTTGAACGAGCATGAATGCAACATTCTAGCCCCTAATAGCATGTGGTGGCCGATGCTGACATGTGTGCCATTCTCCGAGTATTGACACCGCCGTGGGATGGTGTGGGTTGGTCGGCAGAGTGGAGATGTTGAGGCGGACCAAGGCGGGGCCATCACTCTCACGGAGAGACCTCGCAGAAGAAGGCGCGCAAGATATCGATCTAGTTTCGGGAAGAGTATTGTAGGAGGTGCCACCCGAGGAACGGAAGTGATACAAGCCCACCATTCATCCAGGTGCAGCACAGCAGCTGATGAGTTTGTGTCTATGCAGGAACTTACCTCGATGGTGTGTTTTGAACGCCGGGCCCTCCGTTCCCCCACATAAGGCATATACGCCGGCTGGTAAGCACTTATTGATTTACCAATGTTCCTCACAAAACTCACTTTTGTTTTTGCAGCTGCAGCTGCTTTGGTATTTCTCTCACTGCTCCAGATCCCGCCGAAGGCGATTGGGCGGGGATTCCAGATTCGATGCAGATGGTTGTTGCACTTATTCATGTGCTCCTAAGTGAAGATCTGCCTAATCGACCATCGTTATCCAGGCGCGTTTTCTATATACGCTACACTTCCGCGCCAGAACAACGATGGACTTGATCATGCATAGCTAGCCAAAGTTGCATGTTCATACATGAATATGGATGCCGCTTAAACTTGATGCCTAAGCGCTAACTTGGTAGGCAGCCTCCTTCAAGTTATCATCTTGCATCAACTCGTATGCAGTGATGACGCCGTGCGACCGGATACTGGCACCAACTGATGCCGTCCCAGGAACTCCCACCTCAGCCTTGTCGCCCTTTGAAGCACGCCAGCGATCATGACGAGTACCGAATACCTCGACCTATAGACGCTTGCTTGTTCGACGTATTCATTACCATCCTCAACTGGCACAGCACAGTCACTTGTCAAGTAGCCCGCCTTAGCAAGGGGCTGATTCTCGAAGGTAACAGATCTTCATCCTCGTACAATTCTCTCACCCTGATCGCATCCATCAGGCTCACAGAATGCGGTAGATTTCTCAGAAGAATGGAGAGCCGGATATTATACTCATGTGCAAGTCCATCGTTCTCAGTTCTCGGCATATGGATTATGACACGCTCATTCACACAGGCAAAGAGTGGCCCAGGGCGGGGAGAGCACTTTCAATGCAGACGTCATGCATTGACAGATAATTTGTGCTTGAGCGGACTCGAACGTGCATACACGTGACCCCCATCTAACGACATCGCAGATATTGGACAATATGCTCACCACCCCGCGCTGGTCTCGGTTTGTAGGAGTTTTGGGGAATCCGATCGTGAAGATCTTACCATGATCTGGCATAACCTGACGGTGCAAACTCTCAGGAACTCTGCCTACAAACCTAACTGACAACCCCTTAAAAGCGTATCAGGACACTATCCCCGACCTAGAAAAACTCGAATGCCACGTCTACATCCTCGCTTTATCTAACGGAAACCTTAATTTACTTCTCGATCTAGTAATTGAGCCACCGCACTACGCTGCATCAGACCTTCCCCAATTAACACTACAGGCAAAGAACCAAGGTGTTCCCTGGGATGGTATTTTCTCGTCCGAAATGTTCGTTTCGTGCAAGCCGTACGTCTCCATCATTCTTCCTTTCATCTCATCCTAATGTCCGAGCAGGAACAAGGAGGTCTATGAATCCGCAGCATACCACCTTTCCTTACCTTCTCACAAGATCGCAACGGTTGCTGCGGACAATTTCGACCTCCTTGTTGCTGCCAGCGTCGGGTTCCAGACGATATATGTACCCCCGCGCGAGGTGAGGGAGGGTATGCGTAGCAAGAAGGACAGCGGTGAGGTGAATCTTGTCGTTAGATTTTCAAGAGCTGGCGAGGCTGATACGTGAAGCTCGACAAAGTCGATGAGGTTCGCGATTCGTGCGTGCTGATGCATTGCGGAATTACCACTCGCCCATCCGCATAACATCGTCGCAGAGCAAGAGAAGTAAGGTACCGGAATCGACAGTGAATTCCAAGGCAGTTATGCGGATGCATGCGCAGATCCCCTTCAAGTTGTCCGGTATGTTCACATATATTTTTTGCGTGTATCACTCGATTTCACGCAGCGTATCCAGATGGCGTCGTCCTCACATTCCATCCCGTAGAATCGTGTTCGTTGTTACTTCATAATCATGCAGCATGGCTTCGCTTTGGTCTTCGAGCGTCACTCGTGTTCAAATTGCGGGCTGTTATGCACTAGGTTCAAACGTACTTGAGTCATACCCACCCCCGATTGCAACATAGTGATTCCAGAAGAGCAAGGCAAGTTATCATAGTGCGTGACTAGGATGTAAAGAAACTACAAATGTGGAATAAACTTGGTCCAAGCTACCGTATCGTATACGCCAGACGGCAGCGATTGCAGGCTTAGGATCATAAGAACAATTAGTGTAACACGTGCAGCGATATCGCTGCACGTGTTACACCAATTAATTAATGTAGCAAGAAGCAAGAAAAATGCGATATTCTCACCCAGAGGGGAAGATGAGTCAATGTCAGACAAGACAATGCCAGACAAAATAAGCGTAGGTGCTGGCGCGCATATGATCATAAGGGATGCTGCACGCTATAACAGCTGCTCCGTTTGTCTGTGAAACAAAATTCCAGCCGAGACAATGTATCCCTCCAAAAACCATCCCACAGAAACATCCAATGAAAACTATGATAACATCATGATACTCGCCATATCTACCTAGAGGTGGAACCCGACGTGAATGGGCAGCACGCGGGGATGCGATGACATAAAAGCCCATAAGATTCATAATTGGATAGGCAAGATAGACGAAATACTAGTAGACGACAGTCAAAGTTTATTGCGAGCTCATCACAAAGTCGTCAGGGGCTTGTTTGTCAGTATTTGGATTAGTTACAAGCTCGACGTTCGCGACATCCCCCGCACTCAACCCTACCCCGTTCTCTGCGAACTAAGTGGAAATCACAATAAAACAAATAGAGACACGATGGCACTCCTCGGCACTGTTGCTGGCTTTTCATTATTCGGTCTGGCAGCGCGTTTCGGGCAGCTCGCAATAAAGAAGAGAAATCTCATGGAGAGTGCGTACCTTCTTTTCTTCAGTAGCATTATGTCCTGAAACTGACGCTGTAAACAGACCTTGGCGGACACGCATTATCTATGGGCGCTTTTGGTTTTGCTGGTTATTGGGCATATCAGTGGGACGAACGTGCGGCGGTGATGCTGGCGCAGAAGCGTGCGGAGATTACTGAGCGGAGAGAAAGGAAGTTGGCGCAGGCTGCATGACCTAGACTTGTGTGGATGAGGTGCTTAGGTGGGTTCTGATTCTTTTTACAATAATGTCGGTCTGAATTAAGAGAAGGTCATGCTATACGCCTGGATGATGGAATCCACTGTGTACATCACCTTTTTTCAACGCTGAACCCCAGTGAGAATTGGACATTCGAAAATCAACGCAAATATTAGGACCTCGATGTTTTGTTTTCCATAGCGGCGGGGCAAAATATACGAAAAACGACGGAAAACGATACATTTCGACTGCGAGTACAAAACTGATTGATACGAAAACAAGCTAGTACCTACTCGCCCTGCTCCCAATACCCGCCCTGCGCCTACACGCACCCTTCCGCGCTCGCGATACGGCTCGTCCTGATAGTGCACAGCCCCGCTCGATACTTTGCTGAAGGTAGCTGTCCGCGCTCTTTCATGTTAGCATCCGCACATTTGAGCCATTTGTTGGATTGAGTAAGCGTGAAGAATCGAGGCTTTGAATGGTCGATGGGAGGAGTCTGTTGGGTGACAGGTTCATGTCCTTGTGAGTTTAGAGTGCCGCAAACAAGCTTCTGAAGTGCCTCTCTATTTACAAATGAATCAGAATCACGTCTATGGTTCTGGAATGTCGACACATGCAGTCTTCACAAAAATAGCTTACCTTTGCAAAAAGCGAAACCGAAAGCAAGAATAACGACGAGTTTTGTAGCCTGAATGTTTCGTTTGCGAAACGCGTCGATTACCGTGGATAAGATGATGTATGGGGGCTGGCAATCCTAGGTCAGCATGCATAACTACTGTTCTACTATCCCTGGCTTTGTATCAATACTTATGACAGTATAGCCTCATGTTCACCAGATATCAGTTACAATCATGATGCTGCCGGTGACAACTGATGCACCACCTTCATGGGCGCATCGACTGACGCATTTTCAGTGTGGTGCGGTTTGCATCAGATTCTACACTTACCATTTATGATATCACAACCCGATCGCAGCGGCAAGATGCAATCCCGAGGATGATGAGGACCAGAGAAATTAGGTGTTGAGAGGTGTGCTTGGAGGAGTGTGTTCAAGTCCGAGGCCGCCTGCGTGGGACAGGCGAGTCATCTGTCTGCTTCGTTTAGACCTCCCCGATTTTTCATGTCTGACTTTTCTATTATGCAGACAGGACGTAACCGTCTTGAGTGATATCAAAAGAGGTGTTCTGCGACCCGCGCCCGGGCCAGCGAGGAATTGAGACATCAGGCGTTTTCGATGATTGCATCATACCTTGGCCTGTCTTGGATTACATGGTTTCATTAATGGATTCCTTAACTGATGCAAGTGTAACAAGAACATCTCGAGAATGGCATTGGAAACAAGTTGCCGAAATCACGAACAGTTTTTCGATCTTTGCGGTGTTCAAACATTGCACGCATTTGACTGATTTGCTGTTTCACGACCAACACCTACTTTGATTCAATATATCGATCCTGCATTGACTTTCCCCTGGCAATAAAAACGCTCCATGGTGGTATATCTATAACGAACGCCATCTTCCACCCAGTTCGCCACTCCCTCACACACCCATCCACTATGACCCTAGTCTCAGATGATCTTAGTCGGTGGCCATCCATTAATGCAGATCGTGTCTCCAGCTATCTCGTAGGTTCGTAGAGAGCCATTCAGATGATGACGGTGATGTCTCGATCTAACCTTGGCTGCGGTTTCATAGTTGCCGCCTCTGCTGGGATCGTGTATGATTGGGGTGAGCAAGATGGTATTACAGAACCGCTTATATCCTTATGATGTTTCTAGCACTAACATTCGGACAAGAGGTAGGTTGATGCCAGTACCAGAGCAATCATCTCACTAAGACTGATTTTATAGGTTGAATTCATCTGGGTAAGCGGAGTTCCACGTCAGAAGACAACGTGAAAATACGATTAATTCACGACAGAGGCACCACTGGTCCCTGATGACCGTTCTGTATCTCAGTGTATGTAGCTAATATTATGTCGTAAGTGTGGTTGGCAAGTTGTGCTGACATGAAAATATCCTAGGTGCGCTACCTTGGAATAATATATGCTGTGTATGTTTGGATGGCTAAGCAATTAGCATTTGTGCTAAACTGTGGATGTCGGTCTGGTGAAGAAGTGGCTCGGACTGTGTGAGGAAGGGCATGGAGATATATGTGAAAGTGTCTGGTGGATGGGCGACAACAGGAGCCTGCCGGGATTTATGAGAATAGTGGATGTGGTGTCGATGGCCATTGTTCCTGAACCTCCTGCCTGTCGTTATGATGCCCTCAGCTACATATGGGGAGGCATTGGCGCAGAGTATTGGATGGCGAAGGATAATTTCGCAGAGCGCTCCACGCCTGGCGGGTTGAACATAACAAACTTCCCCGATACCATCATAGATTCGATTCAACTCGTTCGACAACTTGGCGAACGATACCGATGGATTGACACTCTATGCATCATTCAAGATGATATAGGAGACAAGATCATTCAGATACACGCTATGGACTCGATTTACGGCGGGTCTTATTTCACAATTTATGCTGCTGGCGGCACGTCAGCTCGGGACCCTCTCCCAGGACTTCGTCCACGAACTAGACCACCGCAGCAGCACATCGAGGTCGTTCAAGGACTTCATCTCTCTGTGCCTTTGCCACCACCTATCGAGGCTCTCAATCTATCGGCATGGAGCACGCGTGGTTGGACTTATCAAGAGCTTATGCTCTCCCGCCGAAGAATATACTTCACTGGGCAACAAGTCTACTTTGAGTGCAGACGTGATATCTTCTGCGAAGACGTTGTCGCTGAAAGCAAGTTCCTCTCATCGTCTACCCAACCTTTGCGGTATAAAGGTGCAGGAAATTTCACCTACCTTCGAAAACCTACGCATACCCCACCGGGTCAGTCCGTCATGGATTACATGTATGCCATTGGGCCGTATACACGGCGTAACCTTACCGTGGAGTCAGACATTGTCGATGCTATCACTGCAATGACGAATGTCTTGGCAAAAGGCTTTGAGCTTGGTGGGGGTGACCCCGCCAAATCCTTTCAATTTGGAATGACGTTGATAGACCTCGGGCATGCGCTTGTCTGGCAACATGATCCACACACTCCTCGCGCTCGTCGTTCGATCCCTGGCGAAGGCAAGTCAGCCTGGCCTTCTTGGGCATGGGCTACATGGCGTGGCGCTGTTCGCTACGTGGGGGAAACACTCTATGCCTGGCTCGATAGTCATTGATCGACAACTGGAGCCAGGTACCCTCATTTTCCGCACGACCTCCAGCCACTTTAGCGTTGTACGGCGAGATGACGGTGGAGAAGACCAAAAATCAAGTGCACGTTTCTACCATGGCCTCTTCAATATCCTCTCCAGCTCTTCCACTTGGGTTGGCAGTGTCATACTGCCATTAGACCCTGCTCCGCCGGCTTCTCTTGAGTTCGCCGTCCTTTCCCGTACCAGTGCGGGCCCTGGCGTGTGCGACGAAGAAAGTCTTGGAATGTTCTACTCTGGATGTATGTTATATGTGATGGCGGTAAGTGAGAATGAGGGTTTGATGGAGCGTGTTGGGTTGGGTATCATTCATGAATCCGCCTGGATTGCTTCGAGTGCGCAGGAGAAAGTGGTGTTTCTTCAGTGACAATCACGTACTTGAACAGGTCCACTCGGGTGATTGTGGTAAGGAGTATTCCGTTCGAACGTGAGATGAGTCTGATTGCTCGAACAGTCACAGCCTCACCTTCTGGGCTGCCGGGTTTTCTATGATATCATTATCCTGTTGGTGAACTTGGACGTCCGCTGTATATACATAGATTAGCGTGAGCAAGAAATGGTTCCTTCCGATCCCGTCCGCAATGCGCATATGGTACAACAATTGTGCGAGCGCCTTCCTCCGGAACGACCGTTGACGAGAATAGATTCGTGTACCTTGCGGAGCAGGTCGAAAACGACGTCACGGAAAATTTGCTGCAGTCACTGTTCGGATCAAGTTAATTTCGTAGCTGCGAGCAACACCATCAGATATATCTGCTCGTTCATTCGCTCGCCGACCAGTTATCGACGCGCTAATTACAGCTCAGGCATAAATGGATGAGATCGGATGCGTAGCACGTGATCCGGAATGGATGGAATCTGTCAAATGGACGGCGGTATCGCTTGCATCCCTTTCCTGAGGCAAAAACCGGAAAGCCATGATGTGCACAGAGAGCGGTAGGCCCACATATTGTCAACCGAGATGCAGGAGCGCTTACGCCCAGGGCGTCCCCCTATAAAGATCCTGGACTTTCGACAACGAAACGACCCATTCTCCACTCACCCTTTCACAACCAACCACATAACTTTCTTCAGTCCACAGAAACTCAGTCATGAAGGTGATGATGCACCCCCTGTCATCAATTACAAGATCTGACGCGCTTCTAGATTATCGCTATCCTTTACAAGGGCGGTGAGGCTGCTAAGAGCGAGCCCCGTCTCCTCGGTACTGTGGAGAACCAGGTTCGTCTTGTCTCGAATGATAGATTATTATCTACAACATACTTACTTTTAACTTTCACAGCTCGGTATTCGCAAGTGGCTTGAGTCCCAAGGCCATGAGTTCATCGTATGTGTCGTGTTCCTCTTGATTATCATGCTTGTTTAGTTGCTCAATCCATCCATTTGTGCAGGTATCCGACTCCAAGGAAGGCCCTGACAGCGACTTCCAGAAGCACATCGTTGATGTATGTCCAAGCTCCAGTACAGCCCTACTACTGTATCTGCGTATATATCCCCGGGTACTTATTTTCTATCTTAGGCTGAGATCTTGATCACGACCCCATTCCACCCCGGGTACCTCACTGCAGAATTGGTCCAGAAGGTATATTGATCATTTCTAGATTGAGTCGTTGATGCTCAACGGTTTCATACTTGACAGGCCAAGAATCTCAAGCTCTGTGTCACCGCTGGTGTCGGCTCTGACCACATTGATCTCAACGCCGCTGTCAAACGTGGTATTCAGGTCCTGGAGGTCTCAGGCTCCAATGTCGTTTCCGTCGCTGAGCATGTTGTGATGTCTATCCTCCTGCTCGTCAGGAACTTTGTTCCAGCACACGAGGTATGACAACCTCCTGGCGCGTGCTTCCCTCTGTTGATTTCTTGCCATCTTTAGATGATCGAGCGCGGAGACTGGATGGTCTCTGATATTGCTCGCAACGCTTTCGATCTCGAGGGCAAAGTCGTTGGCACTATTGGTGCTGGTCGTATCGGTTACCGCGTCCTCCAGCGTTTGATGCCCTTCGACTGCAAGGAGCTCATCTACTACGACTACGCTCCCCTGCCTGAAGGTTCGTACCACTCTATACTCGGTCATCTCCAGCTTGACTCATGCAATTACAGCGGCTGCTAAGGCCATCAATGCTCGTCGCGTCGAGGACCTCAAGGAGTTCGTCTCGCAGTGCGATGTTGTCACTGTCAACTGCCCTCTGCATGAGGGTACAATTGGTCTTGTCAACGCTGACCTTCTCAAGCACTTCAAGAAGGGTGCATGGCTCGTCAACACCGCTCGTGGTGCTATCTGCGACAAGGATGCCGTAGCTGCTGCTCTTGCAAGTGGTCACCTGAACGGTTCGTGACCTCACTACCTGATATCTTTATACCGAGTTAACATTACAACAGGTTACGCCGGTGATGTTTGGAACGTCCAGCCCGCACCCAAAGACCACGTCTTGCGCACGGCTAAGAACGTCCTTGGCGGTGGTAACGGCATGGTACCCCACTACTCTGGTACCACTCTCGATGCTCAGGCTCGTTACGCAAACGGCACCAAGAGCATCATCGAAAACTACCTCTCTGGCAAGCCCCAGGAGCCTCAAAACATCATTGTTGGTATTGGCAAGTTTGAGACCAAGGCTTGTGAGTACCTATTTGGACCTTTCGCTCGTTGGTCTTTTCTGACATGTTATTATAGACGGTCAGCGTTGAAGTGCAGATGTGTCTGCCTGATATCCTTGACATCATCATTAACATGTATACAAAACATATATGCATCTGTATGTCTATGGGAAGAACGTTGAACAAGGATGTACATTATTGATAGTAGAAAATAATACAATGAAATGTACTTGCTGGAGACTGGCTGGTACATATCTGGGACAGATACAGGGCAAGCGTTTTAAACAATTGCATCAGCCTGCATATGGGATTACAATTTCGATTCAACAGATTCTCAGCAGCCAGAGGGCCCACTTCTACCGGTTCGCATCATCAGCTTAAACTTGACTCGCTCGTGAATGGGAGCCGTGTCATTATAGCCCGATGAGTCCGAGACAGAGTCCGAGGAGGCGCGCATGAGGTGATTGAACTTGTGAAGGAATCGACGTGTTGGATTAATCGTTGAGGGGTGTGCACCTTATCGAAACCCGGATGAGAGAGGTGAAATGTGAATTACCTGTTCATCTCTGATTTTCTGATGCCTTGCCAACAGATTTTATTGAGAGACCCCTTGGATGAGACATTGTCGAGGCTCGTCGAGAACATGGCCATCATCATTTTAAGAAATGAGCACTTACAATTTGAAGAACAAAAGTCGCGGTTCCTGGTCGGCTGGCCGCTGCACGCAGTGGTCCGAGTCGTCTTTTATCCCATGTGCCCTCTCATTTCCGTCTTGATCTAATGATAACATCGTATATTTGTCAGATGTCAATCAGTGATCATGATCATGACGTATCTTGGCTGAGCCTGTGAGGGTTGATGCATTGAGTGCTCAGCCTTTCTTTGTTTTGATCCGCCAACTATTTTTCACAACTGACCTTTGTGGCTTCATGCCTAGGAGCGGTTGTACTCCCCTGGTCTGGGCCGGCGAGGCGGATGGAGCTCATCGAGAATCATTCAAGAATCAAGAGATGGCATGCTTTTTGATGGTCGTATCGCGAGCCTGTGTGAGATCAGTGAATTACATGATTTTACTGATTCGGAACCCAACTGACGGTATCGAAGTGCAAGTTGATGAAATCACCAGCGATTTTTTGATGGTTTGCGGTGTTCGAGTATTCGGCCCGCGCGACTGCTGTGCAGCTTCCCTGCGACCTATGGCGAGATAAGCAGGTTTTTCCTTTCTATTCGACTGCATGCAAAAATACGTACTCCAATCATTCATTGAAGCCAGGAACAGTGGTTACTCTCATCCCTACATCATCGGATACATTGAAAGCGCTACGTATATGTAGCACGAACTCCATCATTATCTGCCTACCAACTTTACATCCTCTAACAGTATGACCGTGGTCTCAGATGATCCCAGTTTTTGGCCGATAATCAATGCGAGTCGTATTGGCAGCTACTTTACAGGTTTGTGGAGAGCCACCAGGATGATGATTATCTCGATCTAACCTTGGTTGCGGTTTCGCAGTTGTCGCTGCTGTTGGTGTAATATACGATTGGGGTGAGTAAGGTAGCATTAAAGAACTGCTGATATCCTGATAGAATTTCCAGCCCTGTCATCCGGACAAGAGGTGGGTTGATGTCATTACTTGAGCAGCCATCTCGCTAAGAATGATTGTATAGATTGAACTGATCTGGGTGAGTAGAGTACCATCATGGTCAGAAGAACAACATTAATTCGTAACAGAGGCAACGCTGGTCCCTGATGACTGCCCTGTACCTCAGTGTATGTATATCACAAGTGTGGTTGACAGGTTGTACTAACTTGAGAATTTTCTAGGTGCGCTACCTTGGAATAATATATGCTGTGTATGTTCAGAAGGCTAAGCAATTGACGTTGTGCTAATCAACCACTTCTCGTGATCAGCATCATCGTGCTGCGTAGGTCTCCTCACGTTCACCGTATTTCTTTCTTCTGACTGGCAACATACAGTGACCGTTCCGACGATCTCGGGGACAGACATGGTGAGTTTTCTGCCCTGATTTCCACTACTCCCGTCGACCGACTCAGCTCCCATGTAGAGGTGAGTGATATTATTGACCAGCTTGTTGGTTCCATGTAATGACTGCCACAGCTGTAAGTGTGTGTGGAGTGTGCGATCCTCCGATGCTGATCACTAAATTATCAGGCCAGAAGATGTACGTCACAATAAATTGCACGACTGTTGTCGTGAACGCACTGCTGGGCGGTGAGCTACACAGCTGCAGTTCCTCAGTGATATCGACATGACTAAAACATCACGCAAGTCATAATGATCGCTCGGTTACATGCTATGTATCAGCAATCCAGAAAGGTGCTGATACTTATCGTTGTCACCTTGCTGGCCACCAGCATCGTTGATGGAGTCGTCGTCGCAATACAACTGTGGAACATTACGGCGGGTAAGCGGTAGCTATGAATGAAAGACTTGCATGAGGCTCATTGACCAATTCCAGAGGAGGTCATTCTCTCCGGTACCTATCAGTGCCTTATTAACGTTAGGGGAGATAGCAACCTTATGACTTCCATATCTTGGACATTCACCACTATATGGGAGGTCCTCGCACTGTGTCTCGCAGGTTGGATTGCTGTAAAACACTTCCGTGAACTACGAGGACATTCGGCAGGATGGATTATTGGGGACTGTTTCACAGTGTTAATGAAATCTCACGTGGTTTACTTTGCGAGGTGAGCTCAAAATGTCAATGCGATTCTCTTTTTCCGCTGAAGTTCCGCACGTCCTAGCTTTCTTGCTAGTTCTTGCCTCAACTTCGGCAATTTGTCTCCAACACTTGCGGTATGCTGACGTGTCACTGAGTTCTGCATGCGAACATGGTTCATCTTTTCTATAGAACACATTTACCCTGGGAAGTCAGATTTATTATGGTCTTTCTCAAATTGTCTTTCTCGTGCAGATGTTTGTCCTGGGGCCACGCTTGATCCTTGGCGTTAGAGAGTTTAACGCTAAGCTCGTGGACGACTCGGATGCAGCAACCGCCATGACTTCAATTGCTTTCCAGGAGCACGTGCATGTGTCGACTAGCAGCAGTGTGTAGCACGGGAGATGCTTTATGTGATTAACAGTCGTCCGGAGCGGGTGTTTTTTTCCATGTTTCGCCGTGGTATTTATATAGTTATTTGGTGTTCCGAAGTAGATTTAAAGGGGGAATAGGTCTCATACCTATCTTGTTGCATCACTACTGGCACTAGCTAACTGGCCACACTCACACCAAATGACAACCTGAAATCATGAAGGTCTCGCAACCAGCCAAGTCCCCTGGTGTTCGAACTCGATACCCGAATGGGTAGAATCCAAGTCATTCATTCAAGTTTATCAAGTCTAGCTTTGCGGATTTGTGCTTGCACGATAAGTCATATTTTGGCTCCTTTTAGAGTCTGGATAACACAAGGGTAGCCGCCTGTGTGATTAAGCCGTAGGCTACGACTAATTTACCAATATCGCATCCTGTAATGATAGGCGCCATCACACATTTACACTACAAGCGCCGTTGTGTAACGAGCTGAGAGGCAGTAGCAATCCACCCATGTTCATCTTCCGTTCCCCTCTTGTTCCCCTTCGGTAGTCAGGACTCGGGTGGTATAATAAACGAGTGTTCTGAAATCTCTGTTTAGAACCAGTACCACAGGAGCGGGAATGGTCAGGCATGATGGAGGCGCATAAGGCTGAAGGTCGTGTGATCATGGAATAAATCTGCTTATTCGAAATGTTGATGATCGCGCAAATGTGAATACCAAAACGCGTGCAAAGTTTGCGTTGATGCGTGTCCATTCCCATACCACTCGTCAGCCTCAAGCAACTCGGGATGAACCGTGTTGCGAAATTAAGAACCATTGGACTACATAATCTACAATGATCTACCTCTCTACATTACGGTCCTTCTATACCGGTTGCAGATTCCCGCTTGTATGGTATAGACTGACGCAAAGTTATGAGTATCGAAACAAGGCAGGTTGCATGTGGTGCAGTCTAAACAAGTAAAGAAAATCACGGTAAACGCTTGCCGAGGCGAATCCAGCTTTTGAGACTTGTAAATTTGTGCAGAAAATCATCGATATCCGATTCTGATACTTCGGCGTTCGTCTGCTCGTCATCGACATCTGAGGCTGATTCCTCGTCGTCTGTCGCTCCGGCTTTGATTCCTGTGCAATACTGAGAAAGTACCAACGGTCGGCATCTGCTTTCAGCACCGCCAAACAATCCACAAGGAGACTCCATATACGTGGGCCCATTCCCGACGGTTTGAAATCCAAAAGATGATTCAGAAACCATAACTTCTTCTCGCCACATCCCGCGGGGCCTGTAGTCGCCCATGCATCCAAAGGGCGAGTCTCCGGTGGTAGGAGAACTCCCTTCCTGTAACGTAAGCAAACCCAGACAAGAACCCAGATGAAAAACTCGACATCCTGACGATGTAAGTGTTCGACTTCGCCTCGTCGACCCTCAGGGAAAGAAGGTCGGGCGCGATGAACGGCACGGTGCCCGTACGCTCGTTGCCATGAGGATCCAGCCTAGTTGCCAACGATGACAGATTAAAGTCGTTTAAGACACCTATCAGGACGCCCTTATCGGTCTTGTGAAACATCATGTTGGGAGGGCTGACGTCTCGGTGACGGACTCCTCCCTTCCAGAGATCGATGTGACCTGCGCATTATGTTAATGGAGATCCACATGAATGAAAGGAACCACATACATAAGATGCATTGACGCCACACGTTGAAAAGCTCTTCGCCTTCGAGCGCCGTGATGGGTAGGAGTTTGCGTGATACGAAGATGTAGAGCATGTGACTGTCCTTCTCCGCTTCTGGAACTCCCAGTGCCTTCAGGACTGCGGATGTGGGATTCTCGAACTTGTGAGCCCAAAGCAGCTGGGGAACATGGCCTTTCACGGCCTCTTCTCTGCGATCTCGTCAACCTTTTTTTTTTAAGATCTCCGGCTCGCTAGTTCTGTCCTGCTCTGCCCAGAAGATTTTGGCCACCAGCCCATCTTTCTTGACGTCTGGGTCGTTCGCGTACTTCCTGGCGAGAAATTCACTAGTGATAGGGAACACGTTGGTGACTCGTCCTTTCAGTCCGTAGTGAGTTACTCCCTCCTCGGAGCTGGTGTGCAGCTTAAGATCCATGCCGTAAATGTTGAGTTTAAGGTAACCTTCCTTCTCAGCTTTTTGAAGTGCTCGTTTCGACCCCAATCCTTAAGCTCGAATCGTTGCAATACATATAACAGCACCATGGATCGTGGGAGATCTGCAATGAAGTCGATGCCCGAGCATTGAATTGTGCCCTACCGATCGTAATACCAGACCCAAATAAAACTATCTACGAAAGCCATAGTAAGAGTGGAACCGTTAGACAAAGGGGAGAACAACAGACCGACGACAATAATCTCGAGAACATGCTTGACTGCAACATTGGCTGCGAACATTTCGGCGGCGTAGAGTCCTGTCTGGACAGTCACATCTAACTTAGGGTCCTTGACCTTGACCTTAACTCGCTTGCTGGAGGATTGCAAATGATTCTCTGCTTTGCGCTTAGAACTGGAGCTGCTGATGGGCAGCGAGACGGGTCAAACGGCGCTCAGTTGGATTGATCTAGTTTCATCTCTGGAACTAGAATTAGTTACTTACCTGGACAGTCGGGTCTGCGATGGGCCTGACGCTGCAGTCGGGGGCCGTCAGTTGCAGCTGTCCCCGAGACCACTGCCCAATGTTCTGGATAAGTAGCGACATAGTCTGTCACTGCATATGAAGGGGGCAGCGGACGAAGCCCTGTCTTAGTCTTGGCCATCCTCTTGAACTCGATCGAAGCTAGTACATCTTTCCAAGGGACTTTCTCTTCCGACACCATCGTTGCAGCGGTCATCGTGTGCTCCGGATCTTTCATGTCCCATTCTGGAAAGGTATCGCACGAGCTTTGGAAAGGAAGGATGACAACGTCGGGCTTCCGTTTCGCTTCCTGGTTCTAGTGAGGTTGCTTCATATCCTTTGTGAGTATAATGCTGATGACAGATAATGTTCAGGCCTGAAGCAGCAGGCATTCCGTCGACCTCCATATTACAGCACACTTGCAATCGTTATCAACGTAACGACACCCAATCAGCAAAAAAGCACTTACTATGTGTCAAGAACGTCCTTGATGCAAGAAGGATGCAATTGACCATCGGGGTCCTACCAGCGGGTGTTGCAGTCCCATTTCAAACCTGTAGAATGGCCTTAAATAGCTTCACAGGAGGGCGGGCTGTTCAGTCTGATCGACAGAAGCGCGCTGCAGGAGAACCTGCAGCATCACATCCACTTTGCACGTCTTAACCTGCTCCGCTGAATCTATGACCAGATTTGTCCAACTCTGCATGAACATTAGGTGTAATTCAAATACCACAGGAAAGAAGCTCACTGAACACCAACGAGGTCGATGTTTTCACTGATAGTAGCAGCCCCTCGGCCATTTGGGGTGGATTTTAATGAGCTAGTAGCCTGAGCTGGTGCCTTTGGGCGTGCCGGAATAGACGATGAGCCTGGCTTGCCCGGTTGTGCGTCACCAGGCGACATGACAAGTACTTGGGAAAGTGGAAAAGGTTAAAAAAAAAAACAACCACATGTAAAGATTGTGCTTGCTTTGTATCTGGTCAGCCAATGTGGCGTGGCGAACCATTGATCAGGAGCTCTAAAACAATCATTTCAACATACAATCCCTCACAAATATCTAAAACCCTGCTGTGATGTGGGCTGCTGATGAAATTGACGCAGACTACGAAAAATGTCATAGCACCGAGTACATCAGAGGCACGACCGACGATGCTAGTGCTATCGAGCTGTCAGATTGTGATGAGCAAGGAGAGCTTGACGACGAGCCAGGCGAGCTTGGTGACGAGAGCTTGAAGACGAGGAAGCACTCATCGACTGCGATAATTTGCTCGGCAGTGAAATTAGCCGCGATATCCTCGCGCCATCGACTCCGAGCATCTTCATCTCTCGGCAGAATTGCGTTGCACCATCTTTTATATAAGTCCAAGGTCGTGAAGGTTGTCGTGAAGTGCCGTTTCAAAATGAAGACACCATGGATGACATCAAGGTACTCGAGGAAACGGGTGGGTGATTTGGTGATAAGCTGGCACAGCTGTTCTCGGATCTCGGTGGTGAGAAATCGAAGACGTCCTCTATGACAAGTTGGATGGTCAACTGAACCTGTATCATCCATCCAGTCAGCCCAGCGCCCAATGCTCTTTCCGCTAACATGTAGGATGTCCGCCACCTCCTCTACTGTCCAACCTTCGTCAAACAGCTCCAAAGCTCTTTCATGTTTCCGCTGATTTGCCTATACGGCATCGTGAATGATAGTCGATCTGCGAGGCTATGGCCGGTCTATGATGCGAGAATGAATTTTTTGAATTTTTGAATTTACGAATTCAAATGAATGACCGCGGACAAGAATTGCTAAAAAGTGCCACACGCGGCCGCCAAGTTATAACCATTGCTCATTGATTTCTCAAATTCTCAAAGTCTTAATAGCACTACTCTTAAACTTCTCTATCCTACCACTAATTTGTTCATACGATGTCAGATCCTGTCAGATCTATCTCAACTACGGAGACCATCGAGTCGGTATCATCACCTGGTGTCGTACAGGATAGTCTTCGCGATGCAAATGTCAAGATACCTACGCGAGCGGAATTGTCCACCGTAGAGTCGAAGGTGGCTACCGCGCGCTCGAAGAAAGATACTGGTGATGCTGCGTTTAAGGCAGGCGATGTCAAGAGTGGTAAGTGGGCGTCCTTGGCACTGTCAACCTCAGTGATCATTTTATCCCGTGTAGCATTGCGATCGTACCATGAGGTGAGGACATGACCAAGAGCTTCTATGTTTTACAGACGACCTCTGACGTAGCTGCTACTTGAAGACACTTCTGTATCTTCACGGTATCGATAAGTGCGGTCGCATTATGTTAGCTCAAGTTCGTGTTTTTCGAACCTTAATCCTGCAGAAACGCCCTTAAATCACTTGGAATGGCTGCCCCATCGTCGTCGACGTCAGCAGTAGACCAAGCTGCTGGCGCAAAGGACGTGCTGACTGAGGTACGAATCCGAGATCCGTGGATCGATAGAAGGTGATAGGAGATCTTTGTTCGACAGGCAGATTTAATGCTGGAGAAAGTATACGCAAATATGTCTGCCTGCCATATCAAACAAGAGAACTGGAAGCGGGCGGTGGACACTGCCGACAAGGTTTGTCACACTCTGAAACTAATTTCGCTCGCTCAGTTTTGCAGGCTCTTAGCAAAAACCCTGCTAATTCTAAAGCGCTTTTCCGAAAAGCAAAGGCTCTTGGAGAGCTTGGATTTTTCGAGAAAGCGGAAACAGCTCTCAATGAGATTAAGAAGGTCGCTCCTAATGGTGGGTCGTGTCTTGAGTTCCCTTTCCGAACGTTTTGCTGACTGATGAATACGTGCTACTGATTGGTCCATCATGCAGAGGCACCCATGGCTGATGCAGAGCTTGCGCGTCAGAAATCGATGGATCGTGAACGGCAAAAGGCTCATGATCAGAAAATGAGAGGTGAGATGTTTTCTCAGTTTACGCCGTTTCCCTGCTGAGACTGAGGTTATGACACTAGGTTGGCTTTCACGAGAGAAGAAGCTGACTGCGAGCGAGTAAAGAGTGGTCTGGATCAGGAGACGTACAGTGAAAGCAGACGATACCACGTGCATATTGTATTTTATGAGGCAACCATGGTTTGTTTACAGGTTAATCCAGCGAGAAGGCCACTTGGCCTATGGACCTTGCACAGCCACTGGCTATTATTACTACCCACCCACTGGTAGACCAGTACTTGCATCATTCTTGTAGTGCGAGGGTTCCAGGTTCAGCCTCAGAGAGGGTTGAGTCGATGGCTTAGCGACCTCGGGGACCTGAAGAGTGCCAGGGGTCCAGCAGCAGCTTGCAACATCTCAATCTGAGCTTATGTTCTCATTCCCGTTCAGAGCACCTAGGCATAAATAGTGCTCTGGCTGGTCCATCGTCAGTCGACAACAACCCGGCACAAGAGTGCGACAGTCACCTAACTCACTTTGAAGACTTATTATTTGAATATTGAAAGCATAACCATGTCGGTTGTGTTCTTAGTCGCTTCCTATAGAGTTGATATGTCATATTCTACTACTCCTTACCCCCAGGGACCTCTCTCGTTGTGTAATGGTTTGCTCTTTCCTTCGCTTCTGTGTTTCCTCGAGACTAACTTCTGATCACGCTAGACCTGCAAAACCATCCGGGATGCAGCCCAGACTTCTGTCGACGTTCAATTGAAGCTTGAACTCTACGCTCAGGGCTTCGCGGAGACCCCTAGTACCCTGGACTCGATCAGCGTTCCCAAGAAGATGAACTCACTCAAGAAATTGACATCCTTGTGGCGGTCTGATTTTTATGTCAACACTGTTTTCCAAGACACAGTGGCTGTGGCATTCGGATGGGAGAATACTTCAGCTTCTTCATTGTCCGTGAAATGTGGGATTTGGTGGATGTACCAGCAAAGGGGCGACCTCTACATTCGGGACTGCAAGACAGTCACTGCACACTCCCATACGTGGCCCAGGACTCGTCTGTCCTCGAGCGGGTTGCCGCTGATGTCAGTTATCGTCGACCCACTGCAGGATCTTGTAGTTACATTCTCATCGCATCGTTTCTTGAATGTGGTCCATTCTGGGCAATTCTGCCACGTAGTTTTCAGTGGACTTTCGATTGGCTTCATCCCAGCTTCCACATCCGGACTCTACGTGCGCTTCCTTGGACTGCAAACACTACTTGCGGATTCGATAAACCTGGTGCCTTCGTTTATCTTGCGGGCACGCCCGCAATCTGCGGGGATCGTGTAGTTGCCCTCTATTACTTCTCCGAGTACCACTCACCGGAGGGAGCGTCCACCATGTCCATGCTAGTGATAGACTGGAGGAAAGGACATCTAAAGAGAGTAAGTCCACTCTATTATTTAACAATCTGCCGCTCAGGATAAGCAGCATCCTTTATGTGAACGAGGCGGATTACAAGTAACGTTCCATCTGGTTGATGAACGGACGATGGTTACCGTCGGCTCGGAAGGTCGTATGACTGTGTACACATTGCAAGGACCTGATGGCGAACCTCAGCGCCAATTCGCGTATCTCCTTCCGAACATGAACCCCGGAATCCATGTTATTTATGCTACTCCATTGTTTCATGGTGTCGCAGCTCGCCCAGACCTGATGCCCAGCTACGTGCCCTCTCTGGAGTCACAAATTATGGTTTTAGAAGTTCTCACCAACTCATGGCCCGTGATCGTAGTCATCGATATGGTCATCTTCTCAGAAAAGGCCATACAATCAGCGACTTCTGTAGATATTCCGTGGTCGGACTGGGGACCCAAGTATACGTGTTGTTTTCCGCATCACCCAAGCCATCGAATCAGCGTTTTCGGTAGCAAAATGGCCTATGCTCTGCCCTCGAAATAGCACCCCTGAACCTGGAGAAAGAATGGGAGCGCTCTCTGACTCGGACTACTTCTACGTGCACATCTGGGACTTCAATGAGCGATTCATCGCTCGTTCGAAAGCCATCCGTGACCCCACCACATCAGACCTTGTCATTCGCAAGCCTGGTCGGCAAGCTCAGTCGTGCCTCGGTGAAGACATGATCCCGGATCATCCTTACATTGCTGCCGTCTGCCTGGAGCCGTTTGCGATGGATTGCTTTGACAGGTTTGTCTTGGACCAAGATCGGCTTACTTTAACGTGGGTAGGTGTTCGCTTTTTGCGGCTTGGAATACGGCGATGGTTTCACGTGGTCAACCTATAGTTTCCCTCTCACGCGGCTAATATTCGGGTCGTTTCCCCTGTATAGATGGAGGTTGACTCGGACCCATGAAGACATCAAGAGGAAGAGGAACAGTTGTGACCTTTTATGTTGCCAAAGAGTTATCAGACATATCCTGCGCTTCAATATTGTTGACCATTATCTAAGCTGTCGCTCTTCAGTGGGGTCGTCCAGATCTGCAGCTCCTATCATATCTCGATACTGGTGGAAGACACGATCGCCGAGTCACGGGCTTGTAAGAGGACAAGATCGAGCTGATCGGAGCCTCATGTAGCATCGTTTTCGTATCGAGCCATGTCCGATACCTGTGCGATACTTGTTCTGGCAGCGAGACCATTATCCATTATCGTCTATTTTGACAGTAAGGCAAGTGAAGCAGAGCGCCACAAAGATGCCAGAAGTTAGAATCGGAGCAAACATGGAACCACGGGAAAGTGCAGACTGTTGCGCAGCGAGAAAGGTCCCCGGGGGAAAGGAGGACTAAAATATGACATATCAAGCTCTATTAGAAACGGCAAGAACCCAATCGCAACCGCCATCGTCGTGCACTGGCCAGTTTCGAGAAAATTCAAACGCAAGTTGCACGCAAGTTGTATGTAGGTTTCAAACTCCGTTAGGTTTGGGGCATCCCTTAGAAATTCCTACTGCAAGAACATTTGTCAAATTATCGGTAGATGTCAGATGCAAGCTAGATAGTCCGCTGTTCATGCGCGCCGTAGTCTACAGCTGAAACGTTCATAGCGTAGTCCTTCGCTGAAGCGTCCGTGTAGTTAATAGTAACAGCGTCTATATCATAGTCCATCGCTAAAGCGTCCGTGTAGTTGATAACAATAGCGTCCATATCACAATCCAAAGTCAGGGAAAAAGAACATGATGGTGGGTTAAAGGGACCGGATGCGACAGGAATACTTTCTTGCGAGGTCTCATTAGCCGGTCGCAACAGCCTGGTGGCAAAGGTATTCATCGCGCAGTCGTTGGCGCGTGCGGAGAGGATGTGCGCAAGACGGAGTGTTGTAAAAATATGGAGGACAAGGGGGAGGGGGTGGGCTCCACACCCGACTGTGAGACAAACCCAAGTCGAAGTCAACAGTTCGGGTCTGACTGGTGACTATCTGCACCGGAAACTCTACTGGAGGTATGTTTGCTGCTTGAGTGTTCCGCACAGAAGATACTAAAGTAGCTGCATCTTGCATAGCCGTAAGCCTGATGGGATACGTTGGTTTGGGGCAGCAATGTATGACTGCCTAGGATCCGTCATGGGGTCTAGCTCGCACGTACGAGATGGTATTTGATATAACTTGGCTGCGTTGCGCTTCCGAGAGGGGCGGTATTTCGTGGTTTTTATGGGTGTCCAGGCGCATACCCTTCCCAACTTTAGGCAGCTCAAACACATTGGCTTCTCCCCGGAACACTGTACTCTGCTGTCAGAGAGGGTACGAAGATGATGATAATACTAACTCCTTACCTTCTTTTTCTGGTGGCGGCAGTAATCGCAGGCATGGACGACGCGAGTCCGAGTACGTTTTAATCGCACTGGCCCAGTCAACTCGCGAGTCCGAGTGGACGATTCCCCAGGAGAGATGGTCTGCTGAATTACGGACGATAAATCTCCAGCCGGTAAAGATGCGATACTATGATACGGCGCTGCCGCAGTAAGAAATTGTTCAAAAAGGAAAGTGGCCGTCAGGTTGTCGTGCCAAGGTACTTCGTCAAGAGAAGGATATATATTTATGGCCTGATCCAGAGGCACCGACATTGACAGCAATTCCAGTTCAGGCTGATTGAGGGAGCAGAACGCGGGGTAAGTCCTCGTTGACATGATGAACGAAGGCAAAATAGAAATGTGAGATAGGAGTCAAACCTGAAGCGGTGTACGTCCCAAGAGATTTAAACTGCACCACAGTGTGTGCGAGTGAAACTCATCTGACATATTCTTCCAGTGCCAATAACATCATATACTTCCTAGAAGGCCTTTCTAATATGTTAGTAAGTCGAGGCGATCATGATGGTGTGCACCAAGCTAGCTTTGCGCTTCTGATGTGAAACGTCCAAGTTTCCGATTCGGGCCGCTCACGTTAGATATCTTGACATGTTGACAATTGGACCGTGACCTTCGGTACAACTTGCAAAGCTTGTGAAATCGTTTAGGCCGACGGGCGCCTCTTCTAGATGATTGATCCGGTAAAACTAGCGACCTGCCACCAACACGTAGGTAACTGAAATCGGGACCTTGCTCGCGTCCGGTCAAATTGATTCTTGTACCGGTTCATCCATCTAACCACTTATCCTCCTCCTTGCTACTCTTGACATGGGCAAACAATTTCCTGCATCTGAGCTCAAGCGAGACGAGTCTCTCAGAGTTGTAGACAACCGCACTGGGAAGGAGTACACCGTCCCGTACGTCCTTACTTTCTCAGAGTGCGACACCTATTGACGCCATGCAGGATCACCCACAACTCAATTCCTGCAACGTTTTTCAAGGGCATTCGTGCTCCTGCTGGTCCAAATGACAGACCAGAAGACGAGACGGAACGTGGTTTACGTGTCGCTGATAAAGGTTTTCTCAACACGGCTGTGATAGAGAGTAGTATCACATATATTGACGGTGACAATGGGGTGTTGCGGTACAGGTACTTATTCTCCTCCTGCCACTATTACCACTCATCCACAAATTTCGTAGAGGCTACCCAATTGAACAACTCGCGGCCCGCTCCAGTTTCCTTGAGGTCTCTTACCTCCTCATATATGGGGCGCTCCCTGGCACGTCCCAATTGTCCCACTTCACCAGCGAGATCCTCCTGCATGGGCCGATACATTCCGACGCAGAAGGATTCTTCCGCGCTTTTAGGTACGATGCTCACCCCATGTCAATGCTTACAAGTGCATTTGCGTACCTGGGAAGCTACTATGGGGAAGCAAATCCCAGTTTGCAGGGTGAGTTGGCAGGCCTGAAGTATCGTCTCTTCCTCTCAACTTTTCGTAGGGCAAGATTTGTTCACCAAAGCTGCCAAGGGCGATGCTGTTGCACTCCAGAATATGGACAGGCAAATATTCAGGCTGATCGGCAAGGCTACCACATTGGCTGCGTGCGTACTCGTACTCGCTGTTGCCAACTTGTTCGCTAACTAATTTGACTGTAATGGTACGTGTAGCATGGCATACCGTATCCGCCAGGGCCGTGATTTCGTCGTGCCCCCGACAGGAATGAGCTATACAGAGTCGTAGGTCACCATTTTAACCACTGCACCATTATATCTCAAATTCTTCCTATGCTAGGTTCCTCTACCAGCTCGACCATCTCTCACCCACAGATCAACTATCAGAGCCTCACTCGTACAAGCCACATCCTGTTCTCGCAAAGGCACTCGACATCCTCTTTATCCTCCATGCCGACCACGAGATGAACGCGAGTTCTACCACCGTTCTTCAGACTGGATCGTCGTTACCTGATCCGTTCAGCGCCGTTGCGGCAGGCTGTGCATCACTGTAGTAAGTGTTATTCAGCGTCCTACCGTCTCTAGCTCCCGAGTATGATACTATCATTACGGGTGATGAGTCGAGCTCAACACATGCGTACATGCCGGATGGAGTTGTCCTTGGTGCATTGTTATATTCATTCGTGAACTTTCCCTTCACGTTGGTGCTGACGAACTTAACTCTCAGCGGTCCACTCCACGGAGGTGCGAATGAAGCTGTTATTCGGATGCTTGTTTCCATCGGCAGGTTTGTTTTTTTATAGCAACTATATGCACCGTCTTCTCACATCTTTTTTAAAAGTCCCAAGAACGTTCCTGCCTTTTTAGAGGCAGTAAAGAAGCGCCAAAAGGTGCTGAGTGGATTCGGCCACAGAGTATACAAGACCGTGCGTGTTCATCCTACCACCGTTTCCTGTCCTGATGATTGTTGGCAATCCGTAGTCTGATCCGCGGTCATTCATCATTCGCCAGGTGGCTGATGAGGTGTTTGCTGTGTGAGTGCCCATAGTTGTGGTGTGGTTGTGGGATTGATCCTGGTGTTAAGGACGGGCCGCGATCCATTGCTTGATACTGCGATGGCTCTTGCACGACGCAGCACTGAAGGATGAGTACTTCGTATCAAGGAAGTTAGCACCGAACGTTGATTTCTGGAGGTAAATGTTCCCTTCATCCAATCATCGACATCAACTGACAAATCCCATTTATCAGTGGACTGATCTACCGTGCGATGGGTGAGAGCCAATATTGTACTGAAAATGGAAAAACTGTAACACAGGAATGATAGGCTTCCCCATGGATTTCTTCCCAGTCTTGTTCGTCGTGCCCAGAGTCGTGGGCTGGATCGCACATTGGCGACAGGTACAGCCACCATTCTTCTCTTTCCATTTTATCCAATCACTGATCGTCGCTCAGATGATGCTTTCTCCATCGGGAGTCAAGATCTGGCGCCCTCGTCAAGTTTACGTCGGTTCGTCCACACGTGACTACGTGCCTCTGGAGGAGCGCACAGGTGCTGTTCAAGTTGGCGTTGGTATGGAGCCGAGCGTGATTGAGCATTCGGGGTATGTATATTCTTTGATGGATGTGAAAAGATACTGACTTTACTGGGACAGGATGACGAAGAGGCGGAAGTTGGCGGAGGCTAGTGGTAAGGTCAGAAGTAAGCTTTGAGGGTGAGGGTGTAAGATTATTCATATACCGTTAATGCCACCGATGTCGCCTGAATGTCGACCGTCTCCGCAAAGATTTTGGAATGTGTCCCGTGCGCGTAGACCCAAGGAGGCGGTCTTCGACTCTTCGCTGTCGATGGTTTCTTGTCTCAGGTTTAGGAACATGATCTTGTTGGGTGGACAATGTGTCACGGGTTCTTCCTCCGCGGGACCCTGCCGTCATGAAGTGGCACCGCATTTTCAATGATAGTCAAACTGGCTTCGAACCCGCCATTGATAGACAGTCTGAATCACAGACTTGATTCTTCAAGACCACGCTAAGCTGTCTCTCCACTTCAGTGGGAGATCCAAGATTCTCGAAACGGAGTGACAGTAAGAATTGAACTGAATGAAGTCGATCAGAACCTATGACACTAGGTAACTAGATGGAATACATCATCTACACAAACTTGATGGCTACCCCTCAGGCCTCAGGTACCTTACTGCAGCGTATCCAGCAGCCTGTGTCAGATTGGAACACAGGTATAGAGCCTCTCCGCATTGACTCTTATCATCATGGCATGTGACTGGGCAGGTTGGACAATAATCTGCCTTCACGACGGCGACAGCGGCAACAACGGCGAGGTAGGCGGACTGAATATTCATGGTATCTAGTATATGCGTCAGTGATGAGCAAACTACTACCCGCAATCAAAATTTTGATTGTTTGGTGTACGCGGTGGTGCTATAGCACGTCCAGGAAGAGCTAAATGTGAAATGGATACAATGTTCAAATTTTCTTTGTTTTTTTTTAAGTCTCAGGATTACTGACTGTGAATGAGGTGATTGTCTTTGAGGATTTTGGGACTTGACCATGTTCAATTTATATATATCTGAAGTTCCCGCGTATGACAGTCACCCAAATGAATAATTGTTGGATACCGAGTGTTGAGGGGCCAGGAGAGGCCAGCAGGTGAAAGGGCAGCGTCCGGGATCTGATATTAGGACTTAATTATGAATGGATACCTGTGGTACTTAGGCTCTAGTGTTGTGGGCAGAAGTGCCGAGTTCTGCCAACCGTTTGGGCAGAACCAGATCTACCTGGCAGATCTGCGGCAGAACTTCGCGTCATGAGTGTGGCAGAACCTGGCCACACTCCAGGCTTGGCAAAGCAGCAAGAAGTTCTTACTTCAATTATGATTGGGATTTAGAAGACTGTACCTTGTTACTGTCAATGGATCGATTTTGATGGATTGGAATGGGTATTATACCCCAAGCGGCCAAGCCATCATCGTGATGGCGAGGATGACGGATGGGATGACATCTTGTCTTGAGGACTGTCGTAGATGATGCTCCCGGTTGTGCCTAGTTTCCAGTATCCGACCTAATACACACATATGACAGTCGATATCTCATGTTGTAAGGGTTGTTCCGGCAGAACTGGCCTCTCTAAGCCGACCAGATAGAAAGAAGACAGTCGTGTGCGGTGCTAATCTGTTAGTCTCCCCTAGCCAGACCATCGATAAGAAGGAAGTCAGTCGTTCCTTCCTAATCGTACAACTGGAGGGAACCGAGCTGTGCACGTACGCTGTAGTGTTCCGTGGATAACCGTCTGAAGGGTTATTCACCCGGTATCCACCGGCAGCAAAGCCGGCTCGGCGGATCCGGGCGCTGCTAAATTTCTAGTGTTGTTGGCAGAACTCTGCCAATTGCCGGGACACTCGTCCGAAGCCTCAAGCACATCCACAGGCAACTCGGGATAAACTGTGTTGCGAAATTGTTGTTAAGACTGGATTGCACAAAGATAATCTACGAGGATCTACTTCTCTAGATTAATATTATTGTTCTTCTACACCAGTTGCAGATTCCCGCTTGTATGGTATGCACTGACGCAAAGTTATAAGTATCGAGACACAGAAAACCGTATGGGGTGGAGTGTAAACAAGTAAAGCAAATCATGGCAAACGCTTGCTGAGGCGAATCCAGCTTTTTGTACTGGTAAATCTGTGTAGAAAATCGTCCATGTCTGACTCCGATTCCTCGGCGTCGGTCTGCTTGTCATCGATATCTGATTCTGATTCATCGGCGGCTGCCTGTGATATTTGGAGTTGAAACTCGAGGGCTTGTCGACGGTCGGCGTCCAGTTTAAGCACCTGAACACATTCTGCAACCAATGTCCACATACGTGGTTCTATATCTGAGGGTCGGTAGCGCAGGAAATGATTCTGAAACCATAACTTCTTCTCGGCGCATGCCGCGGGGCCTGCAGTCGCCCAAGCATCGAAAGGGCGAGTCTGCGGGGGTAAGAGGACTCCCTGCCTGTAACGCAAGCAAACCCAGACGAGAACCCAGACGAACGACTCCAGATCGTGACGATATAAGTGTTCGACTTCGCCTCGTTGACCCTCTGGGGAGAGAAGATCCAGCGCCATGAACGGCACGGTCCCCGTGCGCTCGTTGCCCTGAGGACCCTGCCTAGTTGCCAACGATGACAGATCAAAGTCGTTTAAAACGCCTATCAGGACGCCCTTGTCGGTCTTGTAAAACATCATGTTGGGAGGGCTGACGTCTCGGTGATGGACTCCTCCCTTCCAGAGAGCGACGTGGCCTGTGCATTATATTAATGGAGATCCACATAGATGAAATGAACGACATACATAAGATGCATTGACGCCACACGTTGAAAAGCTCTTCGCCTTCGAGCGCCGTGATGGGCAGGAGCTTGCGGAATACGAGGATGTAGAGTACGCGACTGCCCTTCTCCGCTTCTGGAACTCCCAGTGCCTTCCGGACTGCGGATGTGGGATTCTCGAACTTGTGAGACCAAAGCAGCTGGGGAACATGGCCTTTCACGGCCTCTTCCTTCTCTGCGATCTCGGCAACCTTTTTTAAGATCTCCGGTTCGCTATCTCTTTGCTCCTCTGCCCAGAAGATTTTCGCCACCATCCCATCTTTCTTGACCCCTGCGTCGTTTGCGTACTTCTTGGCGAGAAATTCACTGGTGACGGGGAACACATTGGTGGCTCGTCCTTTCAGTCCGTAGTGAGTTACTCGTTCTTCAGAGCTGGTGTGCAGCTCAAGATCCACGCCGTCGATGTCGAGTTTGAGGTAACCTTCCTTCTGGGCTTTTTTGAAGTGCTCGTTTCGACCCCAATCCTTAGCCTTGAATCGTTGCAGCGCATATAACAGCACCATGAATCGTGGGAGATCTGCAATGAAGTCGATGCCCGAGCATTGAATCGTGCCCTGCCGATCGTAATACCAGACCCAGACAATGTTATCTGCGAAAGCCATGGTAAGAGTGGGATCGTTGGACGAATGACAGAAAAACAGACCGATGACAATAAGATTCAGGACATGCTTGACTCCAACGTTGGCAGCGAACATTTCCGCGGCGTAGAGTCCTGTCTGGACAGTCACAGGTGAGCTTGGAATCCTTGTCCGTGTCCGTGCCCTTGACCTTGACCCGCTTGCTGGAGGATTGCAGAGGTTCTTCTGCCTTGCGCTTGGAACTGGAGTTGCTGGCAGCGATACGGGCCGAACGGCGCTCGGCTGGATTCATTTAGTTTCATCTCTCGAACTAGAATTAATTACTTACCTGGACGGTCGGGCACAGGTCTTTTTGGTTGGGTCTGCGATGGGCCTGACGCGGCAGTCGCGGAACCGTCAGTTGCAGCAGTGGTCGAGCCCACTTCCAAATGTTCTGGTTTGGGAGCGACATAGTTTGTCACTGCGTATGAACCGGGCGGAGGATCAAGCTCTTTCCCTGTCTTGGCCTTCCTCTTGAACTCGATCGAGGCTAGGACATCTTTCCAAGAGATATTGTTTTCCGGCATCATCGTTGCAAACTTGGTCATGAGCTCGGGCTCTCCCATGTTCCAACCCGGGAAGGCATCGCGTGAGGTTTGCAAAGGAACGATGACCACGTCGGGCTTTCGTTTCGGTTCCTGCTTCTGGTTGCCTTGCTTCACACCCTTGTCAGCATGCTGCTGACAGATAATGTCCAGGCCTGAAGCAGCAGGCATTCCGTCGACCTTGATAATATCAAGACAAGCTAGCGCGATGTTGGTGGCTCGAATGAAAGGGTCGTAGTAGTCCTTTTTCGCCTTCTGACGATGCACTGACAATCGTTATAAGGGTGATGACACCCATTAGCGAAAGAGTACCTACTATGTCTCAAGAGCCTTTTTGACGCAAGAAGAGAGTAATTGTCATCGGGGATTTAGGCGGTGCGGTCCCATTGCAAACATGTAGAACGGCCTCGAGACACCTTGGCAGGAGCGCGGGCTGTTCAGTCTCGGGATCGAGAGAAGCGCGCTGCAGGAAAACTTGCAGCATCGTATCGGCTTCACACGTCTTAGCCTGCTCGATGTCCCGCTTAATCCATGGCCAGAGGTCCCCAACCCTGAATGAACATTAGGTCCAACTCGAACTACAACACGAAATAAGCTCACTGAACACCGACGAGGTCGATGTTTTCACTGATAGTAGCAGCCCCGCGGCTGTTTGGGGTAGATTTCAATGAGCTAGTAGCCTGAGCTAGTGCCTTTGGGCGTGCTGGAGTAGACGATGACCCTGGGTTGCCCCATTGTGCGTCGCCGGGCGACATGACAAGTACTTGGTGACGTTCGCACAGGTAGTGAAGTGGGGAAAGTGGAAAACGTTAAGAAATAACCACATGTGCAGATTCTGCTTGCCTTATATCTGGTCGGCCAATGTGGCGTGACGAACCATTGATCAGTGGACTTTTGATGTGGCGTAATCAAGGGCACAATGGAAGTTGCAAATGCAAGTAGTCCGACGCGTCAAGTGTGGCACGTGACGCTTCCTTTTGACAGACTTCTGATGGTTTCACTGACTTGTGGACGTTAGATTGATAGAAGCATATGTACCAGTATGCGAAAGGAGCTAAGTCATCCACCCCATAATTTTTCTTCCGTACGCAATCATGCCAACCTACTAAATCGCGCACATTCGAAAAGCACAAGGCACGACTCGGCCACGTTTGTCCTTGACTCCGACTCCTTCTACAATGCACAGACTATTTCGCAATTTCTGGTGCGCTCTGTAAAGATTTCGTTGAATCACAAGCAGATCTATTACTGTATACTCTACCAGCCCCTACAACCCCTACATGGTCCAGTCTGCCTCAGTCAAGACCCTCTCTTGCAGCAAGGTGCTTGCTGGCAGAAGAGTTATGGTGTTCCTTACAGGGTGCCAAATCCTTGTTGGTGATTCACCTGCTGCCGACTGCGGAGTGGTGAGTTGACCCAAGTGAACGTCGAGCCAGTCCGCTCGTCAGCCATCGAAATAGGTACAAGCGAGAAAATCCGAACAGCGAGTTTCTAGTCAGTTGATGATCAGCTTCGAGACAATGCAATTGTGGGTCTGACATACCACAAGTGGCTGGGCATCACCAGTTCGGTCTTTGTCCAGATATTTACCGATTGTTGTCCGTCTCCAATCCGTCCCTGACTTTTCTGATAGCTTGCCAACAGAATGTGACTGTCTTAAGAGACATTGGATGAGACACTGTCGAGGCTCATCGAGAACTTGGCCACTATGAAACCAGCCGGTACTTACAATTTGAAGAACAGAAAGTCGGACCGGCTGCCTTTCTCACATGTGCCCTCTCATTCCCATTTTACCCTAGGGGTCGCGTTATATGTTCCCCAAATATCAATTGCAAATCATGATGTAACTGCCTGTGAAACTTTGATGTATTGAGTGTTGTATTCTACACTTACCATTTATGATATGATAGCCCGATCACAGGTGCAACGTGCGCATGATGCTGTGGACGAGGAAGACAAGGGAAATTTAGCATTGAGAGGTGTACTTTGATGGAAATGTTCAAGTCGGTGGCTGCAGCCTCCGTGGGACAGGTGAGTTATCTGTTTGTCTCGTTTGGAACTCCCCGATTTTTCATGTTTGACTTTTCTGTTGTGCAGACAGAACGCGACTTTGTCAATTGAGTGACCTCGGAAGAGTTTTTCCGCGCCCCACGGCCAGGCCAGCGAGGCATTAATGAGACGGCAGACATTTTCCCTGGTTGCATCATATCTTGGCCTATGTTGGATGGATAATTTCACTGATGGAATTCCTTAACTGATGCAAGTGTAGCAAGAACATTTCAAGAATAGCATCGGAAACAAGTTGCCGAAATCACGAACAATTTTTCGATCTTTTGCGGTGTTAAAACATTGCACACATTTGACTGCTTTGCAGTGTCACGACCAATTGGCAACACTTCGATATATAGACCCTGGATCGACTTTCCCTTTCTACTTGGCATCTTGCGAAACTACTTGCTTTGGTCAATCGAGGCAGGAATGGATATCAGCCCTATAATGCTCATTTCGGACATAAAAGCGCTGGATGGTGGTATATAGCACGAACACCATTGTCTTACGTTCATCAAGTTATCAACTCCCTCACGCCCATACTCGAATACTATGACCCTAGTCTCAGATGATCCCAGTTGGTGGCCGGTCATTAATGGGAATCTTCTTACTAGCTATATCGTTGGTTCGTGGAGAGCCAGTCAGATGATGATGTCTCGATCTAACCTTAGCTACGGGTCCGCAGTTTCCGCCTCTGTTGGGGTGATGTATGATTGGGGTGAGCAAGATAGTATCAAAGAGCAGCTGATGTCCTCATGGTATGTCCAGCGCTAACATTTGGACAAGAGGTAGATCGATGTCATTACCGGAGCAGCCATCTCGCTAACAATGGTTTTATAGGTTGAACTCGTCTGGGTGAGCAGAGTCCCACGTCAGAAGAACAACTGACAATACAATCAATTCGCGACAGAGGCAACGCTGGTCCCTGATGACCGTTCTGTATCTTAGCGTGTGTAGCTTGTGCTATAACTGTGGTTGGCAGGCCGAGCTGACTTGAAAATATCCTAGGTGCGCTATGGTGGAATAATATATGCTGCGTAGGTTTGGAGAGCTGAGCAGTTGATATCGTGCTAATCAGCCATTTCTCATAATCAGCCTCAGGATACTGGGTATGTCTCCTCACACACTATGTTTGTTTCTTCTGAGCGGCAGCATACAGCAAACGTTCCAACAATCTCAGTGACAGATGCAGTGAGTATTTTGAATTGATACCCGTCATTCTTGTCCAATCAAATGTGCTCCCATGTAGGGGTGAGTGAGAACATTGGCCACTTGTTGGTTCAATATAACGACAGTTACAGCTGTGAGTCTGTTTGAAATGCGTGATTCTCCGAGGCTGATCACTAATTGGATTCACCAGGCTACGTTATGTTTGTCGTAGCGAATTCGATGGCTGCAGCCGTGGATGCAATGCTGTGCGGTGAGCTACATGCGCAACACTTCAATGCTATTGAATTGACTAAAAGATTACGCTAAGTCATCATGATCACTCGCTTATACGCCATGTATCAGCAATCCAGAAAGGTGCTGATATTTCTCGTCGTCATCTTCCTGGCTTTAACCATCGCCGCTATTGCGTTGGGCACAATACCAATGACGGATGGTTCAGGGGGTAAGCTCTAATTATGGGCGCAAGACCTATGCGCACCAGGCTCATTGACGAATCCCAGAGGAACTCATTCTCTCCGGCACCTATTGGTGCAATGTTCAGCTTGTGGGAAATTCCAACATTCTAGAATGCATAGGTTGGATGCTGGTCGTTGTGTGGGAGGTTCTCGCAGTGTGTCTCGCAGTCTGGATTGCTGTAAAACACTTCCGTGAACTGCGACGATACTCGGCAGCAGGGATTATCGAGGACTTTTTGGCAATGTTATTGAAAACCCACGTGGTTTACTTTGCGAGGTGAGCTTATAATGTGAATGTGGTTCTCTGTGTCCGCTGAATCTATACATGTGTTAGCTGTCTCGTTGTTTCTTGCATCTCGATCGGACATTTGAGTTCAACGATCTCAAAGGTACGCCGATTAGTCGCTGACCTCTGCATGCGAGTACGGTTCATCGTTCCTACAGAACGGAAATTCCCTAGGGGCTCACGTTTATGGTGCCTTTGATCAAATGTTCTTGGTCCTGCAGATGTGTGTGCTGGGACCCGCGCTTGATTCTTAGCGTTCGAGAATATCATGCTAAGCTCGTGGCCGACTCCGATGCAGCAACTGGCATGACTTCAATTGCTTTCCAGGAGCGCGTGCATGTGTCGACTAGCAGCAGTGTGTAGCACGGGAGATGCTTGATCTGATTAACACTCGTCGGGAGTGGGGGAATTTTTTGTTTTGTTCCAAGTTTCATCGTGGTATTTATATCAGTTATTTGGTGCTCCGAAGTAGATTCGAAGGAGGAATAGGTCTCATACATATCTTATTGCATCACTACTTGCACTAGCTGGCCACCCACACTTACTTCAGGCGGCGGAAAGCTAGAATCATGGAGAAAGTCCAACTAAGTCCCGTGTTCGGAGTCGATACCCGAAGGGGTAGAATTCAAGTGACATTCATTGAAGTTTATCAAGTCTAGCTTTGAAAATTCAGAGCTAGATAGCGCAGAGTGTAGTTTCCTGTGTGATCAGGTCGTAGGCTACGACTGACTTACCGACATCACCCTGTAATGATAGGCGCTATCACATTGCCGATTTACTCCTCATATTTCCTCCATTCACACTGCAAGTGCCGTCGTTTAACGAGCAGCGAGGTAGTAGCAATTTTCCTGTGCTCGTCTTCCGTTCACATCCCTGTTCCCCTTCAGTAGGTAGGACTCAGATGGTATATTAAACTAGTACTCCCACATATCTGTTTAGAGCTGTGCGAGTAGTACTACAGGAGCGGGGATGGTCAGGTATGATGGATGCACACAGGACGTTTGAGGAATGAGAAACTGAAAGATGGGAAGGGCGCTGCTGGGAAACCTCAGAAGGGAAGAAAGAGGGGGACAAGAGGGGATATAAAGACGATACTATGAGTGACGCAGGACTGACTCTCGCCGAGTGATAATGACAAAGCGGCAATTGGGATGCATGTTGCCTAGCATGTCCGTCTGGAGAGATAATGAACAACCAAGGGACTTGAGATTATCAGAAGCGTTGTCGAAGCGACCCTCGGGTACGACATTCCAGAGCAAGTGGTCGGATTGAAACATCTCACCAGCGCTCACCATTCATATTCCTCACATGACCAATAAAACCAAAAGCGCCCATGGCTCATGCATTTCTTCCCAGGTCTGCTCACGACGTCAGCATCAGTGCAGGAAAATGGTCCCCTGAATGACAAAAGACACGCACTCTCCATGATATTTCTCTTCGATTGCAGAGAGCTGTCCGAATCACTCTGTCATACCGAGTAGTCCAAAACCAGCGATTGGTGGAGTTGAACCTAGTGGAACGATCAAACAAGCCCTTAAGACTACTGAAATTCTCTGCGCTACTTCCTCTAGAATTATCCGCGGACTCGTCTGCACGTCAGGTACAACCGCCAAGCATGCTAAGATTCCACGTCACTCTCATGATCTCACCCACGAAAGAAAGTTACAACGCCTCCATCCACGACTACCACATTTACCATAGCCATCAACACCATACAATCAGGTGTTAAATTCAGCATGCCAGAACTGGCAGCTACGAACACAGAGCTATAAATGATCTCCGAGAAGGTACGGTCGTAGGAAAGGTGCTCATTGCAAAGCTGCCCACATACGAACCGTTGGTCACGCAGGCGGAACGCATACATGATTCCTCGTGCAAGAACGATACACAGTGAGATTGCCGAGTGTGGATGATTGAAGCGTTAGCTGCCCTGCGAGTCAATGAGGGCGTGACTTCAGCACGATTCCTGAGGGGATGGAGAGCACGCGTCTGCCCTTGGCCGGTTCTGGAATACAAAGTGCTGTTCGAACTGCGGACGCGGGATTCTTGAACTTGTGGTGCCATGAAGCAGCTGAGGAACTTCGAACATAGCTGTTCACAGTCATGGTTCTCCCCAGTCCCCCACCAATACTCATTGAATCCAGAGAGTAAAAGCTCACGACATGAAATATGTCTCTTGTAGCTCGGTATTCGCTAACACTTGCCTCAGACGTATCAAGAGCCTTCGAACTAGCCTCGTGCATAACGCGTCTACCGTGAAGTCAAGTTGAAGTTGAGCACAAGGAATTTCCTTTCTTTGTCACGGGCTTTGCCGGCCTCCATAGTAGTACCTGACTTTTCGCAAACTTGGTGTGGAGTGACGAGTCAGAGTCAAAGACATGGCCGCCATATCCTCATTTCGCCAGAAACTGTGGCCACGCCATTGCTTGGCTTCGGCGCGTGAACTCGTGCGCAGCATCCTTGTCTCGTCGACAACGCCATTGTCGACCAGGACATCTACAATTTGGCCGTGAAGCAGACAGGGATCCAACCCGTCTCAGACGAGTCGCCACAATACAACGTGCCGAAAAAAGAGCATCCAACTATCGTGCGTGGATGTATGAGGCAGCCCTCTACGCGGCCGCCCCATCCAGAGCATTCCGTACGGTCTCTACAGTGAGTTGACACCGATATGGGTCTCAGTCAAAGCACTCAGTTTCATAACGCAGATATCTGAAGACAGTGGTTCTCCCGGACTTGGTAATTCGAAGCAGGTTGAGAAGTTCTGCACCAAGCGAACGCTCGCAAGCCGAAATTGAACACCGACTCTAGACGGTGACCAAAGCTGCTCGGAAGGAATAGGCTGTATTACTCACCGCACCACTGAAACACTTGGTTGTGGAGAACGACGACACCCACTCCACCACCTAAGCCTTCGCCCGCGCCTACTCTCTCGAAGTCAGAATTACTAGGACTGCCTCGGCTGACGGCAGCCGACGTTGGTGTTGGGGAAGATTGGAGCCACTTGAACAAGCGCAGGCAACGCGCGAGGAAGGAAAAGGTTGAGCGTGATCTAAAGTGGATGTGGACGTTGCAGGCTGCGAAGAGAGAAGCTGCACGGGAAGCATTAGCGGCTCAGCGCACCAACTTCATAGTCCAATTTTTTCCATAACATGCTGAAGAGCAATTTATCACCGTCATCAGTACTGCACGCCGACGCCTTTTTTGAAGCAGCATAAGGTGTTCATCATGATTTTGACCAATTGGTGGATGGCTAAAATGCGTGCAAAGTTCGCGTTAGATAGTTTACGTTCTCATATGGCCTATCCAGCACCGCTCACCCACAGGCAAAACCCGTTGGTGAAATTGATGCAAAATCAGAGACTGGACAGCGCGAATATAATCTACGATGATTTACTTCTCCAGATCACCCTTCTACGCCAGTTGCAGCCGTTTGTATGGTATACGCTGACGCAAAAAAGTTATACAAGTATCCGAACATAGAAGATCGTATGTGATGCAGTCTAATAAACAAGCAAAGAAGATCACGGCAAACGCTTGCTGAGGCGAATCCAGCCCTTGGTACTTGTAAATTTGCGTAGAAAGTCATCGATAGCTAATTCTGGTTCCTCGGCGTGTGGCTGCTCATCATCAATATCTGACGCTGATTCTTCGGCGTCTGTCTCCTCGCGTGCTCGCGCCATCGATTCCCGTTCAACAATGAGATCGAATCGACGTTCGGCATCTTTTTTCAACACCACCAGACAGTCCGAAACGAGACCCCACATACGTGGTTCTATATCTGAGGGTCGGTAGCGCAGGAAATGATTCTGAAACCATAACTTCTTCTCGCCGCATGCCGCGGGGCCTGCAGTCGCCCAAGCATCGAAAGGGCGAGTCTGCGGGGGTAAGAGGACTCCCTGCCTGTAACGCAAGCAAACCCAGACGAGAACCCAGACGAACGACTCCAGATCGTGACGATATAAGTGTTCGACTTCGCCTCGTTGACCCTCTGGGGTGAGAAGATCGAGCGCCATGAACGGCACCGTGCCCGTGCGCTCGTTGCCCTGAGGACCCTGCCTAGTTGCCAACGATGACAGATCAAAGTCGTTTAAGACACCTATCAGGACGCCCTTGTCGGTCTTGTAAAACATCATGTTGGGAGGGCTGACGTCTCGGTGATGGACTCCTCCCTTCCAGAGAGCGACGTGGCCTGTGCATTATATTAATGGAGATCCACATAGATGAAACGAACGACATACATAAGATGCATTGACGCCACACGTTGAAAAGCTCTTCGCCTTCGAGCGCCGTGATGGGTAGGAGCTTGCGGAATACGAGGATGTAGAGCACGCGACTGCCCTTCTCCGCTTCTGGAACTCCCAGTGCCTTCCGGACTGCGGATGTGGGATTCTCGAACTTGTGAGACCAAAGCAGCTGGGGAACATGGCCTTTCACGGCCTCTTCCTTCTCTGCGATCTCGGCAACCTTTTTTAAGATCTCCGGTTCGCTATCTCTTTGCTCCTCTGCCCAGAAGATTTTCGCCACCATCCCATCTTTCTTGACCCCTGCGTCGTTTGCGTACTTCTTGGCGAGAAATTCACTGGTGACGGGGAACACATTGGTGGCTCGTCCTTTCAGTCCGTAGTGAGTTACTCGTTCTTCGGAGCTGGTGTGCAGCTCAAGATCCACGCCGTCGATGTCGAGTTTGAGGTAACCTTCCTTCTGGGCATTTTTTGAAGTGCTCGTTTCGACCCCAATCCTTAGCCTTGAATCGTTGCAGCGCATATAACAGCACCATGAATCGTGGGAGATCTGCAATGAAGTCGATGCCCGAGCATTGAATCGTGCCCTGCCGATCGTAATACCAGACCCAGACAATGTTATCTGCGAAAGCCATGGTAAGAGTGGGATCGTTGGACCAATGACAGAAAAACAGACCGATGACAATAAGATTCAGCACATGCTTGACTCCAACGTTGGCAGCGAACATTTCCGCGGCGTAGAGTCCTGTCTGGACAGTCACAGGTAGCTTGGAATCCTTGTCCGTGTCCGTGCCCTTGACCTTGACCCGCTTGCTGGAGGATTGCAGAGGTTCTTCTGCCTTGCGCTTGGAACTGGAGTTGCTCGGCAGCGATACGGGCCGAACGGCGCTCGGCTGGATTCATTTAGTTTCATCTCTCGAACTAGAATTAGTTACTTACCTGGACGGTCGGGCACAGGTCTTTTTGGTTGGGTCTGCGATGGGCCTGACGCGGCAGTCGCGGAACCGTCAGTTGCAGCAGTGGTCGAGCCCACTTCCAAATGTTCTGGTTTGGGAGCGACATAGTTTGTCACTGCGTATGAACCGGGCGGAGGATCAAGCTCTTTCCCTGTCTTGGCCTTCCTCTTGAACTCGATCGAGGCTAGGACATCTTTCCAAGAGATATTGTTTTCCGGCATCATCGTTGCAAACTTGGTCATGAGCTCGGGCTCTCCCATGTTCCAACCCGGGAAGGCATCGCGTGAGGTTTGCAAAGGAACGATGACCACGTCGGGCTTTCGTTTCGGTTCCTGCTTCTGGTTGCCTTGCTTCACACCCTTGTCAGCATGCTGCTGACAGATAATGTCCAGGCCTGAAGCAACAGGCATTCCGTCGACCTTGATAATATCAAGACAAGCTAGCGCGATGTTGGTGGCTCGAATGAAAGGGTCGTAGTAGTCTTTTTCGCCTTCTGACGATGCACTGACAATCGTTATAAGGGTGATGACACCCATTAGCGAAAGAGTACCTACTATGTCTCAAGAGCCTTTTTGACGCAAGAAGAGAGTAATTTGTCATCGGGGATTTTAGGCGGTGCGGTCCCATTGCAAACATGTAGAACGGCCTCGAGACACCTTGGCAGGAGCGCGGGCTGTTCAGTCTCGGGATCGAGAGAAGCGCGCTGCAGGAAAACTTGCAGCATCGTATCGGCTTCACACGTCTTAGCCTGCTCGATGTCGCGCTTAATCCATGGCCAGAGGTCCCCAACCCTGAATGTACATTAGGTCCAACTCGAATACAACACGAAATAAGCTCACTGAACACCGACGAGGTCGATGTTTTCACTGATAGTAGCAGCCCCGCGGCTGTTTGGGGTAGATTTTAATGAGCTAGTAGCCTGAGCTAGTGCCTTTGGGCGTGCTGGAGTAGACGACGAGCCTGGGTTGCCCCGTTGTGCGTCGCCGGGCAACATGACAAGTACTTGGTGACGTTCGCACAGGTAGTGAAGTGGGGAAAGTGGAAAACGTTAAGAAATAACCACATGTGCAGATTCTGCTTGCCTTATATCTGGTCGGCCAATGTGGCGTGACGAACCATTGATCAGTGGACTTTTGATGTGGCGTAATCAAGGGCACAATGGAAGTTGCAAATGCAAGTAGTCCGACGCGTCAAGTGTGGCACGTGACGCTTCCTTTTTGACAGACTTCTGATGGTTTCACTGACTTGTGGACGTTAGATTGATAGAAGCATATGTACCAGTATGCGAAAGGAGCTAAGTCATCCACCCCATAATTTTTCTTCCGTACACAATCATGCCAACCTACTAAATCGCGCACACTCGAAAAACACAAGGCACGACTCGGCCACGTTTCTCTATTCTTTTGTCCTTCTACAATACACAGTCCATGGGGAACAACATCGTGAGCATTATGGAAAATGTTAACTGCGAGGGAAATGCGGACACATAGTCTTGAAGAACGTCGAGAATGAGGCCGAAGGGTGAGTAATCATTACTCTGTCGTGTAACGTGGTATATAATGTTCGTTGTTGAGACTGGCGCAGCCCCAAGTAGGATACACGACGTAGGCACTATGTACAATATCGAAAGCCAGCGAGACATTACTAATGAGGAAGGTCAGCCAGATGTGTTTATGGGAAGTGCTGTAACTTACCAGGAAATAATCCGGAACACGCCGTGAAACCAGCGGCTCCCCCGCTCGGGGGGCGGGGTCAAATTGTAGGCTGGAGGCAGGATTCAGGACGGATAATAAACAGAACCACGTGAAAAAAAAACACGCACAAGCTGTATGATAATTTTTCGTCTATCTCCATGATCGCAGCCTGGTTACCGCATCTGTAACAGTAATTCGGCGCGCTGAAGATCGTCACGACATTCCGATCTTGACCCCAACTATAACCTAAGCACCATTCACGTGTGAGGCACACAAGAGGCGTCGTGACGAACATATACGTACCCTCCATGACGAGCTGATGTGCTCGTGCGACAAGGGTCAACCCATTATTATGGTTGAAAGCTTCGGATATATCTTGTCCGAAGGTGTACCCTGCCCCGCGGGGTGAAATGCCCCAACCACAGCGGTCGTCGGGATCAGACCACAGAAGGTCGCACATGGGACCTTCATGAGGAACTTCTTGCACACGGTCAATGGAGCGGACATGATCTAACGTGTCGATGGAAGGTGAGAGACCGCCGTGCAAGCAGAATATCTTCAATTCACGAGGTTAGAGATCAGAAATGGCAGCATGATTATTCCGCTGAGGGGAACAAGAGACTCACTTGATTATCGATCAAGGCAGTGAGGGGTAGGAAGTCAAACAAATCGGTGAAGAACCGCCACACGTTAGCGTTTCCATATTTCCGCAAGCACTCGTCATAGAAGCCGTACACCTGCGTGATTTGTCGTGACTCATGGTTTCCCCGTAGAATCGTAACTCGGTCGCGATACCGCAACTTGAGCGCCACAAGTAAAGTGACAGTTTCGACAGAATAGTACCCTCGATCCACATAATCGCCCATGAAGAGGTAGTTGGTGTCTGGCGAGTTTCCGCCGATGCGAAACAGCTCTGAGAGATCATGCTGCGCGCCGAGGAAACGAGGCACGAGAAGCACGATATGCGCACGAGACAAGATCAGCGGTCCAGATTACAGAAATAAATCATAACGCACAAATTGACCATGGATGTCGCCGCACACAGTGACGGGGCATCGCACGGGCTGTACGTTGGACTCCTCCATGAGTATCTCTCTCGTCTGTTGTGACCGCAGTGAGATCGAGCCCAGGTGGCGTATTTATCGGGGCTAACGAACCTTGTCGCATAATTTCTTTACGTCTGCTTCTGTTAGTTGTTTGCACTGACTGAGCTGTTCAATCCAGCCATCGATCTCGTGCTCCATGATAGGTTTGGTTTGTAGTGGAAGGTTATAACAGAAGAGTATGAAGGATGTCCTTGTAATTTCCTCCAAACCCCATGTCACGTCATCACGCACTTGCTATCAGGGTAATTGTCACGCAATATCGTGTCACGCCCAGCCTCCAAAACGCGACGCGTGCTGAATCAAAATCATGGCTCAACAAGAAGCTGTATACGCAACTGATGAGGTGAATCGCATCGCCAAATCATTGTTTGCTGATTGCTTAATTGATCCAGTATGGCCGACCGTTCATCATCCTGAGGGAGCAGGGAAAGAAAACCAGAACTCATGGTGTAGAAGCAATCAAGGTGAGCGATTTTCTTCCCGATCAACAGCAATCTATTCACAAGGTGTCTTCAAGTCGCACATTCTTGCGGCACGGACAGTGGCAAATATTATCCGGACCTCGCTAGGACCTCGAGGTGCGTCCTATTAACCCACTATTACAGGAGTTCGAATCATAATGATGCAGGGCTTGATAAAATTCTTATATCGCCTGACGGCGAGATCACTGTCACGAATGATGGTGCAACTATTTTGGGACAGATGGAGGTTGAGCATCAAATTGCGAAACTCCTTGTGCAGCTTTCCAAAAGTCAGGACGATGAGATCGGAGACGGGACCACTGGTGTTGTCGGTGCGATCCCTAACTTGTACCCACATAATTTCTCTTCTTGACATCCGTTTGAAGTACTGGCTGGTGCACTACTGGAGCAGAGTGAAGATCTGCTAGACCGTGGTATTCATCCCATCCGTATAGCAGATGGCTTTGACCGGGCCTGCACTGTCGCCTGCGAAAAGCTTGACAGCATCTCAGATCGTGTCGAGTTCTCACCTGAGAACAAAGAAAATCTTCTCAAGACCGCAATGACCAGTCTAGGCAGCAAAATGTGCGCTCTTCTATTTATTCTTATTCTTTCCCAATACACATTCTAACTTTGGCCCAGTGTGTCGAAGGAGTTGCAGCAATTCGCTCAAATTGCGGTTGATGCTGTTCTAATAGTTGCAGACCTTGAACGTCGCGATGTCCCCTTTGATCTCATCAAAGTCGATGGCAAAGTTGGCGGCTCTCTTGCTGACACGACGCTGATCAAGGGCGTTCTCATTGACAAGGATATGTCACACCCACAAATGCCCTCCTGCGTACGTGATGCACGTCTTGCGATTCTCACCTGTCCCTTTGAGCCTCCACGACCCAAAACCAAGCATAAGCTTGACATCACTTCTGTAGAGGAGTATAAGCACCTCCGAGAATATGAAAGGGAGAAATTTGAGGACATGATCAAGATGGTGAAAGACACTGGGGCAAATTTGGTCATCTGCCAATGGGGCTTTGATGACGAAGCAAATCACTTGTTAATGCAGAACGAGCTGCCTGCCGTTCGATGGGTTGGTGGGCCAGAAATTGAGGTGAGTTTCACAAACTCACCCTACCGTGAAAGTATCACTGATCTTCTGCTTTTAGCTGATCGCCATAGCGACGCAAGGTCGAATCGTCCCCCGATTCGAGGATCTTACGGCGAAAAAACTTGGGAAAGCAGGTATCGTACGGGAGGTCACGTTCGGCACAACCCGCGACAAGATGCTCGTTATTGAAGAGTGTGCCAACTCCCGCGCTGTCACGATCTTCGTACGCGGAAGCAACAAAATGGTTTGCCTTATGTTTACCTCCCTCTATACATAATCTGACATTAAGGCACGTAGATTGTTGACGAAGCAAAACGTGCCCTGCACGATGCTATCTGCGCAGTACGCAACCTTGTTGTGGACAACCGCGTGGTCTACGGCGGCGGTGCTGCGGATATCAGTTGCTCCATCGCCGTCTCGAAAGCTGCGGATGAGATCCCATCTATTGAGCAATATGCAATGCGCTCCTTTGCAGCTGCTCTAGACGCAATCCCCCTTGCCCTTGCTGAGAATAGTGGTCTCTCACCAATCGAAACATTGACAGACGTCAAGAGTCGACAGGTCACAGAGAAGAACTCCCGGCTTGGCATCGACTGCTCTGGAAAGGGAGAGAATGGTGGGTGGTACCACGTTGCATATTTGAAACACTTGAATCAAAGTTCCGATTTCCAGACATGAAGAAGCAGTTTGTTTATGACCCTCTGATCTCAAAGCGACAACAATATCTGCTCGCTACCCAGGTATGCACCCTTTTGGTTGCCATTTTGATCTAAGATGTCTCAATGTGTCCTTCCAATTGCAGTTGGTCCGAGCAGTCCTGAAAATAGGCAAGTAAATGATGTGCATTCCCGACAAAAAGCTAATTATTCCTCCAGACGATGTTATCGTATCAGGGGAAGCGGATGAGTAGACTAGCTATGTCTAGAAGTAAACACGGGAAACAGTACACTGACATTTAGTGAACATCATCATGTAATTTGCTCGACCTTGGTCGTTTTTAAGTCCTCTAATGCACGTGATGTCACTACTACATGAGGAAGTTTAAATTTGGTTTACGGATCAATTGACAGAAATTGTACCCAGGTCTTAGGGCTCGGGCTCGTTATTGTGCGGATGTAAGTCGCATAGACGTATCTTCTTTAAAATCAGGCTATCCCAGTGAATTTTGCATTCTTTATTTTTCTCCTTGTGCACGTCTTACTTTGGTGACTGCTTCCTGGCCACTTTAACATATTGGATTGCACTGACATCATGCCTTGCAGTCTCTAGCGTTCTCTCGTCAACATCCTAGACAGAATCATGGGCAAAACCGATTTGCGGGTGCTCGGCAAGATGCCATTGAATGCCGAACCACCATGCCTCGTCGAGCTCACGAGGCACCCTATTACACCGCTGCACCTGGCATATGCCCGTAACCACTGTATGTTTCTTCCATACTATGCTACTGCCCTCCTATCTCTCATAATGCACCTGACTCCGAATCTCAATCCTTTGACTCTGCGATCAAATATGATGTCCCACCTGAATATGCCAAACCGTCCGATTTCCGTTCTTCAATGCTTGGCTTCACCGCGGACGCTGCTGATGAAATGGCATTTATGGCATCCGTAGCTGTTATAAAGGATCTAGCATCTGAATTTGACAGTTATACGGTCAAGATAGACGGCGAAATGGAGGGGATGGAAGAGAAGGTGTTGAACGTGAAGGACATGATCGCATCCTTTCCAAAGAAAGAGGTCGTGGCTGTTCTCATTGTGCGTCATCTCTGAGCCGTGTCAAGAACGAACATACCCACCGCTCGATCTAGTGCGCTGGTAACCGTCGTGCCAAGATGCAAGAAACAACGGGAAAAGCAGTGCGAGGTATCAAGTGGTCAGAGGGTACCATCGCGAATGCCCGCTGGGCAGGTGTACTTTTACGAGACATATTGATCAGCGCAGGGGTCTCTGAACAGGAAGACGATCAAAAAGGTTTCCACGTCTGGTTCGCTTCGAACGTTGCGCCCTGTGAGGATGACGCGTGTTACGGAGGGTCTATTCCACTTGACGAGGCCATGGCAAAGGACGGTGATGTTATGCTTGCATACGAGGTCAGATTATTGTTTCGAGAAATGCGCATATATTCACGTTTCCCACTAGATGAACGATGGACCCCTCACCCCAGATCACGGCTTCCCTCTGCGCGTCGTAGTGCCTGGTTACTTTGGCATGCGATGGGTTAAATGGGTGGACCAGATCACTATCTCGCGAGAGGAATCGCCCAATTTCTATCAACAGCGCGATTACAAGATGTTGCCTGAATGTGTATGTCATCCATATCTAATCGTGATGTACGCCTGCGTCCAACATCTTGCTGCAATAGGTTACCTCCCCAGAGAAGGCCATCGATGAGGATTGGTGGGGCCGTATACCTGCAATGCAACGACTTAACTGCAATTCGGTCGTCGCCCACATTCAGTGTCTGACACCTGCCTGTCCTGACCAGAAGACGCTTAAAGTCACAGGCTACGCCTACGCCTACTCATCTATCTCGCGTGTAGAAATCAGCGCGGATGGCGGCGACACGTGGCATGAAGTACGAATCACATACCAAGAGGGTAGTTGGAGTTGGTCGCTGTGGGAAGGCGAGCTCGTAGTAGACATTGATACCGATGCTCTCGAGTTCGCTAACCACGGACCGAAGAATGGGCGCCCAAAAACCAAGATAACAGTGATAAGCCGTGCATTTGATCGGTCTGGAAGCGCCCAGGATACCGATTGCCGCTGGAACTTGAGGGGAGTAGGCTTTTGTGGTGTCGGCGTTGGATCGGTGGAAGTATAATCGGATACCTGGCTTCATTAGGTTTTCTCTGTACGTCTTCAATCAAGATAGCTGAAACTTGTCATGGCGGTTCTAGTGATCATATCAGGTTCCAACCTACTTCTATATTTACAGACCGAATTCCACTCAACGGCCGGCCGCTCTTACAAGACTCGGGATTTCTCAAGACAAGTCGCGCTATAACATCGGATACAAACAGTCAGGCCGTCATCAACTCACGTCCCAAACACAGAGGCGATGGGTGATGGTGTCTGTCCGTGAATTTCGGCTGTAAAAGTAAACAACGTGAGCTCATCCGATTTTCAAGAATTCTTCACGATCCTGCGCGTTGCGGGATCTGTTGCCAGAAGATCTCTCAGTTGGAGATTTAGAAAACCATGGCTGAGAGAACAATCAGACACTGCGGCAGTTGTCCTAGACAAGGCGCTCATCAGCGGGGAGATCCGGAAGCGCCTAAGCCGTTACGTCGTATCATGCGACACTGAAGCATAGCAAGAAACATACAAAATCTGTCCACAGGGGTTTGAACAATTATCGTAGCGCTAGTTGATTTCCTGCGGAGGTGAGTGTCTGTCTTTGGGACATGTCTTGAACGTCTTGAATGCTGAATTGAACCCGGAAGAGTATACTCTCCTCTAGGTAGACCATATCAGAAGGAAGATAAACGCCCCTTCTATTATTATAACAGGTGGCCGGACGTGTTGAAAGCAGTACCCTTATTCGCCTTCAAAGAGGCGCTGAATGCGTGACACTTCTAGCGATCATCAGGTGTCACAAGTCAGCTACATAAGGCATGTGAACTCTGATTTATCTCGTACATCTCTTCTATGGACTTGCCTTACGGACCAAGTTATCATGACGTCTAACCTCAGAGGATCCGGATAACAAATCGTATGCTTCTCTGAGCTCCCACCCCGGGTTGATAAAGCCCCGCATCGCCGCCTAACGTATCCGTTTCGATATAAAAGGTCTGGTCGTCGGTTTCAATCTTCTGCCCTGATATCCATTCGACGCATCTTCCCCACGCGCAGTTACTAAAATGACTGGAATTGACTTCACCGTCTTCAAAGGCTCCTCCAGCGGAAAGATAATCCAGTCCAAAAGCCACAAGGAAAGCATCAAACCAGATGAGGTGCTACTCAGAATCACCCATGCTGGTGTGTGCGGTACAGACCAGCATCACAAGACATCGGACATGGTCCTCGGCCATGAAGGTGTCGGCGTCGTTCAGCAGATCGGATCGCAAGTCACCTCGTTCAAAGTGTACACTTGCTTGTCATTTTGCGATGATATGAAGCTGATCGACGCGTTTTAATAGGGGCGATCGCGCTGGCTGGGGGTATCTCCACGATTCATGTGGGCACTGTGATGAATGTCTCAATTCAAACGAGATGTTTTGCCCAGAAGGAGCCATGTACGCAACGTCCAACACTGACCAAGGTGCATTCGCGTCCCATGCGGTGTGGAAGGCGGCGTTCCTCTTCCATATTCCCGACGCTATCACTTCCTCTGACGCGGCACCTTTGATGTGTGCCGGAGCAACGGTATTCAATGCGATGTATTTGTACAATGTCCGATCTACAGACCGAGTGGCAGTCGTAGGCGTCGGTGGTCTTGGTCACCTTGCCATCCAATTTGCAGCTAAAATGGGATGCGAGGTAGTGGTGTTCTCCGGAACTGAAAGTAAGAAGGAAGAGGCGAAGAGTTTAGGTGCAAGTGAGTTCTACGCTACGAGAGGTAGCAGCAAGCTGGAAATTGGGAGGCCGATTAAGCATCTATTCGTGACTACTTCGCAAATCCCTGATTGGAATCTGTGAGTCTTATCTCAAGGTGGGGTTTTTTGGATTGACTTGTGTGATTCATAGGTTCTTCCCAATTCTGGCGCCCAACGCCACCATATACCCTATTACTCTATCTCCGGGGAACTTGACCGTGCCCCACATACCTCTCTTGTCAAAAGGGTTAACAATTCAAGGAAGCTTTTGTGCCTCGCGTGGTGTCCACGTCAAGATGCTGAGATTTGCAGCTGTCCACGGCATCAAACCCATCACTCAAGAGTTCCCGCTAACGGCTGAGGGTATTGACGAAGCTATGGCTAAGCTCGATAAAGGAGAGATCAGATACCGAGCAGTATTGGTGGCTAGGAAATAGGTTATGTGAGGAATATCGGAAGCAGCAGCTGTGGTGTGACTGGGATCACGATGACGAAGTATCTGTACTTACTATCATTGCAAACGCCCTAGAGTAATTTTTGTAAAAGTATTAAACGAAAACCCTGCAAAAATATACGTGTCGCAAACCATATTACCTGGACCAGACTGCGGGCCATTGAGAAAGTGTATTCCCCTAGCCTAGGTCCTAGACGGCATTGGACGTTGCATTTACCATTTACAGTGGGAAGATCCAATTTGAAGGTTCCGTCGCGCGTGTAGCATGGACAGTGGACAGGTAACACCTGTGGATCTGAGAAGAGGCAAGATAGGGAGATATTTTTCCCGAGCGCTATGCTTTGTGGTGTATATGTATGCAATGCCGGTACACTGAGCAACGCGCACTGACGTGACGAGGAACGTAGTATTGCCAGCTCGCTGCTCGCGTGGATCATTCAGCAGGCAGGTCCTTTCTTTCCATAAGGATTCTTCTCCATGCCACGATATGATCCCCGAGCAACTTTTGGTGCCCATGTTCCAGCAAAGACCCTGCCGCACGTCATGATTGCGAAGCTAGGCTCCCGCTACCTCCATCGAACAATATCCGCGAATTGCTAGCTGGAAGAGCGCAACAGTATCACCACGAGCGCTCTGTAACCAAAATAATTATTGGTTTTTGTAAAATCATATGCGTTCACTTCACCGGATACGTGTACGTTCACCGTTTGAGAAGTGCGGACCAAGATCCTGGACCCGAGCGGCCAGCCTGGAGCCAGCCTCTGACAAAACGGACTTAGTACTGCTGACTAAACTACGCAAACCATGACCGCCCCCTCACCGGGTTGCTCCATTCCACCATGTGTTCCTGAACGGATGTTCAGGAGCAAGGTGATAGGTCCCCGGGCCCGGGCTCCAAGCTCGCGTCAACCTTATTCCTGGAGAACTATGATGACCAGTTCGTCGTATACCATCAACCCCAAAAGAAGGGGTCGCCGAAACTTATGACATCACACACTTCTTTTGGTTTAGATGACGTCAGGGGTACACAGTATGCATTTCCGGCGTACGAGTCTTCCACCTGAGTTCATCCCCTTCGCCAAGTAATCCATATTCAATGAGCTACCTATCTGCAGCACGCTGCTCAATTAAGAGACTTTCCGGAACTCTGGGAGTTTCGTCGCGATATGCAGGTGCAAGGTGCGGCCACTGAGCGCACACTTTTTTCTAGAAACTGACGCCTTGTGACTTACGGTCTGGAAGACGATATACTAGGTATTTGTTGGAAATTCAAAAGGCGTACTCTACTCATCATAAATTTCTTGGCAAAGCACGATGCATGACAATAATGCGGAGGTACGTCTGCTCACAACGCCGGTGTGCCCCTGATCAGTTCAGAATATTTTATTGCAGACCCTGGAGCGAGAGAAACGAAGAAACTTGTCCGGCACCCAGCACAAAACTTCGACCCCAATTGATGACGCACCAGGTTGGAATGAGGACCTGGCGAGTACATCTGAAGCACATGTCAAGGTATGTATATGGTCAAGACTTCCAGGGAAATGACATCGACATCATTTAATAGGCTGATCGCTCATCTGCCACAATTGATGATCTTCAGCGCAAGACCGTTGATTATGTTCGTTCGAAGCACCAAGCAGACGAGCGCATGGATCACAGAGAAGCATCTTACCTGAGGGACGAAGTAACTGGACCCCTCGGCAGTGTGAGAGTGGGTGAGTTTGAGGGCGTTGTCGGTGCTGGTGATCTTGGAATAGATCAGGAGGGCACTGACATAGAGTCTGACGGGCGCACCATCAAGCGACACGTCGTCTATGAGGAGATTACGGAAGTTTTGAGAGAGCCCCATCCAACGGAGAGCGAGGCTAATGTAAGTGTTTTGAGTGTGGATTCATCTTTGTCGTTGATATGGAATTAGGTAAAGGCCGACCGCGGCGAAAGTTCTTGAATCATGCCTGTTGATCTTGCGCGTTCGATAGCGCTCTCATTGTATCGATACTCAGCTTCTTAGCTGTATTTCATGCCCTCAGTCATGCCATTCGCTCTGGGGTTGATATCATCCCGCCTTCAGAATGATCATCGTGAAAGTAAACAAGTACACTGTAATATACACGTAGCAATACATGCATCAAAAAATCGTCATATGATGAATTATCGTGCTGAACGAGTCCTGACGCCTATGCCTTAGTATGAGTACCTTTACCGATAGTTTCTCCAGGGATCACGACGGGACCAACGCCAAACTCCCCATCGCCTGGGAAAGTCTCTGGGCGTGCGTTCGACTCTATAGGGTTCAAGTGTACTGGACCAGGACCCCAATGTCCACCAAAGGGCCCCGGCGGAAGTTTCCTAGGGCCAGGGCCCGATGAGACATTCTCAGTAGTAGTGACACCAGGTGAGCTTGAATTGACGGAAGCGGCAGGGATGGTGACATGCAGAGCTTGGTCGGTGGCAATCTGGTTCACGGTCACTATGCGACGGGGGTCGAAATATCCGTGAACGTGGACATTAGACTGGGGTTGAGACTCTGTGGCCTGAATGCTGTGTATCGTAAGATGGTTAGATGGCTGAGCAACCACGATGACAAATAGATATTACATAGCATTGAATGATGAGGTCACTTTGCTCTCCGCGGGAGCTCCCATGATCAAGAACTTTGAGTCAACGAGCGAAGTGTAGAAAAGACCGACGAGGCCCGACTGTAAACTTCGTCAATGGAATAGTAGAGCACGATAAAAAAAAATTGCTTACAATTTGGCCCTTGTCGCCGGGGACTTCTAGTTGACCTTGGACGGTGACGTTCGCAGCTCGCTCTTCAGGAGCAGCGCTGCTCTGACTGAGCAACTGTGCCTTAAACTCCTCCCTGGAAACTTGTTTTCCATTGTAAAAAACATTTAACTTGTGCGCGAAAAGCGCATCAAATGCTGTGGTGAAATTTGCTTGGGTCTTGGCCGTTAGAATGGCCGTGAGATGGGAAGAAGTGAAGGCGGTCAAGGTGGGGAGGACAATGTTAGTGGACATGTTGTTGATGAAGGATATGGTGTTTCTGCACCGTCTTATATACTCCAGAGAGACGGCAAGTACGGAAGCTGCGCACAGGACTGCGCAAATACCGCATTCGTTAATGCAAATACTTTCAAGTCATCACGGGGAACTAGTAGATATGCTGACAGGAAGATGATGAGAAGAAGGCGCTCGGCCACTCAATAATCGAGACGTACACTGACGACATCCGAGAACTTCGCATGGTTGCAATGCAGGTACTTGAGTCAAATGATATCTCGGCCTTGGTTAGGAAAGCCTGCGCTTTGTCGCTGTGCATGTCGCGCTCTCGCGTATTCAAAGTTCAAAAGTCCAATCTGTCATGGAGTTGGTGCTCTGTAGACTGTCGCAGCATAGCAATTATATATGATTAGCATACTTTAGTCGATGCTTTACACCATTGACTAATCGATCACGAATGTCATGCCCAATGCCATTCGGCGGAGATGCGGTCTGCCGGAAACACCGTTGGGCGGTGTGGCAATGCTGCTCTAGAATTGAGCATGAATCTGAAGATATGATTTTAGCAGGATTCAGCTGATTACATAGGAACAACTCATCATCATTTTCTTGAAGAATGTAATAAGCCGGAGCCATCCGTTTGGAAATTTCCGTTTTGCGGGCAAAGGCGGAAAAGCCGCAAACTCTAGAATTCAAAATCGTTTTTGTCCTAGTACACTGCGCAAACGAAATGGATACTTGTGAGACATAGAAGCTCGGAACGACCGCCGTCAGCTACCAGCTGCAGTATCTTCTCTTAGTATTAGATTAATGCGCGGCCAAAGTGACACCGCCCGAAAAGGCAAGTGCGGGCAGGGCGCTCTCGACCTGGTGCGATCGATCATGATCCAAAACATATTGATTTGACTTTTCCGCTGCCAAACCCCAATCACACCGGTGCGGGCGCGGTGTGAAAAAACTCCAGTACGTCGCAAACGCCGCCTCACACAAGTAGCACGCGCAGATGCGGCGCCGCTTGAGCCTGTCCGTGCTCAACGTTAGCTCATCCCTTACTACATTGCCGCTGCCACTACTGACATGTGTTACATTAATAATATGCATTAGCCCGCTTGGCACCCTGGCGGGGCTGCCACGTCATCCGCTATTGCTGGCGAATTTGATAGGAGCATTTTTTGTCGAGTCTAATTTGAAAGAAAAAAAAACATGTGGCCAGATGTTACAAGCTCAGGGATGGGGTAGGTCGACCGGGAGAAATGTTTCAGTTGAATAAATTGTGAGCATTCTGACAGTTGTCGACGAACCCTTCTCATTCATTTTCAGTCACCACTCGCTCTCCAGAGTCCATTCTCGCTAACATTGTCAGACCGTGAAATGGGCGGGCTTGACGCACTTCTTGCTGCCGTGGTGATCGGTTTTGCACTGAAGAGTTACTTTGCGAAAGTGAAGCTGCCTCATGGTGTGCGATTTCCACCAGGTCCGGCTTCGCTTCCAATTGTTGGCAATGCACTGAGTGTCGATGTGAGTGCCCCTTGGGCCACTTACAAGGCATGGGGCAGTGAATTCGGCAAGTCATTCCACGAAATGCCAACCATCCGTTAACTAAAGTCCCATAGGCGATTTGGTTTATACCCGGCTTTTTGGTCAGGATAACATTATCATCAACTCCGAGGAAATCGCAAGAGATCTCCTCGAAAATCGGTCCCATAACTACTCCGACCGGCCAGAGTTGGCAACCAATGAACTGTACGAATGCTTGAATGCTTGAGCATTTTCTGTATGATAGACGTCAATTCTTAGATTTGGCATTGACTGGACTACCGCATTCTTGCGATACGGTAGCAGATGGCGGCTTCAGCGCAAAATCATCCAGCAGTCCTTCCGCCAAGATGTCGTACCCGATTTTCGGCCCATACAAGTGGCAAAATCTCACGAACTTCTATTGAACATGCTGGAGGATCCTTTGGGCTACCCGAAACATTTTGAAATGTGAGTAGATTTCTATATGTTAACTACTTATCATTGGTATTGAACGGGTCTTCAGGCTGGCAGGTTCGGTCATCATGTCTACTGTGTATTCATATCAGGCAGCACGCCGTGATGATGACATGATCGAGCGTGCAACAATGGCCCTGGAACTCTCAATGAAAGAGATGAGACCTGAGGTAGTTGCAGTGTTCAGTGCTTTCCCATCCCGTAGGCCACGTCGTCCATCACATCCATCATTTTCTCACTTTTCAATCCGCAGTTCTCCGCCTCCCGTCTTGGCTGCCTGGCATGTACCTGAAGAGAGTTGCACCTTTAGTCAAAAGATTGATGTCAGAAAGCTTGGAATATCCATTTATGTGGACCGAGCGTGGTCTGGTAAGTGTAACATCACATTGAAGTCCTTTATTTTACGTGCATTTTCTAGAATGCAGGATCCGTGTCTTCTTGCATGGTCGTTGATCATTTGCTGAAACTCGATGAAAGCGATAGTAATACAGCCTCGCAAAAGGTGGCGATCAAGGAAGCTGCAGCAACTGTTTTTGGGGGTGAGTCTATATAATTCAGTGAATCCTTATCATGCTGAGAAAGAATTGCGAACAGCTGGCACCGAGACGGTAGGCAAAAAGCGATCGTGAATTTGGTTCAACTTTGACCAGTTACTTAGACAGCCTCTGTGCTGATGAACTTCATGCTTGCGATGATTCTCTATCCACAGATACAAGAGAAAGCGCACAAACTTGTTGAGAGCGTGGTTGGCACGAATAGACTTCCGACGTTCCAGGATCGTTCATCCTTGCCCTACGTCGATGCTATTTTGCGCGAGTGTCTGCGGTGGCGCCCAGTGTTTCCTCTCGGTGCGTTGCTCAACCAGTATAATAAAAACAAATTAGTGATCAATTACAGCAATCATGCATTCTGCTGTCGAAAGCGACGTTTACAAAGGTTATTATATACCGAAAGGTGTGCGAGTTTCAAGTCATGTGTTTTGAGTTCATACTTATTTGTAACACAGGTGCTACGATCACTCCGAATGTTTGGTACGGATGAAAATCATTTGCTTGTCCTTGGGGTTCCCAAACTTAATCTTCCTCAGGGCGATGTGCCACAACGAAGAGAAATACCCAAATGCGTCTGAATTCAATCCTGACCGTTTCTTGAACCCAGACGGTACTCTGACAGATGATACTGTGAGTGTCGTATGGGGATTTGGACGACGGATATGCCCCGGTCGCCATCTCGCTGAAGTTTCTTTATGGTCTGCAATGGTCGGCTTGCTTTCGGTTTTCAAATTTTCGAAGGCCAAAGATGAGACGGGTAGAGAGATTGAGATCGAGCCACATTGGCATGGAGGGCTCAGTGTGTACGTGACATTTGGTTGGATTTTTGTGAAGAGATACTGATTCTGATTTGTCACTTTAGGCGGCCCATGCCATTCCCTTGCAATATCACTGCGCGGGATGAAAGCATGGATATCACGGCTTTGGAGCGATTAATTCGAGTATCTGTTTAGCTTGCTCCGTAGTATATTATGCATGCGGTGTTGTTGAATATCATTGTTTGTGTTCATACCATTGCTACGTCGTGCAGATTACACATTTAGAACGCGCAAGTACATGTCATACATACTACTACACGACATCAATAATTTGACCAAGGTCATAAAATCTAGACTCGTGACTAGTCCTGTTAAACCTATGAGGCAAGCCGTCGATAGACGGACTAGTATTGAAAACTGGCTTTGAATTTGGAGGTCGAGCGGATTCGCAGGATAACACGACGGGTAAGCCTTTTCGGGGATATCAAAGACCACGTGAACTTTTGCTAAGGCCTTGCAAAGTCTGCTAAGTCTCGTCAACGTTCGACTCGTTGCGCTAGCTGCTCAACAGCGCCTGCGTTCGTCACCATCGCCTCATGTAACAAATGCTACTTGCTCTTTGTGATATATATGATATCCTCTTCAATTCTAAACAGTAACTTTAACCACTCTGGACTCCAGGTTTGTGGATATCACAGGTGATGCTCCGTCAAGCGCCTCTTTTACGGATACTATGACCTCGACTTCCAACGCATCGAGGAAAGCATCACGAAAGGCTTGGATGATGGAGGATTGGTCCATTGATTTTGCAAGTGTAGATCGCGTCGCGTCGCGTCAATAATGAAAATTATATTGTTTATTTTGTATTCTATGCTACAGCTTGAAAAAACCTGGTTTTTTCATTCACTAAAGGTCACGTTATCCTGCAAATCTGCTCGACCTCCAAATCCAAAACCAGTTTTTACCAGTCCATGACTGTCCGTCTATCGACGGCTTGCCTCATAGGTTTAACAAGACTGGTCACGAGTCTACAATCACCGTCTATTACAGTGCACCAGCAGGGTGCTTTCGTCCACTCCGTCAAACTGTATGGTGTTTGTGCTAACATTTGATCTTATCAATCACCACTGCAATTCTTTCACCGCTTGGATCTAGTAAGTGTACCAGACTTTGTCACTGGAGACAAATTGTGTTCCACCTAGCTAGGAAGTGTTTCCAAGTGGTTGTCAAGCTCAGGGCCCCACAGGGGGCTTGGCTTTAGGCGCTCCCACAGTCACTCCGAATACGACTTCTGTCAACGTAGACTTGCGGGTGCGTTATCTAGCTGCCACGCAACGCATCGACAAGTCTGAGCCAATTCAATCAATATCAATTACGCAATTGACAATTGTCTAATGTCGTAAAATCCATGGATAAACATTCTGAATTCCCACTGCTCTTCACCAACTGACTACTCACTGGTCACCCTTCAGAGTCCATTATTGCTGTGATGTCGGACCATGTGACGGGTGGGCTTGAAGGACTTCTTGTGGCTGTTGTGATCGGTGTTGCGTTGAGAAGTTACTTTGCCAAACCGAAGCTGCCTCATGGTGTTCGATTTCCACCAGGGCCGACGTCACTCCCAATTCTGGGCAATGCACTGGCAGTCGATGTAAATGCGCCTTGGGTGACCTACAAGACATGGGGTAGTCAATACGGCAAGTGATCCCGCAAAATGCCGACCACCAACTAACGAGGTTCCTTATGTAGGCAACGTGGTTTATACCAGGCTTTTTGGTCAGGATAACATTGTCATCAACTCTGAGGAGATCGCAAGAGATCTCCTCGAAAATCGGTCACAGAATTACTCTGACAGACCAGAGATCGCCACCAATGAATTGTATGAATTATTGAATTATTGAACATTTTTATCACTAAGCTAGTCATAAATTAGATTTGGCGTTGACTACACTACCGCGTTTCATGCGATACAGTAGCAGATGGCGACTTCAGCGCAAAATTCTTCACCAGTCCTTCCGACAAGATGTCGTACCCGATTTTCGGCCCATGCAAGTGGCAAAAGCGCATGAACTTTTATTGAACTTGCTGGAGGATCCTTTGGGATACCCGAAACATCTTGAAGTGTGAGCGAATTTCAATGTGCATCTATTCGCCGTTAGCATTGAACATCTTCAGGCATTCAGGTTCGATCATCATGTCTGCTGTATATTCATATGAAGCAGCACGCCGTGATGACTACATGATTGAGCGTTCATCGTTGGCCCTAGATATCATACTGAAAGAGATGAGACCAGAGGTAGCTGCAGTTTTCAGCGCATTCCCCTTCCGTGGGTCATGTCTTCAATGACATATAGCAGTTACTTACAGTCTAATCTGCAGTTCTCCGCCTCCCATCTTGGCTGCCTGGCATGCGCCTCAAGAGAGTTTCACCTGTAGCCAAGGCATTGGCGTTAGAAACCTTGGAAGTTCCATTTGCGCATACGGAGAATGGTCTGGTAGGTGCACGATGACATGAGATGTGCTATTTACGAGTAGTTTCAAGGCTGCAGGATCCATCTCTTCTTGCATGGTCGCTGACCACTTGCTAAAGCTCGATGAAAACGACAGCGATTCAGCCTGGCAGAAGAAAGCGGTAATGGAATCTGCAGCAACTGCGTCTGGGGGTGAGCGTATATATAATTCAATGTATTCTTGCAAGGCTGAATCAACGTCTCACGAACAGCCGGCACTGAGACGGTAGGCAGAAAGTGGCGGGTTATCTGGTCCAACGCTGACTAGTTACTAGACAGCTGCTGTGGTGATGAACTTCATCCTGGCGATGATTCTCCACCCCCATGTACAAGAGAAAGCGCACGAACTTATTGAGAGCGTGGTTGGCACAAAGAGACTGCCGACGTTCCAGGATCGTCCGGCCTTGTCCTATATTGACGCCATTTTGCGCGAATGTTTGCGGTGGCGTCCGGTGTTCCCTCTAGGTGTGTTGCTCATCCAGCATAGCATACACAGATCAGTAATAAATTACAGCAATCATGCATGCTGCCGTCGAAAGCGATGTCTATGAAGGTTATTACATCCCCAAAGGTATGCGAGTTCCTCCTGATCTGTTTCAGTCCATGTTGATTTGAAGCACAGGTGCTACGATCACCCCGAATGTTTGGTACGGGCGATGATTACTCTCTACTTTTTATGAGCGCCGACTTACTCCTCCACAGGGCAATGTGCCACAACGAAGCGAAATACCCAAATGCATCCGAATTCAATCCTGACCGTTTCCTCAACGCGGATGGTACTCTAACAGACGATACCGTGAGTGTTGTGTGGGGATTTGGACGACGGATGTGCCCTGGTCGCCACCTCGCTGAAGCATCTATATGGTCTGCGATGGTCTACTTGCTTGCGATTTTCAAATTTTCAAAAGCCAAAGATGAGACTGGCCAAGAGGTCGAGATTAAGCCACAGTGGCATGGAGGTATTACTGTGTACGTGGTCTTTGATACAATTTTTGTGGAGATATACTGACGTATCACTATAGACGACCCATGCCATTCCCTTGCAGTATCACTCCGCGGAATGCAGAAATGGATATCACGGCCTTGCAGCATTTAATAAAAGTATCCATTTAGGTCTGTGGTACTCTGTACTGCACATCGCTGTGGGATGGGATGTGGATGGGGATATATTATATTTATTTCTGTAGATCTGGTGTAGCACAGGACTACTTAGCGGATTCGTACTTGGTAGAAATAGTAATCTACTTCGATTACACGGTTCTGACCGTTGTTGCAACGCTGAAGCTTCGAAACTTGCTTAAACAACCTTGGCTCAACCGTTGAAGCAACCCAACTTACTGCGAACCGTATCCCTGCCAATATGTCATTATACAAACCATATGTTTCAAAGACTACTGTCGTTGCCCCAACTCGAGTCACGGAATTTGACATCCTGAAAGCCTCCCACAAGTAAGCAGCGCCCACATTTCCAAGTCTGCATCTTTCACATCTTTCCTTGAAGGTTCTTGCGAGACGGCGAAGACGCTGAGGCTAGTACATCATGGAACGACCGACTAGCGCAGAAATACTACGACAGTCTCTACCGCGAATTCACGATCTGTGATCTCAAGCATTACAAGTCAGGAAACGTATGTCTCTCGCTATTCATGATTCTCTTTAGGGTGTCTGATCGAATGAATTCATCGATCGTATAGTTCGCTCTCCGCTGGCGCACAGAAACAGAAGTTCTCTCTGGAACGGGCGAAACGACGTGCGCGAACGCGCGCTGTTCCGAACATACCGCATCTTCTACTTCGCTTACGACTCTCGAGCTACCATTTGGATATGAAGAGCACGGGCAAAGGAAAGAAGCCCTCGTGAAAGTCGTTCTGTGTTCGAAATGCGTCCGCAAGATCATGTGGAAGAGGAAACACGAGAAGAGAAGGGAAGACGGTGCTGTGGAGGCTAAGACGGGCGAAAGCAATAAAGTTGAGATGCATGAGGATACTAGAAGACCAACGAAGTCCAGAAGTCGCTCGAAGGATGTTGAGCGTGATGACGAGCGGTATCGCGCCCGACGAAGACGAAGCTCACGTTCGAGGTCTCCGCGAGCTCACAAACAGAAACAGGACACCTCACCAACTCTGTTACAAACGAGGAACAGCAGTACTTAACCCTATTCCTACTTACTATCAAGGTTTCAGAAGTCTCGTGCTTCTCGGGATGTACATTAGATTGCATTGTGTATCATGCAGGTGTACTCAAACGTGTACGTCCTCACCCCTGCTCAAGCCTAGTTTGGCTGATTCGCTACGAAGTCTTCCTCACATACCCTTCTCAGGTCTAATGGCACTTGAGCTGTCACGTTGTCCCCAGCTGGTGGACGTACGACCGGAACTTGTAGCCCGTTCATCTTCCAGTAGATCTCCTTGACGTGTCCATTCCTATCTGTCGATGCAGGAAGCGCGAAATGTATTCGTGGGACAAGGGTAGTGAGGACTTGTTCTGTGATAACTTAGTTCGTCACTGCATGCGGAAAAGACAAGAAAGCGTACTGATTTCCATCTCTGCGAATTTAAAGCCGCTACATGAAAGATATCAATGGATATGCATGGATAACAAAAAATGTTACATCACGCACATGCATGCACGACCCCCTCCGAGAAACGTCATCCTGCGTTCACCACGGCTTTCAGCCCTTCTGTAACGTCCACAGATCTTCTACCACTTACATTAAACCATAGACGCCAGGGTATTTCATACCATCCTTGATTCCACCGCTCATGGAATCGCCTTCACCATCTCCCAGGTGGAGCCGCTCACCAGAAGGTGACAGCCACCGTTCGGGACGCCATTCCGAGGCGTCCTCGCCCCAGATCTCCTTGTTGTGATTTGAGGCCAAGATGGAAATAATGAGCGTTGTGTTTTCCGGAACATAGATTGAAGAGATCATTTCGCCGGACGCAGACCGGATTGGCTGATGCAATGGAAGAACAGAAGCCTGACGAGCACTTAGTAACTATTTAGTGAGTGTTTCAGGCGGCAGATTAGAATGAACTTACGTTCGGCTGAGAAGAGAAGTCGGAGGATAAACTCGAAGTGTTTCACGAACGATGGCATCTAGATAAGGTAGCGCCATAAGCGTGTCGTAGGGTACTTCTACGTCTTCCCAAGGGCCGGACAGGCCCTGCGCAGCCGCATATTCTCGTTTAGCCTTGCGGATTTCACTTCGTAGTCGTGCCTGAACGTCCTGCTTTTCGGCCAGAATCCAAAGAATGCGGCATGTAGCACTGGTAGTCGTTTCAAAGCCCGCAAAGATGATCGTGCTATAAGGATACTGAGTTTAGGATTCACACTGGCAGGGTATGTAAGTAATGCCCACTTCATCTGTCCCAGTAATTCCGAGTCCGTCAATCGATCGTCATTAGAAGAAGACGCGTTGGCTCGTACTAGTAGTCGTCATTTCGTTAGTAAATGGTTTACGTGTGTGAAAAGAAGGTAACTGACGCATGATGCTCATGATGTCTTTACCTTTCATGCATTTCCCGACATTTCCGACGAAGCCTTCGTTCTCTAAGGTTACTTTCTTCTCGGCAAAAATGTTCTTGCTAGCAGTGTCCATCACGTTTACCACATGCCGAAGATTTTTCAGTGCGTCACTCGGCATCCAGTCCATCATTTTGTTTCTCCAATACAAGGAAAATCGTCGCACAATCATAGGGATAAACGGGCGGAGGAAGATTAGACGAAGCGTGGATGGTCTGTCATGGCATCATTCCGAGAGTGTTCGCCGAACAAACAATTTACTCACGCAAGTGTCCTGATGGCTTCTATGTACTCGTTTTCTTTTGTTGGATCGAGTGCATCGAATGAGTGTCCGAGTGCTGCCTGACATATGTATTCTAGTGCCCCTCTTGACACCCACGGAAGTAAGTTGACCTCCACAACCGCTGCAAAAATTGAGTAAACAAACAATATTCGGAGAATTATGAAACCTACAGCCGTCAGCTGGGATTTTTGCCATCAAGATGGTGCGTAATTGATCAGCGATAGGCTGAATTACAGGAAGCAGATCGCGCATATTTGCGAGAGAAAATACTGGATTTAGCATCTTGCGCTGTTTCCTGTGTTGTTCGCCTTTCAAAGAGGATGACAGCATACATACGCTTCAACGGGTGAGACTTCTGTGTACTTACCAAGAGTAGCTATAAGGCCCTCGCCAAAGATGAGTCGATTGCCCCTATTAGGTTGGATCATCAACTTACGCACTGCTTCTGCGTAAGCACTTGTCAACTCACACAATGAACATATCGGTCTCCTCGTAGACATTTTGTTCTTTCACGACGATGTGATGCAGAGCAAGTGGATCTGATATGTACAGTTGTTCTTGCTAGAGAGTTCTGATGAGTGGACATATCACATCCAAAATGAGAGCCTTCACCCCAAGAAGGGCGTAAATCTTGACTGCCCCACCGTATTGCTTCACCAAATCAAGGTTGTACCGCAGACCATCTTGGAATATACGGTGAAAGTTGCCTGACACGTATTAAGATTAATGGGAGCTATCGCCAGAAAAGCGGATTTACCTTTCAACCAATGCTCTTTCTTTGGTCCGAGGATGTGAGCGAGAGGAGACTTGGGTGTACGATAACGTTTAATGAGCCTCCATATAATGAAAGCGAAGATGCTCGACCCGCAGACTCTCAGAAGAGCCATGGGGGGATGAAGGAGGATTAATACTATCCACCAAAAAAGGCTCAGCGATGGCCATCAAACGCTGATGACAACGCTGGGAGAAGGATTAGCGCCTGTCATCCGACCAGATTTCGGTGCGGGTTAACCGCTATCCCACCTACGTTATGGATTACCAAACTACAAGTACACCTTCTGCTGTCTTTGTTTTGGCAGTTCTGTTCTTGCGTACAGAGTGCCGTCAGGGTTTGGTCTTGCTGGCGCCGGGGACGGCGTTCTTAATGAGCAAAGCCACGGAGTTTGAATGGAGCTTAGAAGGTTCGACGCAGCGTGCAACATGAACGAAAGCGTCGATTTCTACCCTCGTTGCATGTCTTCTTATCCTTATCCAGCAAGTCCTTGCGCTTCGGTTTAAGGATAGCTACCAATGACAATAAGTCAGTGGGTGGGTATGAGTTACCCGGCCATCCGCACCTCACGAGGTTCCGGTTGTGATCATCAGAATGAAAAAAAACAAATATTCTTTTCCGTGCAGTGCGCTCCTTTGGTTGACCACCACCAGCACCATCCTCTCAACCCAATAACTGTTCATTGTTATCAGGGCTGTTAAATGCAATGCTTTCAATTGATTTGGCAGCACTAATTGGCTTTGGTTGTGAAGCTGTCTTGTATGGTGAGAGTCGACAGCTGCTACCGAACACTACCTTCAAATGCTCACATACAACTCCAGGCTGTTATTGTGTTCTTTTCGTCATATCATGGGTAGTCTTGGGTCGAAAACGACCTTCACTAAACATTAGTAACCCTGTTGTTTTTGCCAACTGTTTGCTCTTCTTGTGCTGCACTGCACATTTTGCCCTCCAATTCAATCATTTTTATACAACTCTCGTGGGTTTCCCTATCAGATGGTTGGAAATACATATTCTCATGCCAATCTTCTGGATATACAGGAGTCAACAGGAGTCATTGGGTTTTCCACGGAGACTCCTGGTCTTACGGGCGCAGATTTCCTTATCTCGTTCACGGATCTCGTCGGTGACCTGGTTCTCGTCTACCGCTGCTGGATGCTTTGGGGTAAGAACTACTATGTAGTCATACTTCCCCTTCTTTCTGCCTTCGGTGGCTTCGGTACGTCGTCCCACTTCGAGTAATCGAGCAGTCAGTGATGAAGTCGAATAGCTTGTATAATGGAGGTACTCCACCTCGTCATTACCACCAACCCCACCTCGCCCGCCCCTCCGGCTAGCATAGTACCCCTGGGACTTGCAGGATATATCATGCCCCTTGCCACCAATGTCATCGTCACCACTCTCATAGTTTACCGCATCTGGTTCTCCTCCCGTATCGTGAGGGAATCCCCAGTGCACATCGGCCAAAGCGCCTCCCGTCACGCGATGATGCTCATCATCGAGAGTGGTGCGCTCTATCTCGTAACACAATTCGTGTTCGTCGTACTCTTCGCGATCAGCCACCCTGCAGAAGGCATCATGGCGGTGATTGCCACCCAAGTATACGTGAGTAGGACCCAAATCTGGACCTTGTCTAATTTCCGCTCGCTGATTCCTCACAGGGCATCGCACCTACCCTCATTATTATTCGGGTTGGTTTGGGAATTTCATCAGAGCATACCACCAAGGCAATCACGTCCACTCGTATCGAATGGATCGCGCGCCGTGGGAATGACACAGGCACTTCGGGTACTCAGTTCACTGTTGATCGTAGCATGACCGAGACCGATATGGATGTTCGGATGAAAGACTTCGATCTCACCCACATGAAGGGACACGACGAAATCGAGATTGCGGAGGTTGAGTTGGCGCCTGTGAGCACTTACGAGCACGAAGGTGCTTCGCCTGTATGACACCTTGAACACGAACCAAAAGCGACTCTTGAACTTGGAAGTGGCGTATTTGGATATGCACACACCAGAAATTATTTACGAAGTATCTTTGACGTATCTAGCTAATAGAGGTATCAATTTGGTATAACAATAGCATCGCGTATATGATACCCACCCCTTTATTCGAACGGTGTACTTGGGTGATCCAGCATGTACTGCCGCAGTATCGTCCAATCCTTGCACCTGTGCACCGAACCCACACCATTCGCAGTGTGATACAACTTCCCATCGTCTTGAGATATCTGCGGAATATCCACTTCCAGCGTGGTATCAGCATTACAAAGCAACGCCTGCCGCAGATATCGCAAGCAGTGCTGGATGTGCTCTGCAGCATGCGTGCGATTCACCACATAGCCGACGCGGATGATGTCTAGGCAGTGAAATTGATGGTAAAGGGAGACTAGGAAGGTGCGGTTATTTGGGCCCAGGGCGACAAATCCGTCTGAAGGGAACAGCGTGCCCCATTCATTATCATCGTATAATGAAAAGTGACCCTCGCCGCTCTCCAGTTCGAGGCCAACAGATGGCAAGTCCAGCGGCAGCTGGGAGGGGTGGTCATCACCGATGTATGCTGCGGATGAGATAGTCAGGTCACTTTCAAGACCGAAATAGTAAAGTACACAGTCAACTTACTGTGAACGTGAGGGGTAGTAGGGGGAAGGAGACCATTGAGAACAGAAATAGTGTGTAATGTAAACATCACATTGATTATCGTGACCACCGCAAGAACGGAGATGCAAGCGAAAACGACAGTAGATGGATCCCGCAAAGACCACTGGGATACTGGTGAAGTGTGGTGAAGGCGTCGCTGGTGAGACATTATGGTTCCGGATGGTAGAAAGAGCTCATATGCAACTGGGTTCTATGATACACATATAGCCGCATCAAGCGGTGCCGACTACTTATCGAGTGCTGTGTGTTCATTTCCATATCTGACTTGTCAATGTCATTGACGGTTCCCAGATAGGGACTGATCCGACGAGGACCACAGCGTGGAGCAGTGCCGTGGCAAGTAAACCGTCGAGCCAAGACGTCAACTCACAGGATAAACTTTTACAAGATAAACTTTTCCCAAGTTGAGATGAAATCTCACCCCAGAGAGTAGGGTTTATGTGCTCAAACTGCCTTGATAGGTAGCTTCAGTCTTCTTAGCAGAGACCAATAGTATTTGTCCGTGCGAAATGCATGTAGTAATCGCGACTGCAGACATGCTATGAACTGCTGTGCTGCACACGTTTAATTAAACTGACGGCAATCAACCGTGGCGACTCCCAGGAAGCCGCGAGCATCAGATGAAACGATGGCAGTATGTCGCCGTGCTTATTGTAAGCTGTGAGTAATGATGAACTTTCTAGATTCAAGGTTTGGAATAAAATATGACACCAACTAACTTCTCAGCCGCATAAATACCCCCGTCATCTCATTCAGTCCTGTAATTGTCACTTTGCGTGCACGAGGTAAGCCCGAGGAATGCAACAACTTGTCTAGTGACTGACAGATACACGCGGTTGTCACAGCAGCAGGATTATTAACCAATGAACAACAAAGAATACACTCCGCTCGTACATAGTACAGAGGAGGAGGAAGAGGAGGAGGAAAGCACAGTCTCGCTCGAGGCGGTTGGAGCGTGCAACCCAAGCACGAGCCGCTTCACCGCTCCGTGGCGCATCGGCGTCGTCTTGGTTGCGTTCCTCGCGATTAACGGGCTTTGCCTAATGATCATGAACAACCGTATCCGAACTGTATCAAAGGCGCTCGAGTCATTGCTCGACGTCACAGATACCCGGCATTTGCCTCGCCCCGATCAATATGATGGGCTGTGATCATTTGATAACGCATGGGCCTAGATGGGGAACGGGTGATTTTGTAGACTCGCGCAGGAAGTGGGACGAATGAGAGAACCTATTTAGTGCACAATAAGACAACGTATATCAGCCAATGATTGGTTCGATTTGCTGTCGTATGGAAACTTACAGTGTGAACGGATGATGAACCTTGTTCTGGACATCCCAGACATTGTGGCACGATGCTAGCATGAGGGACTGTCCAGAACAGCTCTCGAAACGGTTGAGCTTCCGATGCACCGAGCGCACTTTGTGCGCGTAGATATCGCCTCATCGGCGAAGCGCAACTAATATGGAGGTTGGAGCAGATTCACGAAGCCCTTATTAGAAGTCCTCAATGGCAACCAAGCATGATTTCTCAAGGCTGCAGGCCCCACGCCCACGAGTCAGCGGTTCTCCTATAAGATCAGCTTGGTTGGGAGAAGTTTACATCAAGATCGTGGGTCTTACCTCTCGCAACCGCCATCATGATGCACTCCAGCATTCTATCCCTGATCTGCACTTTTTGTATTCTAATTTCGTGTGCTGCTCGTGTTGTTGTTAGAGACACAGGTCAGTCCTGGGTTCTAGATCACATGAATTTCAATAACCTGTATGACAGCCCCTGATATGGCTGGTGAGGATCTTCATATACCGCATGCAGCTATTGTGTGATCGTTGCGATAGTTAGCGATGACTACATTTCGATGTCAGGAGCGCTATGGGCACCAAGTATCCACGATAAGATAATTCCAAATAAAGGCAAGAAGTCATCACTCATCACTCACTGCTTGAACTTACCCCTCACAGTCCGAACTGTTGGTCGGTATGCGCCAGAGGCGCGATCAACGCCAGTCGATAAGGCTTTGTGGGAATCAAACCTGCATGAGAAATCATCGCCCAGCCGAGGTAAACGCGATCACTTGACTTGTCCCTAAGGCAAGCTACTATTTCTGCTTTTATCACAGCTCGCGCAGTCGACAGAAGGGAAAACGGACCACAAGAGACGCCGGTCAGTGGACTACTTTGGGAAGGTGCCGTCCACGAAGCCCTAGCTGCAAGGCAACGTTAGTCAGTATGAATCGTTGTTTTACCAGTGCTTACCAAGGAACTCTTAGCAGCTGTCCGACGTAAACCTGCGGATGCAAGTGTTGGAGGATTTCTATTTCAAAGCGCTGTTCACCAGCATATTTCTGACTCTTAAAGCAGTAATTATCGAGCACGAATCCCTTGCGCTATAGACAAAATGAAAGAAGCATTCATTCATGGAGGCTTGGATCGAGGGATTGAAAAGCACTATTGAAACATTCCCACACTGGCTTCGAGAAATGTTCAATAAGGATGACGTTCAACCTCGTTCAACTATGTAGTGAAGATCAATCACTTACCATTCTACGCAGGATCCCACATCACCCAAAATACGAACCTTCCCCGGTAATTTTTCGGATTAATTACATGAGACTGGCGGCCTGAAGCATAGTTAGCCTGCGGGAAATCAACAACAGTATTTTTAATCACGGCTGATATTTATTCTAGTGCACGAGGTCCGAGCCAGCCTCGCATCTATACAGGAGAAACGACCTGAATATCAACCGCGCCGTTCCGTAACTACTGGGCCCCATTAAATCGTCGGTAAATCCAAAAATAAGAACACCTACCCATGCTAAAGTAAGTCGATCGTGTTCCAAGAATAATTTGACAAAATGAGCCGAAGGAAAGGCGTACAGCAGACGGTGGCAGTGAAAGGGCGAACCGAGGCGTGTCCATCGAAATAATTACGCTTGTGAATAAGGTCTGGTAAGTCAGGGTCGTGAGTGTTTTCCGAGCGAGCGATAACTAGCTTGTTGAATTCCCATATGTGCACGTAAAAGCAACCCTCGAAGGATATTCCTTCCCTTTGTCGAATTTCAAAGCGTTCCCGAGGAAGAACATAGGCTATTTTGCTACCGGATACACTGATTCCGCGGCTTGAGTGATGCGGGAAGCAGCACGTATACTGGGGTCCCCAATCCGACCTGGGAATCTCGACAGGTGTCTCCGAGTGCAAGGCTGTTCTTGAGAAGACAACTACATCGATAACTAGAATAACGGGCCATGCGCCACTGAGAGCATCTATAACAATGACTTGTGACTCCAGAGAGGGCACGTAGCCAGGCATGAGCTCTGTGCGAGCTGTCGCGTCGTAGAACGATGAGGTAGCATGAAAGTTGTAGAAAGGCGTACGTACGGATTCCGGAAGGTGATACATGATTTGGCGCTGAGGTGATCCATGTTCTTGTAATATGTACAAGGTTATGATGCCTCGAAATTTGATGACAACAACATTCTGTTCGTCAACTAGATGGTAACCTGCAAAATCTTCACACACAGGATACTGCCTACGCTCAGCGGCAGACTTTCAAAAAATAGAATGAACTTACACTCATTGATTACTTGTACGAACACGTTGAATCTCCCACTGCGTTCGGTGAACTGAGTTTGATCCGATAGAGGACAACGATACGATCCCCATAGATCGCAGGCTTTCGCAACAAAAAGACGTGGTATCGGCCAGGTGCATCAAAAGTATGTTTGCACTTCAAGTAAGCGTTCACAGAATCTGTATGTGGAAGCTGGGACGAAGCCAACCGAAACCGCACCGAAAAGATGTGGAAATCTGGCTTGGTAGTGCAAAAACCAGAAAAGGACCAGAAGATCCTGCAGAGGGTCGACCACAACTGATCTCGTAGACTGGTTCTGAGATAATATCTTGAGGTTGTGTCTAGGCCACGAAGGGGAGAGTTTGATATTTTCGTTGTCCCACATCCACCAAATCCCAAATTTCACAGATTGTATCTCTGGGGGATCGCTGACAATAACCACTGCATCTTGGAAAACAGTGGTGGCATGGAAATCAGACTGCCAGTGACACGGATGTCAATATCTTGAGTGAGGACATCCTCCTGTAAACATCGATCGAGCCTAGGGTATGAGTCTCAGTGAAGCCCTGAGCATGAAGCTCAAGCTTGTATTGAATGTCGACAGAATACAGGGCTGCATCCCGGACGGCTTTGCAGGTCTAGAGTAACCGGAAGTTAGCATAGGAGAAAACATCGTACTACAGGAAAGAGCAGACTGTTGCACAGCAAGAAAGATCCCTGGGGGCAAGGAGGACTAGAATATGACATATCAGCCCTAGGCCTGTTGGAAGCGAAAAGAAGCCAATTACAACCGCCATCATCATCAAGCAATTTCGAGAAAGTTCAAACGTTGAATACTTGAATCAAGATCGAACGTTGAAGGCAAATTTGTCCCATCAACCCAGCCAAGGGGTAAATTTCAAACTCCGATAGGTTTTGTTCCTCCCATACGCCAAAATTAGAAATTACAAAGTACTTGTCCGAGTCAGTGATATCAACTATCAGTATCAAGACAAGATACAATGAACCATTAAGACAATCAGCACTTCTGCCCAAGAGTACTAAAAGCTTTTCTAAAAGTACTGTTTTTCTTTGGTTCTTCCATTCTTAATCTTCACAATGACTAGTACGATTGACTATCATTCCAAAACGGGCCAAATCCAGGCATCATTAAACACCGGTTTCGTGTTCATGGTGAGTGGGACACAGGATGCTGGCAGTGTACTACACTTCGGTTCCAAACACCGTGTGGCAGAGAGCTTGATATCTAACTACCAGATGATATCATTATTACTGTCGTCACCACCAAGCCACACTGCTCGGTCAGCTAGCTCCCTTTCGCCACCTAAGGCTACTATGTCAGGAACGGAACACAGTGTCTGCACCCGCTAGGGCCTCTCCGCGCACACGGCCTATCATTCCCTGAATACCGCAATTGAGGCGGTTAGCGTCGCCGAGTCAGCACAGAGCAATATCATAAGCGCTATTTCTGACAGCCAACTCTCGGCCCCGCGCCGCCTCTACCAGATGAATTATGCAAAGTCCGTGGCTGATTCTGTCGGGACTTGGTGATGCAACGGAGATACGAACGCCTTTCGGAACAAATATCGTTCACCACTCACTGCCCGTCCCAGTCAAAGAGGGATCATTGCTTTGGCATGAACAGTGCATTTGCCGTAGAATACCGATATGACTCGTACTGGCCGTCAACGGGGCCTGACGCACTGCGTGCGCGTATTCAGCAGCCAAGGCATTCGTATAAATGGTAAGATGGCTTCGAGCATTCCATTTTTCATAGTCCTTGAATATCACACATCATTCATATAAACACATCTCTTTAGCCGATTACCATCATCATGTTGCCTTCATTAGTTCGCTTCACAGTCGCTCTTGCTCTCGTATCATCTGTTCTCGGTGCTGCCATCCCCGTAGATCCAATAACTACCGCGACCGCTACTGCTACTTCCTCTGCCCAGCAGAAGAGTCCCCCACCTGGTGCTCTGTGGAAGAACAATGTTCACGCGAAGGTTGGAGCACCTGCAGCAACGCCAACCACAGAAGGTGATTTTACAAATACGTCGAGTTGCAATCTTTTACTGACACATACTTTGTCGCATCAGGTGGACTTGCACCTTCCCGGCGTTCTGGAGAACTTTGGGAGGGGATGGAACATGCAGAGGTAGCACGAGATGGTGGTGCACCCTCTCGCCGATCCGGCGAGCTCTGGCGCGGATTAGAACATGAAGAGGTAGCCCGAGACGGCCCGGCACCCCCTCGCCGATCTGGCGAGCTCTGGCGCGGATTAGAACATGAAGAGGTAGCCCGAGACGGCCCAGCACCCTCCCGCCGATCTGGCGAGCTCTGGCGCGGGCTAGAACATGAGGAAGTTTCCGCTTCCCCTGACATTTAAGGTCAGTCCCTGTATGTGCCTCAGGCTTACGAACCTCATCCTGATCCACCGCTTACAGTTATATTGCGTCATCCTGAATTTAGCTACGAGCGAGAATCTCCGCACTTTCGCTGTGTGTGCGGGCACGCACAGCCAGGCTCTGACAGACGGACACTTGGCATTACTGAATACCTCGTATAATTTTTATGGCCGATCACCACTTTATAACCATACCCATTAACTTCAGCGATAGCTGATTTCATTACTTATTATACTCCACTATATTGCTTTGATGATTAGTTACTTTATTTAGATAAGTTATTCGTGACGTGCTTGTATCTGTAGTACGAGTCAACGAAATGTATTGTCAGTTCGCTTGCTATCTACAAAAGTGTAAGGACCGAGCGGTTTGTGATTGTAAGCAACGTATATTGTACTCCCTGAGACAACTCATCGCAACGCCCCGAGGCGAGTGGATTACTAGTACAATGTACTATTACTGAGTATGAAGTCATTACGTTTCACTGACGCTTACACAGCTCATCATCGCTTCAGGCAAACCCTGCCCTCTCACGTCCCAAGTGATTACAAGCCTGTTGTGCAGCCAAGTCCTGAGCGGCAGCTCTGCTACTCGATGACGCGGAGCCATGATTCATATCGTCGACTGCCGTATTGGTTAGTATGCACACCCTTGACTCCTAGATACTAGCAGCAGCGACGTACTATAGATGGTCGCAACCCATGTTAGACAGTTGGGAGGACCTCGCGAAGAGATTTCCCATCGGATATGATCAGCAGCCGTGGCACCGTAAATCGTATGTAAGAGATTGGACAAGTTCGTGCGAGCCTGAGGGTCTGGAGGTCAATATTAATGAGTGAATACATCCCAAATATTGAACGAAGAACTCAGACACACATTCTGAACTAATAGACATTCCTGCAATTAGAGCAGACGTGTTTCCAGTAGAATCTAGATAAGAGAATGAATCCTGGACCCGACATGGCAATAACAGGCGCCAGCTTTATGATCCTCCGTTATGCCCGGTCCCGTCAATACTTCCTGACGTCACATATTTACCACAAGTAACTTATGCAGCAGGGATTTTGTAGTGACCCGATCACCTCCACGCAGATCATAACTAGGCTCCTCGCAGGGACGATACTCAATCACCGGTGGAACGTTGTTGAACATGAGATAAATAACGTGTTATTGGCGTGTACTACATACGTTGCAACATGATTTTCGATGGGGCCACTGACCACGCCAGCTCGGGACCTCAAACGGTCAACATCTACCCCAAGACATCAAATAGCCCACGGAAACATGCTACAAAATTTGATTCCAAAATACAGTCGAACCAGGATATGAAACCTATCACATCTAGTGAAATAGTAGCAACACCTCGCGCACCTGACATAAATCACCAATAAAAAAGAAAGAAAAGGAAACCCAGCTCCAGACGTGGATAAGGTAAAGGTATTCGTGGCATCACCAGGATAATTGTAAAGATGAATAGTTCGGCCAGCGGGGTATCACCCGTCATAAAGGTGTGGGTATCGAGGCCATTACAGAGCAAAGACAATAAATGCCAAGAGTCCAGAGACAACGGTGGTCAATGCGGTGAGAGGGCGGATTGACAAGGCGCCAGAAGCGGGAGCAAGACCTGCATTAGCAGCGCCAGCAGGAGCATATGTGGTCGTCGGGGATGCAGTGGAGGCGGCAACTGTTAGCCTGTCACAGAAGTGAGCTCAACACATAAATTACCGGGATAAGAACTTACGTAGTGCCACTTGAGGAAATGACAGATGGGGTGGAGCTCGTCAAGCATGACGAATCACTACTAGCTGCCACAGTGACCTGATATCTGCGTTAAAAATACCTGATTGACAAAGGTAGACAATTTGCTCACAGTTCCACTCCAGGCCTCATTTCCTTCAGCATCCTCGAGCGCGAGCACGATCGGGGTGCCAGCAGCGATATTGACTGTCCATTCCGTTGAAAGGCCGGTTATGTTACCTAGGTTAACACTATGTCAAGAACGTCAGGTCACATGAGTTAGAGAAGGTTCAGAGAAACGCACAGAGCGTCGCCACAGACGTCATCTGCGGAAACTACAACAAGGTTGTAGGGAGAAATTGACTCTGTCCAAGTGATTTGAGCACCTGTACACTAATTTTGCACAGGTAAATCAGCACGCTAAGAGGACATTTATTATCAGACGAATTACCTGGACAAGAGCGGGGGTGTAAATCGTAAAATCAGCTAATGCGCCTTGAATGGCAAGGGCGACAAAGAGAGTGACTGAAAAGAGTGTAGCGAACATGTTGTGACTTCGCGTGTGTTGTGTCTTTTGCAAGGAGAGGCTGAGTCGGGGTATACGGAATGAGCGGCTTGCAGGACACGGGTGAAAGGGGGAGGAAGAAGAGCAGAATGGGGAATTTAGAAATTACATTCGAACAACATTAAATTTTGGAACCCCGCTCTATTCACCACGGTTGTCAATTGTCATGGTACTTACAAGGCCATCATATGTACAAATCTTGTCAAGCCATTGATGATGACCGCGGTGACCAGCTGATTCCAGGCCTCAAAACCCAGTGCGCGACCAGAGCAATTAAATAACACCGTTAGCAAGCAGCTCATCAGCATCGCAAAGCAGCACCGTAACAAGCAAGAATTTGTGTCGCCTTTCTCGCGCTTGCCAACCGAGCTTCAACCGCAAACTTTTATCCTATGTCTCTCTGACTCATTGTTTGTTACCTGAACCAAGGCAGGCTCAAGCGATCACAAGGATCTGCGTAGACCTGGAGGTCTGGGCCATACAGCACCTAAGTCCATTGACCCGCACGCACCTTCACTCCTTGCGGATCGACAATTGCCTGACCCGATATGGTCTCGCGCTCCTCAACCCATTCAATCTATTCACATTCCCCAACTTACGCGTGCTTGAAGTTGGCTATCCATTAAAGTGGCCTCATGAGGAGTTCAAGGCATTTTTGGCAAGGTCGAAATGCCCCCTGAAGACCCTGACTTTCACCTCTCGAAGACAGGCGACAGATGAGCAGCAAGCGGAATACATTACCCTCATTCCCTCACCTAAAGTAGAATCATGAGGATGTGGGTCAGAAGATTAGCACTTTCTTTTTGCAGCCCAACATCCTCATTGTGACGAGTGGAGTACGTAACTGTATCACGTTCATTTCATTCGACCAATTGTAAAATAGACGCTCCTAACGATTTAGCAAGTGCCCCAGCTCCGAATTCACCATGATAAAGGTAAACAAGCTGGAGTCCCTAGGTGTTCTGAGAGGGTCGTTTTCAATCGCACCATCATGGAAAATCCTACTGTTGTATACAAAAACGTCGACAAATTCTGCTTCGATGACGCAAACATTATCCTCTACGTGCAACAAGACAACCCAGAGGATCATACCGTAATCAATCACTTGTTCCGCGTCCACAAGGCAATTTTATCCCTACATTCACGCGCGTTCGGGAGCATGTTTCTGGTGCCCACGCCGCCTGTTGGTTGCCATTCTCAGCAAATTCATGACGGCCTCTTAATGTGTCCCATGTTCGATGACCTGAAGGATGTGACAGACCTTCTTCAAACATTTTATTACCCCTGGTGAGCCCGACAATCAAATTGAAAGCTGTGAACGACTGCTGATACATGAAAAGCTCATCCGCTATAATCATTCCTCCACACGTTTCTGATACACCTATCAGACTCAGGGGTCTCCTCCATATCGCTCGGAAATATCAAGTCGACAGGCTTTACGAGCATATCGTGACATCAATCAAGGCAGATTGGCCTCAGACACTCCCGAGATGGGATTTTATGGACGCCATGGATATAGAGAGGATGATTAAGCCCCATACAACTATACCGTGGGATCCAGAACTCGAGGATCAACAGAAAATGTTAGAGCCTGCTGCAGCGATTCACATCGCCCACGAGTTCAACATTCCAGAAATTCTACCCGCTGCGTTTTACCATCTTGCCCGCATCAAGATATCATGTGACTATGATGAAGTGCGCCAGAACCTCTGTCCCAAAAGTGAGCACGCAGCTCGTTGGGGTATGCTTACGTGGGAGGACTTGGCTTGTCTCTTGCATGGCAAGGAGGAGATGGAAAGCATCATGCATGATTTTGTGGGCAGAACACGCTGTACCAGTGGTTGCAGTTGTAAATGGCAAGAATCGCGTCTAGCGATGGACTACGAACACGATTCTTTGAAGGCGCTGAGGAACATTGCGAGCATTGAAGCATGTAAAATGTGCTGGGATTGCCGTCGGTCTCTACTGACCCGTGCGGCGGCGCAAAGGGAGGAAATTTGGTCTAGATTATCAGAGATATTCCACCTGCCTGTGGCTACACCATGATGTGATATTTACTTCTGATACTTTTATCTCAAGTAATAGTATATGAGAGTGATGATGGATATCGCAGCTTGTAGAAGCGCTCTCGCCACTGCTGGCTTCCCAGTATAGCTGGAGTAGAATGATTTCATCAGATGCCTCAGCGACGATCGCCGACTCGTTCTTCCATATCCACGTTTGAGAGAAGACAGTAACACGTGCATCATACTATTGACGAACTTCCATATTCAGTGTTAAGCTACAAGGTAAATGACCTGGTTATCAACTGCGCCGGGTCGAACCTACATATAGTTTGGCCGCATTAAACTATCGCTGCGTTCTGAGTCATAATTAAGAACACCTTACCCATGTTGAAATAAGCCAATCCTGTTCCAAGAATAACCCATGAAGGCCACGCGTCGAAAAAGACTCATGGCAGACGTAGCAGTGTAAGGATGATTCGAGGTTATCTCTTGTCATAATATGACCAAACTAGCCTGCCAGGCTTGCGCATAAGAAGGCTTGGTGAGTCGGGGTCGTATGTAATTTCCGGAGATTGCTGATTGATATCCCAGATGTGCGCATAGAAGAGACCGTCAGGAGGAAGTGCTTCCAGTCTATGTCCAGGTGCAGAGGTGCGAGATCGACTCGGAGGAAGACTGATTTAAATGATGCGGAAAGCAGCACGTATGCTTGGGTCCCAAATCCGACCAGGGATCTCGACAGGCGTAGGGCCTCTGCATGACCATATCAATGAGGTGCTCGAGTCATGGTGCATGACACATGGGTTGGTTAGTTGCGAGCCTTGGCAGTCACTGGTGCAGGATGCCATAAGGCGCTTAGTCAGCACTATACGCCAAATTGGTTCCAAAGTGCAACTCCCCCACCTGAACGTTGAACTGCACATGGGTAAGTACTAGTAGTGCTTTAACTAAGGCATTAGGACGCGTAGAGAGGTTAAGCGTCAAGCGCTAATTCCTTTGGCTATTGCTTACATGCGAGGCAAGCAGACAGTTTCGATGCCATATGACGTAAGGGAAATGAAGTGAAATTCTTCAAGCTATTAGGAGGCATCCCCCTTTGTCTCTCTTTGGTACTATAACAAGCTCGCTCAGAGTCTGTATCAACCTCCTTGCACGAACGGATCCAACAGTGTACAACGCTTCGTGGCCCCATAAATCATCAGATGGGGAACACAGTCCAACCAATGCGCAGCTCCTTCGCGGACGGTGACCTTGTATTGTATGTTCTAATGTATCTTCCTGACTTTCAATGCCTTGCATCAACAATCCTGACCTCAAAGTCCGTTTACAACATCTTTCAGCAGCATCCTTGCTCGATAACCCGCTCTGTGGCTTATAACTTGGTTGGGCCAGCATTACCACAAGCATTGCATTTCGTCCGGTACCGTAATGCGCAACAATATTCCAAGTCTATCGGTAAAATCGTGGGCGAGGATGAGATTCAGAAAAACCCAGTGCTTTCCAGCAAAGATATCACAGGCCTCGTGGCCATTTCCACCCCCATTCAAGAGTTCGATTGTGCGCGCAGTCGGAGGTATTTTTTTATCACGTTTTACACCCCGATCAGTTAATGATTTGTCCCGCAGAATGAAAGACCAAATATCTGAGACAAGTCGGCTCTACTCGCCGGAATTGATACGATTCCAGAGAGCATTGTACAGATTGTACTTGTCCTTTACTCTTTTCAGTTGAGGATCGCTCATTCGATGACAGGCTCGCAATGTGAATCTGAAAGTGTCCAGGGGTTGGATTCATGGGGATCAGGTAGTAAGTCAAAAATTACAGCGAACAGGACCTACTCATCCCCGTAACTCTCGAAGACTGGAGATACTGTTGGAGTGCGCGTTGTAACGGTGGGTTCTGGTCCGGCGGGCTTCAGAGATAGGGGTCAGGAGTCTCGTAGAGGTGTCCAGAGTCCATAGCTGCATGTTTTAGGACTTACCATCATCATGCGTGTTTGGCTTCTCGAGGCTTTTGCCTGGCGAGGACTGCGAGCTCACAGGGTCATTCCTGGCCCGTTCCAGCGTGAACCGCATGTCCTTTTAATTGTGAACTTACTGAAAGGGAATTTAAGCAAAAACCATGTATACGAAGGACATTTCTCTAATGTGGTAGAGAAGACACCCACTGAACAGTTGATTTCGACTGCAAAACACCGGCTTATGACACCCGGAACAAAAAAGACTGGTTATGCCGACAATGCTTAGAGACGTTTATACACGACCATCTCCATGTTTGGTACTCAAACCAGAAGGTTGAGAGTAAGCTTCTGCCCTTGATAAATTTCATTCTGTTCACTCGATGCCTTCCAGAAGGACACCTGATCCCGGACAATTGCAGCCACGGATACAACTGCGTTACGCAAACCGAATAAATATGCACACGCTAAGGAACTGGATGTGAGTTTCTGCGAGTTGTTCCTAGTGTCGGGAAGTTGAATTTGTTCTGGCTGTAGCACTTGTGTGAACCTATCAAGGGATATGACAACCTTTGAGTGTGACCTCGCGGGAATTCATCATGAATCAAGCACCCTGTAGACGAATTTCGATGTGTGATACTGTAACAGAAGTAGAGAACAAGTAGAGACATTCGTCAACGTACTTCTTGCTCCACTAAAATTCATGAAAGTTGAATTAGGGATTCGGCAGTTATCTGAGTTACTTGTAGACTCGAACCGCACACGTGGTTCCACAAGCAGTTTGCAGTGCACTGTGTCCATGGATCGGTGCACTGGCACACCTGTAACGCTGAACAACCATCATGGCGACACTCGAGGTCTTAGCATCCATTACTAGGGTAAGTCTCAGCCTCTGGGGCTCAGAGACTATTCTCTAACCTACGAATTAAACTCATCGCCTGGATAGCTGAGCGACCGTGTAGTGAGAGTGCTGGGCCAGGTGAGTGACATCATGCTTCCGATGTTACTCTCATGACCGTCTTCCACAGAACCCAGGCAAATTCACACTGCAAGGTAACTACTTCCTTCCAGGCAGAAGTCTACGGAACTCAAATCCGACGACCTCGCAGGGACCAACACTTATCTTATCGGCGAGCGCAACCCCTACACCCTTATCGACACCGGCTCAGAAGGCAAAGATGCCTACATAGCTCAACTCGAATCTGCCCTGAGCAACACCTGCAAGCTCACGAACCCAAATGAACCCCATGTATCCGACATTATCATATCTCACTGGCATGGCGATCACATAGGTGGGCTGTCCTCCGTCCTCTCGCTCCTGCGGAGAATGTGGGACGAACGCAACACCCCTGCTCCGTTCAAGCCACCCCGTATACACAAGTTTCCCCTTGTAAATGCGCCGCCGTCTGGCGCCAATGCAACTATCGCTCCCCCTCCCCCGGGTACATACATTCCCGCCGCCAACGGTGTCTTCCTGCACGATCTCGCAGACGGCCAGCTGTTCCCAATAACTGGCTCTCCCTCTTCCATGCAAGTCATCCACGCCCCAGGTCACACCGCCGACTCCATTAGCCTCCACATTCCCGACGACAACGCCCTCTACACAGCTGACACCGTGCTCGGCCAGGGCACAGCGGTGTTTGAGGACTTAGGAACGTATATCTCCTCCCTGCGCAAGCTACTCGCTTTTCAATCTGATTATACTGTGTTGTACCCTGGGCATGGCCCCGTCGTCGCTGAGGGTCCTAAGCTCATCGGTACATATATCGCGCATCGCATGGAGAGGGAGGCGCAGATTGTTAGTGTCATCGAGAAACCCAGTCCTGAAGGACAGCCTTGGTCTACATGGGGAATTGTATCCACGATATATTCTGCGTACCCGCAGAATCTATGGGAGCCTGCTGCACGAAGCGTGAATCAGCATCTCAGGAAGCTTCAAGCCGAGGGCAAGGTGAAGAGGCTTGAGGGTGAAGACAAGGATGTGAAGTGGGAGTTACTAGCGAAGTTGTGAAGGAGGGGGCGAAAGGGCTGATTTATCAAAGCTACGGGGAGGATATATCATGAAATATATTGTGCATGACATCCAATGTAGGAACCACATCTCAAGGATCAATTAGTTGATTTACGACACTGTCTCAAGGCATTGCCAACAGATATTCCGATTCTAAAGACATCAAAGTACAACTTTTCTAACTTCGAGCCGGATGCTGATTGGACTGCAGAGATTGGCGAGGTTGGTGCTGTCAACCGAGAGCCACAGGTTAGGTTTGGTAATCGTGCCGACGGCCTGAAACTCGTAGAGCGAGGCCCGGAGACAGAAGCGGTGGTGGATGTGTTTAAAAAATGGATTCAAAAATATCCAAGTGATATCGTCCTCCAGAAGTGGGTGACTGATACCCTCGAAGGTGCACGACGAGGCCTCATTCGCGCAGCTGGAAAAGCTGTGAATCAGATTTACTTGTCCTTCTGGCGAAACTGAGTTACCATGCACCTATACAGAGATGCCGAACCAATACCTGCGAAGGGGAAAGGTGGCGCCAAGCTTGATCCTCTGATGGATCTTGTCTCTGTCAATACATACCTCAAAAGTAACCCATAAAAGATGGTTGTTCGGTGTGCTGGAGCCGAATATGGATGTGCCACCACCTGGACTGCGCCTAGCTGGAAGGCCTGAGTATTCGAGCATGCGTTACACAATTTGACGCTACGTGACCATGTTCGCATTGCCATGACCAAGGAATCCTTAGGTGGTGGTGTCGAAAGCCAGAGCCCATTAGTGCCAACTGCCGAGTGGGTGGAGTGATCTGGACAAAGACCGAACTGGTGATGGCCAGCCACTTGTGGTATGTCAGACCCACAATTGCATTGTCTCGAAGCTGATCATCAGCGGACTAGAAACTCGCTGTTCGGATTTTCTCGCTTGTACCTAATTCGATGGCTGACGAGCGGACTGACTCGACGTTCACTTGGGTCAACTCACCACTCCGCAGTGTGAATCACCAACAAGGATTTGGCACCCTCTGAGGAACTACCAAGGAACACCATAACTCTTCTGCCAGCAAGCACCTTGCTGCAGGAGAGGGTCTAAACTGAGGCAGATTGGACCATGTAGGGGTTGTAGGGGCTGGTGTAGAGTATACAGTAATAGATCTGCCTGTGATTCAACGAAATCTTCACAGAGCGCACCAGAAATTGCGAAATAGTCTGTGCATTGTAGAAGGAGTCGGAGTCAAGGACAAACGTGGCCGAGTCGTGCCTTGTGCTTTTCGAATGTGCGCGATTTAGTAGGTTGGCATGATTGCGTACGGAAGAAAAATTATGGGGTGGATGACTTAGCTCCTTTCGCATACTGGTACATATGCTTCTATCAATCTAACGTCCACAAGTCAGTGAAACCATCAGAAGTCTGTCAAAAAGGAAGCGTCACGTGCCACACTTGACGCGTCGGACTACTTGCATTTGCAACTTCCATTGTGCCCTTGATTACGCCACATCAAAAGTCCACTGATCAATGGTTCGTCACGCCACATTGGCCGACCAGATATAAGGCGAGCGGAATCTGCACATGTGGTTATTTCTTAACGTTTTCCACTTTCCCCACTTCACTACCTGTGCGAACGTCACCAAGTACTTGTCATGTCGCCCGGCGACGCACAATGGGGCAAGCCAGGCTCATCATCTACTCCAGCACGCCCAAAGGCACTAGCTCAGGCTACTAGCTCATTAAATCTACTCCAAACAGCCGCGGGGCTGCTACTATCAGTGAAAACATCGACCTCGTCGGTGTTCAGTGAGCTTATTTCGTGTTGTATTCGAGTTGGACCTAATGTACATTCAGGGTTGGGGACCTCTGGCCATGGATTAAGCGCGACATCGAACAGGCTAAGACGTGTGAAGCTGATACGATGCTGCAAGTTTTCCTGCAGCGCGCTTCTCTCGATCCCGAGACTGAACAGCCCGCCCTCCTGCCAAGGTGTCTCGAGGCCGTTCTAGGTGTTTGCAATGGGACTGCACCACCTGAAATCCCCGATAAGTTATTAGCCTCTTCTGGCGTCAAAGAGGCTCTTAAGACATAGTAAGTACTCTTTCGCTAATGGGTGTCATCACCCTTATAACGATTGTCAGTGCATCGTCAAAAAACGAAAAAGGCTACTACAAGCCTTTCATTCTAGCCACCAACGTCGCGCTAGCTTGTCTTGATATTATCAAGGTCGACGGAATGTCTGTTGCTTCAGGCCTGAACATTATCTGTCAGCAGCATGCTGACAAGGATGTGAAGCAAGAGCAAGGCAATCAGAAGCAGGAAGCGAAACGAAAGCCCGACGTGGTCATCGTTCCTTTGCCAAAGCTCATGCGATGCCTTCGCGGGTTGGAACATGGGAGAGCCCGAGCACATGACCAAGGCTGCAACGATGGTGCCGGAAAACAATATCCCTTGGAAAGATGTCCTAGCCTCGATCGAGTTCAAGAGGA